TTCTTTGTGGAATCTGAGGGTTTACAATATAAATTAAAAATGCTGCAAAAAAAAAATGAGAATCATTTTCGAAGTAAATCAAATATTATTTGTGTAAGAGATTAGGGAGGACAAAAATTTGCTCTGATTTTTTGTATGGAAAATCGATTTTACATAGTTAAATAGAACGAAAAAGCTGCAGATATGGAAGATCATTAGGAGGAAAGATTTGTAATTAGTACCAGGTTGAAGATGAAACTGAAGGGGATGAAGTAGGGATTGCTATTGAAGCTACGAAGTTACCTTTGCTTTGTATTTTTAGTTTATTACTATTTATAATCAAATATGATATTCTTTTGAACAATAGAGTTTTCTATATGCCCAATCTTATTATCTTCTAAACTCAGAACTACTTTTGACTGTAACGAAGGAATATAAATCATTAAGGGATCTTAAATATGGCACAGGAGAAAGCAAAACACAACAGCCAGACACTTTTATCATTGCACCTACACCAACCCAGTCAGTTCTTCCACCTAGTCTAAGTTATTATAATACTGTTCATGCACCTGATACCGCCTACGAGCCCGTTGGTGTTCACTATCATCCTGATAAGTAGCCTCACGCATCACATCATCATAGGTAGGCAATAACTCATCCCCACCACCCATTCCAAGCTCACCAAATTCATCTACCAATGAGGAACTCGATTGTTGGGAGACCAATGGAGATGAAGGTCTTTCTGGCATTGGAGGCGGAGGCTTTTCTATAGGATATGGAGAAGGGGGACTACTCGTAGTGGTTGGAGAAGGAATTTTTCCTGGAGGAGGTTGGATGTTGGGGACAGATGATGTTCTGGAGGATGCATTTGAATGAAGAGTAGGTGTCATATTTAATCCACTTAAGACTTTGATGTTCGAGCATTGAAGGTCAACATATTTAATCTTCTTGTTGAATTCTTGAAGATTTGTGAAATCAATAATTTTCTCACATGAGAATCCAGCTGTAATTGTTAAATTGTATTTTCTGGTTATATTACAGGTCTTAAAACTTGGAGCTAAGAAATCGGGTAATATACAATTCTTGAAATATGCACTAGGGATTTCAAGTTCATAAATTGAATTATTATTTGCTGTTGAAGATATACCAGTTTTATTTTTCTTACAATTCATCAAATCGAATTTTGAATTCTTATAATTATTAGAACATATATTGATCACTTCTTCATTCTTACCCATATGTATTTCTTTGGTATTCCCATCAGATTCTAATACTGAAATTATTGTTGTTGAAGTTAAATCAACTTGCAATTTTTGTAAATAAACCACACCTAATCCATTTGATTCCCCTGGTCTATTGTATTCACTTAGAGTAAATCTATCTGGATTCAATTTTGAAACTAAAAACAATTTAAATGATGGCGGTTTTGTTGGAATCAAAAATGCCGGGTGTCTGAATCTTACTTCAAATGAAAATGGAACATCTTGAGCTTTGACTTTAGGAAAATATGAATTTTCTTTCTTCTTTTGAGCAGGAGGGGATGGTGACCTTTTATAATTGTTAATGCTCGTACTACTACTACTACTACCCGCCAAATTAGGATCGAATAACCTCTGTAATAACCCTGGCTTCTTGGGTTGGATATTAGTAATCTTAGGAGGTAGCGCAGTAGGTTTAGTAGTTGTTGATGATGATGATGGATTGCTTTTCGGACTAGGCACTCTAACACCTATAATTTCCGGTATTCGATTTCTAAAAGTCAATTCTTTCCTTACAAATACTTCTTTATATTCTTCATAACTAGAATGTCCTAATAATGGTCTATTATGAGCATCTAAATCTAAAGGTAGAAAGATGAATGGATCAAACGCCCGTAAATTTGTTTTTAAAAATGATGCTCTCTTACAAGTGACTTTGACATAATATTTAATACTAGCAAATTCTCCATTACCACTCAAAGAAGGGGGTAGTTGTGATGTTATATGATAGGGCGTAGTCTGCTGCAGTTGTGATTGAGGATTGAGGGAGGATGATGATGAGGAATAACCAGTTGGAGGTGGGGTTGTAAAATTTTGAATCAATTTCTGGGCATTATTTAAAATGAGACTAGGATTGAAATTTCCATTATTAATCATAACATCAAAAGTCTTTTTATTAAACAGAATCTTATTTGTTATACCTGTCATTTTAACACATGAATTATTTAAAGGAATTTTGAATTGAAAAGGATAAGAATAATTACCAGGAATTAAAGTGAATTCTTTAGCTGAACTTACTTGACGAATATTATCAGGTGGGAATACAATGACAGTATCATATAATACTTTATGAACATCTTTTAATATCTTATCTTTCCTATCCCTATCTTTTCTATTAGTACTTGTAGATACAGTTAATTGAGTCGAAGATAATCCTTCTAATTTTACTTGAATATAATTTAATGATATAGAATCAGTTACAACCAATGTGACAGTACCTCTAATTATATCATGATTGGTGAATGTGCCATCGGTTTCATGACGATCAATTTCTATTTTGACATCACAAATTGCCATGGTCTATTCTGAACGAATTAATAATAGATAGTAAGATTAAAGTTGGATAGTTTCCTTTTTTTTTTTGACGATGTTTGAGATGAAAACAGGGGTAATATTCTAAAAATAAATAATGACTTGGAATTACGACAACCACAACAACAACAATAGAAGGCAAAATGAAAAAGAAAAAGATGGTAAAGATTTAACTTTAAACAATGTAACAATAATAAGGCACAGTTTTTATAAAAAAGTTCGATGATTGGAAGTCAAGTAGAAACAGTCAAAAAGAATGAGAGAGAGAGAAAGAAAAAAGTTGAATCATAAGCAATTAATTATCCCATCATCATTAAAGAAGAATAAGAGAAGGAGGGGTGGGGAGGGGCAGTGTTCTTTAACTTTATTAAATACATAATATTTAACACATGATAAAAACATGAATTTAATTAATTATATTTTGAGATTGTTGTCCATTCAACAGTAAACAAATATCGTCATCTTATCTATGTAAGTAATGTAAGTAAATGTAATGAAATAAGAACAAGAAGAGAGGGGGAGACTCTTTCTATGTTATTCCGCTTTCGAATATTTATGTAGTAAACTTCCTGTATATAATTGCTTATATTATCCTGTATATACAAATGGACATTGAAATTTTTATAAAATGAAATGTGGGAAACAGGGCATCAAACAAAAAAGGAATCAATTTAAACTTAACTTCTTTCTATTTACTTTTACTTTTACTACTATCAATTATTAGTATTATTATTAATTAATTTAACAACAATGTCTGAACAACTTCCAAAAATTGAAATTCTTCAAGAAGGTGATGGTAAAACTCTTGCTAAACCAGGTGATGTAGTCACCATTCATTACGTTGGTACTTTAACCAACGGTAAGAAATTCGATTCTTCAAGAGATAGAGGTAAACCATTCACTTGTGTTGCTGGTGTTGGTCAAGTCATTGCTGGTATGTATATTCACTTACTTCTTTTAATTCAATTGATACCCAATGGTATATACTAACTGAACTATTTTAGGTTGGGATATTGCCCTTACTAACAACTTTGGAAAAGGTTTAGAACAACCAATTTATAAAGGTTCCAAAGCTGTTTTAACCATTCCATCAGAATTGGCTTATAAAGATCGTGGATTCCCAGGTTTAATTCCACCAAATTCAACTTTAGTTTTTGAAATTGAATTACTTGATATTGCATCTAATTAGAGAATATAATTTTTTTCTATTTATAAATAACTCCTCCTCCACTCATTTATTTGCTAGAGAGAATAATGACATAATTATATAATTAATTAATTTAAATTTCATGATTTTTTTCAAATATACCAATATAAATTATCATTTTGTAGAATGATATTATTCATTATTGCTAATGTAGGTAATCCGACTTTATATTGAACATCAAAACATTTAAATTGAGGTAATCTAATTCTATCATTTTTTGAATCAAATTTCCCATAAAAATCCATTATATGTCTACTAAATGGTAATACAGGAAATGGATTTTGTTTCAATGGAATAGAATTCCTCTCATCTTCAAATGACCAACCTTCTAATCCAACCATTTGTGTCGTAAAATTAAATATCCTTGGAGTTGGATTCTCCAAAATATATTGAAGTTTAGCTATACCCTTTTCTTCTTCTGGTTCTATTCTGAACAAAAGCCGAGGCTCAGATAATGGTAAGGGTATTTCCCATTCTGGGGTAACAAATGTATTAATTGGGCTTGTCTTTAAATCCCCATGTCTTCTCCAATTAACAATAGCAGAATTCACAACAATCACATTTCGATGACTAAACCCACTCTTACTCTTTGTTGTAAATAACTGACTAAAAATATCTTTCGTTTCTTCTTCTTTCGACGCCAAATCAACCAATACCTCTGCATTCTTAGACAGGATACTAAATTCAATATCCTCAACTATCAATCTTTCACCATACTTATTACTCTCAAACTGATCAATAAGCTCAAGCTTCCCCTGCCATGTCCGAACCGCAATTGGCATACTTCTCTCCGTGGCAGATGTTAATATAAATGGAGACGGCATATCATTCATCCAATCACGATATGCTGGCTTAATCGAATAACGACAATTAAAAGGACTCTTCAAGATCGGAAATGTATAGACCGCAGTGTCATAAACAACAACCTCTCCTTCGCCTTCTTGCTCTTCTTCTTCTTCGTAAACAGCCGTCTGAATATCAATCGTAAGTAAACTATCAGTAGTATCTCTGGCAAACACATATAACACATGCTCATCACCTTCAATGGTCAAGAGATCTAACGGTTCATCATCCTTCAATCCATCCCAATTGACTTGCATATTGTCACTATTCCCCCCTCCTTTCACTTTTGCTATCAATTGAGCTCGTTTATTAAATTGTTTATTCTTATATTCTATCCTTAATGGAATTGCCAATTTTTCTCCAGAAATAAAACAATTAATCTCAGGAGTTATTAAGGTGACACATATATCTGGTCGGACCGGGTATACTCTTATACTATGACTTGGTCCATTTAATCTAACTTGTTTGAATTTCCTTCTACCATCTATATAAAATTTCCCATGATGATAGGAAGAATTAAATGAATTATGCAATTCTATCTTATTTAAACGAATGATATTAGTGTTGGTAATCAAATGGATTGAAATTTGTAACTTGATTGAATCAACTTGAAATAATCCTGATGTGGTGGCATGTTGTGAATGTTGGATTGTTTTAGTTTCATACGTGTCTTGAAATTCTAAATTTATTGAATCAACAAATGTATGTTCCAATTCTTGTCCTTTAATTGAATAAATATCAATTATGGGTTTTCTTGAATCATTGGTGATTGAAACTCCCTTGAATCCAATCTTATTTGATCGGGCATCATTTCTTGTATAATGAACATCCATTTGATTGATTATAACTTTTATATCAATATTACCATCATCATCTTCTGTCCCAAGAATTGATTTCAAAGTTTGCTTGTTCACTAAAGATTTTATACAAACTTGTAAAGTACATTTATCATGAACACTAGTTTCATGTTTAAGTAAATCATTCACCAATAGGATATCAATATCGAATAAATCTGGGAAATTGGGTTCAATTATATCCAATTCAATTTCCTTTTCAGAAAATATATCTTTCGAAATAGAAACAATCCCTCTAGAAGGAGCATATCTACTTTTTTGTGAAATGAGTGATAACCTTAACATAGTAATCAATTCTTGCTTTTTATTCTTACAAGCCGAATAACATTGAACCAACCTCAGTAAGATTAACCAAGATATCTCTGGCCATTCAGATGGGCCAATGATACTATACGCAATTTCATAATATTCACTTGCTTTCAAAATATCTCCATCATTCCCTCTTGCAAAATATTCTTCTCCGAGTAACCAATTAACATACAGTACAAGTGAAGAAATCTCATCACCACCTTCATCAACCAGTCCATGTGCTCCTGGCGGAATCATGGAATGCCCTTTATCTAATTCCTCAAGCGCCGCTTCTAAATTCTTAATCTTTCTTAATCGATCAGATGATTCAATATATCCATATGCTTTTAAATAAATCAAACCCGGATTTGTAATCACATCAAACTCCGGTAATTGAATCCCTCCAAAAAATGCAACCATTGTCCCACGATTCCGATTGTAATGATCTTGCTGTTTCACAATTGTCAGATTTGATAAATCGGATAAAATCGATGCTGGGATTAATTTCATTAATTCAGCCAACCATTCATATTGTGTACATATCCAATTTTTATCTAATCCTATTATTCCTGCGATATTGGTGATATGAGATTTATGTATTTTTAAAGCCCGTAATGGTTCTTCGGCAGATAAATAGCTTCGAACAATATGGAATGTTATCACATCTAATAAGATCCTAAATTGACCAATTGTATTTCTATCATGATCGGAAAGATTGTTGTTATAACAAGTATTTAATATGATACTTAGATTTTGATAGCTGATTTCTAAAAGCCTTGTTGGTTCTTCTAAATTATGAGGATTAATAAATTCAAACATAATTGCTCGTTTAAGGATATTTCTAGTTTCTAAAAATTTAGGAGTTAATTCAATTGATGTATCAACATTATCAATTGAAGTTGGAAATGAATAATATTTCTTATTTCTTTGATCTATTTTACGTTCAATATTGGTATAAAAATTATGAGCTACATTCTTCAAACTTGGTAATAATGAAGATACAAGCATTTCTATATCTCTCTCCAATGTGACTTTTTGGTTTTGTAAATAGATTATCCCAGTACTAGTAGTAGTCAACCCCGTTGCTTGTCGTAATGATTGTAATCTGGTATCTTCGGGTAAATCTTCAGAACAGACAATAACTGTTAAATTTGTCCCCATTGAATTCAACTGTGCGTTTAGATCATTTATAAACCTGACAAATTGGGGTGTATCTTCAACTTCTCCAAGCTCACATATATAAATCAAATTGAAAGGAACAATATTAATATATTTATCAAACCATAAATGGTCCAATATTCCATTGGGGAAAAGTGTGGAATTTTCATTAAATGGAGATAAGATAGAATGAGGTTGTTGAATCTTGGATTGTTTTTCAGGAAAGGATACCTGATCTCCAGTTTCTATTTGAATAATAAATTTATCACTTGAAAGTCTATTTCTAATAATTGAATTGTCCCATACCTTTCCATGAACATTGAATTGATCAAAATGTTTGATTAAGGTTTTTGATAATTCAGTTCCTTTTAATGAAGATTGAAAATGTACCTTGATGAATGGGTCCAATTGTTGTAAATAAAGCTTGTTATAATTCTCCATCTCTTGTTGAATTCCTTCCTTGGAGCTTTCTTTAATTGTCATTTGTAATTGAGTTTGATTTGGTGTTTTTTTCATACACCTGCCTTTTTTTCAGTGATTCGGAAACCAGATTGGGTATTCCGAGATAAAGTGTTATTCCCAATAGAAGATCAAAATTTTGTAGCTTTTTGAGTCAATGGGAAGCCTAATCCAGTTCACGAGCTTCTAGTGGTAGTATAAACATATCAATATGAAGTCGATGCAATCACTAATGGATTCCTAACACTCCCAAAGGAATATCTGGGAAATTTTGTTGTACCATGGTTGACACTCAAACTCTCTAAAACGCCTCTTTGCAAGTCAATATTTATCAGACTGTACTGGATTTAAACTGTAATGGGTTTCTAGGATTAGATATCCAAGTCTTGTATTTCATTTGATGCTGAATCATTTCGCGAACAGGGTGGTTGCGAAACTAATGTGTAAAGCAGAATAACAGTAACGCTTTTCCTAATGACGTTGATCGTAATTTATTCCTTTAAGTTAATTGTGTCAGTGATGGCTTCGGAAAGCCGGGATTGTCCCATTTTATGAATCTTGGTAGGAAGTTCAACTACCATCTACGAGTTACAAGAGTGTAAAGTACTGTTCAAGCGAGCTACCAAATGTATTTCGACCTTGGTGATTTTTTTTGCATGATAAGTTTGACAAATTGCATCTTGAAATAACTTAACAAATTAATAGATACCAAGCAAAGTTAAAAATCATGAGTGATCCTATAAATGCAAATCCTACAGTTATCGATGTTTCAAATTTACCAACACGGTTACAAGTTACTGAAACTAAGAAGGAAAAGAATGAAGAATTAGCATCTAAAATATGTTCATTGGCATTTCTGGATCTGATTGAACAACCTGAAGATTCATTAGAAGAAAGTGAAAACCCAATAGATGAACAAGAAATATTTGATTTAATATCCAGTATATCAGATCCAGAACATCCACTTACATTAGCCCAATTAGCTGTAGTAAACCTATCAGATGTCACCGTGACTAACAATGAACGAGATCAAATTTCTGAAGTACTAATAAAGATCACACCAACTATTACTCATTGTTCATTGGCAACATTGATTGGATTAGGGATTAGAGTTAGATTGGAACGAAGTCTTCCGGCAAGATTTAGAATCAGAATTTTAATTAAAGAAGGTTCCCATCAATCAGAAAATCAAGTCAATAAACAATTAAATGATAAAGAGAGAGTTGCTGCAGCTTGTGAAAACGATCAATTACTAAGCGTAATTCTGCAGATGCTTGCAACATGCAAGTGATAATATGGGCGGAAAGCATTCTAATAAAGGAAGTTCTTTGAGTTTGCGTGGAACAGAGTATTCTGGTCATCCACACATCCTGGGCCTTGACACAGAGGGGGAAGACTACCCCAATGTCAATGGGAGATTTAAGTCCGTGGACATAAGAAGGAGTTGTTTCTCGGACATACATAGCTATCTTCGTAAGTAAGTATAAAAATATACCCATGAAAGTAATTACAAAATCTGTTCTGGTAGTATTTATGACTATCTGAAGTAACTACCTGCTTTACTCTAAACAGATCTCTTACGAGATGTTAACTCTCGTGGTGCTAGCATACAATGTTTTGTTAATAACAATATTTCTCAATTTAAGATTTATTGGAGCGATGCGATTTTTCAGTTTCCTGTGAGATGCCATTCACTTCGAACTAAGAACCCCAACCCCATACATACACTTTCATAATGCCATTAAGTCTAACTATTATCAAGAATCCAGATTCTACAACTATCCAAAAGCACTTCTCAGCCATATCCAAAACATATCCTTATTTTAAAAAGGTACAATATATCACATCATCACCTTCATCACCACCCCCATCACCAAAAGTACGAATTGTTCAACAGACAACGAATAATCTATGGGACCTTCTCCAGACCAAAAAGTTCATACTTGCAATCCCAATTGATCAACTCTCATTACAAACGACAGAATTATTAGAAAGTTTTGAATTTCGGGATGGAAAGATTACAATATTGCTAAATCAAGACAATTTTCAAAAAGTGCCCCCTGGGCCGAATTGGACAATTAAGAAATTGAAGATGGATAAAGTTGGTCATGGAGGTTCATATTATGCGAAATATAGATATAAGATTCTCATAGATTCGATTTCTTCAGAAGTAGAATATGTGATTAAACAATTGTTTTCTGAAGTACAAGTGACTACTACATTGGAATCTGGAGATATTCCTAGTCCAGAGAATGAAGTTATTGAGATTAATAGGGATGAAGACTTGGATGAGTTGGATGAATATGAGAAGTATGAGTATTTGACTGTTATTAGTAGTTTCCAAAGACAGCAAGTCATTCAAGATGAAAATTTGTCACTGTTCAAATTAATCGGAGGTAATAAAGGAACCTGCACCAAGTATACATATAAGGATATTGGTTCTTCTTGGATGGATTCTATTGGAGTTGACTCACATTGGGACATTATCAGCATTTATCCTGATAATTCATCACATATCTTACTTTACAAGAGTACCAATACAATGTACATTTGGAATACAAAATAATAGTAACAAATTCTTTATTAGATTATATAAAACATCCTTTCTTTAATCATCATAGATACATATATATATATACAAGGCATTAACATAAATAGATACACAACATTCATCGTTCTTAAAACTAAACAAATACAAAGACATAGCCATATGTAAGAACAAAAAACCCAAACATAAATCAAATAAACCTTCCACATCATGAAAAGTCTTTAAATAATTCATCAATTGGAAAGTTCTCAAATAAGTCATTAGTATTAATAGCATCAATCTGGGGCATAGGACTAAACCCTACATTATTATTACTCGTTTCAATACCAGGAAAAGCGGGAGTACTCATACTATTATACAAAGGATCAACCAATGTACCATTTGCAATTATCCCTGATCCAACATTTCCTAAATTATTATTACTCATATTAGCAGCTCCAGGATTAGATAATCCATATTTAGATCCTGGATCACCAAATTCATTCTTCATATTCATCATACTTAACCAAATGGAATCAATTTGTTCATTGGGTTTATATTCATTCATATCTACCTCCGAGTTTGATGTAGAAGTACCAAATAACGGAGTGGCAGAATATGGAAATCCGTTACCGTTGGAATTATTATTGTTGTTGATGGTGGCATTGGTAGGTGGTGTAGTAGTAGACGTAGGAGTTCTTTGATATGGATTAACATTCTTAAACTTTGGTTTCTTTTTAGTTTCTTGAACCTTTGCCAACGATCTTTCAATTATAAATTCCAATTCATCCAACATATCAAGACTAAATGACATGGCAGACCCATTTGCAGGTCGATATTGTTGAATGAAATCATCTCTATTAATCACATTACTTAAGAAATTTTGGGCTTTCGTAATTCTCCAAGCATAATAATACCGATGGGATAATTTTGCGATTCCTTCTCTAAATACATCACGACATCTGAGTAATAATTCAGCAATCTTATTCAATTTCTGATACCTAATTCTATATTTATCATCGGTTGGATGACTTGATTTCATTCTTGTAGTATGATCATATCTTGATTGTAATATTGAAATAGTCGATCTTATTCTTAAATAAACTGCAGAAATAACTAATAATGATTTATGAGCCACGGTTTCATATCCTGGAATTACCACCAAATCAGTTGATTCTCTAAATAATAACATATGACTATGACTTACACATTCACAAAAGAATGGCATTGATTCCAATATGACAACAACAAAAATCTTCTTAAGATAATAATATGCCAATTCAGTATTTGCTTTCCGTTCATAATGATTGAAAATATGTAAATAAATAGAAACAATGAAAAAATTACAAGTAAAATAAATCTTCATCCTTAAAGATCTAGGTATCATCAATTGGGTAACATCTTCAGCAACATCAAAATGATTAATGATATCATGAAATCTTTCCATAAAATTTCCTTCCAAATAATTCAATTTCTCTGCCAATTCAGTCATTTTAATCAGTCCTTTTAATTTCAAAATTTTGGTTAATAAATCATATAATCCTTCATAAGAATTTTCAAATTGCGCAAGACATTGACATGTCAATTTTTCCAATTCCACATCAATACAATTTTCATTCCCGGGTTTGTATGCCGGTGGTCGAGTGTCAAAAGAATCTTTATCGATGTTGACTAATGTTCCATTCGCCAATGAATCATTTATATCTGTGATTAATAAATAATACCAAATCTTCCTTCCTAAATTATTAACCTTCTCGTCATTACATGCATCGGGGAACATATCAGGTTCTCGATGTAATCCCAAAGTATAAGCCATCTGAATCAAAATTGCATTAAATACTTGTGCATCACCTCCATTAATTCCATCACCATCTTCAGGTGAGTATTGATGATATAATCTTGTATATAATGCCAATTGCATGATTGTCATATTAATACTCCTCATCAAACTAAATTGATCTAAACAAGATTGAGCTACATCAACTACATCTATATTCACGGGATTATTCAATAAATATTTCAATTGTTGAGCTTTGGGTGAAGGATCAGTTGTTTTTAAATTGGCTTCATTTACTTTTGCTTCATTACTGAAAAGCGATAAATAACTGAACCGAAGTATGAGTAATAAAATTCCCAAATAGGCAAAATCTAATCTTTTCTCAACTTTAACCATGGTCGGTATATCTTGATGATTTTCATAACCAATCAATTTTTGGATTTGTTCCTTAAATATCACTTCATCAAGAAATGGGAAAGCCGCATAAAGATGAGTATAAAATCGTTTGTATAATAACCACACTGCTCTTCTTTTTGGTAAAACAAGTTGAATCTTTTCCACTAATTCCATTTCGGCATCCAAACCACCTTCATAAAACAGGAGTCCAAGACTAAGAGCTTTGGCATTTAGTCTACCTTCTTGCTGCTGAGTTTGTTTTAGTTTCCCATTAGTAGTATTATTATCTTTAACAGCGTCACGATATGGACGGATATCATTATAACCTTCCTCAGCATTTACTTTTTCTGAAAAATCTTTTTCAACTTGGGGAGCATTTGACGTTGGTACCATCATCTTTATTCTATATTGTTCCTTTATTGCACCTAATTGACCCCATAAACTACCCAAAGCAGTGTCCATCTTAGTCAAGGATATCCAGGAGAATGGGCCAAAGTTCCGTCGTCTAATTGGTTCTTTATCATGGGTAGGACAATAACCATCATAAAAGTTGATAGTCTCATTAACTGACTCAACAGGATTATATCCTATTAGTTTATTAACATCTACTGATTGTACACTGGTGAAATTGTTGGTTGCAGTTGTCACCTGTGTAAAGACAGATTCACTAATAATTGGTGGCGCATCAATATTCGAAGTCATTGTGGTACTTGAAGATAACGATGATAGGAGTGGGGGCATTGTAGTTGAAGGTTGTTGTATATTATTCATCATTTGTATTTCGGGACTATTATCACCACTGTGAAGGATTAATGATTCTTCCAAGGTTTTTAATTTCTGTTTAAGTTGTTCCAATTCATCTTGGACTATAGAATTGGGATAACTAGTATTGGTTGAAGAAATTTCCAATTCGTCAATGGGCACTAGTCTGTTTACATTATTAGTTCCCATACTATTAGTACTGTCTGTACTTTCACTTCGAATAGAAAGCTCTTCAGCTATTGCTTCTTCCTCTTGCAGATATTTCCGACTTCTTATAGATGACGCTGATGATGATGCTGATGATACTGAATCAAAATGGACAATATTTTCAGAATAAACACAAGGTTCACCTTTAGCATACTTGGCACAAGTTGAACAAGGGTTACCTAAATCACATTTGACCTTTCTCTTTTTACAAAAATCACAAACTTTAGAAATTCTAAATCTCTTTCTAGCCATATTTAATTTTTTTCTTTTAACTATTCATCCAAGTCTGGAGAATAAAAATAAGAACCTTATAAGGTTTAATAGTTGTACTTTTAGTAGTAGTAGTAGTGGTTGTACTAGTAGTGGTAGTGGCTGGGTAAAAACTAGTTGTAGTTGTCTTAGTATAAAGAAACCAAAGATGCCTTACTCTTATTTAATTAAATTAAATTAAAAATAAAACAGGGTTGTGTGCTTGTCTTTTTATTAATGGAAATGTAACAACCAAAAAAAATAAAATAATTCTTCTAATAAAATAATTATTTTATTATTTAGTTTGATGGAAATGTGACTTTTAATGGAAAGCCCCTAATATAATTGATTTTCTGACCAATAATGTAATACCAATATGTAGTAATAATTATAGTAACCAGCAATTGATGGATCTATAAACCGTCTATTCTGTCTCTTTACTTAAACGTATTTCAAGTATTTCTATAAGCAGCAAATACGTAATCAGTGTGTAGTGGTAGTAAAAGCTTGGTTGTAAAAAAAAATGGCCCAAAAAAAGAAACTAAGACCTCCAAACTTTTTTATAAATTTTTCAGATCCTTTTTTGTTTACACAAAAAGAGAGATTGACTCTTTTTTTTTGTATCAATTGATAGGGAATTGGTTGATTGATTTGATTTGATCGAATGGATTTGGGTTTGATTGATTACTATATATATATAAATATATATTTGTAATAGATAAATGATCAATTGACTTCTTAATAAACACTAAAGAAAGAAAAACAAATGACTATTGTAAAATTAAAGTATAAAAAGTTACTAACGGATAAAATGGATGGCAAAAATAAAATTATAATAATATTTGACTTTCTTTTATATTAATAATAAAAATTATTTGAAAGAAGGTTGTTCTAAAATAACGGTTTTTCTTTTCCTTCCAATAATACTATTGAAGTAGGGATGTTTGAACAATAAAAACGTTTAAGGTTCTGTCTTAACTTTCTTTTCCCACGCAATTGTTACCAACTTTTCTTTTACAATCGAAGGGTATCCTCTTTCCATTGTTTCCTGTAAATTGTAAAAAAAATTGTAACATGTCAGCACGCAAATTACACTAAAAGCAAAAAGTGATTAGATTTCACAAGCTTTCAGTATATTTGAGCAATGAGTGCCTAGAGATTCTCGTAAACAGGGATCATAACAAGGGACAAGAACGCGTGTTGTTTGAATTGCATTATATTAGGACTATCTGCTTTCATGTGCCAATCAAATGTCATACAAGTTCGGTTAAAATATACTACATAATTTTAGTAAAAATGCAAAGAACAATACAGCCCTATTGTTCATCATTGCCACCTTCTTGTTGTTGTTATTTATTATTGTTTTTCAATGGTGGTCACTTGAATTATTAGTCATTAGATTTTAAGAATGCTCGCAGGTTACACTCTCCCCATATATATCACTTATTGTGGGGCTGTGGGCGATGACACATTAGCTTAAACGTTCCTTCCATGAGGGTACAGCCTTACGTCATGCGGAGAGATATGTAACTGATCGCTACTTTCGCTAGCGGAATTAAGATTATCACCGATAGATACGTGTTTTGGATTTTTTATTTTTTTTTACAACATTGAAATAAAGGGGTTACGTTACGATGGTGGCAAAAAAGCGCAATTTTAATAGAATAAGATTATAAACTTTTTTTGTATGGAATTATATAAATAGAAACAGTTAAATGGAATATTATAATTATAAAATCTCATACGAGGTAAACAATATATATGCATGCAAGTCTTTGTTTTACTCCTTTTTAGGCCATTTATTGTTTTCTATTTGTGCCTTTTGGAGCCTTGCCATCCAAAATAGGGTCTTTCCCTAGATCCAAAAAAGAAAACAAGAATAATGACTCATTATTTGGATGTATTATTATTAATTCTTTAAGTTGCTCCTCATCTCTGAGATCATCATCATCCATCTCTGCCTCCTCATTTCGTCGTATCTTTATCACATTCAAAATCTAGATAATGAAAACGCCGTACAGAACTTTCTTTTTCTGATTTAGATAGAATGTTCTTTTCTTTCCCCCTAAAAGCCAAATCTTTCCGAGTTTTTCTCAAAGAATCAACAATTTATTTTTTTTTGGCCCAAGAATTTTCCCACTAACAAATATTATTTTTTTTGCAGCCACCTTTGTTAACCGCTTACGTAATCGGCTTTCTTCAATAATAAAATTTTAGACAAGAACTACAATCCCAATTATATGGGAAGGAACTATGTTTTTGAAGAACCTATGAAAGGACATGTCCATCAAGAATAGAATGACATGCTAATGGGCTTTCATGGTAATGGGCTTTCCAGCTACGCTTAAAAATTCTATCCCTGTAGGACCAATTTAAACCTTAAGGTCAATAAAGGGGAGATGTATGTATCTTTGATCAAGTATGATTTTGGCAAACGTTTGGTTTTGTTACAAATAAGACAAACGTACCACAACTGATAGATCACCAATCCATACCCCGTTGTAGCAGCAAAGTGTGACGAGTGAAAATGGGTACTTCCAATTTTGTAAGAAATAAAAGCTGTTTACTGAATGATTTTCAACACTGGCAACTGATCAGCAAGAAAGAGTCTGTGGATAATTTGATAGGCAGCTAATCAAGCGTTTGGCGAATGACACTTCCTTGACCCCCCCCTCCAATCAAAAACAATCAAAGTTCGCTGTCCCATTGAGGCAACTATAACTCCATTTGAATTTCTTGGACCAGGTATTAAAAATCCATACTTAGATATAGATTCAAAAAACTCAAAGGTAGAGTATTGCGATCTCCATTCTCAACTGCCAAGTATGCTAATACTACACACAGATCATCTATCCAACAACAATCCAGACAGGCTATACTATAGTAGGCGGTCAATTGCAATGGACAAAATAATCGAAATCTACTTACAAAACCACCATCTAGGCTAGATTTAACTTTGAATGTTAGTGTAAATAACCATTATGGATATAATATGTGAATGAAGCTATTATAATCTCTAGATAAAATGATTATAGGTTTTGAAGAGATGTGAAGGGTACTCTTTTCAAAACATTTATATTTCCATTGGCTTTATAATTTCTGTGAGAAAAAGATAAATTGCAGCCAAATTATTTGAAATTTTTGTTAAGAAACAGTCCAAGTAGAAATTGGGGCAGAATATGTGGTTACTAAAATATTCACTATGTTTGATGGGTGTTTCCATAGATTCAATTATACCAGTTTCGATTCAAACGATACAAGAACCAATTTTCCTCTGTATTTGGTCATGATTCTATGTTTCAAAAAACAGTCAGTTGTTACTAATCTTCAAACAGTCCTAAATTGTCTTAAGAACTGCAAGCTAATGTAAAAAATTTCTCTACAATAATGAGCATTCATCACCATCTGATACTGGGAACATGGTTTGTAAGCCTTGACACAAAGCATCAATATTCCAATGGCGTGTCTGTCTTGCTTTAGATTCATACAGTAAGTTTTTCAGTTTTTCAGGTATCCATTTGGAATATTCGCACGACCTGTTGAAATGCTCATTTTTTTCTATTGATCATAGGTACACGACTCAACAATTCCTTATCAATTTAAATCTCTCCACGATTTACAATTCAATTCATATCATCCCATAGTTACTGATTTGTAAATTAAAGAAAACCAACTAAGAATGATATCCAATGAATTTGTACTAGAGCTCATTATAAAGACATTACAAGACTTAAACTATGGAGATATTTCTGATCAATTATTAACTACTATAAGACAACAACAACAGCAGCAACAGCAATCTGCAACCACCGTAACAGCTTCTACCCCTGAATATTCACAAATTATCGATTGGTTCTTTACTGGATTAAAATCAGGTGATTATGATTCATTAAATAAATATCTTACATCTATAATTAATAATGAACATTCAGAATCAGATGAATTTATTGCTTTATTAAATTATCAAGGATCAAATGTTAAATCATTGCTAGTTTTGATATTATATCTTATTAGAAGAATTCAATTCTTAGATACAATATTCAATACAACTACAACTACCACCACCCCTGGGAATATTCCTTCAATCGATGATAAATTACAATTCTTATCTACTAGCCTAATTCCATTATTGGATGAAATATCAATCGATGCCGAATTTAGTCACTGTTTTGATTATCAAATATTACAACAATTGAATAGACAACAAGAATCAAGTTTATTATTAGGATTAGTACAAGATAAACCAATCTTAAATTCAAAGTATCTATTTGGTTATAAACTTGATGAAGATGATACTGTAGGTAAAAATAATTTAGGAATGTTTCCACAATTATTATTTAAAGATTTATTTGTCATGAATCAACAACTGATTTTCAATCAAGTTTCTAGAATTCCTAAAAATTATTTACATACTTTAATTGAACAAGCTATAAAATATCAACAATCACAATTTCCTAATTATTTACCTCCAAGAACATTACAAGAAAAGAGAAAAATCAATCAACATGAAGTTCTTTCATTACCATTAGATGTAGAAAATTTCCAAGGAACTAGATTTTCCAATAATGGACAATTACTACATACATTAAATCAACATACTAATGAAGTTTGGTTTGTTAAATTTTCTCCCAGTGGAAGATTTTTGGTTTCAGGTTCATTAGATGGTAAATTAATCTTATATGATGTATTAGACAATTTCAAATTAATTAAAATCTTAGAACCTACAACAGCAGCCGATAATTCTGCATTCATCCCCCTTTCAACAAGACCAAATAGTAATGGCAAGAAAAAAGCCGTCATTTATTGTTGTTGGGATCCAAATGAACAATATATCGTAAGTTGTTGTTTAGATACCGTGGTAAGAATCTGGTCAGTGGCAGGAATTCATCATAACAAAAAGAGAATAACTAGAAGTACTAGTGTTGGTTCTGGTAGTGCGATAGATCCTATGTCTGATAATGCATTTAAATTAATTGTTTGTTTTACTTTGGGTCAAGATATAAAAACCTGGACTTGTGAATTCTTACCTGAAATTAAACCAACTGGGAAAATCGAATCTAATGAATCTCCTCAATTCATAATTGGATCTCCTGATAAAGTTTTGAAAGCATATAATTGTGAAGGAGTTGAATTATTTGATTTTTATGGAAATATAGAAGATGAGGATGAAGATGAGGATGATGAAGATGAAGATGGGATGATGTTACAACATGAAGATTCTATGAAAGAGGATTCACTGTTGCTGCTTCAACAGCAAGCTGCCAAAAAGGATGATGATGTAACCATGCAACCTGTCGATGAAGCAACCGATAGTAGTAGTCAACATAATAATAACAATGTTGCCAACACGTCCAATTCAATCAAGAAAACTCTTGAAAGTAATTTCAATAGGATTAATGATTTAACCATCACTCCGGATGGGAAAATGTTGATAACGGCTAATAATGATAAACAATTACATTTTTATAAAATTCCTGATGTTTTAAATGAAGATTCTACAACTAGAAGAATCGCCAGTATAAATCTAAAGGGAAGACTTACATCTTGTTCAATTTCCAAAAATGGGAAATATTTATTGTTATCTAGTGCACCTGAAGAATTACAAGTTTGGAATATTTCAATTATGCCACCGGTATTATATCATAAATATATCGGACATTCACAATCTACATATATTGTGAGATCATCATTTGGATATTTAAATGAAGAGACTGAAGAAGAAGAGTTGGTGTTGAGTGGGAGTGATGATGGATATGTTTATTTCTGGAAATTGCATTCAGGTGCATTGATTTCCAGAATTAAGGCTCATAATGGATTATGTAATTGTGTTGATTGGAATTCTAATGGTGGGTTTGTTGGTGGGAAAGATTTTGGGAAATTATGGGCTAGTGCAGGTGATGATAAATTAGTGAAAGTTTGGGGAGTCTAAAGAGATATATGTCCATATAGTTATAATGTACGTAAGAATTCTATGTTTTTTAGATTATTGCTTTTATGGTTAATAGGTTAAGAGGAAGAATTTTCAGATGATATGGTTCAGACACTTCAAGTCTCCGAGTGTGAAAAGTTTGTATGACGACAAGACTTGAAGAGACATTATTGCTTTGAAACATTCAATTTAAATTTTATGTATATTAATAGTCTATAAAAAATGTTAGAATCTGATTTTTGACTTTAATCCACTTCCTTTATATAACAATTGTACATCGAATTGATCTAATGTTACATTAAGTACAGCCATAACCTCAACATTCAATTCTCCATTTATTGCTTTTCTTAAAATATCCATCCCAATTGAATTTATCTTAATTCCCAATTTTGGTGTCTTATAAATTCCTGGAGGAACAACAAGACATTCTCTTTGTAATAAATATCCCAATATTTGATCTTGATGTTTTGCTTCTGCTTGAAATACTTCAATTTGTAGTTCTGAATTTGAAATTGGGTTATATACCGTTAATTCAACTTCGGAGGTGAATAAATGTATCGTTGCCTCTAATATGAATGGACATGAGTTTGTTGTAATCTCATTCTTGGAGTCCAGGTTGACTTCTTCTTCTGGATATGACAAGTCAACATTTGGTAATGTTATATTAGGGAAAGAAAGTTCTTGAATAAATTCATTCAATCCATGATTATTCTTAACCTTATTATCAACAATATCAATAATCAAACTAGAATTATCACCACCTGAAACATAAGAACTCAAGAAATATTCTAATTTTGATTTGTCCTTATAAGATTTGGAATAAATCACACTTTCAACGGAGACATTAACCTTTTCTTGTTTTGGTATATAAACGTCCTTTAAGGTTGCATGACCTAATAATGTATCATTATATTGCACACCAATGGTTATTTCTTCATTCGGCAAGTCCAAGGTGAAATTAGTTGGATTGAACACGGATACGTCTGCTAAAATTCTAAGTTCATGTTCGGTAGATTCAAGCAAGTAAATGGAATTGATAGTAGTGTTCAATTGATCAAGTAATTTCTCAAATGATGAAGAATCATAAGCGGAAGGTGATACCATTTTGGGCATTAATTGAAATGGTTGAAACTTCAAATTACTAATCTTGGTGTTCATAATTGGGGTTTCAACATATAAATCCTGAACTTCCAAGACTAAGTATAGTAATTCATTATCTAAAATATTATTATGAATTAAGGAATTGAATAATTTCCCCAATCTTGAAGGATTCAATACATCAATTTCAAGATTGTCCATTGTTAATGCAAGATTGAGAAATCCTAAAATTTCAGTAATATTAACATGATTATATCCCGAAGTTGAACCACCTTTAATCAAAACATCACTAATTTCATTCTCTTGAATTGTAAAATTAGATTTAAATCTCGGAACTGAAAATTCAACCCCTACGGGATTTTCAATCCACATTGAAAGATTTGTATTTAAATTTGTAATAAATGAATCTCTTTCAGAATGTTGTTCATCATTCACAAAAATATCCGAAGATGAAATTTCCACTCCCGTGAGAGGAGATGCATACATTGGAGGTAATTTAATTGAAATCTTTTGATTCATCTCAGTTAAGAAATCAAGTAACCATTCCGGAAGTGAATTACTATTTTGGTCTTTACTTGCTCTTAAGTATATTTCAATTGGTAATTCATTTAAATAATTTTGAATCAATCGATTAAATGGACTTAGACCATCACCGGGGCATTCTTTTAATAATTCTTGAGGTACAGATGCAATAGATCCATTTACATTAACCGAAATTGGAACTTGTGGTCGAATTAAAGTAGGTCCACTTGTCCAATCACCAACTTCGATCAACCCTTGGTCACAATTTTCTAATAATAAATTCCAATTCATACTATCCAACGATAAATCAACAGCGTAATCGGTCATTATCTTTATAAATGCTTCAATTTCAATTGATCCTTCTATTGTTGAAACACTTAGTGTTTCTAGGTTTACTTCTGGTAACATAATGTCCTTGGATACTCTTACAAATTGATGAATTTCAACGTCGGATACATTAACACTTATGAAATGAGATCTCATATTAGCAGTAACAATTCCCTTAACATCCATATCCACATCTCCTGATTGAATCTGGTTGTAATATTTTAATATTTCCAAGAAATTGGAATCGGCAAAAGTGCATTCTGAAATGAAATCAAACAGAGTGGTCTGATTATGACCAATTAAAACTTCTAATGGAGGAGGTAATGAATCCACCATATGTAAAAATGGACTATCTACATCTATAAACCTAGTATAAATTTCCATTGGTTCAATATTGGTTATAATTAAAGTTCCTAACATCAGAGAACCAAATTTCAAGAAATTCCGTTGAAAGAACTTATCAACTTTATCATAATTAACATTCACTGATCCCATAATATGAGCATTTAATCCAAATGGTGTAAGTCCAGATATGCCCACTGTTTCTAGGTTCACTTCCACTGCTCTATTGACAGCTTTGTCTATATCGGTTATCGTGAGATATATGACAACACCAAAAATACTCATTAAAAACACCATAAGAATCAATATCCCAATCTTTCTTGCATCAAAAAAATGTATGAATCTCTTGAAATACCCATGAGCGTGATTGTTGCTCGAAGGGTTGTTATGAACTAATAATGGAGTGTGTTCGGAGATATTTTCATTTATTTCCACATTGGCGGAAAGCAAGTTGGTGTCATTCAATATAGGTGTACTTAAATATGAAGGAGATAATAAATCCTCTATCTCACTACGTGATTCGGAGTCGGTTGCGTGTGTTAATACTAGGCGGGGTGAATCTGCTCTCGCCACATTGCAAGCTAAGTCATCTGATTGTAACTTGTGCATAACGGGATTAGGATGGTCGTTGGTATCTCTGTCAGAGTCAGATGTACTCTTATATGGCCCATTTGGTATTGGAGTTTGCATTATGTATCAGTATTTGTTCGTAGTAAATTAAGGGGTTGTGGGGTTGGACACAGAAAGTCGGGGGGTGGGGAGGGAGTTACTTATAAGGTTTGTTACCCCAGGATGTTTTGGAAAATCTCTTTGGTATATAAGGAGCCAACTTATTTAGCCAAGGCTTAATGTAAATTGTTGAAATGAAATAATAGCAAAATATGTAATAGCAGTTCAAAGTGTGTGGTGATATTAAAACTTTGTAACCAAAAAATGATAAGAAAAGTGATGAGTATCTATTTTTTCTTTTGTCTGTCGGTGAATCTACTATATCCTATTGTCTCTCTCTCTCTATTATGCCAAGATTTCTCTCCCCCTCCATTCGATAGCATATATTTATTGTACCATACAACATAGAGCCTTTGATATCTCCAAGTTGTTGCTCATTGTGTAGACTTACTAAGAAGAAGCATTGATACAATTTAACTTGATCGTGACAGTCGTTTTGCAACAATAGCATTTGATCATAATGTATACGTTCATTTCCAGTCTTGGCATTATCTCTAAAGAACAAACCAGCTAGAAGGTCATACATTAGTAGATGTAACTCAATTGATTGTCAAAGAGCATACTTCTTCTTCTTCTTCGCAATAATCAAGTATCAAACCCCTTTTTGGTTGTAAAAATCCAAAGGTTAAAAAAAGAGAAGAATCTCTTGAGCCAAAAGAAAAGAAAAAAAAAAAGAATAATTAATTAAATTTTGAATAAATTTAACGCGTCTTTTGTCTTTAAGTCTATTTTTGATTTTCAAAATAGACTTGGGGATTTCTCTTATTTTGTTTGAACAAAAACCATTCCATAAACACATATATACTCAGAAGTGGGAAATGTCCAGTAGTAATAATTACTATGACCTAGATGATATACTAACAGATGCTGAAAAGATTCCATGTCGTTTTAATATTACAGTACCAGGATTAGGTTATTTAGAAGGTAATCCAGGTAAACCAATTCAAAAAGATACAAAAGTAGAATTACCATTATGGTTAGCTGAAATATTAGCAATTTTAAATATTCTGGAAGAAAGTTCAGAAAACTTTATTGATTTATCCGATCCTGATTTTATTAATGTCAAAGTTATAAGTGCCATGAAAACAAGTCCAATATCAGTTGATTTACATAAATTATTACCAAATTATTATTCAATGGTTGAAAAATGGTGTTTAATGTTTAATGATACAATATTAATTGAAAATGTCATGAATATGTTAAAAGAACGAGCATTTGAAATTAATAATTTTGCTAATAATGCTAATAAACAAATTAGTAATGAATTTATGTATACCCTTGATGAATTTGAAAAGAAATTATTTAAGAAAACTTTAGAAAGTAATAAATTAATGAGAAAATGGTTAAAAGAATAAAACTTGTATAATATATTATAAATATATATATAGATAGAAATTGATACAAAATACTACTAATAATGTTACTTTGATTTTTTAATAAAACATCCCTCAATCTTCATCTTCATCATCTTCATCCGCACCATTGGCCTTACCATTGGATTCATCTTGTTTATCTTCTTCTTCCTCGTCGTTTTCTCCAAAAAGATCATCATCATCCAAATCATCATCACTATCATTGATAAATTCGTTAGACAACACCTTCTTCTTTTTCTTCGGAGAAGTTGTCTTGGATTCATTATCATTCTCCACATCTGATTCTCCACTTGAACGAGCCGATTCCTCTTCACTATCATCTACTATACCCTTCTTAGCTCTCTTCTTTTTCTTCTTCTTTGGGCCTCCCTTTGTTGGAGCAGTAGCCTTTCTCTTTTTATCTTTCTTACTCTTAGATTCTTCATTAAACAAATCATCATCCTCTTCATCTCCACCTTCATCCACAATATTCGATCTTTGTTCTTCTGCCCATTGTTGTGCTTGTTCTTGTAATGCAGCTCTTTCTTGAGCCAACAACTTTTCCTTTTCAGCAAGGGCTGCCAATTTTGCTTCTTCTTCTTTTAATTTCGCCTCTTCTTCTTCCTTCATTACTTGTTTTGCAATTTCCAATTTATGTTCAACTTCAGCAAGACTTTCTCTAGTTTCTTGAAGGGCGGTGGTTAATCTATTCAATAAAGTGTTTGTTCCTAAATTAGCTCTAGATTTTAATTCTTCCTTTGGATATGGTGGATGTTTTTCCTCATCAGAAGATAATTCATTCAAAATCTCAATTGCATCTTTTAATCCATTAATTGCATTTTCAATATCTTCTACATTTCGTTGAGAAATTGATTGTTTAGTAATAAATTCAGCAATTTGGAAATTAACATAGGCAATATTGAATCTAATTGAAGCTTTGGAACCTCCTTTAACTGAATCCAATGCTAATCTAGTATATTCCAATGCTCGTTTATAAAATCCTAAATTCTTTTCTGAATGAGCTCTTAAATACCATGCTCTTCCTAAAAATGATAAAATCTTAGAATCTTTACCATCAGTAAATCTACCTAAAGCCAATTCATAATTTTCAATACCTTTACCAAATTGTTTTAATTCACATAAAACATGACCTAAATTCAAATAAACCGATATATCATTTAATGAATCTCTAATTTTCCTCAAAATATCTAACCCCTTATTTGGTTCTTTATTTTCAATATAAGAAATAGCTAACCCTTGAGCAGCATATACATTCTTAGAATCTAATGATAATACTTTTGTAAATAATTCAATTCCTCTCATATAATATTTCTGTTGTTTCTTTTTTTGATCATCATTACTTCCTTTAGTATCTCTAGCCATAATACAATAAATATTAGCCAATGAAATCAATGCATAACAATCATGAGAATCATATTCAACCAAAGTATCTTTTTGATGTTTTGTATCAGCATCAGCTTGTAATCCTAATCGTTTACCGAAATTCTTTGCAAACCATCCATAAAATGACCTGATTTCTAAATCGGATGCATTTGAATTCAATAATTCTTCAATTTCGGTCTTAATTTCTTCCTTGGTCATACCACGATCTGAAATACAATTCAAAAATAAGATTCTTAATTTGGCGGAGAAATAATGAGGACATTCTTGTAATAAAGTTTCATAAATTTCTAAAGCTTCGGAAACATTGGAAATTTCTTTTGATCTAGCTAAATTGAAATTTAATGAAACTTTCAAATCTTGTGGTAAATCAATTAATAAATCACCATCATCGGATTTAAATTCATTTGATTCAACTTTATCAAGAGCAGTTTGGAAATTTTTGGATGATTCATCATAATTTTGTTTCATGAAATTAAATACTCCAATATTATTATAAATTTCCAAAGGAACATCTTTCCCTATATGTTTTCTTGATTCAATTGCCTTATTCAAATAATTTAATGATTGATTTATATCAGTGGATTCATATAATTTACTCAAAACCAAATATGCATTTAATGTAACTGGTTCTTTATTCAACATAAACTCGATATCATCTTTATTAGAAGAAGCCAATCCTCTATTATTGGATAATCTAATATATCTTTCCAAAATCTGAATGGCCATATCTTGTTTTCTTTTTGATTTTTGTTTGGAATATAATAATCCTAAAGAATAATTAACTTCAAGACATTTTACATTACTTCTTAAAATTGATTCAAAGGTCATAATTGCTTCTTCAATTGAACCACGATTATATTGAGATTGTCCTAATCCTAATTTAGCCACAATATTTGTATCCTTAAGTTTAATTGCTTCTTGGAAATATTTAGATGCTTGAGTGAAATCATTATTGGCAAATTGGATTCTACCAAACCAAGTTGCACATTGAGATAATACATTAGATTCATATTTTGAAACTCGATTAAAACTATTGAATTTAATTAAACTTTCATATCCAGTTATATTCTTAACAACTTTTTTAATTAATTTTTCAACCAATTCATAATCCCCTTTTGAAAAATAATATGATGCCAATGGTAATAATATAATAGAATCATTTGGATTAGATTTATTTAATTTGGATAATTCAGTTAGACATAATTTATAATTATCTAAGAATTCTTCATCAGTTAATGAATTATTAAAAGTTTGATGAAATTTAGCTAAATTTAAGAAAATTTTTGCTTTTAAATTATGGTCATCTAATTCTAAACTTCTTTCCCAAGATTGAAATGCCATTCTATCATCTTTTAAAAACCAAAAACATAATCCAATTCCTAATCTTGGATCTGGTTTCATCATAGGATTCAAAATTAAAACTTGTTGATATAATTTCAATGCAAGTGAATAATTCTTGGTTTTATTTAAAATTGCTTGAGCTTTTCCTAATAATGCAAAACAATTATTTTGATCAATTCTTAAAATACGATCAAATATATCCAATGCATCATCATCTCTTCCTTGATATAAGAATAATACTGCTTGAGATAAGATATTTGAAGTACTATTAGCAGCATTGGTTGTATTATCAGTCTTTATCTTTTGCAGTAAATTATTAATTTCACTCAGGACTTGAATCAAATTAGTTTCTTTATCAATTCCTAAAGAAATATATTTAAAATAAAGCCAAATTTGAAAAGATTGGAATGATTTCTTATCTTCATCATTAAATTGTGATAATCCATTGGTAGCATTGATGATTTCCATAGCTTCATTTAATTTATTTAAACGAGCATATGCACTAGCAACACTTATCCAATATTGACAAGCACATTTTTCACCTTGTAAGAATCCAATCAATTCATTTGGATCATCGGGTAATTCATCAATTAAATTGATACTAACAATTTGTCCATTATTTAAAGGAACATCAAGATTTCCCAATGTTTCAGCAGATTGGACTCCAATATAATAAGAGACATCAATAGGATCTTCCATTTTTCTTTCTCTTTTTTCTATAAGTTGGATGATGATGATGATGATTACTCAATCTATAAAGTTACCCTTTTTCTAATTAACTTTCTCTACTTACAGTATCTTTGCAACAGACCAACAAAGGATGAAAGATTTTTTTTTCGTTCTCTCTGATGCTACTGTTGTTGGTGTTGGAAAAGAGATTTGATGGAGTAACTACAGATTTGGTTTTATATACAGGATTATTCATTTCATTCTCTATAACAAACTATACAAACACTATAAAAGCAAATATAAATAAATAGATAACCGTAGCATACTCTCAATGAGATGACTTTCTAAAAGATAGCACTAACCAAGTTGATTTAGTTTAATAACTCTTCTTGCAACAAGAGCTTTGGTTTCCTGGAGTAGTTAAAGAACCGATTGAATATTGATTCTCCGAGCTACAACAAGTCCCAGCGACTGATGTTTCTGGACGCCATGATGTATCCATGGCATTCGGCTGGTTACTATTCTTATAAACATGATTTTCAAATTGGATATTAGTGGTCCCATATTGTAGCTGTTCTAGCTGGGTATTCGTCGTCGCCTTATTACTACAACATGAACCATTTCCCTTCCCAGTATTAACTGTCGGATACGGATTTCTATCACCGGGTTCAGATTTCAATAACAGAATCAATAAAGGATCCACCTCAAATTCAAAATCATTATTCGATATTCTAATTGGTTTTCCATTAGTTGAATTCATCATTTCAGGGAATAATATATAATCAGATATAGCAGCAAGGAAAATTTCTTGTTCATTTCGTGGTTTTGATTGAAAATATTCATCTAATTTATATCCATTGATATTTCCATGTATTTCACAATTCGTACAATCACATCCATCGGATGGACATGAACATATACTTCCAGGTGGAGAATCAATTATTAGAGGTTCCATTGGGCTCAAATTCGGTATTTCTTGTTTTGTTGGCTGTACTGATTGTTGATGCGGTTGTTGTAGCTGAGATGTGATTGAAGGATATGTATGGTTATTGTCAAGGATATTGTTGTCAAATAAGGGAGGTTGATTTTGAGTGATTGAAAGTTGATTGGTAGTATCATTTATATCATTCAAATTCTGTAAATAATTTAAATCTTGTATAAAACTAGGAATTGATGAATTGTTACCATTTCCATGAACTATACATCCATCACATTTACAATTATCATCACAAGAACAAGTACCTGGAATTGAACAAGATGGAACTGGAACAACAGCAACGAATTCTTTCTTATTGGAATTGAGACTCGATGATATCCCTGTTAGTTTCATATCCTGGTTTGATTTCCTATTTTCAGATTCTAACACGCTATTTGGTTCTTGTTTTATTTGTTTTTCAAGTCGTTTCTTTAAATAAGTCTTTAAAATCTTTGATTTATTAACTGGTTTCCTCTTATTTGAACAACATCCACATGATTTAGCAGGTTTCAGAATCCCACAACATGTGGAAGTATTTATAAAACTATCATCATTGATCACGGGTGGTGGTGGAGGTTTTGTAGTTATATTAGCTTGTGATTTAGATTCATCATAAGGACCAACAATTTGTCCATTTCTTAAATCAATCACTTGTTTTGGTGATGCTTTTAGTATAATTACAGCTTGTTGTTTCTTACATTTTCCTATTGGTACTTCTATATCATCTGATTTTTCATTATTATTATTATTGGCAATTTCTTCAGCAAATACTGCTATTCTATGGTTTGGGTTCCCATTGGCATAAACATTAGGTCGACCTTTGGATCTTACTTGTAATAATGGGCGCATGTGATGGCGACACTGTGATGATCTATGACCCCGGATACATTCCATACATGCATGTTTCACATCGTCTATATATATCATGGTAGGGATTATTAGTTTAGTTTCTTAGTGTTTATTAGATAATTGTATAGTCTTTCAGGTTTATTTGTCTTTCTGTATATGTTTGGGTTTGTCTTCTTGTGTTATGCGGCTGAATAGCTATTACTTAACTGGGCGGTATAAAGAGAGAGATGATGTCTAAGAAATTAAATACTTTGATGGTTCCCCTTATTAAAAAAGAGAATGAAAAGTTTAAAATTAAAATTAAATTTTTTTTAGTGAGCAAATTAATTTAACCTTAATTAGGAAAAACAATAGAAAGATAAGTTTAACTACTGTTTTGATGGTCAAGGTGATGATCGTATATTGAAATGACGTATATTAGTTCAAGCCACTGATACTGATTATTTATATTTTTAGAAATTTTAACCAATGAATCATCTTTAAAAAGAAATAAACCGTATAGAGAGAATGACTCTCAGCCGTTCGTCACGACGAATGGAAAAGGAGCGACAAAAAAAATCAATGACATCATCTGGGGACTACTTGTGATAAACTTGTCATAATATTTTGTTCATGATCTCTTATATAACTAAAGCAATCTTTTTACTTGAATTAAAGTTGAAACGGGAATCTATACATCTTCATTGCATCTTTCATTTGAAAATCTTCCGTCTACCCACCAAAAAATGGTTAATATCTCGTAAACATCAAGCATCATCTCACTGAAAACCTCAACCGAAAAATAAAATTTTCATTTAGATGATCCATCCATCACTAACCATCCATCCATCCCATTCTATATCAATTATAAACCATGCCAATCAAACATATCCAAGATCAAGACCAAGAGATACAAACTGACCCCAACTTTATCCCCGATTCTCAAATCAACTATGAAGACGCTATCTCCTATTGGTCCTCAGTTCCAGCATCAGTAAATGGAGTTCTTGGTGGATTTGGTGAACAAACATCAGTACCTAAAGCCGACATAATCGGCTCGTCTACATTTTTAAGAAAACTTCAAACCAGAATGACATGTCCTCCAGAATATCCTAAATTAACGATTGATATGGGTGCTGGAATAGGTAGGATTACAAGGGATTTATTATGGAAAGTAAGTGATAGAGTTGATTTATTAGAACCAGTGAAACCATTCGTACAACAAATGGAAAATGAATTAATTGGGGTGAGACAAAGGGGGAAATTGGGGGATATTTATGATATAGGGATGCAAGAATGGTATCCTGATATAAATAAGAAATATTGGTTGATTTGGTGTCAATGGTGTGTTGGACAATTACCTGATGGGGAATTGATTGAATTTTGGAAAAGATGTAGAGAAGCTTTGATTGGAAATGGAATTGGAACTTTAATTGTTAAGGAAAATATTGCTCCCGTGGAAGATATATTTGATGAAACTGATAGTTCGGTGACTAGAACTGATGCTAAATTTAGACAATTGTTTATTGAAGCGGGATTTAAATTAATTGCTAGTGATGTACAAAAGGGTTTACCTAAAGAATTATATCCTGTTAGAATGTATTGTTTAAAACCACAATAAAACCGAGATGGGAGTGTTACGGTGAGTAGAATTTATAGAAGTATGTACGAAGGAGGACATTTTAATTAAATAAATAATCAGGTTTCATAAGTAAACCTATAAAAAAGGTATAAATATATATACACATAAGAAAGTAAAAAGTTAACTTTTTGTAATAAACAAATAATGAAATAAATAAGTTAATGTTATTGTTGTCTACTTCTTTTTTCAACGCACGGCATTGATTACACAACTCTTTGTTTGGTTGGTTCAAAAGGAAGGAACAAAGCAACTACCCCAATTACACCCATAAATGCCCCACAAATCCAAATAGGAACCAGGCTTGAAGTATTAGAATAGTATGCAATAATTGGTACAACAAGGGTAGTAATTCTTGTGGATACAATACAAACGGCATTCCCAGTAGCTCTTGCTGCTGATGGCATAACTTCTGGAGTATAAGCATACATCACCCCATAATAAATATATAAACAACAATAAGTCGCTGAAGTGAAACCAACATTTCCTGCACGATTGGTTACTGTAGTATATCCAAAAAGCATGGCCATTGTACTTAAACCACCAATACAAAGAACACCTCTTCTTCCTAATCGAGGAACATAATAAATTAATAACCCAGCAATCATTGGACCTGCTATTGAAACCACATTGGCAATGACATAATCACGATATACACCACTAGTGGTAGCTGCTGTAAGAGCATCTGGGTTACCGTTAGCAATTTTTTCAAGTTTAGCTTGTAAATAATATGGTAAAAATGATGAATATAATGGATAAGCAATACCTAAACAAAGCCAAGAAAAGATTAATAAAATCGTTGATCTAATTGCCTTGGGAGTTGAAAATAAGATTTTTAAATGTCTCCAAACCAACATAGCAGTTCCATCTAAATTATAATGATTACGGAAATCTTCATTACATTCAATTGTACCACAAGCTGTCAATTGTTCCACGGTAAGGGAACATTTACGATTATATTTCGTGGCAATATCTTGTAAGACATTCACGGCATCTTCATCACGATTATTAGCTAATAAGAATTTAGGAGTTTCTTTCAATCTTATCACGGTAACTCTTAACACGGCCATACATAAAACTATTGCTCCATTTACATACCATTGATATCTCCAACCTTTATTTAAATGACTTGGACAACTATCCCAACTTGCATCACATGAATTATTCGGTAAAAATGCATAAGCTAAACCCACCGCAACTGTTTGACCAATCCCCCAAAATAATGCGAAAAATGTTAATAACCATTGATCTTTATGAGGTAAATATTCTAAAAATACACAAGTATCTAAAACCAAATTCCCACCAGCAGCACTTGCACTTAAAAATACAAACATACAATAACTAGCCATTGAATTCATTGCTCCTGCCATAATTGCAAAAATTGCACTTAATAATAATGATAAATTAAATGCCAATCTTCTCCCAATTAAATCAGCACCAAATCCCCAGAAAACACCACCAGTAATCATACCTGCAGCATATGCAATTGCACTCACGGGGAAATCATAACCAAATTGAAGATTAATAAACATACGAACACTACTTTCTAAATATGTTAATTGACAATCAGTCCAATATCCCATCCCATTTAAAAAAAATAATTTTAAATGATAAGGAGTAAAACCAATTTCATCAATTGCATCATTAACTAATTTCATTTTATCATGTAATATCATATCATTAGCTTCTAAATCAACCATATCTATATCTTCAGTAGTGGTTGCATATTCTTCATCTTTGACATCTTCAATACTTGTTTGTTTTGTAACTTCGGCATTGTGATAAGGGGCCTCGAGATCAGGTTGGACCCCAGTCGTGGTTGCTACTTTTTCATTCGACATTTTTTTAGAATCGACTTGAAGAAGTTTATTAGTTAAATTGAATTAAAGTGAAAAAATTGAAAAAAAAAAATTCTTCGAGAAAATAATTATTTTAATTAGGTGGGAAATAATAACCTGTTTATATAATGAAGTATGCTTAATCAAGATTAGAGATAAAAATGCTCTTATCCACACATCCGAGGGAGGTTTGGAAAAAAAAAAACCTATAAATACATCTGTGGAACATTAAGTTTAACCAAATGGCTTGGGAAAATATATATAACACAAAACCTTATTAAATTAACAACTTTTGATGTCAAAACTAACCAATTGGAATATCGAATTAATAACCCATAGTATTTGATAACCTTTTATTTTTTACCAGTTATTATTACATCCATGGGAATAATATATTTCACATTATCGTTTATTCTATTTTGACTTCTTAATTCGCACATTCTCTTACGATTGTAAAAGTTATTCCAAATGGCATATATGACACTTGACAAGTCTATTGTTTAGGAATTTTTTTGAGTTTTTTTGGTTCCTGTTTTTCTATTTAAATTCTTAGCATTCTCTTAACTTCTAAAATGTTAAATGTGTTAAATTAATTTAAAATTAAACAAAAAAAAAAAAACTTTAAAAAATAATTTTTTACAATTTCTCTGTCAAATCCGTTTTTGTTAAAACAATGAGAACAATAAGATATCAAATACCCGTTTTATTTGTATTATACCAATTATTATGGGGAACAGAGAATTTCACATGATATTACATTCGGTTGTTCTAATGACGCAATTATACATTTCAATATAGATTCACTCAACAAAAAAAGGATCTCATATTTTCCATCCAATCATTTTATTCTTTAGGAGTTTTTTGTTTATCAAATGTCACACACTCGTATTCTTCAAAAAGAAAGAATAACTTTTTAAAAAATAAAAAAAATTATAAACCCTCTTACGTCATACCCTAAATAGCCATAGCTTACAGTAGTATGATCATTATTCAAATTTCAAATTACTACTACTACTACTACACTCCTGTTTGACTCCGATTAATTCAATATCTTCTCCGAAAAAATTAAATAGTAAAAGTTGGGAACTTCTTCAAAAAGAGAAATCGCTAAGCCTAATGATCGCCGGATAGCTTTCCAGGCTGGTTGTCTATCGGAGCTTTAACCCGACAACAGAAAATTATTTAAATTAATCGGTTGATATTTTGATTGTTTACCCCATAAATTATAATTCCATTTCCATAAAGCCAACTAGTAATTTTGTATTGATATATGCAACCATCAACTCCGAACTCCGAAAGAAACAATCGATGAGCTGAAATTTTCCTTCCCGCCTCTCCCCTTCTTATAAAAACTTCCCCAACAATGACGGCTAAACATTTTTTTTTTTTCTACAGAAAGCTTAATTAATTAGCGAGATAGAGAGACGGGAGATCTGACTAATTCATTTCAAAGAAACACTTTAGTGAATCTAAAAAGAATTCAAACTAAATTCCATGATATTTCTCTCCCCTCGAACCAAATTGGAAATGTAAAATTCACAACTCAACCAATCAGACCGAAAATCTGAAGACACCATTATGCTGAGCGGACATTCCTCGATCATAACCAAGGTTGTGGGCAATGGTAAGACGTAAGTTTCATAAAAATGCCGTAGGTTACAAACTAGATTTCTCTCAAGGCGAAGGATCATATGGACGGATAAGTTTTATAGAGAAATAAGCCACAATTGATCTGCTGCGTTTTTTGAATATCCATGGATGCAAATCATGTTATTTATTAAGACTATGAACATAAGCGACCGCCCTTCAAACAATTATTAACCAAATTATTGGTATGATTGTGTCTCTCTTCAATCAATATTACCCGCGGAAATCTATACCCGTCGCTGAAAGAGTTCGGTATTTACATATTTGCATTTCCGTCTCCAAGTTTTTGAAATAAAACAGCAGGTTGTGAAACGATATTACTGTGCTATCAAAAACTGGTATAAGAATATTTTCTAGAGCTCTCTGGACTGATTGAATTACAAGTGCGTGTAACTCCATTCCGATGGGGGACTTCTAAACTCAAGCAAAGACAAATCATGCCACACCCATGCATTCCTCCTTTAACTTTTGTTACAGATCTCAAGACACAGATCCAGTTTAGCTGTGGATCCCTGTAATTAGACTAGTCGAAGAAATGATGATTCTGAAATTAACCACGGTAGAATTCTCCCCAATTTATACCTAAAAAAGGAGATTGGGTAGATTTTTCAAATATGAAAGAGATCCAAAAGACTGGATAGAGAATTGGGTGCTTGGTTACTAAAGAATCAATGAAGCCAATCGACTAGTTGGTCTAAAGGTAATACTATTGCATAAACACAAGGGAAGCATCAGGTGGTTTAACCCATTATTGATTGAATAGTTACAGAATAATCAAATTTTTGCAGCCTTTTGAAAAAAACTTTTGCAGCTTTTCTTCAGACAATTTTAGTCAAAATATTTTACAATTTAAATAGGAAAAACCAATAACAGAATAATTGTGCTTAGTATATTCTTCCAATCTATATATTATCCAAATCAAAACTTTCTCCAATACTTCTAGTGTGCTTAAAAGAGAATGTTGGATAACTTGTTCGATTTTACGGAAACGTGATATTCATGCCATTATCACGTGCCAGAAAATCCTGCCGAATTGAAGATTAAATGGAATGATATTTCAATAGGGGCCAGTAATATAATGAGGGCGTGCTGTTTCTAACATATCGCATTGTCACGTCCTCAAGAAATGGTGATTCGACATAGTAGTACCAATAAGTTATCTCAAATTCCAACTCCCCTTTGAATTTTTGAAGTTGGAATACTAACGTGTGCGCTAGACTTCTTCCTAGAAACTTCGACCTATCTTTGGAGGGTAAAACCTAGGGATACTTCGAGAAAAATCCCAGCCAGGAGAGGGATGAATTTCCGTGAATAATTTCTGGGCACTTTTCTTGGAAAGTTAAAAAGCGGAAAAGTACAACTATAATCGACAAGATTGGAATTCCGTCCAAAATCAAGAGATACTCCATTGAATGTATCAAATTTAAAGGAGTACTAAGAAACCGTCCAAACAACACAAATTTCTCATGGAGAGATAAATCCGTATACTAAAACCTTTTGATGTAGAAACTGGATTAACTACTTGCCAAGAATCTCACCAGAATCATTTTCCGCATGAATTTGTGTGGGGGGACTTCATTTTTTATCCTCAGTATTACTAATAGAAATATGAGTGAGGTGCGAGAGTGGAGACATAGGGATAATTGATTATCCGATGTTTGAGTTTATTTCTACAATTTATCAATCTCTAAATGGGAGCCCCGGATTGGTGGAATATTCGGGCGGTAAAACTTATTGGAACGTTTTTTAAACTTTAGTAATATGTTTACAGATGATTAATAATTAAAATCAAGAGAATTAACCAACATGAATGGTTAGTTCCAAAGTGTCAAGACTTTGTGATATTACGCTTTTTCTTGTAACGACAAGAATGTTTATTCATCTTACGTAATTTACGTAATTTGCGTAATTTGCTGACAAAAAAAAAATTTCAATTTTTCCACAATTTTCTAAGAATCTGATCTGAATTTGACTAAACAGTTATTAAGCTTTTTGACAAGAAAACTTTATGTATGAATAAGAAAATTAGTAATCAATAATTCTCCAACTCAACAAAGTTGGCTCATATCCAACAGATCAGATCAGGATAAGAATATAAATATGACCCCATAGTCCTCTTCTCTTATTTCGTCTTAACTCTATCTCTCATCAATATCAATAATCATTGATTTAATCCATACACAGCTACAAATAACACTCTCAATCATGTCAAAAGTTTCAATTGCAATCCTCGGTCTTTCAGGCTCATTAGGTAAACCAACCATCGAAGCCATCAATTCTGGTAAATTCGATGACAAGATCCAATTCCCCGTCAAGGCATTCTCAAGACAAGACAGAGAATCAACTGATCGTATTAAATACATTAAATCTGAACTTACTGAAGACACCGTTGATTCAATCTCGCAAGAATTGGCCGGGGTTGATGTTATTATTGAATATCTTAATCCAAACCCTGCTTTATTAACTATTGTTGAAAAAGTTCTTGAAAAAGTTAAACCAAAATTATTTATTCCTTCACAATTTGGAATTGATATTTTGCTTGCTAGACAATATATTCCTGATATTTTACATATGAAATATGATCATAGTGAAAATGTAAGAGCTATTGGTGGGATTAAGGTGGTTGATATTGTTACTAATTGGTTTGCTGAAGATGGATTATATTTATATGAATTTGTTCCTCATATTGGAATTGATAAGGAGACTAATACCTATTTACAAATTGGTGATTTAGATACCACTTTCCCATTTACTAGGGTTGAAGATATTGGATATATCGCGATTGCAACTGCAACTACACCAGTTGAGAAACTTCCTGATCAAATTAGGGTTAAATCGGGTGATGTTTCTTTTAGGGAAGTTATTGAAAGATATGAAAAGAATCATAATGTTAAGTTAGAAGTTGGGACTAAACTTACTCCAGAAGAAGCTATGAAACAATTGAAAGAAAAACATGAAAAGACTGGTTTCAATTGGGGTGATTTCTTTTTCTATCTTCAAACTCTTGCTGTTGCTGTTGGATTGAGTTATGATTCTAAAGATAATGAATTGATCAATCCTGATGAATCCATTTGGAAATGGGGTGTTTTCTAAAGGAGTCGTCCTACATATAGTATCTTTATATAGTTATTTCTATAATATCAAACAGTTTATCATATTTATCATTTAAATAATTTTTTCTAAACATAATATATAAAGGTTCCTATAAAAAGTAACAAGTAAAAGTAAGAATAAAAACGTCCCAATTGTATAATATAATATATTTTATAATCTCTCTCTTTTTCTTTCATGTGTATCATCTGTATATATAAATCTCATCTAAAAAGTCCAGTTTGTAGTTGTAGTTGTTGGCATTTGTATCATATAATGTGTAAAAAATCAAACAAAAATATTGTGTGTATGTGTGTCCATATCTATAAAACCAATCAAAATAATAATTAAGTAATAATAAAAACATCTCTCTAATGATTAATTGAATCAACTAATGATTTTAAAACAAAAGCTTCACCTGAATTATTATTCAATCCAACATCATCTTCATCTTTTTCATTTCCATTTCTAGTAGTATGATCTTGAGATCTTAATCTTGAAGGTAATTGGAAATCAGGTGCAAATAATTGTTGTTGTGGAATAGTTTGAAGTGGTTGTTGTAACTGTTGTTGTGGTGCTTGTCCTCCACCAAATGAATATTGTGGCATTGATTGTCTTGAATCAATGGAAAATCTTCTAGGTGCCATATTCTCTTGTCTAAACGATACAGGAACCTGTTGCTGTTGTTGCATCTGTTGCATTTGTTGTGGAGGTGGCATATACGATTGTTGTTGAAAGGTGGGTGGAGGTTGATAGCTCAATCTTCTTTCGAACCTGAATGGCGGCTGTTGTTGTTGTTGTTGAATAGGAGGAGGGCCAGCATTCATCAATTGTGGTTGTTGAGTTTGAATTGGTTGCTGCTGTTGCTGTTGTTGCTGTTGTTGTGGTTGGGTAAATGGATTTGTAAATGCATTTCCAGATAATGGACTAACTGATTTCCTGGAAATATTATAAGGTAATCCAATAACTGCACACATCCAAATTCTAGTTTTATAAATTCTAAATAATTCCCTCACCAAGTCTCTAAAATCAATACGTTTTGAGGTTGAATAATAAAAAATCAACTTCTTACGATCAAATTGATATTCAGCATCAATTAATTTCATTTGTAATAAGTCTTGAGTAGTTGTACTTGGAGTGGCAGAATTTAACAATTGATTACTAGTTGCATTAGCAATCTTTGCCAAACATAATCTACAAGCCTTTTCTTCATCTTGTTTCTTATTCAAAATTTGAATAATTTCATTTGGTTGAGCTAATGAAATAATTGATTTTGGGAAATGTAATGTGGGAGGAGCAACATTATTATTACCACCAGTTTGTTCAGACATATTCTTCACGGATAAATCATCCAAAATATTCTCATGTTCATTCAAAGCAGCTTGCTGTTCTTGAAATTGTAACAACTTCAATAATCTAGCTTCATCAATTGAAATATTCATCTTGAAAACTTTTCCCAAATCCCGACCTCGATCAGCTTCAACAATAACCAAATCACCAACTTTTAAATTCATCAATTCTAAAGGTGTAGGACTAGTAGGTAAATAAAACACATCAATTCTACCGGCTTTAAATCCAACTAAAATCAATTGATAATTACGTAATGAGGATTCAATGGGGAATTTGGGTAATTGATAAGCATCACCAAGATATTTTTCTTCATCAAAAAATCGTTCATTCAATAATTGTAATGTAACTTTAACTCGTTCATGAGGATCAGTTTCAAAATAATCATCAACTAATTGTAATGTGCTTTCGTTAGTGGTGACACCACTGCCAGTAGTGTATCCGTCAGTAAATGAATGCCTACGAACTGGATCAAATAATTGGGTAGGTGATACATTAGGATATTCATTTTCTTCAAATGTAGCAGTAGTCCCGGCACTACTAGTATTCATACCTGGAGGTGGCGGTGAATATCCAGCAATCAGAGAGGAACGATTACTAGTTGTCAAACCTGCAGTATAATTTTCCGTTCCTTGTTGGGGCTGTTGCTGTTGTGGTGAAGTAGTCAGGGTTGACCAAATATTCAGTGATGAAGGCAATCCCCCGGTATTCGAGGATGCTGATGACGACCAAATACTTGGATCGATTGATGAATGTCTTCTATGTGCTGCATTTGAATAATTCCAAATACTTGCAGATGCCATTGGTTTTGATGTTCCACTACCACTGGCCATGCGCATAAAATTGGTGGAGGATTGCGGAAATTGTTGAGATTGGGAAGTTGTTGTTGTATAGTCAGCAAACAGAGACAGTGAAGATGATGGTGGTGAGGATTGAAGTATTGGTCTTTGCGGTTGTTGTCTATCGGGTGTATTATTCTTATTGAATTCGTTTAACGTCATCATCGTTGGTATATATATTTTTGCACTATATGCGTTGTATTAAGATCTGGTGCGTTTTTTTCTTATAATGATATATTTTCTAGCAATTGAAAAAAAAGAATGATTGATTTTCTTGGAACAGGGGTTCTGATTTGTCTATGATGAGTGAGTATAGGGGGAGGTTGATAGGTAGTTGTATAGTTGTTTTTATAAGTCTATTCTCTAAAAAGGGGGGGGATCTCTCTGTCTTTCTAATAAATAAATAAAGATACAACTTATTCTTTTTTTGTTTGGTGGAATGGAGGGGAGATGGGGACTGTAGGGGTATTTAAATAATTTAGTTAATTAGCTTTTTTTTCTTCGGAAAGGGTCTTGTGGAAATGGTTATGAGTTGCTGTCTTAATACAATCTCTTCATTCAAATATTCTTTAATGAACTTTAGATACTTCTTCTTTTGCAAAAATAACTAAACAAATAAAATGACTAAGTGGTAGTTGTTAATGTATAAATAAAAATTGTAATTTAAGTGAGTGTCTCTAACAAAATGGAAATTATAAGTGGTATGATTTTCTCTTTAGTTTTTTTTTAGTGTAATTAAGTAAACTATAATTAAATGTTCCACGGATTAACCAAGAAAAAAATTGTAATTTTAAGGAAAAATAAAAATGTAAAAATGGAATATAAATTTATTGGGAAAGAGGAAAGGAAAGAGGAAAAGAATTTGAAATGAAAAAGGAGACAAATGAAGAATTGTGGATTTATTATATATTATATACCTTACATTGTTAAATAATATTCATTAGTAAACATTGTTTTGTTAAAAGTAATTTAATTTGGAAGTCAAACTTCATAAAAAAATAAATTTTGTGTGAGTTTCTGTAAAATGGTTTTCCGGAGTTTCTATAAATTAAATTTGCTATTGAGAGAAATGTATTTATTTTATGAAAAATAACACTAAATTTTCTTTTTCAATTACAGGGTTCATATGACCATTCAGTTAGCTTACTAATGACTAGTGTTGTTTCAACTTCATCATGTACTAAAAATTCATAAGTGACTCAAAAATGGAAAAAAAAGTGGAGTGGAACAATAAGATTTTTAACACATTTCACAAAAATATTATTTGGCTTTTTTCACAGCCAAAAATTCGATTGTTCTATTTTGCAAAAGAATGGCAGAAAAAAGAACTCCAGAACTCTTTGCTTGGACAAAACCCCATTCAACAAGTACACCAAAGCCGTCCGTTTGTTTGTCAAACTTCTCGTTAAAGTATAACGATATTAGATCACCGAAGCAACACCCCCCTACACCCTTCTGTAACTCATACGATGCTTAACATTTATTATTATCTACAAACTTGAGCTCCTCCTCGAGCGCATGACCGTTAGTTGTAAGAAAAATAAAATTGTTTGCTATGCCCCAAGTTTCATGACCTAAAGGGAATAATTTTTTCTCTCACTCTATCTGCGAATATATTATTATCGATGGCTCAAGAATCATCCAATAATAGCAGGCTTTATATATTTTATAAGGCGCTTTTTACAAAAACAGCACTCGCCCTTTATCTCTCTACTCACAGAGGGGAAGGAAAAAAGTTTTAGTTCCAAAAAATGACAGGTTTTTGAATGAATAGCCCGCAAGCGTCGACGTACAGTTGGTTATAATTTATAAATATCATTCCCCAAACAAACGAAAACGTTTGCATTTACGTAAAACTTACCCAAGCCTAGACCTACATGTTTTGTAAGAATACTATTTTATTCTTGCATCTATTTTATTTATATTTACTGTGACATCATGCAACGTAGCACTTTTTTTTGGTAGGTGAGGCATTCGTCTGTAAGATTGTTGTTGGCAATCTGACTAAAAGAATTTAATGTATAATGCCTGAATTAGCCCCGGAAATACGCCAAAAAACTTTAATTTCGGATAAACTTTAATTTTGCCAATTTCCACCAATAACCGTTCTAAAAAACTTCTTTCTAACATGTTGGTAAGGAGTATATTACCCTTATAAAAAATTATCATGTAGGGTGGTTTCGCCTTCTAGACTTATCCGCAAACACCTCCTCCCCCACTATTGTGGGGGGATTCCCATTTGGATTGGATGGAGATTAATATTTTTTGATTGAAAAAAGAAAAAAGTTAGAGTTTTTGAAGTGTGTTAAAAAATGACTTATATACCTCGGGAGTCATTCCGAATATGTAGTATCCCGCCAAACAATACATCCACATATCCAATATGATGTTTTTGTGTAGAATGTATATTTATATGACCCAAATACGAAATACACGCTTTTAGAAGCAAGTGACTTATAAGAGGTTTAAAAGCTGTCAGAAGCTCCTCCCATATTGAAACCTTCAATACATTTAGTATACGCCAGCCCCTCTTTTGTCTTGTGCGCTGAAAATTCTGTAAATTTCTGAGCTAGATCTTGCTACAAATAATCAAGAAGTTTCCTTTTGAGCTCCTGCTATAGTATATTTTGAAGCTATCGTTAGCATCACTCTAACCGATGTGACTATAGGGACAATAAAATGGAAGATACCCATTTGATGCTCATCTGATAAAGGCACAATTAATCTAGGAATACCTGTTCCACCCATTCTTTCATAGATATGCTAGTTCATCTAATCTCTGAACTCTATAAACATTTCCGAGCAACATTTTTTACAATTTGCTACTCTTTTTGTTCTCTTTCTATTCCTGGGTTCCAGTATTCTGTGTCGGATTTACAAGTATCTATTCCCTACTAAGCAAGGACAACTTCGTGACATGGCCCAATCCGTAAGCTGAAGGAAATATTGGCAATGCCGAGACGTCCAGCTACTAACCTAACGAACAAGCTTAATAAACAACAAGCCAAGGTCACTATCAGAGACCGCCTTCTAGTTGCTAAGGACTCAACAGCTTATCATAGCATGGTCATAACATCCCCCGTCATTTGCTCTAATTATTTCTTATTAATGGTCCTTTTCATTCTTAGTAAGGACTGAACTCTACAATGAAAACTGGAGATCTGATTCCCATTTTGTATCAGTTTCAGCGCATTTGGAACTACTACATTGGGCATATTGTCTTATTGTTATAATAGCTGCATACTGACAACTAAATAAACAGAGAATCAATAATCATCAGTTTGAATAGATGTATCATTCCATTTCACCAGTATTCCCCATAAGATAACATATTTTTATTATTGGTGGTGTAGTCATTTTGTGGAATGAAAACCACTTCTCATCTTATCAGGGTAATTAATTCCCCGTTTCATCTGGTTTCCTAATTGGGTGGTGGTTGCTTTGATATCCATTTATGGAAAGGCTGCAAAAAAGATTTTTCTCAATTTTGATCAACAAGAAAAAACAAATCCAAATTACAGTAGATGAAGCTATAACTACAAAAGATATATATAAATATAAACAAAAACTAGATACTTCTATATTACTACTACTAAGAATAATAAATATATAGTATAAGCATATAATAATACTAATAACAAATTTAAAACAAAAAAAAGTTCAAGAACATAAACAAGTACAAAAAAATATAAAATTCAATGTGAGATTAAATAAATCAAAAACCCCAGGGTCCGATTTATCAAAGAGCTTCTCTCTCCACCCATCCAAATCTCCCTCCCATCTCTATCATTGAAGAATTTACAGGAATTTCTTAATATACAAAGTTTCAAATAGAATTACAAATAAACCAAAACAATCATCTCTTCCTCTCACACCAAAACACAAAAATACAAATGTCACCCACTACTCTCTCTTTATTGATATTGTTGTTGATTTGGCATATTGCTATTTTGCATATTTGAAAAATATTGTTGATACACTTGTGAACTATCCCCATAATTACCAGGTGGCATACCTGCCATCCCTGGTTGTGGCTGTTGTTGTTGTTGTCCTGGAGGATATGGCATACCATGACCTATATGAGCACCTGGAGGTAATTGTTGTGCATGAGCTTGTACCTGTTGTTGTTGTTGAACATGATGGGCTTGAGCGGCAGCAGCGGCAGCAGCTGCTTGTTGTTGTTGTTGAGCTTGTTGGATATTATTTGGAGGAGCTGGCGATTGATCAGGAGAATCGGCAGAATTATTACCATCACTTTGATCACCTTGATCATCACCAAGTCCTTCTTCTGGGGCATTTAAACATGCTTGAATTAAATTTTTCCCTTCAGATTTCGTAACTAATGGTTGTAATTTTGGGGTTGTAAAAGTATAAACTAATCCAGTTTCAGAAACAACTAATAATAAAACTTGAGTACCTGTTAATACTGATAATTCATAAGCTTTTTTCATGATTCCTGCTTTTCTTTTTGAAAAAGTAATATGACGTCTTGATTTATCTTGAATAAATTTAATTTCAATTTTTCTTCTTTCTTTTTGAGTTTTACCACTTGATGGTCCATCATCATCATCATCATCATCTGGTCCAACAGAACCAGCACCGGCAGAATTAGGTCCTTGGTTTAATCCATTGGCTCCTGCTTGTTCATATTGTTGATCTTCTAATTTTGGATCAGATGCACTTGACATTCTAGGGAAAGTCATGGTTAGTAAACTGTTGCCGTCCTGATTAAGAAAGATATTTATCCGAGTTTTTTTATCTACTTAGGCTTCTGGAAAAAATTGACTATCACCTGCTTGGCGTGGTTTATTATTTAGTCAAGATACACTCCCCTTTTCTTTATAAACCTGCTTATAGGGAAACTCTAAAGGGTCAACGGGTTGTTTGTTTGTTTTGTTTGTTATGAAAGTTGTCGAAAATTCTTACTGTTAACTTCCGTTTTTCAAATCTTCCAAAAGGTTCAAATACTCGAATTAATCTTTTAGATTAAAATACTTACTTTTCGTGTTATATATAGATTTAAGGTAATACAAAGTTCAGTGATAATCCCACTACTTTATTTGATTGTTTATTAAACAGACCAAGAGAGAGAGAGAGAAAAAGGTAGGAGCCAAAAAAAAAAAAAAAAAATCCAAAAGAGGAAATTAAAGCGTTCGGTCAACAATTTCCTAAATTGGGGGAGGAACAGGAGGATGAACGGACTACTACAAGGACACACCTTGAAGAAAATTTTTTTTTTCTATGGTTTAAATTTCAAATCTTACGGATGGCCATATACGATTATTTTAATTTTATATGACTTTTAAAACATTAACTTATAAACTGACCCAATTGAAGCATTTCAGAATATATGATCCAACGTCGAGTTCTAGAAGGTTTTGGAAATGATGCTGGTTGGCGATGTTGAAAGTAAAAAATGTTTGAAAAGTAAAAAATTCGCTGTCTCCTCCCCTTTTTTTAACTTTTATTTTTTCAACTCTCTTTCAATTTGTAAAACAAAAAAAATGCGTGATCAATTTTGGGTAAGTGCGGCGGGAAATATGAAATTTACTTAATCAGACTGAAATTTACTCACACCAGGAATTTAAGATGCGTTTTTGAATAAATATTGCAAGTTTAAGAGAAGGGACATTTTATTGTAGGGGTCCCTCTCTCTATTCGTCAGTCTAACGCGACAGGATAAGTTGATCGATGTTGACATTACAAAGGATCTCTACATTGAATGAAAAATTCGTGTCTATTATTAAATCTAAAGTAAGACTAATTGACAACTGATAGAAAATATTTACGAGCCTCTCTGTCAAATTTCAACTTTATTGAAAAGTTTCGTTTTTGATTCTTACATATTACATTTACTAATATACACAAATAACATAAAAAGAGAGAATGTAGCCTAGTGGGGTCTATTTTGATTCATCCTTGACATCTTCCTTAGATTCCTCATGTCCATCATCTTTTGTTTCCTCTTTTATCCCATTCTCATTTCTATCAACCACCTTCACTTCATCTTTAATATCAGGAGTCGCGGCTTTACTTTCTTGAGAAATCAATTCTTCCGCAGTATTTTCTCGAACTTCAATATCCAATTTCTTTAATATCTTATCAATTCGTTGTTTTACTTGTCCAAACTCACCACTACCTTTCCGTTTTGTTAAAATCAATGCACGTAATATCTTACTCTTGCTAATCACACTCTTTGGAAGTGAATTCAATAATGCATCCAATAATTTCAATTGAGTAAGTACATCCAGCTCATCAACCCCTTCATCATCATCAGATAATAATAATAACAACGGAATCAATTTTTGTTCAATTTGTTGGAATTTATGCGATAATTTTTCAAGATTGGTTTGTATTGTAATTGAATCAGGTAATTCATTAAAGAATTCAATTTGTTCTCGTTTAGAATCAAAGATATAATTACCGGATTTCGAATCATATTCAACTAATTCTAATCCCCAATCATCATCATATTCTGATAATAATTTCTTTTCTTCTTGTTTCTTTCTGTCTGCTTCGATTTTTTTAGGATCAACAACTGGGGTTTGCTTTGGTTTTGGACCTGGTTTAGCCTTTCCCTTTGGCTTTGGACCTGGCTTAGCCTTGTCCTTTGGCTTTGGACCTGCTTTTCCCTTTTCCTTTGGTTTTGGACCCGGTTTCTTTCTCTTCTTAGGTGTTTCATCAACCTCTACTTCTTCTTCTTCTTCCTCTTCTTCCACTGGTTCTGGTTCTGGTTCAGGGGTGGGTGGAGCTGCTCTTGAACCATATTGAATAAACAATTCCATATCGGGTGGATCATTCGCTAATTCATATGCTTTTTGTAATAAATTATCTCTTCTTCTTTTTTTATTACTATCGGTGAAAAAATTCTGAATTGCATCTTTGGTTAATAATTTTATATCATGAGAGTTTATCCAAATATAGGTATCATCACTGAAAAACCGTACTGGTAGGATATGTGCTGGAATTGTTGATTTTTTCTTTGGTGATGATGGGGTTGTCAGGGATGATGATGATTTGGTTTTTGGTTTTTTGGAAAGGATATGATCGGGTAATTTGGATTCTTCAAGTACCATTGCTGGCCAAGCGGGATATCCTTTTACTTTAGCTAGGACAACTGTTGTTGGAGGGAATTGATCATCTGACATTTTCGTTGTTTATCAATCGATGATGATGATGTGAATGATAAAGATAATTTGTTGTTTGAAAATAATGAAAAATTTCGGAGATGTTTTTTTTTCGTTCTCCTTTGACACGCGAAATACAATAAACATGAAATTTATTGACTCAACCAAAAACATTATCCCAAACATGAATGATTCCAGTTCCACCAGATGCAATAACTCTATTTTCAACAGGATCAAATTTCATACCATTTAAGTAATTGGTACTTATTTGATTCTGATCTACTACCGCTTTCAATGTTGTTCTCTTCCTGACTTGAGTTCTATCTTTATTTACCGAATAAAATTGAATCTCACCAATATTTGTACTATTTATAATACAATTTCTTTCGGGAATCATTTGTAAATCAAAAGTATGAGTTAATCTCCTTACGGGTTCATTAATATTATAACTACATGAAGTTAAACCCGATCTATTATTAAATAATCTCACTTGTCCATATAAATCAAACAGTAATGTTAAATCATTAGGATATTGATGTATTTTCAAGATTGGATAATTTGAAACTTGATCACATATAACTTCTGAATTTCTTAAATCCATAGTATATATTCTTCCATCTTCACCAGAACAACAAATATTATATCCATGATATCCAATACTATATAACAGTCTCTCACCTAATGCTATTGAAGTAAATGGTCCATTAGTGCCATGGACTACATTCATTCTTATATCAAACATATTCATCGTATGATTGTTCCCACAAGTAACCAACATATTCTTATTCAAGATTTTGGCATCAATAACAAAATTAGTTCGATTATGAGTCGGGTCATTAGGGGTATTATCCAAGATTCGTACTGGGGTGGTTTTGGCTAAATCGAATATCTCAATCTTGTCATCCATACTACCAATACACATATCTGATGAATCTACTATTGAATAATTTTTATTTTGGGGGGCTTCTCGAACGATAATTGAGGTGGATGCATCTTCGGTGAGGGAATGTAATCTGATGGTGGAATCTCGGCCTCCGGCTGTTAAGATGAAGTTACTGTTTTCGATTATGGAGAAGGAGGAGATATAGGTGTTTTCATGGGCTTGAAATTGTCTATATTTAATATCTTGCATTGACATTTGATGTAATTAATTGATGGAAACAATTTGGTGGGAGTGTAAAAATCTATTAATGAATAAAGTAGTAATAGCTAGTGTTGGATTTGAAAATAGTTATTATGCGTGTTTGTTTAAAGTGAATGCCTTGTTAACTGATGATGGGTTGGCACACATTTGATTTATTATGCGAATGAAAAATCTAAGGTTTTTTTTTTTCCTTCTATTCTTCTTCTTCTTGATTTGGTTCAAAGGACAATATTGTGGGAACCTTTTGTGGTAGACAATATACAACCACATCCATTTACCTACGACTCACCTCATATCACCATATGGATTGATTCATATAAGAGTCAAATCATGACGGTATTTTGACAAAGAATTGTAATGGAACATTTTTCAGTATGAAAAATAATAAACGTATGGCGTGTAATTCTAAACAAATCCAATGATACATGTAGTTCTTAGAGTCTCAGAAATCATAAGCGGCCGAGAGATTAGGTATAAAAAGTGGCCTTATAATTACTATCGGGTAAGCATAAGGTAGTAGAAATATAGAGAAAATATATATGTGAGAGAGACCATCGACATCCATGCATGGAAATCCCGTCTAATTCTGCGATCGACTATTCTACTCTTCGATTGACACACAAAACCAAGCAAAAGTCATACCTACTTCTATTTCATTGACACATAAAACAAGCAAAGTACTGTCTAGACGATGGTGTATGGATATGTCCAAACTGTAAACTGCCATCTCCTGCAGAATCTATAGATTCGGCTATGTGGGTTAATGCTAGTCATTGCAACCTTCATATATTCTATTAATTAATGGATTATGAAATTTTGCAATTGAGTATGATTATTAGGAACGATGAAAATTGAAAGAGTTTCTCTTTTGACTTATAATTGAACCAAAAATTCACTAAAATTTTCTAGGAGGCACTGGATGTATGTGCTTCGTTGCCCATGGCCTTTCTAATGTGATGGCTTTGGTTTGAATGACCCAATCATGTTGGATTGAATTGTTGCATGTCGTATAAGCTTCACGAATCTTTGTCGTCTAAATTAAGACGGCTAGTTAATCTCTATTGGTCAATGATTGCGAATCTTGTTCCTGTGATCTTTTAAGCCCACTTTTGCATATTTGTTAAGCGAGAATCCCACTAAATGACGACAGATCACAAAAAGTGTTGAAAAATAAAAAAGTCAATGGTTGTTGCAACTTGTAACTATCAACATACAATTGCAATCGACGTATCAATTGAGTCTAAATCCCGAGGGATTTCATAAAATTGATCCGGCTCCGGTAGTGATAGAAATCTCAAGAGGTCAATTGAAGAAACTACGCTTGACACAAAACAAAATATAAATTATAGAGAACAATAAGACCAGAATTTCATGTTTATATGTTGGTTCCCCACTTCAGCGACTCAATCATTCATAGCCACAAATCAATGTAGTCATGTCTACTACTAGGACACAATGACTTCTTGATAAAAGGCTAATGTCAATACGGAAGATAAGCACCGTGATTCAATTGAGATCAATTGAAAGTAAATGTTGGACTGACTCGGTATCAGGAACAACAACAGAGAAGGATACAAATTGTGTGTGTGTGTGTGTCATATTAATTTAATATAGGACTTATTGTTTGCATGCAAGTAAATCATGCAATTGGATTGACCAAATTTGATGGCAAATTTTTCAGTTCATTTGGGTTTCAGTGGTTTCATATTTCTCTAATCTCATCATTTATTATTTTTATTTTTTTTCTTCTCTTCCATATTTGTCCGAGAACTGAGTCATACCACTTCATTCTTTCTGCCCCTCCTTTTTGATCTTTAGTTTTAAAAAAACTAATCAATCAAGAATTCCCCACTTCACCACGACAACTACACAATTATTATGAGATTTATAAAGATCGCTTAAGCATGCAAAACTTAGATCTGAATTACAGGTTTTGTCCCTTTTTTTTTTGAAACCACATAACCTGTAGAACCCAGGACGCAGCATAAAAGACAATAGAATGGAAATATGGTAGTGCATAAAAAATAAAATATTTTAATCAACACAAAAACATAAACCACGATACCGAAAACTCCTTGATGGGGATCCCACTCCCCCCTTGTAAAAAGATAACAAGATAAACCTAAGAAGTTTGAGTTGTTATTTTGTCAGTACTTGTCAACTGAGATGTACCTAGCCACAATTAATACACATGTTCTGATGAAAATATTTTTTTCTTTAAACTTAATAATGTTTTGTATTTTCTTGACTTAGATTTAATCCATCACCAAACTAATCACGGCCATGTCTGTCTCTTTTTTTCAGTAGTATTCTTATGAATTTTCCATTTTATGCATTTCACCCCCTTAGAAGTTTTTAGAGAATGATTATTTTTTAAATCCATTAATTATTATTATTACATTAAAAAAATTGTTTCGCAAAATCCCATTCATTAAAAAATAATTTAATTTAAATTACAACATCTAATTCTTCCCACCACCTCCGTGTTTCTAATTCAATTGAACATAAATTATATATAAAAGGTATAAAAGGATTGCATGATTTTTTTCTAATTTTCAATTTTTCCAATTTTCTTCTTTTCTCTTTTTCTTTCTTCTTTTTCTTTCTTCTTTCTCTTATTACAATCACACTATCTAATTGACCTACCAACCTTTCTACCCCCCCCTTTTTATAGAACCTTTTAGAGCAACCAACAGTAACAATGGGTGATTATTTAACTCCATCAACTTTACCACAACCAAAATTAAAAAGAACCAATACTGGTTTTACTCCTAATCAAATTATTGCATTAGATGCAACAATTCCTGAATCAGCTAAACATATTTGGTATAAATATTCTCAATTAAATATTTTGGATTCTCAAAGAAAGAAACAACAAAATGAACAAAGAACAATTAAATCAATTGTTGATGATAAAGACATTTTTGAAGAACAATTTGTTAAACATGTTGAAACTTCTTTAGGTAGATCAATGTATAATTGTGATAATTTAGCCGCTTATCAAGCAGCTGCTAATACCATTAGAGATGCTTTATTAATTGATTGGGCTAATACTCAACAAAAACAAACTATTCAAGATGGTAAAAGAGTTTATTATCTTTCTTTAGAATTTTTAATGGGTAGAGCTATGGATAATAGTTTAATCAATTTGAAATCTGAAACAAACACCAAGAAATCATTAGCTGAATTGGGTTTCAATTTAGAAGATGTTTTAGAACAAGAACCAGATGCTGCTTTAGGTAATGGTGGTTTAGGTAGATTAGCTGCTTGTTTTATTGATTCTTTATCTTCCAAAAATTATTCTGGTTGGGGTTATGGTTTAAATTATCAATATGGGATTTTTAAACAAAAAATTATTGATGGTTATCAAATTGAAACTCCTGATTATTGGTTAAAATATTCAAATCCTTGGGTTTTAGATAGAAATGAAATTCAAATCCCCGTTGATTTTTATGGATATGTTTATGAAGAACATGATCCAAATACTGGTAAAGTTAAAAAAAATTGGAATGGTGGTGAACGTGTTTTAGCTGTTGCTGCTGATTTCCCCATCCCCGGTTATAATACTAGTAATACCAATAATTTAAGATTATGGAATGCTAAACCAACTGAAGAATTCGATTTCACGAAATTTAATGCCGGTGATTATCAACAATCAGTTGCTGCTCAACAAAGAGCTGAATCAATTACTTCTGTTTTGTATCCAAATGATAATTTTGAAAGTGGGAAAGAATTAAGATTAAAACAACAATATTTTTGGGTAGCTGCTTCATTGCATGATATTGTTCGTAGATTTAAAAAAAATCATAAATCAAATTGGAAAAAATTCCCCGATCAAGTTGCTATTCAATTAAATGATACTCATCCAACTTTAGCTGTGGTTGAATTACAAAGAATTTTAGTTGATTTAGAAGGATTGGAATGGAATGAAGCTTGGTCAATTGTAACTAGTGTTTTTGCTTATACTAATCATACGGTTATGTCTGAGGCTTTAGAAAAATGGCCAGTTGATTTAGTTGGGAAATTATTACCAAGACATTTAGAAATCATTTATGAAATTAATTTCTATTTTTTGAAATATGTTGAACAAAAATTCCCTGGAGATCGTGCTTTGATTCGTAGTGTTTCTTTAATTGATGAAAATCCAAAATCAGTTAGAATGGCTTATTTAGCCATTGTGGGTTCTCATAAAGTTAATGGGGTTGCTGAATTACATTCGGAATTAATTAAAACTACCATCTTTAAAGATTTTGTTAAAGTGTTTGGTGAAGATAAATTCACTAATGTTACTAATGGTATTACTCCAAGACGTTGGTTAAGACAAGCTAATCCTAAATTAGCCGAATTGATTGCTCAAAAATTAAATGATCCAAATTATGAATATTTAACTAATTTAGGTAAATTAAAACAATTGGAACAATTTGTTGATGATGAAGCTTTTTTGAAAGAATGGCATGCAATTAAATTCCATAATAAACGTCGTCTTGCTACTTTGATTAAAGAAGAAACTGGTATTGATGTTGATCCAAGTGTTTTATTTGATGTTCAAGTTAAAAGAATTCATGAATATAAGAGACAACAATTGAATATCTTTGCTGTTATCTATAGATATTTACATATTAAAGAATTATTATCTCAAGGTCTTTCTGTTGAAGATATCAAGAAGAATTATTATATTCCTAAAGCATCTATTTTTGGTGGTAAAGCTGCTCCTGGTTATTATATGGCTAAAACCATTATCCACTTGATTAATAAAGTTGGAGAAGTTATTAATGCCGATAAAGAAATTGGAAACTTATTAAAGGTTGTATTTGTCCCTGATTATAATGTATCAAAAGCAGAGATCATTTGTCCTGGGTCCGATTTATCCAATCATATTTCCACCGCAGGAACTGAAGCTTCGGGTACTTCCAATATGAAATTCGCCTTAAATGGTGGATTAATTATTGGAACTGTTGATGGTGCCAATGTTGAAATTACTCGTGAAATTGGAGAAGAAAATATCTTCCTTTTTGGTAATTTAGCTGAATCGGTGGAAGAAATTAGACATACTCATGTATTTGAAGGAGTTCAAGTTCCAGAAACTTTACAAGCTGTTTTCAAAGCCATTGAATCGGAAGTATTTGGTCCTGCTGATGAATTTAAATCTTTGATTGATAGTATTAGAGTTCATGGGGATTATTATTTGGTGACTGATGATTTTGATTTATTTTTGGAAACTCATAAGAAATTAGAAAAAGTTTATGGTAGTAATGAATCCGGGAGAGAACATTTACATAGTTGGGTTAAGAAATCGGTTTGGAGTGTTGCTAATATGGGATTCTTTTCTAGTGATAGATGTATTGATGAATATGCTGAAAATATTTGGAATGTTGAACCTTCAAATGCATAATCTTATCCCATCATCATTGTCTTTTTTAATAATCCATTTTTTCAAGTTTGTTTTTTGATACAGCTCTTTTGATTTTTTGTTTGTTTTGTTTTATATAGTGATTATATTCTCTTTTAAATACATAGTATTGATAATTTAGTTTGTTTTTTTGTGCCTTTATAAATAAATAACTCTTTTCCAGATAAAAACCATCGCTTAGATTCAGGTTCAGAGTTTATAGTCAACAGGAATAAATCAATGAAATGTTGGTCTCTCCTACAGAGCATCTCCCCCATATTTGTTTAATGTCGCAAAACATGCAATGCCGCGACTATCGAAGGATCCTTGGTAGACGAAAAAGCTCACCCACTTTACAAAATCGTTTTTACATTCATTTACTAACAAGTTGCAAAATATTTTAAAGCAGTAATATCTTTACGAATTAAAAAATCCTATTGTCATGAAATTCAGTCATTATATCGGCATATGGTGTAAGATGATCTCAAATAATAAGTGATTTCAGATTCCAAAAAGCCATTGAGATATCTGGGAAGAGATTGATATCAAATAAATCTCCAACAAATTTCACACAATTACAAAAACATTAACATCTCTACCACGAATCCAAATATTTTTGTTAGAGATATTAATGTTTTTGTAATTTTTTTTTAATTTGTATGAAATTTGTTTGTGATTTATTTAGCATCAAGCTCTTGTCACGTATCTCAATGGCGTTTTGGAATCTGGGTGCATTTTTTTTGTTTCTAATTACTCTCCCTTGGTTTACCTACATCAGAAACAGCCAACGTTTCCTGCTTTACGTGAAAGAGCCCCTATTAATTCATTATCTGCTAAATCGTGTTTATATAAACACACGTTTCCATTACTCCATTTGAAATAATATTTGTAACTTTAAAGGAAATGTAATAATTGATGTACAAAATAAATGATTTTCTTATTTCTTTTCTGATTGAAAGGCCAATACACGGGTAGCCCATACCCTTAACTTCTATGTTGGTGGGAAGTGGTCTATGTTGGTCTATGGTGTTGAAACTAATAAGTTAAAGCCAATACTTTATGAACAAAGAAATAACACGTGATACCAAAGTCGGGGAACACCTTTGGAAATATTAAACTGAACAATAAAACAAACGTGGCCAACGTTTTTAAATTTCATGTTTAATACTCTTAGATAGTGAAGGAATGGAATTAATATAATAAGTGAATAAGGTTTTATGATATCGATTATATTAGTAAAAGCGCAAATGTCAACCTATTTGTAGATGTTTCTGGTGTCAAATTTTAATATCAGAAAGTCTAGATTTTTTTTTGTGTTCGTTTTCACAGTAACTGGATAAATTTTGCAGCCAAAATTTACCCATGAGATTGCGGAAAAAATTGAGATCTATTTGTTTTCTTCTTTACCGTCCACAAACAAAAAGCCTAGCTTAATGTCCCCAATTCTTCCCTAACTCATCAACCTTCATCAATCTATCAAAGCCAATTATGTCTTTTAATATCCCAAAGTATTTTGGGTGTGAAACTTGTTGGAAAGAAAATGAAATTAATCGCCAAAGAACTAGAGATCAAAAATCTCAGAAACCAAATTGAACCGTTCTTCCAAAAACAATCAATCTTCCATTACTGCTAATACTCCTACATCAACAAACAACCATGATACTACTATTCCCTTGAAGTTAAAATTGCATCCGTCATCGTTTATATTTCTAAACCATAAAAAAATCATAGAAAAACCATGGAAATCAACAGTTAATGATGATGCAATTTGGAGACGGTTTGGACTGGATTTTCATGGGATCGGGGTAAATCCAATCATACTGAATTAACCACCTGACCAATGGTTGGTTTATCTGTGATGGAGTTTTAGTCTGTTTTCAGAGGATGAAGGTCTTGACTGGATATAAGTTGGTCATCTGGGGACTTTCCGTTCTATCACAATCAACTACACATCAACCACACACATCTACTACATTTCCAAATCATTCAAAACTCATGCAAATGAAGACTTGATGATGATGCAATTTTGAGAAGGTTGGACTGGATTTTTAATGGATCGGGGTAAATTCTTTTATACTTGATTAACTGTCTGACCAGCGGGTAGTTTTGTGTGATGGAGTTCAAGCTGATTTCAGAGGATGAAGGTTTTACTTAATATAAGTTGGTCATCTGGGAACTTGCCATTCATTTCAAATCAAGCACATTTCAACCGCAGTTATATTCAATTATAAATCAATTAAAGAAATCGAGACTTGATGATCATACAATTTGGACATAGTTTGGACTGGATTTAAATGGATCGGGGTAAACTCCTTCATATTTAATTGACCGTCTGACCAACGGGTAGTTTTTTGTGAGGGATTTTAATTTAATTTCAAAGAAAGAAGGTTTTGATTTAATCCAGGTTGGAATAATAGGGAAGAGCTTTATCATGAAATACGTAAGGATTTGAATTTTGACAATGTATAATTTCAATGAGTGGTGATTAGAATTCTGGTGGCCCATGAAGAGGTTCAATGGTATGTGATAGAATTCGGAATGTTGATAGTAGTGGTGGACGTTGGAGTTGAGGGCGATGGCGGAGGTTGGATTTGATACTAACTGACTATGCGTGATATTTATTTATATAAATCTATAGCAGTTCCACATTTGATGATATTGGGGGGAAGGGGCTGCTCTCTAAGTAAATTGATACAGGTTGGATTTGGCGGTGGTGGTGGTGGGGGAAGTTGAATGACGGTGGTCCTGCCTTAGACTGTTGGTATTGGTGAGTAAGCAATTTGATGACAGTGTCCGAAATTAGACTGTTAGTTATGATAGGCCATCAATTTGACGATAGTGGTCCTAAATTGGACTGTTGGTGTTGCAGGATGAGGAGTCTGATGATAGTGGTCCTAAAATAGAATGTTGGTGGTGGTGGGAGAAGAAGTTGAATGGAGATGGTGGATATTTGAATTTTGGTAGAGGTGGTTGAAGCACCGAATCAATCTTTTTAACTCTTCATCTTAGGGTGGTTCCCTCAGTCTGATTGTTTGTCGGACTTTCCTAAAATGCTTATTAGCTTCGTCTCGGGATGAATTAGTATTGCAAATTATGGATTTCAATTTAATGGCACCTGAATTGTTGCCAGAATTGTTTCGTTATGAAACCACAACAGTTTGAATGAGATTGATTCACGTACGTTTAATATCAAATTATTTGATGAGAATGTTCTCTCGCCAATGATAGATTGATCCCACTCCCTCATTGAAGATTGATTGATTGAATGATTCCAATCATTCATTCTTTCTTGATTTCTTCTTGCTCAAGAAGAAGAAGAAGAAGAAGAAGAAGTTTTCATTTTTTTGCAACAGGAATATTTCATGTACCCTTTGATTAAACTCTTTTTTAGCAGCCACGGAGACATTTTACAAACATCAAAAATGTCTCCCCATCGCATAATGTCGCACAGTCATCTAAATATTGATAATGATATAGATCCCCCATTTATTTTCTTTTGATCATTAGTACTATCAATATATAGAATGAGTTTTGTAAGGGGTCAACTTACTGAAGAACAGAAACGACGTATAGTAAGTACAAAGAATCAACCAACACACTCCCTTGAGCACTACAACTAACTTAATACATTTAGGAAGCAAATAGAAAACGAGCAGCTGAACGATTACAGAAGAAGCAACATCGAGATGGTGGTATACTAGCGCAATCGAATAATAATATTTCTAATCCAAGATCAGAGGGTACAGGAAATCCAGTTTCCATTAGCACCAAAGGAATACCTAGTCAGATCGTTACCACTCCAGTTCAGATCACATCATCATTTGTTGAACCGGGGTCAAGTTCCAAAAGAGCAAGGATCGAATTAACTGATGAGCAACGAAATAGAATTGAACAGAATAGGTTAAAAGCTATTGAAATACAAGCTAGACGATCCGAACAACGTAATTCATCCTCACAACCGGATTCTTCGAGCCAACCACAACTGACAGCAGCACCAGCTGATATTAACCCGATTGAAGATGTAGTCCGATTAAATAAAAATACAACTATACAAGACTCCAACGCTGGCAAATCCAAGAAATTTGAACCTCCACCAATTCGAAAGATGGATTATATTGAATATGATTTTGCTACTATGCAAGATTCGCGTGGTGGGTTTATTCAAGATGATGGAAAGACGCGTAGTGTAGATGAACAAACATTAGAAGAATGGAAAGAAAAACAACAAGAACAACAAATTATACGAGAATTACCTCCTCCTATAGATATAGATAATGCACCTAGATGTTTTGATTGTAATTCATTAGAAATTGATCCGAATCTATATACCAATTTCAATGTTAGAGCGTGTCGAAAATGCGTGAAAGAAAAACCCGAGAAATATGCATTATTAACTAAGACTGAATGTAAAGAAGATTATTTATTAACCGAGCCTGAATTGAAAGATACTTCATTATTAGCAAGGATTGAAAAACCAAATCCTCATGGATATAGTAGGATGCAATTATTTGTAAGATATCAGGTGGAAGAATATGCTTGGAAGAAATGGGGAGGTCCTGAAGAATTAGATAAAGAATGGGAAAGACGGGAACAACAAAGATTAAAGAGAAAGGAAAAGAAATATCAGGATGAATTGAGAGAAATGAGAAAGAAAACAAGAGCTGAAGAATATACTAGGAAATTAAGAAATGGTCAAGGTATTGGTGAACGACACGTCCATGATTGGTCTGCTCCTATACATTTGAATGATAATATTATTAAGAAGAGATGTATAGATTGTGGAATTGAAATTGAAGAAGTGATTATATTGTAGTAGTAGTAGTAGGTGTTGTATAGGTCGTGTATTTGTAGTCAGATGGAATGTTATAGAATTTTCATAAGTCTCATAGGATAGCTGGTGGATTGATTGGAATGGCTGTAACCATATCAATAGAATCAGGTCGTGTACTTGTATACAAAATAATTTACATAGTAAATAATGGTAGAAGGTTATGGAAGATTCTTTTTTTTTTTTTTTTGTTTTTGCAGCCGAACAAATAAATTCAATCTTGCAATATTTTAAAAAGGGGAGATTTCGACGAACATCCAAAAAATTTTTCATTTTTCATTTTCCTTCTTCTCTTTCTTTTCTTTCTTTCCATCAATCCCAAAACTTATAATTAAATCATTTTAATCATGTCTGACGCTAAGGTTGAAACTCATGAATTCACTGCTGAGATTTCTCAGTTGATGTCTTTAATTATTAACACTGTTTATTCTAATAAGGAAATCTTCTTGAGAGAATTGATCTCAAATGCTTCTGATGCTTTAGATAAAATCAGATATGAAGCTTTATCTGATCCATCCAAATTAGAAACTGAACCAGAATTATTCATTAGAATCACCCCAAGACCAGATCAAAAGGTTTTGGAAATTAGAGATTCTGGTATTGGTATGACCAAGGCTGATTTAGTTAACAATTTAGGTACTATTGCTAAATCTGGTACTAAATCATTTATGGAAGCTTTATCTGCTGGTGCTGATGTTTCTATGATTGGTCAATTCGGTGTTGGTTTCTATTCCCTTTTCTTGGTTGCTGATCATGTTCAAGTTATTTCTAAACATAATGATGATGAACAATATATTTGGGAATCTAATGCTGGTGGTAAATTCACTATTACTTTAGATGAATCCAATGAAAAATTAGGTCGTGGTACCGTTTTAAGATTATTCTTAAAGGAAGATCAATTGGAATACTTGGAAGAAAAGAGAATTAAGGAAGTTGTTAAGAAACATTCTGAATTCGTTGCTTACCCAATTCAATTAGTTGTTACCAAGGAAGTTGAAAAGGAAGTTCCAGTTGAAGAAGAAGAAACCGTTGCTGAAGAAGGTGACGACAAGAAACCAAAATTGGAAGAAGTTGAAGACGAAGAAGAAGGTGAAAAGAAGGAAAAGACCAAGAAGGTTAAGGAACAAGTTACTGAAACTGAAGAATTAAACAAGACTAAACCATTATGGACCAGAAACCCAACTGATATTACTCAAGATGAATATAATGCTTTCTACAAGTCTATTTCTAATGATTGGGAAGATCCATTAGCCGTTAAGCATTTCTCTGTTGAAGGTCAATTAGAATTCAGAGCTATTTTATTCGTTCCAAAGAGAGCTCCATTTGATGCTTTTGAATCCAAGAGAAAGAAGAACAACATCAAGTTATACGTTCGTCGTGTTTTCATTACTGATGATGCTGATGAATTAATTCCAGAATGGTTATCATTCGTTAAGGGTGTTGTTGATTCTGAAGATTTACCATTAAACTTATCAAGAGAAATGTTACAACAAAATAAGATCTTGAAGGTTATTAGAAAGAATATTGTTAAGAAATTGATTGAAACTTTTAATGAAATTGCTGAAGATCAAGAACAATTTGATAAATTCTATACTGCTTTCTCCAAGAATATTAAATTAGGTATTCATGAAGATCAACAAAACAGAAATGCTTTAGCTAAATTATTAAGATACAATTCTACCAAATCTACTGAAGAAATGACTTCTTTATCTGATTATGTCACTAGAATGCAAACTCATCAAAAGAATATTTATTATATTACTGGTGAATCTACCAAGGCTGTTGAAAAATCTCCATTCTTGGATGCTTTAAAGGCTAAGAACTTTGAAGTTTTATTCATGGTTGATCCAATTGATGAATATGCTATGACTCAATTGAAAGAATTCGAAGATAAGAAATTAGTTGACATTACTAAAGATTTCGAATTAGAAGAAACTGATGAAGAAAAAACCGAAAGAGAAAAGGAAGTTGCTGAATTTGAACCATTAACTAAAGCCTTGAAAGATATTTTAGGTGAACAAGTTGAAAAGGTTGTTGTTTCATATAAATTAGTTGATGCTCCAGCTGCTATTAGAACTGGTCAATTTGGTTGGTCCGCTAATATGGAAAGAATCATGAAGGCTCAAGCTTTAAGAGATACCACTATGTCTTCATACATGTCCTCCAAGAAGACTTTTGAAATTTCTCCAAAATCCCCAATTATTAGGGAATTAAAGAGAAAAGTTGAAACTGATGGTGCTGATGATAAGACTGTTAAGGATTTAACTACTTTATTATTTGATACTGCTTTATTAACTTCTGGTTTCTCTTTGGATGAACCATCTAATTTCGCTCATAGAATCAACAGATTAATTGCTTTGGGTTTAAATATTGATGATGATACTGAAGAAACTGCTCTTGAAGAACATACTACTACCACTGCTTCTACTGAAGAAGCTACTGAAGAACCAGCTGGTGAATCTTTAATGGAAGAAGTTGATTAAAGGTTGATTGTTAATAGGTATTTTATAAATTAAGTAACGTATTTTAGAAAAATGATGTAAATAAATGTAAATCTATCATTTAAGTTAACTCTATAGTTTATCACTTTACGGTGATTTGTAGATGTAAAAGCACGTGCTACTTCCAACTGAAAAATTTATATTTTTTTTTGTTGGGAAGAATAGCTTTAAACAATAACAACGGCAGCCATCTAAAAAAAATTTAAAAATTTCTTTGAATTCTTTGATACTACAAAGCTGGTAGAAGTTCAGTGTTTTTTACTAAATACCAATTCCCGAATAGATACTCTACAAGCTATGGGTCTCTTTATTCCACAAGACAAGTTACAAAACTTGAAACTATATAAATATTCATCAGAAGATCAATCATTAATTACAAAATATTTATTAAAAAGTTGGTGGAATACATTTGTTAAAATATTTCCATTATGGGTAGCACCAAATGTAATTACATTAGGAGGTTTAGGATTCGTCATTGCTAATTTATTAGTTGTATTTTATTATGATCCATATTTGAATTCAGAATGTCCAAGATGGTGTTATTTCTTTTATGCATTTGGATTATTTATGTATCAAACTTTTGATGGATGTGATGGATGTCATGCTAGAAGAACTGGACAAAGTGGTCCTTTGGGGGAATTATTCGATCATTCTATTGATGCTATAAATACAACATTGGGGGCTATTATCTTTGGATCAGCTTTGAAATTGGGATATGGTCCATTATTAATGACTTCATTATTTGCTCTGACTTGTAATTTTTATGCAAGTACTTGGGAAGAATATCATACTCATACTTTATTTTTAAGTAAATTTAGTGGACCGGTTGAAGGTATCCTTATGATTTGTGGTGTTTATATCATGACTGGTATTTTTGGACCTGATCTTTGGAATCAAGAATTATTTAAATTGGATTTAAGTTTCATTAATTCTGATTGGAAGGTTGTCCATGTTAATACTTCAATTATTTATGTTATACTTGGAATTTCATCATTATATTTCAATATCATTTCGGCTATGCAAAATGTTAAAGAGCATTATGAATTAAAATTCCATCATAGTGAAAGATCAGAAGAAGGGGCTGATAATGCATATCATGGTTTATATCCATTCTTTATTTATTGGACAAGTGTCATCTTTTATATTTGGTGTTTTCCTCAAGTTATGACCGATTATGGATTCCCATTGGTTATATCAGTTGGATCTACAATTGCCTTTTCAGTGGGCAGAATGATTTTAGCTCATGTTACTTTGCAAAAATTCCCATTTATTCAATATCCAATGTTTGTTCCCATGGGACAACTTATAATCAGTATGGTATTGATTAATATTTATAAATATAATACTGATAAAGTATTGAATAGTGTAAGTTGGTTAGGTTGTGGTCTTTGTATTGGAATTCATGCATTTTTCTTTGCTGAAATTATTCATGATATAACTGGTTATTTGGATATTTACGCATTATCAATTAAACACAAGAGAGCTTGAACGATCTTCAACTACAATGATGAATACCCTTATAAATCTTCTTTTTAAATAAAACTAATAATAATACTACATTTTAGATACATAATAGATTTTTATAATATTAATATATACATGCTAAAAAAACATCTGTACAAAAGCAACCAAGTGTTTCCTTCCTCTACTTCTTTTCAAATGCAGCATCAGAACCTGGAGCTAAAACATCTTGAGCAGATTGTTGTAGAGACATATCCTTTTCCATTTCTTGTAATTGAGTCTCGGCCAAAATTGCCAATGCTAAAGGAACACCCAACAACAAGGAAGAAGTAGTTAAAACCCATAAAAATGATCCAGTTTTATTTAATCCACTAGTAACTAAATTTGTTATACTAGAACCTAAATTAGAAATGGTTTCTCTTTGTTCAGGAGCAATTATATCTTTTAATGCCACGATTCTATCTAATACTGTTTCATTTTCATAATCAAATTCATCATCAGAATCAGATTCGGAATCTTCTTCTTCTTCGTCGGATTCAACAATGGATGAAGTGGCTGGCTTTTCGGCTTGTTGTTGTTCGAACTGAGCTTGAGTTTCGTCGTCGATTTGAGTTAACTTGACCATCTTGGCAATGTTTTATATTCTATAAAAGTCTTTGGGAAGAGTGGGTCTTGACTATGAATTTGTTCATCAACTAAGGATCTTCATCTTTTTTTTTTCACAGTGATCGAAAAATTTTCTAATTGGTAGAGACACGCAAAGTATACTTGAAGCACTCTTCCATTTGATGGAGCAGCAATGATATGAAATAATGAGATCTACAAGGTACAATATTCTTTGAGGAAGAAAAAGACAACTTGATCATATAGCACAAGTGGGCAGAACCAAGAGATTAATTTTAGAAAGTTAAATTAGAAATTTTCTCGTTGACATTCCCATGGCTGCAAAATTTTCAGCATTAGCGATCTCTATTCATCAACTAAGTAGCTATTCTATATATATTCACCATCTTCATCCACATTCAAATTCAAAATTGGAATATCCAAATCCTTATTTATCCTATATCCAACATCTTCCATTTGTTTAGGATATTTTCTTAAATTATAAAACTGTAATAATCCTCTCAAGGCAATTTCTTGATCATAAGAATTATTAAAATCACTTTCTAAATCTTTCCCACTTAACCAATTATCTTTAATTCCCAATTTTAAATTTAAATAAATTTGAGAAATTAGATCCATATTTAAAGATTTCCATTTTCGACCTTGATATGGAATTAATTTTTTAAGTGTTTTAAGAATTGGTTTTGTAATTTGGGGAGCATCATAATTTATGATTATCATTTTATATAATTCGGATATTTTGAGGTCATTTAGGGTGAAAATTCTTTGGGTTTGGTTTTTGATGAGGATTTTATTGATTATGGTTAGGAGATTTGATAATATGAATGCAAAATCTTGATTGAAATCGGTGATATAAATATGATTTATGTTGTTTATATCTGGTTTTTCTGGTAAATCAAATGTTAATTGTTTATTTATAAGTTTGAATTTATAATTCTTGGGGAATTGTTGTAAGCAATTATTAAAAAAATCATAATTGGGGATATGGATTTGTGGATTCATTAATTTATTTTGATTAATTAAGATTTCATATTCAGTTAAATCATTCTTAATTCCATTGCTAGCATCATCATTACAATCAAGATTTTCATTCAGGATAAGACTTTGTAAATTTGGATTATAAAATGCTCGACTTAAATAATCAATAACAATAGTGAAAAATTGTTGATCAAATAAAATTGATGAAAAATAATATGATTTTAAAATATGACTAATCTTAAACCATTTCAATAAAAGAACTAAAATACTTGTGGTTGCCTTTAGGGTAATTTCTTTAATTTTAATAACTTCCAATTGCAGACTCATTACAAATTCAATTTTTTGTTTAGTTTCTTCAAAGTTATTTATATTTTTGGATCTATTCGAATTCAAAAATGAAGTTTCTGGATTTAATTCCAATTCAGCAAAATTTAAATTATAATCCAATCGATTTACTTTAATCGTTTCCAATAATACTTCAGCAATTGTATGAAGTCGACATACATTCCCACTATATAATGTCTCAACTCTCTGCATAGATTCAATTTCTCGTTGATTAGCCGGATGCTTATCCTTCAATTTCTCATAATCATACTCAAATTCATCTTCTTTGGACTGATTACCTTGTTCTTCTTGTTCATACTCATTAATATATCCTCTTTCTTGTTTCATAAACTTTTGTCGTTCATTCCAAAGTCGTTTAATAGAATAACTTTCATATATTGATTTCTTTAAAATTTCATCTGCTTCTTTAGTAGCATAAGGTACAGTTACAGTATTTCCATTTGCAGTTGGATAAATAAATGGCATGGCTTGATTTACTTGATATGATCTTCTAATTTTTTCTCCACCTGACATATAATCTGATGCAACTAATGTAGGTGATGGAACCGGGGTTGCAATATGTATAGGATTTGTTGGTAATTGACTTAAAATAGTATGAGATTTAGTTGTTTTGGGGATTTCCATTAGATTTGAAAGTGAATTTGAAAAACTATTAATTGCCATGAAATACTTATATCTATCTTCAATTGATTGATTATTGTTGTTGGTATTGGTATCTAATTGTTCATCTTCTTCTTTTAATGCTTTTGAAAATTCCTGGAAATCAAATGCTTTTAATTGTATATCATTATATAATGGATATTTATCCAATAAATCTTCTCTAAATGCAAAATAATCTAAAGGAGAACATGTCAATTTGGGTTTCACATTTTCATCAGTTTCATTATCATCATTATCACTTTGTTTATTTTTAATATCATGTAATTTAACCAAGAAATCATCACATTCTTTTAATTGCTTTGCACCACCTAATTCAAATAATAATAGTTTATCAACTAATAGAATTAAATAACGAATTCTATATGAATTATTAGGATGCCATTTCCAATGTTCAATAAATGTGAAAATTATAGTTAGGAAATCTGATTCAGCCAAATAATGTCTGAAATTAGAACTTTCTTTAGGGTATTCTAATGACACATTGACTAGGAAATACAATAAGGTAAGCATTCTGAAATAATCGGCTTCTGTTTTATTATTTACTAATTTATGTCTTGTGACTTGATTATTTGTTCTTGTATCAAGTGATATTATTCTGGATATGAATTCTTTAGTTAATTCGATCAATGGTTTGAATAACTTAAGTTCCAACAATTTCAAATTATTCAGTTTAATTTGTTGCAATTGTTCTTGTTTATTAGTCTTGTTAGCATATTCACCAAAACTATAATATAAAATCAATTTCAATTGAGTTGAGATTGTTCCTTCTGATATTGAATTACAATCATTAATTATATCAACCCAGTTGGATATATTTGATTCACCATCTTTTGAAGCTATTTCATATAATTGGACAAGATTAGTTAATCCACCAATGGTTTTCAAATCATTGAAACTAAACCAATTACTTATTTCTTGATCCAATGAATCATATTCTTGATAAGTATATTGTAAATGAGACTTCGTTATTAAGAAATTATAATTAACTTGATTATTATTGTTGTTATTAGTTGTTCTAGAATCCTGATCTCCACCATCAACCACAACTTCATCTTCACCTGCATCTTTGGATAATCCTTGATCCAGTAGTAACAGCTCCAGCAGCAAGCCATCAACATCATCTGATTCTTTAGAGTGGTTGTTGTGATTATGGTGATGGTGATGGTGATGGGAATGATGATGTGACTCATGATATGGAGATTGTTGCAGTTGTTGTTGAATTTGTTGTGCTTTGGCATTCAATTTCTTTTGAAATGTTTCATCTAAAGAATCATGAAATTGTTTAGCAGTAGAAGCATCTGGATGGTCTATAATTTGGTCTTCCAATTGATCTATTAGTATGAGATTCAGTTGATCATCTTGCATAGTGTTTTCTGTTTGTGCTTTTTGATTTTTAGTGGGAGATGATAACCTTTAATTGATTTGATTTGATTCGTATGGTTTATGTGTTGTAAAAAAAAGTACAGACTTGTATTTTGTTTAAATGTTAGAGAGAGTAGGGTGCGGCTGATAAATAAATAATGTCGTATTTATATTTAGACTGAACAATGTCGTAAAGCCTTCCTTTCTGTATAATTGTACGACATTGTAAATTTGCAGCCTCAAGTTAACGGGTTTTCATTAATACCATATATCAAACAGCAAATGAAAGAAAGAAAGAGATATACATGTATGATGTTCTACTTTTAAAGTTAATTACGGTTCTAAGGAAACATATGAATGGAGAGTTACATAATTATGTTTAATATTTTGATAAAGTTGTACCTTTCAATTACAGTAGTTAACTGTTATACAAAACTTATTGTACTAATTACCACTACGGCTATAAAAATAGAAGAAATCAAGTTGATGACAAACTTGAACTCCTAATATTTCAATTCATTCTCGCAAATCACTTGCATATATAAATATAGAACAATCCTATGGTAAAAAGTAATACACTAATCAAAACTATTAATAACTCATATGACGCTACCAATTGTCTTTTTTTTTCAGTCAATCAATCAATCAATCAATTTTCAGCTAAGAAATAAATTTTTGTTAGAAGGGTTCATTGAAATTCTCACTCATTTGATTTATTGATTCAAATACAGAAGAGTTCATATTTATATATTATAGAACACTATATATTCACAGTACTGCACTAATACTATATTCATTCACTCATTTTACCTTATCTCACTTGGTTATGTCTATTAACAATTTTGAACAAATAATAAATTTAAAAGTTAAGATTATTACTTTATTAGATCAAATTATAATTGGATATATTTATACATTTACATTATCAAATGAAATAATTGCAATTAGAATTACCAGTAATGAATTAAAGAAACAACAAATATATACAGGAGATACTTATAGAATATTAAATACTTCTTTTATAAAATCAATTCAAGTATTACCTCCATTTCCATCTAAAAAAGTACCCTCCACTACAGGTACCACCACAGGTAATGGATTACCACCATATTCAACTAATAATTTATTATTAACTCCACTATCTATAAATAAATTTGATAAACAACTTCAGAAACTTATAGCTACTTATGAAAAACCACAATCAAATATAATAAAGGCATCATCATCATCACCACAAACTTCAACTACCACCACCACTGCCACTGCATCTAAAAAGTCACCTTCTTCTAATAAGCAACATATTATACATCATTCCCTTTCTCATCCTCATCATCAGTACCGTTTTACTAATCCAAATACAATTGCTTTTCGAGTATATGATAGATTAGCTAAAGTATTTGGAAGAGAAAATGTTGAACTTTTTAAAGGTGATATCACGTTATTTGATAGTGAAATTAAAATAACACCACCATATACATTAGGAAAATCAAATGTTCATAAATTAAAACCAGATTCAATTCATTTAGATTCATTACAACTTGCATTAAAACAATTTTGGTTAGAAATTGATCAAGAAAAGAAAGGTGGTTAAATTTAACCTTGGAAATATATTTCCATATCTTCAAACACTTTATATCCTCGTTGATTAGTACCTTTAAATCCATCAATATCTTCCCATAATAGTTTAAAACTTCCAGTACTTGAAGTAATTGTTTCAAAATAAATATTAAACCAACAATAACACCAAGTTCTAATTCCTATATTTATATCTAAACATGAATTCAATTGAATAACTGTATTAGGAATAAAGTATATATCGTCATATCCTTGATGATTATGTAACATAATTGTAGAATTCTCTCGAGTTATAGTTTGAAGTAATTTCTCTTGGAGATGATATCGACCTTTTTGATCTTTTGTTCGGATATATCCCAGGATATGTAAATCTAAATCATAGAAATCTTTGATATATCGTATTAATCCAACTCTAATCTTGGTAATTGATCGCCGATTACCACTATTAATAAATTCAAAATATTTAATTCGTTCCAGTTGCAGAAATTTAAGATATTCATACCAATAATTAAGATATCGACGTTGTGAAATTATCGAAATCCCATCTCCCGCAAATCGTTGCATCCTCTTTTCAGTAAATAATTCAATCACTTTATCTACTTCCATTATCACCCGGGTTTTCATATATTGTTCATACATCAAATAACAACAACATAAAGTTCCACTCCGTCCTTTCCCAGCTTTACAATGCAACACCGCTACCCTCTCATCATTCTCCCCCTCCCCCTCCATCTCACTCTCTCCATCTTTGGTACTCCCATGCAAATATTCAAATATCTCCCCCACACATTCCCGAATCAATTCAATCGCCGGCGGATAATGATCAGGAAAAGGATAATGACTCACTCGATACATAACCTCCCAATCCTCATATCCAGACCCTTCTCCCCGGAAATTCCATAAATGCCACAAGTTGGGATGGTTGGTTTGGAGGATCAATAAGAGATCGTCAATGGGATATCGATACCATGATTGGAAATAGGATGATGCTGATGATGATATGGGGGCTGAACTGACTATTAATTGGGGTGTAATGTATGAGAAATCATAATGGATGTTTGTGGGGGCGTCATAGTGGATCTTTTTGGGGAGGGAGATTATTGATCTTAGAATTGATTTCATAAGATCTGGAGTCTGGAGAGATGATTGGATGAATGGTAGTGGTTGTTGTTGTTGTAAACAAAGAGAAATCGATAAGCGAAAAATAATAATCAGAATAATTTAATAATATTTTTAATAAACTAAAAAATTATAAACAAAACAAATCTTTTAAAGATATATACAAATTGACAACTCTCTCACGCCTTACTCAACTCAACTCAACTGTACTTGTGTCATACCCTCAGGCACTTCGTGCCTTCGGTGGGTGGGTTTAAAATTGACCAGATTGTCTCATTAATTCAGCAATTTTTGCAGTCAAAATTGGATCATTTTTAATTCTCTTTTGCATCTTAGTAGCTTCAGCAAATGAAGTAGCTTGAACTTTTTCTTCAAAACTTCTAGCTAAATCAGAAGATTCTTCAAATAAAACAATTGCATCATCAACTTGATCCTTTTGTAATTTAATTTGTGCTAAAGAAATCCTGGCCAATTCCGATCTTGGATCTAATTCACAAGCTTTAATTAATAATTCTTCTGCTTCATCAATTCTTTCCAAAGATTCTCGTGAAATTAAAGTAGCTTGATTTATTAATGGTAATGCACCAACTGAAAATCTATCCAATTTTTCTTGTAATCTGGCAGCAATTTCAAATTGTTTAATTGCAGCTTGAATATCTCCTTTATCACTTAAAATTTCACCATAATAATTTGGAACTTCTGGAGAAGTTGGGAATTTCAATTTAGCTTCAGTAAAACGTTCATTAGCTTGTTCACTTAATCCATTCTTATAAGTGATACAAGCTAATTGAATATAAGCATATACATTATCAGGATTTAATTCTTTGGCTTTATTGAAATTAGTTTCAGCTTGAGTTAAATCACCAGTAAGATAATATAATTGACCTAAATGATAATAAATATCAGCACAATCTGGATCCATTTCTTTAGCACGATTAAAATCTTCATTAGCTTCTTGATAAGATGATTTATCAGCATTAATTAAAGCTCTAAAGATATACGATCTTGGTCTTGGTTTTAATTCAATTGCTTTTTCAATTGAAGTAGCAGCACCAGCAGGATCATTCTTTAAGAATTGGAATGCAGCAAGATATTCCATAGCAATTGAATAAGGACCTTCTTTATCTTGTTCTTGTTCATAACTGGCAATAGCTTGATTAATTAAAGAATCAGCTTCTTCATAACCATCTTGAGTATTTTGTTTAATTTTAACTAAAGCATCATATAAGAATTTATCACCACCTTCACTTTCTTGATTAATTCCTTCCGGATTAACTTCTTCAGCAAATGCATTGAAAAATGATCCAATAGTAGCAGCACTTGGTAAATTCAATTTCTTTGGTTTTGATTCAACAATTTTAATTGAATGTTTTCTTAAAACTCGTTCTAAAACTTGTTCAATTGATTTATTAGAAAATCCTCCATAAATAGTTAAAGCAGTTAAATCAAACATGGCATTTTCATATTGTTCAACTTGTTCATAACTTGTAGCTCTTCTCAAAACACATTTAGTATAATCTGGTTTTAATTTAATAGCTTCAGTAGTATCCTTAATAACATTATAATGATCATCTAAAGCAGCATAACATGCAGATCTATTTGAATAATAAATTGGATCTTGTTTTAATTTTAAAGCAGCAGTATAGAAATCAATTGCTTTTTGATATTTCTTTGATTTGAATTCATTATTACCATCTTCTTTTAATTGCATAGCCCAATCTTCTTTTTCTTGTTCAGATAATCCATTGATTATATCTTCAGTTAAAGCAGGTAAACCTTGTTCATCAACTGGATATTTTGGACGAGAAGCAGTTTCACCATCAGTATCTTTGGTGGTTTCATTGCCAGTGGCGGTGGTGGAAGTCTCTGGACTGGTAGACTTCTTCTTTTTGTTTTTATTCTTCTTCTTACTAGAAGTGGTTGGAGCAGCAGTTGCACCTTCACCAGATGATTTATCTTGAGAAGGTGATTGGTGTTGTTGTTGTTGAGTGTAATAATAATAAGCACCAATTGCAGAAGCTCCGGCTAATGCAGTAAGGACAATTGCTGTTTTATTCTTTATAAAGAAGTTGTTTAAATCTGACATGATAAATAGTAGTTGATCAGTTTGGTTACTGTTTATAAGTATACTCTATTTATGTTAAGATGAATAAAGTTAAGTTTGTAGTAGCAATCAAAGCAATCAAAGCAATCGACCTATTTAAATTGAAAAATTAAATTTGTCAGTGAAGAAAAAGTTTTTTTTTTTTTTTGCCCTTTTCATTCTTTTTATTATTGGTCTTTTTAAGGAACAGTCTGACAAAATGGTCTTTAAGGTTTTGGTTTTTATTAATTAAAAAAAAAAAAAATTTTTCCGTTGCCATTCGCATTTTAGTCAATTTTTGCAACAATCTTTTGATTTGACTTCTTTTTCGGCTTCATTTTTATGATGTTCCCCCCCGGGGTGGTTAACCACTGTTAAAAATGTTAGCAGATGAAATTTACATACTCTGACTTATTTGGAATCGTTCCGCAGAGATAAGAAAAGGGTAGACTCGGTATACGTTTGTTTTAAAAAAAAAAAGTTTTTAAGTTGGGGTTATATTTTTGGTGGAAATTAATGCGAATTCTAATAGAATATTACGGAGACACTGGGAATTAGCCAGATTTGATTTTCAACTTCCTGAGTATAATCGATCAATCATATCAAAATTGAATCAATAGATTCTCATTGAACTTGGTTCTAACATAATATTGTCAACGTCTACATGCTTTTCTGACTGCACACTTCAACCGATATGAATATCTATAATTTCCCTTGCACAGCTCCAATGATGATGTCAACAAACAATATCAAATAAAAACAACTCTCATGTAAACGAAATATCCCACATTTAATAAAGCAACAAATACTTTTTCGAGGTTTGAATTCAATCGAGCTTGTTACGTATCCAATCAAGTTCCTTGACTCAATAACCAATGAATTCTAGTCATACGAAATTAGAATTGAAGAAGCTTAATTTAGGAAAGTGCCACTGAGCTACTACCTACCTTCCAATTAACCAAACGACATAAATCTTATAGTAATCACTATTATAATTCTTTAAATACAAATTTGACAATGTCATGGGGATATCGGTTTTCCAAAGATATCGCAACCATGTGGTAGCTGGCTTTTTCAATGTAGCAAAGTTATCTACGTTTTAACATTATTAAACTAAAATTATTATAAATTTATTAAAACCATACAAATCTTCATTTAATCAATTTGATAAGTTTATAATTATTAAATTCCTTTCTTTCTGTCTTTTTTAATTGTTTTGAATTTGTACAATAAATTTGATGTAAAATTGTTAACGATTTCTTCTATTTTTCTCTTTGCCATTACTAAAATGGTTGAAAAACTAATTTGACTCCACTTGTTATCTTTCTATATTGAACCCCAATAAACCCCCCCAAAAATGAACGAACTTCCTTCCAAATACTCTAGTGTTGGTCTAAGTCCAGAAGACCAACACAAAGTAATAACCCTGGGACCACCAAAGAGACCTAGAAAACCAATTGAATATACCATAAGAACAATAGAATCAAAAATTCAAGATGCTGTCACTAATCAAACTTATCAAAATTCCAATTACATAGATGAAGACATAGAAATGGTTCCAATGGATACTGATAAAGAAGTAGATGCCATTTCTTCATATATTGCATATTGCCGAGATTCTGGAAATCTATCCAGTCACAGCCATGATGAATATTTAGGTGATGATATGATGATTGATGAACATCATAATAATATAACAGAATTAGAAATTATTGAAGGAAATATTTCATTTTTAGTAGTGGATACAAACTTCATTATTTCTCATTTGCAAATAATTGATGAATTACGTGAATTGGCTATTGAATTTGGATTGAAAATAATTCTCCCTATTCCAGTTATACAAGAATTAGATGGGTTGAAAAACTCGACAAAAATCCAATCAAATGGTGGTTCTGGGGAAATGCTTTCTGGAGTATCAGTAGGGCATTTGGCACGTTGGGCTAATGAGTGGATCTATACATCATTAGCAAATAGTAGCACAGTTGTAAAGGGGCAAAAACTTAGTCAGAGAATAGATCGAGATGCAATGAAAGATGATGCAATTCTTGATTGTTGTATATATTTTAAACAAACCCATCCGCACAATTTAGTTGTATTACTTCTGAATGATAAAAATCTTTGTTCAAAAGCTCTCATGAATGATATGTTGACGGTTAGTTTCAGAAAAGATATGACTGCAGAACTTATAGCATCGATGATTTTCAATCAGAATATAAATACTTTTGGAAAATTGGAAACTAAAGTATCAACAACAGTCCATCATCAACCAGCCTATTCGCATGCTTATACTTCTCCTCCTCCACAGCAACAACAACAGCAGAAACATCTAGAACCATCTAAGGAATGGATAGAAGCAGCTCAAGATATAAATGGATTTCAATCATTCTCCGAAATCTCATCCAAAGTCTACAACGAAATCGAAACAATCTTATCATCGGCATTACATCATTGCATGAAGGCAGAATTCGGAGATGATCTCGATTTAATTCGAGATTATGATAATTCTTCAGGCAAAACCATTGCCGAATCTGCTAATGTCTTGATACGATTTTGGTTCCCGGTATTCCAACCATATTTCTCTCCATTGCCTGGGAATTTCAAACCATTTGAAGAAACTGGAAGTGGGAAATCTCTGCACAAGACACCGATATTTATTCAACAACCTACTACTATTAAGGAATTATATGCATTTGTTGAGTTTTGGAGTACTGTCTTAGATACCATCTATGATGCAATAATGGGTGAAACTGAACAACAAGCGCTAGAGGTCTTGACTACGAGATGGAAGAAAATGGCCAGTTCGAGCCAAATGCATTAGATAGATATATAAATGCGTGTATTAGTATTGTAGTCAATATTGTGTATCATTTTCTTGTTAATGCCCCGATTCTGGCTTTCTTTTTTACAGGGGATGTCAGAGGAGATTCCAGGGGTGAATTGGATTTACGTTTACTTGTCAACGCCCCAATTTTGAGCTTTTTCTTAAATGGGGATGTCAGTTGTGGCCCTGGGGATGCCGAATGCGAGAGATTAGGACTATCATCATTTCCTCGATCGTGTTTCTTCTTGATGGGGGAACTATTGACAGATTCTAATGCGTCGAATTTTACCGGACTTAATTCTTCTTCTTCCTGCTTATCTTCTGGTATATCTTGATAAAACAGATTGGCAAACTTCCAACATCCCTTAATTGAAGTATCTATATTATTAATCAATTCATCTTCATTTGATTTCTTTTTCATTGAACTTCGTGATTTCTTATACGAGATAGCATTCCCTCTTTCCCATCTTTCGGGATTAAACCTTTCTATTGATTCAATATCGGTCCTATTTATCCTCTTGTAATTATTTATAAGTTCAAGTCCATGACTTTGTTTGAAATTCTCAACAAGAAATCTTATAAATGTATCCTTAATTCCAATAACATGTTTCAAATCTTGTATTTGATGAAGTAAGAATGAGTGATTGGAAAATTGTTGATAGTTCAACCTGGATAGAAATTGAATCAATTCTTCTTGATTCAGTTTTTGGAGTTTAAATACCCAATTTATTTCATCAAGTTTTAATTCACATTCTATTAATTCATCATTATCATCACTTTTTCTAAATGATAGACTCTCCTCTTGGGAAACGCCCTTCGAAGTTATATTTATCAACAGAACCAAATCCCCCATCGAAGCATCTTCAAACCCAAACCCACTCGCGGTTTTAATAAGTTCTTCCCGGGTCAATTCTTGACTCCAGAGATTGGTGAAATTGGTTAAATAAAATCCATAACTCAATTCTGGGATATTATAAGTCAAACCATATATACATGTTGGTGATGGACTAAGGATTGATAATGATTTTGATTTCCAATCAGTAGGTAATGGGAACATATCAATTCCATACATGGAATACATTAAATTGAATTGCTTTCTCATTTTGTATGTAACGTAGTATTTTTTTGGTTAATCCGTGGACGCTACCAAACGTTATTTGACGATAGTAATCTGGTTTGCTTATTAACAACTGCATGATGTGTATGATTAATGAATAATCAAAATGGTGACCACTTTCGTAAAATAAGCAAATTTAATAAAGCTGATCGGATTCTAATCAGAAGCATGATGTATATAATCGAAGAAAAAGGTTGAGATTCAAAAGTAGCAAATCTGAATACGTTTGATGGCCCCGGTAATTATTTACGAAGCCCGGGTCTAGATGTATTGCTATAGAATACATATACATATAATTACGGAATTTGATTAAGAGCACGAACATTCTCTTTAAACCAATAGGATTCTTTGTCACCGCGCTCCAGAATTGTATGTTTTTCATCCTTATCGAATATTGCAGTCAAGTTTAGACCAGTTTCGGGAGCAACAAAAATCTCCGAATTTGACATTAATTGACGCAAGCTTAGGTTTCATAATAACGGATTTGATGTAAGTTTTATCTGGGGAGGCACTTATTGAAAGATTTATATATGAGTATTTGTAATTTGTTCTTAAGGATAACTAAACTACAAATTTGCAACCAAGTTTAGTTTTTTATCTGTGAGAAAGCGTGTAGGATCAAAATTCCGAGGAAGTCCCTAAATAGTGTCCTCTTCAAACAAAGTGAAGGAAGTAAACTTGGACAACACACATAAAATAAAATTGTAGTGCGTCGGCATTACGCTAATAAGCAGAACGCATAAGATTCAGAGGACTACTAAGGGTGAAGATTGAGCACCCTGTTTTGTTCTTGTGGGTGTTCATAACACGTTGGATATATCGTAGTCCTGGGATAAATAAACAAGACGAATTCCTTGAACTACAAAGTAATTAGAATCCTTTTCCTAGAACAAATAATAGCCCTGATCTATGGAAGGACTCTATTTTAGTATTGAAAGGAGAGCTGGTCTTAGCGACAGGTGTTGGATTCAAGGTTCGGGTAGTTTCTTTTCATTTTTTTTTCATTATTCAACTACATGTAGGTTCGTTCAATCCAGATTTATAGAAAAGTGCCCACATGCTTATCTAACTATACTGCAGTGTACTATCAATATCCTGTTGTAATAGCTATTGCGGAAAAGCGAAACCGAGCATCGTACCATCCTCTTGATACTGCACAACTGAACTTGTAAAACTACAAGTTGCAGCAATTCTTTTTATTTTCTTTTTGCAGTCTAGAATCAGGTTGAAGTATTCTGAAATAGGAAATAGTGTCGTATGCGACATGATCCATCGTTAATTTTGGACAATAAAAATGTCGTTTTGATTCCATTTTTAGAAATGAAATGGAAAAAAATTTCATTAGCCACTGCGTAAGCTGCAAAAGAACAATAGAAACATGTGTTTGCATGTTTCGTGTACTCACCAAAATTTCAAGATTGCACTATGAAAATTCAGTACGCCCCCAAAAAATAAAGATCTCGGGAAAAGTGAGACATCCTCGTAGTTAATTTTATTTATATTGTGATCAAAATTGGTTGATTTTTTTGAGTTTTGATTTTTCTTTTTCTATTTTTAAATCTTTATAAAAAAGAACACAAGTTTATATTTAATAAGTCTTTCGTTTAGGAATAATTCCAATCAAAAATTCATATATCTATTTGATTATCACAACTGCAACTCATACAAATCACATCAACAAAAATGGCTTCCTTTTTAAAGATCTCAACCTTAATTGCCTTGGCAGTTTCTTTACAATCGACTTACGCTGCTACACCAGCTTGTTTATTAGCTTGTGTTGCTCAAGTTGAAAAAGCTTCTAAATGTTCAGGTTTAAATGACATTAGTTGCGTTTGTTCTTCTAATGGATCTGATGTTGAAAAGTGTTTAAATGATATCTGTCCAAATGATACTGCTGATGCTGCTATCCAATCTTTTGAATCCACTTGTAGCTCATTTGGTGCCAAGATTGATTCCGCTGATGATGCTTCCTCCTCATCTTCATCATCCACCAAGTCCAGTACTTCCAAACAATCAACCTCAACCACTAAGTCTGAAGAATCTACATCCACCGAAGATTCAACAACCAAGGAAGATTCTACTTCTACTGAAGATGCATCCTCTGAAAAGAGTGAGGCCACTTCTACTTCCAAAGAAGATTCAAGCTCCGCCAAGACCGAAGAAGAAACTACTGCTACCACCACTTCCGAACAAAAGACTTCTTCTTCCTCCGAAGTTCCAACCACTTTACAAACTTCTAATGCAACTGAAAGTACTTCTTCCGCCACCTCCAGTTCTGAACCAGCTATTGTTTCCACTCAAACTGGCTCTGGTGCTAACAAGGTTGCTGTTGGCGCTTTGATTGGTTTAGTAGGTGCTGCTTTATTATAAGCAAGTCCATAACGGAAATTTAGATTTCGACAATGTTTCGAATTCTTATTGTTATTTTTGATTTTCATTTTTTCAGTTTTCTTGGGATTTTTTAGTATATAGGGAGAGAATTAGATTCAAATAGAGAGAAATGCGTCTTCAGAATGGTTGTTTCAATTCTCATTTGACGTTGTGAAACAGTTTATAGATTGGTGGTTTTTCTTTTTAAAAAAATAGATAACGCTAGATCGGCTACTTAATTTTCTTTTTCGATATTTAGAGTAAGTTTATGTTTTTGACTATTATATAATTGATATTTTCATAGTTTAGAAAGACCAGCCGTTGGGATGTAGAAGGGAACTCAAGGAATGTATTTTTAGATTTCAACAATTTTGAATTCTAACTTTGAGCCCTTGCACTGTGCGGGATATATTTTGTGATTGTTCTTAGTTGCTTTGGAGATATTACAGAGTTCAGCAAAACAACTGTTGACGAAAAACACACACTTAAGCCTTTGTTGCCCTCAAAGGTGAGATCATAGCAATTCGCGAGTCATTTCCTATTTGAGCGTTGCTTCTTTACGAGAGGCGCAAAAAAATAAATCTGTCAAAATATGAATGATACTCTTTCGTGAGTGAATGAGCCGAAGCTGAACGATTTGTTGCTGCTAGTTACTAGTCAAAACAACCTCAAACAGGCATGAAGAAATTAGGAATGAGTGATTACCCCCGCAGGTGTAAATCATCACCAAATTGCCTTTTCGTAATGATTAACTGGCTTGGCAAAGTCTAATATGATGTGCATCATATGATGAACAGAGCTCAAACCAATAAATGACGTTTCCAGAGAAGTCAGAAACAACTCAAAATTATGAGAATTGTTGTCTTTACAGTTGAAGTAGCAACTTGGTTTTGGCACAATACTCTTTGGTAAAAGGCGATAGATATCTTTCCTGTTTTAGAATTAGGACAATAAGAAGTTATCGGAATCCCGATTATTACAATAGAAATTCAACGGCAATCAAACATCAAACTGTCAAAAAAATATTTTTAAGCGAAATAAAATTGTTGCTAAAAAAGATAAACCGACCAAAAGATAAATAGTTGTTGATATCCCCTCCCCTGGGTTCAATTAAAATAGTAGAAAGAAGAAATGCATAGTAAAGATATCAACGAAATGACTATTTCTTCATCTTCTAAAGTTGGTTCAAAAACCATTAAAGTTAAGGCTACCAAATCTATTCAATATACTTTGTATTATGGTACATTTATACATACACCAGAACTCAACAATTTCGAAATCTGCTTCAACACAATCCTTGGAGTGAATGAAAGAGGTGTGATCGACTTTATTTATAAGGATTATAAACCAGAAGAGCATAATGATAAATCTCCAATAGAATTCTTTTTAGATTCACATGACAATGATGATCATCTGAGGAATAGATATAGACATGGACGTCTTACACTTGATTATATTGATTACTCTAATGACACAGATACATTTTTCATGCCAGGTTTCATCGATACTCATATCCATGCAAGTCAATTTCCAAATATGGGGATTGGATCAGATAGCACATTGTTAGATTGGCTTAATGATTATACATTCCCACTAGAGAAAGAATTCACAGATAATAATAAAGAAGGGAAGTTTCAGTTTTCTCGTGACATATATTCCAAGGTCATTAATAAGACTTTGAGTAATGGAACCACTTGTGCATCATATTTTACCACCATCGACAGCGCTACCACAAATTTATTTGCTGAATTGTTGTTGGAAATGGGACAACGAGGGTTCGTAGGGAAGGTTTGTATGAATATAAATGATGCATGTGAAGAGTATAAAGAATCTTTTGAGGATTGTCAAGAATCAATGGAAAATATAATTGTTCATTTGAGTAATATAAATCCGGACAATGAAACGTTGGTAAAGCCTATTGTAACTCCAAGATTTGCTCCTGTATGTTCAAAAGATCTTTTGGGATACTTAGGGGAATTAAGTAGGGATAATAATCTACCCATCCAGACTCATATTAGTGAAAATAAGAATGAAATTGAGTTAGTTAAGAAATTATTTCCCGACTTTCCCAATTATTCATCAGTATATGATGGATTTGATTTATTAACCAGTTCAACTATCTTAGCCCATGCGATTCATTTATCACCAGATGAAAGAAAATTGATCAAAAAGAGAGGTTGTTCCATTAGTCATTGTCCCACGTCGAATTCTTTCATTTCTAGTGGTGAAGCACCCATTAAACAATTTCTTTATCATGATAACATAAATGTTTCATTGGGCACTGATGTTAGTGGAGGGTTTGAACCATCAATATTAGCAACCATGAAACATTCCATACTTGTGAGTCATCACAGATGTATGAAATCTGATAAGCCTAACCGGGATAGATTAACTATTAGTGATGCGATATATATGGCTACTTTAGGTGGAGCCAAAGCTGTGGGATTGGAACATATGATAGGGACTTTTGAAATTGGGAAGAAATTTGATGCTCAATTGATAGATTTATCTTGTGAAGGATCCAAAGTTGATGTTTTTGATTGGCAATTACCAACTTCTGCTTTGGAACAAAATGAAAAGATTAGAAAGATGAAAGATTTGTTGGGAAAATTGATCTTTTGTGGTGATGATAGAAATTGTGTTAAGGTTTGGTGTAATGGTAGATTAATTGTTGATAAACATGCTAATAGAAGATATGATAGATGGGTAATGGTTAATAAATATGAATTAGACGAGTAGATAGATTATTTTATAGTCTTCCAAAATATAAATGTAAAGTTAATTGTTAATAAAATTCGCAGCAAAAATCTTTGCAGCCTTTCTTTCATTGCATTTGTCTAGTTTTAACACAACATCCTCCTGCAAACAAGTCCAAAATCTCCAGGGTAAAGTAGGAGGAATACAAGTGATGGACGGTAACGGTGTTTACTGGTTTCACAACGTACCGTACTCAGTGATGCGTAGAACTACCGATGTGATAATATTGGACTGAACAAACAACATGGAATCCTGTTAGGAGAGGTGCCTATCCTTTCTTGTTGTTGCAGAAACTACATTATTTTTTGCAACCAAAAGTTATGCAACACTCTTCACCAGATTCAATTATTATTTAATGCAACTTACGGATTTAAGAGAGTCATAGTTCAAAACGTGCATGAGCTCTATCTAATATTGGTTTTGTGGTTTAGGAAAGAAAATTTGGGGGATCTTAGTTGTATTTTGGTGGAGGGAGTTCATTGAGATATTCCGGCTGCAGAAAATTGAGAAAGAACGGGAACTAATAGCCTAATTAGAATAAAAGAGAAAGCAATGTGATCGCAATTGTGTATTTGTACATAGCAACTGACAACATGCAACTCAATGAAATCCAGCTTCCTTACTTTTATTGTGGAACATGGAAGTTCCTGACTCAGATTATTGCTTGTTTATTTTTTAATAACCTTTCTATCTATTAAATATAGGAGTAGCCATTAGCTACAAATTCTATTGTAAACACACCCCATGCAAAACTATTCATAATCATCACTGAACTTTTCTCTCATTTTCATAACTCTTTCAAATAATGAATTTTCCAAATCACCAGTATATAATCTAAGTACAATATCTTCAACATCCCATTCTTTATCTTCATAAGATTCAATTTGTTCTTGTAATTTAATCAATTTTGCACAATATTCTTCACTAATCAAATCGGGAGTAAACTTTGGAATTTTTGAATTTTGTAACAAGAATTCCCCACCGGTTTCGGGGAAGATATTTATTATCGTGGAGATTAAATTCAATAATTGTTTAATTCTGGCGTTATATTTCACATTCAATTCTTGTAAATTAACTGGATTATCACAAAGTTGTTTAGTCAGTGATCGAAGATGATATTTAATTGGGTCTGATTCAATATCATGACATAATTCAAATATCCACTCAAAATCGATTTGTGGAGGTATGTCCACCAATTTAGAATATTTCCAATCACATAACAAATCGATAGCTTTTCGAATAAGGGAATACTTGGAAGTTCCACTTGGATATCTTTCATAAATATTCATTTTCAATTCTGGTAATGGATCAGGGAAACTGGCGAAATTTTCAATTATGTCTTGAGAAAGGGAAAGATTTGGTACTTCTAATTTATAAAGTATTCCTTTGATATTACCCCAATGAACACAACTTTTGAGAGCAATCAAGACATCATGGGAATTTAAAGCGTCTTCTCCAAAATATTCTTCAATAAATTGTCTCATATATAATCCTTCTAATTTCGTACCTATATGATGATCAGTATGGAAAAAATTTAATTTACTTGCAATCATTAAATTGACTCCCCATTCAATATGTTGATCTGTAATTGGATGATCGAGAATATATTCGTCAGCGATTTGCGCTAATTCCCGGGGATCATATTTGGCATTCTTGATATGTAAAACACAATGATTCTCTTCCTCATACCATTTCTTACGTTCTAATACTTGGGCCATACCTAATATGGTGACACAGAATTCAGGGAATTGGTCTAATATCTCACCATTGTTAATGTTGGATAGGATATTAAATGCGGAAAGGAGTCCTAGATTGTCATCTAGATTTTCGGGATTGATAATTAAATATTTATCTTCTTGTCTAATTCTTTGAAATTGATTATTTACAAATCGATATTTTCTTCCCTTTTTGTTGTATTCTACTTTGGATAAAGAATCGATGGTGTTTAGAATATGATCAGAAACTTCAACCAAAGCATCAGATGTTGAAAGTAGTCTTGCTGTCATGGCTGAAAGTTAGTAAATATGTATCGATCAGTGATGGAAAAATGGTTGACGATTTTGTTTACCTTTTTTTCAGATCAAGAAAGTTTTCGCTTGTCGAGATTTTATATTGCATTGAAGGTCGCGTTCCTAACTTGTGCACATGTTACTTGATTGGGAAGTCAAAATAGGCTGCAGAAGAGAATGCTGTAACATCATACAACCTTGAAGAGATCTTCCAACACTAAATCAGCTTCGTCAAAGATAATAACGTACAAAACTTTAGTGGCACTAATTAAGTTTGAAACAAGAATGGACTCAATGTGTATCCTCGTTGTCTTTGATGCCAAGGAACAAGGAATATAAAAATCACAATTCGACAACAGGGTTGTGTGTGAACGTCCTCCATCAAAACAAAAAAATGTGTTAAATTATATAACAAACCAATCGGACTTCATTATTTATTTCTTTGAAGGATTCTAACTTGTTGCAAAAAGACAAAGTCTAATCCCTCGGTGCCTATCTCGCTTAAACAGAAAACAAAGACATCAGACAATGCCAACCTTATAGATTAACCACCGCCTGGTCTTGGCTCCCTTTTCTGCCAAAAGCCCAGACTCCGGCTATTCACTGCGACAATCGTTATGACACTCTCGCTTGATGGTGTTGTTGATTGGCGAATAACCTAAAATTTGGACCATACACCTGTCACGGATGCAACGGTGAAATAAAAAGGAACAATTAGGCGTATTTCACCTCTGATATCCTCGGTTAATCCAACACAAAACAATGAATTTAATTGTGGGTCTGTCGGAGTGGGAGAAAAATTTTTTTGGTCTTTCATAAAATAAATGAATCAAACAAGCGTTGTGTCAAGTTGTCAAAAAATTATACAGACACAATTAATTGAGGAGAATAAAAGGGAGCCTGTTCATTACTTTACTCCTTCTGAAATTCTTACTAATCATCTATCTACTGTAGTGCCAATGAACCGAGACTTCTTGATGTAGGTATTCTAATTAAATTAGAAAAACGGGGTTGCAGCTAATTTAAGGGATAATTGTTAATTTTGCCAAACTGGGGATTAAGAGATGTATACGACAGAATAAGAAAAAAAAAAACTCAAAAAAAAAGCAAAATATATTTTTTCAGCAATGTACGTCAAATTATTAAATAATATATGCCAAGAAGTTTTATAATTAAAAAATATGGAGAACATAAAAAAAATAAAATATTTTTTTTTAATTTGATCCCTTTTAACAATAGGAACAAATGTCGCAAACTTCGTTGTCATGACCAGTTTTTTATTGACAATGGGCTGAAATGATAATTAGTGTCAACTTGCCCAAACAATTCAGTCAAAGACCGTTATTATTCTATTGTTTATTGTTCTACGGGTTTGCCTGACTCATAGTTTAGGAGATTCTTCCAAGCTGTCATTTTAAATAATTATACGAATTAGGAAAATGACGATTTTGTGTTTCCCTTTCGTTTGATATTGTTTGGATGTTTACGAAGAGGGATATAAATTTCCATTTTTAGATCACTCTGTGGGTAAAATGTTCTTAAGAGCGGTCGCACATCGCTGCCATTTATATCACAGGTAGGCATGTTAAATTTGGGGTTTGATATGCAAATCCGCGTCAACTTTACAGATGAATTACCAGAATGTATGAGTCTAAAATGTTTACCCCATAAAAGACTAATTTCAGCTATAAATTTCTGGATAACCCTAAATTATTCAATTGAAAGATACACGAGGCTTCTAAGTTTAGCCCCTATGAATACCACCCTTGTAGTTAGTGCATTGGTAAACATGACAAGAAAAATGACAAAGGGTCATATGTCAAACCGAAAACAAGGGGGAGAGGTCTTTGAAATGAATTTTCTTATTTCAATTTTTATTTTTGGCATTGTTTTGGGGCTTTTGTTCGATGCTGCAGAATGGGTTAAATTGATTTGTATTTACAGTGTAGAAGTCTAGAACGTGACAAACAAATTTCTGGAAATAGAATCCACTCTGCATGGAATAGGTTTATTAAAGAGTATATTGTCAATATACAGTGCCTTCTTACAATATTGTAAATTCCTATTTAAAATACATGTGATTTTAAGAATGGTCAATGATGATCATTTGGGATTATTTTTATTTTTTAATGGTTGCAAAAAAATGACCAAACAAAAAAAAAAAGAATCAAAACCCACCCAAGTCATTCTAAAACATCACTTTCAATAACAACAATCATGCAGCAATGGACATACAATTCCCTCCATACGTAATAACCCACCCCAGGTATAATCAATTGTACTGCGTAAACGAATTAGTATCGAGAAGATTTTTTAGACCAATTTACATAAATAGCTTTTTGATTGTGTCACGAAAAGTTGAACCTTACAGCTTATGCATGATTGAGTGGCGGAGAAGGGAATGTTTCTTATTTGTCATTTTTATTCTTTGATTCCTTTTTGGTAACCATGTACGAGTTCATAAAGAATAGCTCAACAATTTAATTAATTAGCTCACTTTGTTATCTTATGTCTACAATATGTGGAGTTCGGTGAATTCATGGAAGCGCCTGTTGTCAAAACACACAACCCTTCAAAAAAAGTTAGATTCTTTTTCTAGAAGGGGTAACAAAGATGGAATGGGTTACAATTACTGGGCTAAAACGAAGAAGAATGTTGTCAAAATTCCAACATATTTCATTCCAAGCAAAAATATGTTTCCGGGGATAAGAAATCCAAACCTTAATTAATGAGGTTATGTTCTTATTGTCGTGATTGCATTCTATTTTGTGGAGTGTAAAGTGTATCCGTGTTTCTGTGCACACATTCGTACACCTATCCCAAATCAACCAACAAAAATAAATATTCCTGTGATTTTATGTGACTCGACGTATGCTGATGGATTTTGTTTTTGAAATATAGCTTCTTTCTTTCGAGGCGAGTAGGAAGAATATTTTTACATGAAACTGTTACCTTTTCTTTTGAAGATTCGGGATTTGAATGATTGATGATGTTTTAGATATTATTTTTAGAAATGTAAAGAAAATACCAAGTGAGATTTACGATTCAAGTCAATTAACAACCGAACTAATTCATCTGCGAATTGAGGTATTGTCTCTAACTTTTTTTGCTGGGATTACATAATGTGAAAGAGAGAGTGGGTGAGCGGGTCGGCGTTCGGTGTTTGGTGGTGGGGTTTTATTCATAACCTGTAGAGCTCTTAATAATCTCTCATGCTAAATAAATAAAATCTTAAAACCTTAAATTAAGGTTAATTTTGGTGTTTTTAAGAAATGTATTTGAAACTAGGGGTTACAAACCATATTTTCTAGAAGGATTCATTCAGATGAAGATACAGTTACGATTTTTTGGGGTTTTAGAGTGACTTCTTCTACAAGGATTTTATGAATGAATGAATGATATAATAAATAAATTAAAAAGCTAAATTACATATACAATATCAAAACTATTAACTGTCCCAAATATAATCTACAGTATCACATTATTGATACATTTAATGTCTTTCTCTCTCTCTCGTAGTGTCATCTACTAAAAAACCAAACAACGCGTTTTTCCAGTCTTTTGACCCTGTCTTTCTGATACCTATCCCTTGACTGGAACCCTTTTCTACCTAACTAGACCTTATCAGCTCTTAAACCAAATTCAACTTCTTTTGTTCTTTCAACAGTTTAATCTTTCTCCTACGAGCATTGATAAACCAATTACTCAATTGTTGTTGATTCAACCCAGTAGCCATCATCAATTGATTCTTCTCAAATGAATTTGGATATGGATGATTCAAATGATCATTCAACCATTTAAGTAAAATATACGTTATTTCTTTGGGAAGATTATTTCTCGTTTTGCGTTTCGTGGGAGGACTATCCAATCCCCCTTGATCATGACTTCTGATGGGATATGAATTATGTCTCATGATTCCTGCATGTTGGAGACCGGGTGGGGGATGATGACCAGCAATAGGATATGAATTTGCGCGTGGGTGTATTTGTCCAACGGAAGGTGTGGCTACACCGTAGAAGATGGGTGAAGCAGTTTGTGATAATGGTGAACCTAATGGGCTGGTTAACCGCACGGCATGGGCGCGTGGATCGTTGGTGTAATAGTAGTTTTGGTTAAGAGGTGGAAGGGACTGTGAAGGGACTGTCACTAATTGTGGTTGTTGTTGCTGTGGTTGTTGTTGTTGGTGAAGTGGAAGGGTTGGTCTAGTGATTTGTTGTATGGATGGAATCTGTTGATATGGAGCTCTAGGGAGCTGTTCGCGTGCCTGCACGACTTGATGGGGAATAGGCTGTTGTGGATGTGGATGTGGATGTGGTTGTTGTTGTGGTTGTTGTTGTGGTTGTTGTTGTGGTGATTGTTGCTGTGGTATTAATGGTGGCTGACGCAAGATGTCCGATATTGGTGGCAAACTTATTTTGTTAGCAACAGGCGCAGCCGTGTTTGTTGATATTGTGGTTGCAGGTAATATTGGTGGTGATTGGTTTACAAGTGTATTCAATTGCATTATGTGTGTGTTACTAATTGTAAAGTAAATGAATGAATATTAATAAATAAATCTAATGGAATTGTAAGAAAGTTTGTACATCAGACAATTCTTGATAAAGTTTTTATTGGAAATATAGGGTTCTTATATAATGACCTCATTTTTTTTATTTTTTGAGAAGTTTTCCTTTTGACGGTTAATGTATTATGATAAAAATAAAAAAAGATTTTTGCTTCCAAGAAAAATTTAGACATGTTATATGTGAATATTTTTTAGCAAATTGTAATATTTTTTAATATGCATCAAATCTAAAAAACGACAAGAAAGTTTAAATACATAAAAAATAATGATAATAGGACAGAATGAATTTTTAAAAAAAATACTTTATTTTTTTCCAGGGAACAAACCAAATCAAAGAAAAAAATTTATCGGGAGAACGATTTGAACATAGACCGGCAAAAAAGGTCCAAAAAATTGCCACTTGGCTTAGTAGAAAGAATTTGTGTACTTATGAGTTCATATTCCAGTACCACGTAGTTTAATATTCCCTTAAGCATTCATGGTTCCATAGTAGATCCAATGAAACCCTGTCAACTGTCTCCCCGAAATAACAGGTGACATTCCTCATTATTTTTAGTTTCGAACTCTGGCTTAATTTTAATTCCGCATGATTGCGCAAAATTTCCCATTTTTTTTGTTTGAATTAAAGCCCTGCTTCAATCCTAAGGGATTATTTTTTATTTTCCATTGCAAGTCACATATTTATTCTTATATAGATTATATAATATGCTACTGGGAAAATAAACAATTCGTTAAAAGTTATTCCTTTCGATAACAGACAAGTCGTTTGTCAGTTTTATAATTCAAAGAAATAGTCACATGTGTGAATGAAACGTCACCTAGAATTCAATTCTGTGTGTAAAGAAACTAAAACGTCACCCCGGAATCATTCAACGCTACAACATACATGAGATACAGATGAATGAATTGACAGACATTTTAGAGGAAAAAAAAAAAGAAAAGTCTATAGAAAAATGTCTTGTTGTGATCACAAAATATGAAGAAAAATGAATGACGGGGGTGGTGGCCCATTTCTACATAATAGCGAAGTTCGGTACAGTAGTTTATATACTTACATATCTTCTTTAAACGGTATCGATTAAATTATACACTAAAATTATAAACTATAATATATAAACTGATACTGACCCTCTGATACATATAGGGCATAACGTTCTGTAGAAATGGTAAAAACCTTTTATAGGCACTTAGGTACATATGAAACGCAGGAAAAAATACGCTGAACCCCTATCTCCGTACTCACTACACGCAGTTAATGTCAACTAAGTATCGAGAATAAAAAAGATAGATACCGAAAGATAACTTGTTTGAATCGAACCATTTTTTGATATTTTGGGGAGTGTCTATTTTTCTATTTCAAACAGAATCTATGTATGTTAATGTCATTTTTCTTAATCTTGAAATGAATTCAAGACATTCGGGTTGTCTGTCTGTTTTTATGGTTTCAGAATTATTTTTTTTTCTGGTGAAAGGCAGGAGACAGACACAGCAACTTACGAAAAAATATCCAAGACTTTTTTCACCTACAGATCAGGTAGGCAGCAAATGGGGGCTTGCAATTACGAGAAACAACAAAAAAGAAAGAAACAGAAAGAAAAAAAAACTTTAGGTTCAAAGCCTCGTTTGTGAATTTTCTTCTTTAAAAACTAATTTCACATTGTTATTTAAAATAATTGGAACACACAGCAAATTTGGGATGGTTTAGCGAGACATATATTATAAACGTTGTTTTGGTTTTTAAGATTTATAGTCAAAAGAAACTATCATCAGTATATTCTATCTATGACGAAACCACCTGCTTCTCCCCATTGTTTTATAGTTTTCTAATCAGCATATGAACCCATGTTTCAAAGTTTAATATAAAACAAAGTTGATTTTTTAGTTAAGAAATACTTTGACATGTCTTTTTTTTGATTTCAAGAATATTTTTTTCTGATTTTTTTGAGGTACAAAAACCCTCCCGTGATTCTCTTGTAATTAGATCTTTGTCTAGATTGAAATAAAACGGGAATGACGGGTATTCATAAATTTAAACCCAAAGCGCAATTGATGCTTGGAGTAATACAATAGGTATCATTGTTAAATCGTTCTGCTGCTGATCGTATACGCAACAGTTATTTTAACCGTATAGCTCATCATCTATTTAAGTAATAAATATATTATGATTTTGACATATTCCGGAATAGGACAGCTGTCTATTTGACGACCCCCAATTGGATGTTTCTAAAACAAAACACCGCAAACAAAACAGAATTTCTTGGTATAGAATTTTTATTTTAAGCTTCTAGAGTTGAAGTGGTTGAAGTGATTTTTTATTTTTTTGCATAGAAAAAAGTGCTGCAAGATGTCAACTTTTTTTCTTACCAAAAAAAAAACAACCTCGGTTTTGGGGTTTTCTCACTAGGCTATAAATATATTAGAAATTATTTCCATACAGGAATATTTTTCCGAATTATACAGTGCTCTGTCACCAACTGATACCGGGTGAGTTATTTATACGGGAAGCAAGCTTTTATCTAAAAGAGAAATAAAGTAAACTCATGATTACCAACAAGCTAATATTCGAAGGTGTCTTGCATAAGAGCTATTTTCTTTTCTAATTTTGGGTACGAGAGTTGAGATAAACTTTTATTGCCAAGACGTTTTCTATCAGTATTTATTATGAAGTATGGAAAAAAAAATTATAGTAAACAATAAAAGTGATTGAAAAATAATTTGAAACCGCAATCAAATCTATATTTACATAAAAGAAGAAGAATTGACAAGAAAATTCATCAAATATTTCGTAAACGACATTTTTTTTGCAGTTATTTATCTTAACAGGGTTTTAGTTTTGTAACTCCATCTGTCTATATATTGTATGTATCTACATGTATATTCCTGTCTTGTCTATGTCTGTCTATCTGTATCTAGAAGGATTTTTGCGTTTTTCTTTTTTTTTTTCCTTGTCAAAGTCGAATGATATTTCTATTGTTGATTGTCTCGTTTGTAAAAAAACAAAAAAAATAATGTTGATATTCCAGAAAAATGTCAATTTAAAATTATTTTTTAAATTAACGGATTTCCGATTTATTTATTATTTTTTTATTTGCGGTAGAGTAATGCATTGATCTGCCTGGGGTTTTTGATTTTGACTGACATGGAGTGTCAAATTACCAAGTGAATCTTATTGTCAGACACTTTTTCTTAATTCAGAATTAGTCTTGAAAGAAGGTGAAGCCAGACATGATAAAGAGAAAAGCAAATATTGTTCAATTGTCTTGGAAATTTGATTATTGGAGAAGGTAAGGGAATTCATAATTATTGTAGTAATTCCTTTTTAAGGGGGGATAAACCCGATTAGACGGAGTGCGGAGATATACAACGCCAACCCAAAAAGTTGACCACTCAACTATCTGATTCCCCTTTCAATCTTGCATGGTAAAGCTATTCTTGGTAAGTACCTGTTCTATTTCTTTTGCTTTTAAATACTTTACAAATAGCCGAAGATTGTTGCAGTAAGATCAGGCTATTTCTGACTTTGAGGCGTGCAACTACAGATATCTTACAATGACAAACCCCGTAACCGCAGTATTCAGCCTTAACTATTGTTTTAATGGGCGTAACGATACAGTAAAAACATGCATTACCTAATTTTACAGTAGTCTTTCGTTTAAATTTCATGTGGAAGAATAAGCTGAAATGATGGCGATTGATCACCGGCCTTTGCATTAAATGGTTACATCACTATGTTGTATATTGCTACTATAATGATAAGAGATTTAAAGTTATTTCTATAATTGCATCCATAAGGAGATGCACTGGTGAGTCATCCTTCTCTGACTATCTAAGTTTGGCTAAGATGAAATTGATAAAACAAGACATTACCACCGCGGATATCATCTCATGACTAATGGCTGTGTAACGAATACATATTAATTAATACTATACACACATTCTAAATCTATAACTTTTCATTCAACAATTTTTCAAATTGATTCTTATCATATTTAACGTATTTTGATTTATTCTTTGTGAAATCACTATTAGCATATTTATCATATAATTTATAATAAGCATTAATAATCAATTTTTTAATTTCATTCGAAAGATAATTTCTTAAATTTTGATCTGATATTGAATAATTTTCATAATTCCTTAAAGCTTCTTCAAATGATTCATTAAATCTCTTGAATAATTCCTTAACTTGTTCTCTTTCTTTTGATGATAAATTACCCACAGTCCCACCAGTACCTACACTGGACCCACCACCCCCTTGACTATGATGATGAGAGGCGGCATTTTGGGTAGCGATTGTTGTCATATCACTAATGATTATAAATGAGGCATGATTCCAATCTTCAAGGAAATGTTTCAAGAATCGATTTTTTAATTTATTCAATCTTTCAACTCCTAAATGACCCATACTTGAAAATAACTCTTTTGAACGAGTTACAATTGATTCTACCATGGTTATATTTTTGATTAAGATAAAACCCTGGGTTGATTTCTTAAGCGGTGGGTCAGGATAGGTTTTGAGTCCGATTTCAATATTGATCATAATTGAATCAATTACATCGGAATAAAATGATGAAAGTAAGAATTCCGGATTTTTTTGATCCGCAGGATTACCTGAATTGGGTATGACTGAAGTATAAACATTGATGAATTTAGCTGGTGGACTGATGATTAACCAATCACCAAGATTATAACTAGATATAAGAATCAGGAGACAACTTTGGAATTCACTGATTTTACGAACTTTACTCATTAAATCAACAATGATTTCGGGTACTCCAATATCGGTATATTTTTCAAATGATTGGAATTTGTTTTCGATGAATCTAATGAATTCACGGAATATTGCTGAACTTTTGGTAATGAAATTTCGAACTGATGCATTATATTCTTTACTTTCGAGTTCGATAGTTTCTATATATGATTGGAATTTTAATAAATTATCGACAATTTCTAATAATAAGATAATATTATCAATCATAGCTTGTGGCGAATCGAAATAACGGGATATTCCTCCAATGATTTTCCCACAATATAAATCCACTAAAGTTTCATATACAATTGGTTCAATCATTGACAAAGGTAATTGCGTCTGGTTCAATATCTTAATTTCATCATCAATCTTTGCCATTAATACATGATTGAATTTAATTATTCCATTTGAACCTTTTTCATATGGAATATTTTGATTACGGTTTTTGGGTTGTACATCTGGTTCTAAAGATTTCATGGTTTGCAATAATAGATTACCTCTTGCCTTTATATATAATTTATTAATATAATCATCACCATCAGTTCCAGTTTCTTGAAAATGCTTGAAAATAAACTTCAATTCAGTAATTTGATTAGCTTTATTCTGTAACAAAACATTTGAATCCAAACTAATTAATTTTTGGAAATATCCTTGAGCTTTTAAATCTGATTTATCAATCAATGTCTCAAAATTAATTAAAATTCCTTTGAATCGTTTAAATTTACTTTTAATTTCTTTATATAAAACTTTCAGTTGTGCCAAAGTATTAACATATTTTGCAATTCCAACAACATCAACCGGATTATTTAAGATATTTTCATATTCATTAATAGTAGCAGCAGTCTCACTAACTTCCTGAAGTAGACTTAACCCCTTTTCTACTTCTGCTTTGTTTTTGGTTAATTTATTGACATCAGCTAAAACAGGTTTAATTGTACTTGAAGCTCGCATTGATTTATCGGCAATTTTGGTAAGTGACTTACCAATTGTGGAAAATAATTCTTTGGATTTGATTAAGTTTTGATTGAGGACAGCGATGTCCGCCTCATCGACATCTACTTTGTATGGCATGGGAATAATTAGGGTGATAGGCTTGTTGCTGATAGAAAGAGTAAAGGTGTGTAATTATTTTCAATCTGATGTTTGAGTTGTCTTATCTGGTGAGAGCAAAAAAAAAGTATTACCCGGATTCAAAGTTTCTCAAATATTGTACCCACCTGGGAGGCATATGAAAAGATAGCAATCTATAAGCGGACCTTTTGTGATGAAAGCATGGTACCTGATAATTGTAAATGGTTGTCAATTGTTATGTCTCTCTAGTAGAATAGCTAACATTGGCTACCTGAAATTAGTTTTATCCAACTCTTGAAGGACTCACTGGAGATCACTGAAAATTGAATGATCATTTATCTCGCAACATCCATTAGATGCACAGCTGTGTTTGATTACAGATACCTTCTTAAGCTATTGCCTCAAACCAAAGCAATCTTATCAATACGAGACATGGATAGTTCCTGTACCTTTTGGGTTGTTTTATGTAAGATGGGGTAAGATCTATTGGTAGCTCCGTTTGTTTATTAACAACCGTGACTCATCAAACTATCTTCTCTGTTTTTGTTATTGAAACATCAATAACAATAACAGATATCGTATTATGAGTCAATTGAATCGATTTAAACATTTATTTGGTAAAGCATATAAATACTTCAATAAATATCATCTGTCAACAATATCCCCAATCAAACGGAATCTCATCACTCTAGAGAAGAAAAATTTCAGCAGCAGCAATTTTTCACATCATCAATTCAAAGTAACACTTCCCCATTACAAAAAGTATTCAACAAATTCAATTGGACTAATAATGAAGGATTCCCAAGATGACGTAATTGAACTTTGTAATCAACTCACAGAATCAACAAAGCTAAAGAAAAACGGAAGATGTATAAGAACAACTCATATAGCCAATAATTCCAATATTCAAATTGATTCCTGGAAATTTCTTGATTGGGATTACGGTAAGGAAAAGATTAAATTACCTATCCAAGCAAGAGGATTATTCACCACTAATAACAATACGATTGTTGTAAGAGGATATGATAAATTTTTCAATGTGAATGAGAAATCCATCACCCGAGAAGAGAATTTGAAAACCCAGAATAAAGGTCCTTATGAAGTTACATTGAAAGAAAATGGATGTATTGTATTTATAGGAGGGTTAGAAAATGGTGATATTATTGTCTGCTCCAAGCATTCGACTGGGAAAAGGGAGACGGATACCTCTAAGAATCATGCCCTTGCTGGTGAATCACAATTGAAGAAACAATTAGGGAATGATGAGGCGAAGATAAAGGAATTGGCTAAATATTTATACAAGAATAATATGACGGCTGTAGCGGAATTCTGTGATGATGAGTTTGAAGAACATGTTCTTGCATATCCTAAAGAAAGAGCTGGGTTGTATTTACATGGATTAAATTATAATACGATTCAATTTAATACTGTTTCTATGGAAAAAGTTTATGAATTTGGTGAAAAATGGAATTTTAAACAAATCAAATCGTTAAAGTTTGATGATGTGAATGAATTATTTGAATTTTTACATAAATGTAGTGAAACTGGGAAATATAAAGATCAAGAAGTTGAAGGGTTTGTTATTCGATGTAAGGATTCCAATGGTCATGATTTCTTCTTTAAGTATAAATTTGAAGAACCATATTTATTATATCGTCAATTTAGAGAAGTTACACGAGAGTTAATTAGTGGAGTCCCTATTCATTCAATTCGAATGAAGAAACATAAATATATCACTAAGCAATATCTTGAATTTGTTGAACAATTATTTAAAGAACAGCCAGAATTAATTGATCAATTTAGACATGGACATGGGATTATTAAAGTCCGTGAATTGTTTTTACAACATTTACAAGAAAGTAATGGAATGAATTTATTAACTCTTGAAGCTAAATTAACTGAAGAAATGCAGAAATTAAATATTGATGAAAATATTAAATATGTATTGGTTCCAATTGCAACTATTGGATGTGGGAAAACCACGGTATTCGAAGCTTTAACGAATTTATTCCCCGATTGGATTCATATTCAAAATGATAACATTAGTAAGAATTCCAAATTAAAGATTGTTGATTTAACCTTGAAAGCATTAGATAATAATCCTGTTGTATTATTTGATCGTAATAATGCAGAATATAGAGAAAGAACTCAAATGTTTACCAGTATGGCTCAGAAAAGAGATCAATATATTGATCCATTAGTTCAGATTAAATATATCGCATTGAATTTCATTCATGATATAGATGAAGCAGAATTATGGGATTTGACATTTGGAAGAATCAAAAAGAGAGGAGATAATCATCAATCTATCAAATCTAGTACTGATGAGAATTTGGCTATTAATGTAATGAAAGGGTTTATTAAACGATTTAAACCATTTGATGCGGAAAAGAAACCTGATTGTGATTTTGATCATGTTATTCATTTGAAGTTGACTAGTGAAGATTCATCATTTGAGAATGTAAAGATGATAATTGATGATCTTGAGAAGAATTTCAAACAACTAATCACAAGAAAACCAACCGATGAAGAAATTAGACAACTGTTTAAGTTGGCATTGGAATATAAACCTACATTTACGAAAGATATGTCAGAGACTAGGAAAAAAAAAGACCCATCATATTTTGGGATAGCGATCGACCATCAAAGTCTAGTCGACAGTATTAATGAAGTGATATTGGGCAATAAGTCATGGATGGAATTACAGGAAAGTAATAGAGTACAAGAAGAATTTCATGTGACTTTAGGACATGTTATGACAAGTAAAGAAAATGAAGAACTTCGTAATAAATGGAAAGAACTTGGAACGAGATTCAAACATGAGAAACCTCAATTAGGGAAGAATTTACTTGATTTTTATTGTGATGTTAAGTTAGACCAAATTGTGATTAATAAAGATAAGTTAATCTGCGTTAGGGTTGAATTGTTAGATGCTTATGATTCGGATTTCAAGAAGTTAGACAAGATTGATTATTTGAATACATATTTACATATTACAGTTGGTACATTCAAACCAGAGATTAAACCAATGATGTCAAATGAAACATTAACAAAATTATATAAAGATTCTACAGAATTGAAATCAGACGGTCAGTATATATTGAAAGAGAGTGATGAAGATGATGATATTGAGGTAATTAACTTTAAGAATGACGTAATTCTTGAAAAACAACGTTTATTTGCTTTTCATTAACATAGGGACTTAGACAACGATACTGTAAATAGAATGGAGTGAATAGAGTGTATAAATACATAGAAAAAAAAAGTTTCACACTGCCTCCCTCGGGCTTTGCATTTGTAAGCATTTTTACAATTATTAGATTAATAGATTATACGCCAGTAGATTAACAAAGCAGTAATAGTGTAGATATGTTTGAATTTATAACATCATGGTTTAAATCAAGCCCAGTACCAACCGAAATAATTGAAGAAATTAATAATACTATCAAATCTAATAAAATCGTTGTATATTCAAAATCTTATTGTCCATATTGTAATTCAACTAAACAATTATTAGAAACTTTACAACAAGAATATAAAGTGGTAGAATTAAATCAAGTAGATCAAGGTTCTACTATTCAAAGAGCTTTACATGAATTAACTGGTCAAAGTACTGTTCCTAATATCTTTATTAATGGGAAACAAATTGGTGGGAATTCTGATATTCAACAATTACATATTCAAGGGAAATTAAGAGCTTTATTAGATTAGATTAGTTATTAGATTAGGTTTAACTAGAGCCTTATAGTATATAGAATGTGTATACATAGAATATAAGATATTTGTTTATGTGTTTTAACGTTTCATCTTGTAGCATATTTGCTCTTTTTACAACCAATCGAATTTCATTTTCTTATCAAATCCTCTTATGAGTTTGAAGTTGACCATATGGGAATGAATGGGAGAACATCAACAACTGCCAAGGGACAAAATACGTTCAACGATACGAAAACAAGTATGTCTCATCATACTTCCATTTCTTCTATTCATTCTACTCCTGTTATCAATATGTTTATTTCAGTTCTTACAATATAAGATCCAACACAATCATGAAATCTCATTCATCGACATTCATCAACTCAACAATCTGATTAAACAACAACTACAAAGATCATCCATCCCAACCAATATCAAATCTAAATATGGATATTATCATAATGATAAAGATATTTTTGATCCAAGATTATATCCTGCACTATCACTAAATTCATTAATCCAATCAACAAATATAAACAACAACATAGATCCTACGTTCAGCATACCATTTAGTTGGGATGTCGTTATCGCCAGACCATCAATAGATAATCTCGATTCATTTACATGTTTAGAATTAACGAAATATGCAAATTTGAATTCGCTCTTGTCACAATGTCATGACGTATTAGGTAGATCTAGGACAAGATTCAGAATTGATGGACCAATCGATGAAACGATGTCTGAACAAGCGAGAGTAGTTGTTGGATATAATTATTTGATGAATTCGGCGCCGATTCCCAAACAGATCATGTATCTTGGAGCAGGTGGCACTCATGGTGTTGATAGTCTTATGGTTCCTACTAGTAACAGTTGTTCCAATTCAGGATCTATAAGTGCTTTAATAGAAAGATCAGCAGGAATGAAAGACAGCATTAGCTTGATTGAAGTTATTACAAGCTTAAGAAACACTTGGAATAAGCATGCAAACAGTCTTGCTTTCATACTGTCAAATATCCCTCAATCCACAATAACAATCATACACCTCCCAAACTCCAAACCCACCCTATCCAAGTCCGATTTCATCAACACCCATTTGAACACAACTCATGCCGAATTCAAATATTTCCACGAATCCCACGTCAATCACTCTTCCAAAGGCAGCCATTATGACTGGCGTTTCTTCAAACAAATAACCTATTCACCCTATGAACGAAAAGCCATCCTTCATTCCCTCACTCGGGCTTGGTTGCATTTTGCCCAGGGGATAGGTATCAGGACCTGGCTAGCTCATGGGACGTTATTGGGTTGGTATTGGAATGGAATTAATTTGCCTTGGGATGATGATTTGGATGTCCAGTTGCCAATGGGGGATATGGAGTTGCTTGTGAAATATAATCTGACATTTGTGTATGATTTGGGTGTTGATGAGGGATTGAATACTGGAAGTGGTGGATATTACCTAGATGTGAATCCAACGTTCATGAACCAAGGTGATGATAAGGGAAATAATACGATAGATGCGAGGTTTATAGATGTGAATAGTGGGATGTATGTCGATATTACTGCTTTGGGATATAGCGACGCTTCAATATTGAATTCTACGATTGAAAAGCAATTTGGAAATAAAGCAAAAGAATTCAATCAGGTTATAGATAATGATTTTTTGGAAAAGCGTGATTCTATGACAGTTGATCAGGAAGTATTAATGAATTCATTGGAGTCTAAGAAAGTTGAATTATTGAATCTGAAGAATTTGTTTAATTGTCGAGATGATCATTTTTATATATTGGAGGATTTGCATCCATTACGACAAACATTGTTTGAAGGGGTTAGAGCTTGGGTTCCTGCAAACTATAAGCGAGTTCTCCGGAGAGAATATCCATTAGGACTTAGAGCGAAGAAATATAAGGATTATTTGTATAGACCAGTTCTAAGACTCTGGATTCATAAAGATATCTGTAAAGGTGATGGTATTGGGAATGAATGTTTGGATGAGGATACTTTATTGGAGTTTAAATATACCGGGAAGATGACTCAATTACATAAGAATGAGATGTTAAGAAGAGATACTGTGAGTTATTCACTTGATGATGAATTGGAATCGTTTGTTATTTATCCTTGGATTCTTCACAGAGCAAGAACTATTCAAGAGTCATAACTTCATAAGAATCGTGATATTTTTGGCAGGGAGTACAATACATAGATCTATAGACTTCGGGTTATTTTAATATATCTTTTAATAGTTCAACTGCCCATAAATGAATCTTAACAAAAATACCAGTATCATTTGTTAATTCAACTAAAGATTTGGGTTTAATTAAAGATCGTCTAAGATATTTCTCATTGCCCAACATACCAAGATTACTACCATTTGCTGTATCTCGTTTAATATTCTCTTCTGTTATAGTTGCAACTCTTTGTTGAATCATATCAATAATTTCATTGAAATAAATTGTTATTATATCCCAATTCATTAATAAATCAGTTTCAGAATCTGAAATTAACATTAATGAATATTTCCTTTCTGATCCTCGAGCATTTAAATCATTTATTTTAAATATTTTATTTATACAATATCCATAAATCATATCCCCATAAAACATTGGTTTTGATGATTCTGCTGTAGTTTCTACTGATAATGATTTCATAACCAATTTAGTTAAGGATGTATATCGTTTTTGCGACAATGGATAATGAGTAGATATGAAAACTCGAGTGGTATTGGCATTGCTATTGGCAGTGGAATCTTTAGTTACAATATTGACTGCATCTTCATCAGGAAGGATTAATTGACATGATGAACATACTTGGACTCGAGAATTTGAAGGTAAGATATATTCTTCCTTTTTATTTTCGGTAGTAACTTGAGTGCAAACTATTGTGGATGGTCCATGTAGTTCACAGAAGTGAGCTAGACATACAATGTAATTGGCCATACTATCTTTTATATGGCCTTTTTCCCCTAAGAAGTAAATATAGTTTAAAGACGACGTTGAAGTGTTCTGGTGTTGCGCTTTGGTTCCTTCAATTGCTCCCGTTCTACACGCGCATCAGAATCTTTTTTTCTGTTGCGCCGCATCCATGTCAATCGCCCAAACAAGATGGTTGTTAATAACTTCGCACGGGAAGAGAGACACTGACAGTATGAATTTTTGAGGGATGGAAAATTTTCAATTTCAAATTTCATTGCCAGGAGACGAAGTAACAACCTATACAATATGAGTACAGAAACAAGTATGTATTTCAATTCTAAGAGTATAAACTTATTCATCTATGAGCCAATGCTAACCCTGCCTATTTAGAAACCGCAGCTACAACTCCAGATTATACAATTGCCAATTCTGATGTTGTTTCCAAATATAAAACAGCTGGTGAAATTGCCAATCGTGTCTTGGCACAAGTCAGAGCATTAACTATTGATGGTGCTACTACTTATGAACTTTCAGTTAAAGGTGATGAATTATTAAATGAAGAATTATCCAAAATTTATAATTCCAAGAAGACTTCCAAAATTCCAAAAGGAATTGCATTCCCAACTTGTGTTAATCCAAATCATATTCCTGCTCATTTAGCTCCAATTAGTGAAGATGATGAAGCAAACATTAAGTTGAAGGATGGCGATGTTGTTAACATCATGTTGGGTGTTCAAATTGATGGGTTCCCAGCTATTGTTGCTGAAACTATTGTTGTTGGCGAGAGTGCTGAAAACCCAATTACTGGTAAAAAGGCAGATTTATTACATGCAGCATGGAAAGCTTCTGAAGCAGCCATTAGAACTTTTAGACCAAAAAATAGAAATTGGGATGTTACCAATATTGTTGGGAAAGTTGCAAAAGAATTTGAATGTACTCCTGTTGAAAGTATGTTATCTCATAATCAAGAAAGAAATGTATTATATGGATCTAAAGAAATCATTATTAATCCAACTAAACAAAATAAAAGTTCTATGGAAACTGTTAGATTTGACGAAAATGATGTTTTCGGATTAGATATTTTGATTTCAACTTCTGCTGATGGGAAAGTTAAACCAGGTAATTATAGAACTTCCTTATATAAACTTACTGGTAATTCATATGCTTTAAAGATGAAATTATCTCATAAAATTTTAAGTGAGTTTAAGACCAAATGTAATAATCAACCTTTCCCTTATAATATCCGTAATTTAGATGAACCAAAGAAATCAAGAGGTGGATTGGCTGAACCAACTAACCATAAGGTTCTTTTACCTTATGATATTGTTGTTGAAAAGGAAGGTGAATATATTGCTCAATTCTTTACTACCTTTGGTATCACTAAGAATGGTATTGTTAGATATACTACTCCTACTTTTAACCCTGAATTATATAAAACTGAAAAAGAAATTAAGGATGAAGAAGTATTAGAAACTTTGGCCCAACCTTTAAAGACTCCAAAGAAGAAGGCTGCTCCAAAGGCTGAATAGGTCATTCTCTAATAGACGTTTGTTCTTTCACCTTTGCTGCAACTGTTCTATTTTACTTATATATCTATATAAATTATCTCTTACGTGGATAATATTCTACGACTGTCAATAAAACATGTAACGAATCAGATATCTTCATTCTTATAAAGCATCAACGGGCTCCTCGGGTGGAAAGGAATATAAGCCATGTCGATCTGATCATTGGCAAAAATCGCTGAACTGACAATTTTTTTTTTTTGAATCCAATTTCAAAATCTGAGATTTCAAAGTCAAATATCCAAAACCTTTCAAAAGTCAAGTTTACATCCACAATGAGTGCTACTCCTAGGGATCCACATACTGGAAGATTTACTTCTGGTAATGGACGTGCTCGTATGGTCAAATTAAATTTGCTGCGGAACGGTCAGATTACAATTAAATCCACCTCCACGCCCACTACGCCTGCTACTCCAACCAAGAAACTCAACAGCAAGATTCTAAAACCATCGCCAGGTTCCGGTCGTCTGGGATCAACTACACCAACTCCTACACCACCCAAGAAAGCAGAGAGTGATCCTTCGGGTTCTAAATTGAAGAGAAAATCTGCCCGGATTGCCGAAAAGGAAGTCTCATTGGAGAATACCCCTCAACTTGGTCCATCTCCAGATATTCACGAAGGAGGAGCCAGGGGTGTGATACATACCAATGGACAAAATGATAATGGTAGTGGTGGTGTTGTTTATAGAAATGGTGAGAAGGTGTTTATAGAACCGAAATTGGCAGAACCTACGCCGATATATACTGGATTATCATTGGAATCATTCCCTAGTGCCAAAGTGAAAAAGGAATCGTTATGGCCCGCTAAATATAGACGATCGTCGAATAGAAGTGGTAGTGGTAGTAATTCGACATCACGAGAAGGGTCAGCAGTTCCTGGTGCAGGTGGAAATGTGGCATCACCTACAGCTGCGGGTGGACAACCAACTGGTGTTGGTATTATTTCGTTAGATGAATTACAAGTAGAACCAGAAATTGAAAAAATATACAAGAAAGAATTGAAAACGAAGTTAGGTGAACGGCTAACGGAAGATAGTGAGATTAGGAACCCCGTGGCAATAAAGTCTCGTCCAATGAGAACGGCAAAATTGAAACTTATTGTCAAAACACCCAAACCAGAACAACAGCAATCGCCATCGCGATCAAAGAAAAGAGGCAGTGCGAAAGATGATAATAATTCAAACGTATCACCAAAACGAATCAAGATCATATCACCCAAAAAGCCATCTGGTACCAACTTAAATGCCCCTGGTGCAGCAACAACAACGACGATAAATAAAGTGGAATTGGCGACATCCACAAGCCAAGAAAATAATGATCCTACTAAAGACAATGATGATTTTTGCTTTGCATGTGGTGGACCAGGGGTATTTATATGTTGTGAAACATGTCCCAAATCGTTCCATTTCACTTGTTGTGACCCCCCAATTGAGGAAGCACCTGAAGATGATTGGTTTTGTCGTGAATGTACTGCGAAACGAATTCCCGGCCTTGTTAAGAATTGGAATGAGATTGGGATTTTTGGGGAATTGTTGAATCAGAATGAAACAAGAGATCTGAAGGTGTTTCAACTTCCTAGACATTTAAGAGATGAGACGTTTATTGGGGTGACAACGGGAGATAATGGTGATTATTCGGATGATACTATGAAACCGGATATACCGGTTGGTAAAAGCTCAGGCACCCAGATTCCGGGACATAATAGAAATAATGATTTAGAAATTGAAAGTTTGTATGATAAATATGGGAATCCTTATTTATGTCACAAATGTGGAGAATCTGGATTAAATAATAGGACGTTAATTCAATGTGATTATTGTCCACTTGTTTGGCATATTGATTGTTTAGAAGAACCAATGTTTGGCCCGAAAACTATTGGAAATAAATGGCGTTGTCCAAATCATATTGAACAATTATTCCCGCCTGGCTTCGCCAAAATGCGACAATTTAGAGATACGAAAGTTGTTGATAACACACTACATAGTAATTTCCTTAAGATTGCCGCCATGAGTAATATTGTCATTAAATTTGATGATCAACCATATTTAAAACCAGAATCAACACCAGAGTTAGAAGAATATTTAGAATATCAATCAAAAGATTTCATGAATTCAGAAAAGGCATATCAAAATGCCAAGATCTTGAAAAATTGGGGGAGGAATATGGAGGCAATCCATCCAGAATATGAAGTTCCGGATTATTTCCAAACTGTATCCACAAAAAATGGTGTGGCGGCAATTGCATCTACACAACTTGCAAAAGTTATTAGCATGACTTGTCCGAGATCGGATGGGTCCAAAGATTCATTTATTTATCGAATTCCTGAAAGACTGATCATATTGGATTTTGTTTCCAAGACAAAGGCAGAGTCAGAACGGAAGAAAAATAGGGTTATGGAAGACATTTCTCATTATGAAGAACAAGGAAAGGTCGAAAGAGAACGGGATGAATCTGATGCGGTGGAAGGACTTAAATTGATGAAGGAGAATAGTAATAAGAAACTTAATTTTAATGAATTGTTAGAAGCTGTTTCTCTAGCTGTGAGTGAGAAACCGTCTACTGACGACTTGAAAGATGAAGAGATCAAAGAATTACTTCAAATTAAGAAGCTTATGGAAGCAAAGGGGAAAGCAAAATTATTAGAATTCTTACATTCGTAAGTCCTTGAAACCTAAAGTATTTATTAAAGACAACATTAGTGCCATTAGGGGGAAGGTAGGGGATGTCTGTATGTATGCAACGAAATCTGTATAAACATGCTCTATGTACAAGTAATGAATATTTCTAACTCCTTCTTTGGGCAATCAATTCTCACTGTTTTTCTTTTTATCACTAGGACGAGTCAGAAGGACTGGGATTTCTTCTTCAGGAACTTGTTTAGCTTCTATATGCTTAATGAACTCTTCAAAGATAAGACTTCGAGGTTTTGATTTACAATCAAGTTCGAAATTATCCTTTTGATCAACTCCAAAGACTTTTAATTTAACTGGACATTTTACTTCTTCAGTTTCATCTGCAAGTTGAATCTTTGTTACTCGGAATCCAAAATCATCATTATGAAATTTCAAAGTAGGAAGATTGGTTTTCCAGAATTCTTTAAGACCTTCTGCTGCTTTCATCTTTTCATTTAATTGTAATTCAAGACCAGTGAACTTCTTTGTATTAAGTCTAAAAGCGGTCGCTGGGCTACCAACACCAGCAATTCTATTTAATCTGTGAACTTGGGCAACTATTGAAAATCTAGGAAGAGTCGCTGAAACCATCTTTATCGTATGTGTTTATCTATTTTAGGAGTGGATATGATTTGACAATCAACAATGATTGATAAATCTAAGAAGAAACAAGAATGAAAATTTTTTAGAGTGCAGGAAATATTGGGACTTCGTACACGACTTTTTCTGTTGCAAAACGATTAAGCTAGCTAGAGTTACTTCCCCAGTATTGGCTTATTGTCAATTAGATCCAATACATATAGAGCTATTAGGGAGGTTGACTGTAGAGGGATATAGCTGATTGGAATATGATTTAGTATAGAGAGTTTTCGTTGCTTTCCCTCTCCCTTTCTCTCTTTCTCCTTATGTAAATATTTACCTTCAATTTTTTGTCAATTTTTTTGCAACACTTAAGTCTCTGTAGTTTATTTTTTGCAACAAGCAAATTAACTATCGAATTATAATCAAACATTATCAAGTACAAGTAAAAATGATTGTTGCTTTCTTGTATTGGTTGAATCATAGATTCCGAGTATTCTCCAACTTCATAGTTGGAAACACATTTGAACCAAAATTTGATATTGTATTAGTTACTGGTGGTGTTACTGGATTAGGTAAAGAAATTGTTCTGCAACTTGCTGCTAGAGGAGCTAAACTTGTTGTATTAGATATTAAACTTCCTCCTGAAAATGAAAAGATACCAAATGTAAATTATTATCAATGTGATGTTGGTGATAGACAACAGATTTTAGATTGTCAAAAGCTTATTCAAAGAGATGTAGGTATCATCACCGTTTTGATTAATAATGCTGGTATAACTACTGGAAGAACTGTTCTTGATTTAACTTATCAAGAAATTGAACAAACTATTCAAATCAATCTTTTATCTAGCTTTTATACAATCAAAGCTTTTCTTCCTGATATGATTATACTAAAACGAGGATATATCGTAACTATCGCTTCTGTATTAGGATACATGTCACCAGCAAGATTAAGTGCTTATGGGGCATCAAAATCAGGTTTAATTGCTTTACATGAATCTTTAACTTATGAACTTGGTCCTCCATCCCTTAATCCCCATGGAATTAAAACATTGTTAATCTGTCCTGGACAATTAAAAACAACAATGTTTAAGGGAGTTAGTACCCCTTCTACAATGTTGGCACCAGAATTAGATCCTAGATTTGTTGCTAAATGTGTCGTAACTTCAATTGAACAAGGGAGAAGAGGTGAGATTAAGATACCATTATATGGGAAGTTTATTCCTGTGTTTAGGGCATTACCTTGGCCAATTGTGGAAATCGCAAGAAAGATTTCAGGAATTGATCAAAGCATGTTTAGTTTTAAAACAAAATTATCAAATATGACTAGTAGTGTTTCGTCACTTGCTTCACATTCTTTAGGAGGATCGAAAGCTAACTCATTGTTAGGTAGTCCTTTGCTTGTTTTTAACCGACAATCCGATCAACAACAACTGGAATCTGGGGTGAGACAACAATAATTGGGGAGATTGTCATTGGTTGCTACTCTTTATCTATTAACGTATGCAGAATAATAAGTACCCTTTCATATATGATTTTAATTTATGTATTTTTCAGAAAATTAACTACTATAGAATACAAATATGCAATTCTACACACTACTACAAAATATCTTCTAAGATCTATAATCCCCATTAATAGTAACATACTCATGCGTCAAATCACAAGTCCAGAAAGTGGCTTCTTGACCAGCTCCAGTACCCAAATCAATTTCAATAATAAGATCTTCATCTTGTAAAATTTGTGAAGCTCTTTCTTCATCCACCTTTTCTGGTTCTCCATTGACCAATAATTTCAAATGTTCACTTCCATCAACTGGAACAAATTTAACACTTGTTCTATCAGGGATGACTGAATTTGCTTGAGAAACATCGGAATATCCAATTGCACACAAAATACGACCCCAATTAGCATCTTTCCCATACATAGCAGTCTTGAAAAGAGATGAATTGGCAACAGTAGATGCAATCTCTTTAGCATCTTTATAAGATAATGCATCCTTAACATTAATGGTGATAAACTTGGTAGCACCCTCACCATCCCTAACAACCAATTGAGCCAATTTTTGAGCAAAGTCAGTGACTTCATGTTGTAATTTTGCATATCTTTCTGAAGAAGATGAATTACTTTCAATTACTTCACCACCAGCAGCTCCATTGGCAATTGCGACAATTGTGTCATTGGTGGACATGTCTCCGTCAACTGTAATACTGTTGAAAGACCTATCTACTGCATGTTTCAAGATTTGTTGTAATGCTTGAGGAGAAACCGGGGCATCAGTGACAAAGAAACCCAATAAGGTTGCCATGTTAGGACAGATCATTCCAGCACCTTTACATAAACCGGCTAAAGTATAAACATCTTCATCAATTCTGAATTGTTTAGTGACTAATTTTGGGAAAGTGTCAGTTGTACAAATTGCATTGGCACAATTTATCCAATGTTCATGAGTACTACCTAAATGATTTAATGCTAATTTTGGAATACCTGATAAAATATTATCAATAGGTAAGTTATTTCCAATAACACCAGTTGACATAACAAATGTGGAATGCTGAGAATTTTCAAGTACAGAATCAGTAACAAGCACCATATCTTCTGCATCTTTCATCCCTTGAACACCGGTCACTGCATTGGCATTACCACTATTGACAATAATAGAGTTTATACCTTGTCCTTTTTTTTCCTTCAAGATTTTACTAGAGACTTGAACGGGAGCGGCTTTGAATTTATTAGTGGTGAATACTGCTGCTGCTGAAGCGTCTTTACCGAATGTGTTTTGTAATAAGGCTAAATCTAAGGTTTTACCATCTTTTTTAACTCCGGAATGAATACCACCAACGACGAATCCTTTTGGGTATACTCCGGATTTAGGGACAAATCTGGATGCTTTGTCTGAGATATGACGAACGAATTGTTTGGATAATTTAGTTCCTAATGACATTGCGTTGCAGGTTGCTTGAAGTATATATCAATACATAAAAATGGAGAAAGAAAGAAGGGGAAAAGGGATCTTAAATAGCTCGAAGAAATTTCCCTATTTGGTGGGTGGGGGAGGGAATTAAGCGCGGTGTAAAAAAAAGCGAAAAATTAGTCATCGGGTTTTTTTTTTCGGGTTAATCAGGAATTATACAACCGAGATTTTACCCAACTCATCAAATAACTTAATTCAAATGATAGACCATAAACAATGCATCACAGTGTGAGTCAAACATATGAAACCAAATAATATGATGAAGAGACACGTGCTATCGCGAATACGACATCGCATTCATCCAAGACAACTTCTACCTCATCGCTATGTTTCCTCATCTTCACATGGTTTTGGTTTTGCAACTTCATCTCATACCATAGAGCCACTAAGGCAAATACCAACCACAGGCGTATCAGTATTTGACATACAGAGAGAAGTGGTGGAGAGAGATGAACCAAGCAAACCTCAGAATGAAGTCATACAATTCATGTCGGCCCTATCTTCATTTGATATGGGTCGAATATTCAATTCACTTGGAAAACTACATAAACTAGCTTTTGACAAAATCTTAAATGTTAATGGACATAAATATCGACTAGAGACGTATTATCAATGTCTACAGTTGACTTTGACATTTTATATGAAGACTCAATCAATTGGATCACTTGGATTACTTAAGCAAGCTCATACCGATTTTAATCTGGTATCTGAAAAATCTAAAAAATATGACAGAATGCTTGATGATACTACGATGGCGGATTCAATCAGAATTTCGATCCTTATGTGTATTCTACATTCATATCATGTAGCTGTGAGTTCAGAGAAGACTAGGAGGTTTGGTTCGTTGATTTCAGAATACTTTTTCAAAACTATGAAACAGTATGATTTGAACATACAGAAGATTAGTGGTGAATTGAAGGAATTGTATTTAGCAATGGTTTTGAAAGAGCTCTGCCAGAAAGAGAAGATTCCATTTTTCGACCGTTTAGCAATACCCAAGAATGATTCTAATGTTAAGACGTCAAATGTCCCCATTACTCCATACCTTAGTGAATTTCAAACTATTTCATTTGAAAATATGGCAAAGTATATTGTTTCAAATAAGTTCACCTGGAATGGGAAAGTTCCTAGAGATATGAAACTCTTCGACTATTACAACACATTATCCACAGAAGATAGGATTCGTTTTATGCGAGATTACACTGAATTCAATCATGCCAAACAATTAAATGTCGAGGAGTACTCTGATCTTATAACCACTCCTGTTAGTAGTTTTCAATTTGAAAGAAGGTCTGCCAATAGTGTCGCTCAGAAAAATCCCGAGATAATCAACAAATGGATAATCGACACATCAAACCACGTGAATACTATTCTTCAAACAAATAATCCAAAGACGGACGTTGAAAAGGTACTATGTGATCTCAAGCCTTATCTAGAATTAGCCAATCCAACTACATTGATGAGTGTATTGGTCTCCAAAATATTTTCAGAATGCCTGGCAACCGAAGACAACCATGCCCCAATATTCAAGCTCCGGCAGGGGATGAATCAGGTATACCATAGAAGTCTAATGTCACCATTAATTCAGGACCAAGAAAGACGACGCCTTTATCCAGCTCTATCACAATTCAATAAGGATAGATTAACACATCTGTTAACCAAAATATTCTTGGATCATGCATCGATTCCTATCGATAAAGAAAGATTGGAATTGTTAAACTCATTCCACGAATCTATTCCAAAAGAATTCATGAATCAAAGGCCAGACGGTACATATCCCGCATTCATCGCATCTCGTCATGAGATGCATAAGGAATTCTATGACTATTACCTTATCAAACCGCATCCGATCCTTCTTGACGATTTAGGGAACCTCTTTAATGAAAGTCACACATCAATCAATTTTCCAATGTTATGTCCCCCCAAACCATGGACGAAACCCGACAATGGCGGGCTTTTATTGGACGGAGGCCGTTTGGTGCCCAGGAATGATAAATTATATTTTCAATATCTCAGACGAGCCAGTTTCCAAGGAGAATTAGATTTCGTCTATTCATCACTTGATAAACTCGGATCGGTAGCTTGGGCAATCAATCCCGAAATGTTTGATATCTTTGTGAAAGCCATGGAATTTAAGGAAGGATTCTTGAAGATCCCACCTCCAATTAGTCCAAAACCAGGCAAAAAGGCAACTTATTATGAACGGGAGATATATAAAGCTAACACAACCAAAAGGAATCTGTTGGAAGCTGCTAAGGATGTGATATCGATCTATGCGGAGAATGGGGATATGTTTTATCATGCTTTCATGTTAGATTTCCGGGGTCGGTGTTATCCCATGTCGTATTTTTCACATGTTAATCTGGATATCATTCGTGGGATGTTGATGTTTTGGCATAGTAAGAAGTTGGGAGATCTGGGGTTTCAATGGTTGAAATATCTGGCATCGAGTTTGTTTGGGAATAAAGGATTTTCAATGGAACAAGCGATTGAATTTTGTGATGAGAATTTAGTTGAAATTATTGATTCGGCAACCGATCCGTTTGGTGGGAATAAATGGTGGACGAAAGGTGATGATCCATTTGAATTATTGGCATGTTGTAAAGAGATTAAGAAGGTTCTTGAATTTGAAAAAAATGGCGGAAAGATCGAGGAATATGAATGTAGATTACCAGCAAATATGGATGGGTCATGTAATGGATTGCAACATTATGCTGCATTGGGAAAGGATGAAATTGGAGCTGCTGCTGTGAATCTTTTGCCTCTGGAAACTAGAAAAGATGTATATGTTGAAGTTATGAACGTAGTAAAAACCAGAATTGAAAGAGATCTTGAAGACGATTCTTTGGGTGAAGAGCAAGCCGGAATTGCCAGAAACGCTTTGAATATCTTATCTCGAAAATTAATCAAACGTCCCGTTATGACCAAAGTGTATGGTGTCACAACTAGCGGAGCCCGGCAACAGATACATGACGAAATCAGGAGTCTTATAGATCAAGTGAAGTCCAACCCGGGAAAATGGGAGAAAAGTTCACATTCCTTGGAAAATATAGGGGCCTTAAAGGGACTTAGTTGGAAAGTTGCAGGTTATCTTGGTAAACAAGTATTAGACTCGATTTCAGAATTATTTGTCAGTGCCGCGTCAATCCAGGATTGGCTAGTAAATAATGGTGATCGATTAATGAAATCATATGATCTTCAAAGTGTAGACTATATCCGCAAAAACATACCATCTAGGAGATCTTGTATCTTCACTAGACCAGCACCATATCGGCCCATTATATGGACCACGCCCATTGGATTTCCCGTTATTCAGATCTATAGAAAGGAGACACTTACTAAATCCATGACTGAGCTTATGAGTATCACAGTCAAGTCAAGACTGGTTTCACTTATAGAAACTCAAAAACAACGGAATGGGATTGCACCTAATTTTATTCATTCTATGGATGCGGCACATATGCACATGACGGCAGATGCTTGTTTTAGGAATGGGTTAACGTTTGCTTCGGTGCATGATGCGTTCTGGACGCATGCTGCGGATGTTGATCAGATGTCGGTGTTGTTGAGGGAGGAGTTTGTGAAGTTGCATAGTATGGATTTGTTGGAGAATATGAGACTATCTTTCGCTGAAGTGGGGAAGGAGAGTTTTCAACTTGTTTGGTTTGCTAAAAGCGATAATGAGGTTTTATATAGAGAGTTGAAAGAGATTAGAAAAAAAAGCACAAAAGAGGAGTATTTGTATAAAGAATTGGCAGATCTTACAGAACGAGGCAAAGAGAGTAATATTTGGAAATTGTTGGAGGAACATAAACCGAAGTTATATTTTAAGCAAATTGGAGGCAAATATGTTGAATATGGCGATCCAAATGCTGGCGAGCATAGAACTGACGGGAACCGATATGTTCCGGTTTTGGTTCCTTTTGAGCCGATTCCAGTTCCCAAGAAAGGTAATTTAGACATTACCAAAGTCATGGATAGCAAGTTTTTCTTCGCCTAATCACTTAACTGTAACAGAATAGTACATTGAATACATGTAAATACTAACTATTGTAATAAACTTTTTTTTTATTTTTAATTATTAAGATTCATTAATCATCCTTTCCAATCTTCCAAAGATCTTATCTCGATGTATTGCCATTGGGTCCGACTCATCACTCTTGAAAAAGATATTCCGTTTATACCCGACCTCATTCTCATCCTCATACTCACCATCCCCATACTCATCTAGGTCATCATCATCATGATCATCATTCTTCTCTTCATCTAACTGAAAATCCTCAATTTCATTATATTCAAAATATTCATCCTCTTTCAACCCAATCCCCTCATGTGGGACATATCCCTCCTCTTCATCAGCTACACCAACTCCAATACCATCACCACCAGCTTCAATATTATTGGTATCACTATATACCCCAGCATCCTCATCTGAAGGATAATCATTCTGATAAAACGATTCCGCATTCGAATCTTCATCATCAGTCATCACCTCTGCACCAGATTTATTGTCTTCTTCATTATTCATCAAAATATTCCCGCGACCATTATTGTTATTCATATCATCCTCTTCATCGTTGAAGAATCTGATATATCCAATCTGCGACTGTGGATGATTTGCCGTCGTCATAGGTTCGGTGGTGGTGAGATGATAGACATCATAGACGTATTCACCTTCTTCTTCTTCTTCTTCCTCACCTTGATGTTCGGCGTGATCATCGGGGGATATCAGATCTTTCCGTCCTCGTTTTTTACGTTTGGGGATGGATGGTTTGTCGGTAGCGGTGGTTGAGATGAGGAATGAATCTATCATGTCTGAAAGTTCATGAGGGATGATTACGTCTTCTTCAATTTGATTTCGAGGGATGATGAATTTCTTTTTGGTTTGGGATTCATTATTAGTCGTATCTTGGATGTCAAGTGGGGTTTGTGATTCTGAGAGGATGGTGTTGATGATGGACTCATCTTGAATGTTTACATTTGAGGGATTATCAGTTCTGGCTAATTTGAAAACATAGTTTGAAGGAGGCTCAACAATTGGTTGTTCCTGCTGTTCTTGCGATGGTTGGATCGATTGCAGTGGTTGTTGATTTGCGGAGAGTGGAGAGTCAACTGGAGCTAATTTTGGGGATACTTTTGGTGATGAAGGTTTGGATCTTTTTGCTGCTCTTGTATCTTCTAAGATTAATGCTTGTAATGGATCTTGATGTCTTTTCCTCTTGATTCTAAGAATCCTTGGGGGTTGTGGCTGTTGTTTAGTTTCTGACATTTTGGATGATATTATCAACAGCAAAGTGAAGAGTCGTTTGATACGAAATTTCAAATTTATGTTCGAGGTCAGAGGAGAAGTCACGTGAGTGCGAAATTTTCCCGAAACCTATGGAATTGCAGCTATCTATATAGGTCGTTGAATTAATATCTTATACATCTATTTAGGGAGAGTTGCTACTTAGTTATTAATTGTAGTATGAATGTTAAATGTCACTGAAGGGAATTGAGTTATTTCAGCTGATACATTAGCATCAACACCAAAACTTGCTAATATTCCTCTAATAACTCCACAAGGAAACCATAAATAAACCTTCAGTTTATTTAAAGTATCTTGCATCCCTTTAGGACTATTCAATTGATTAATTAATCGATAATTATTATCAACTAAAACAAATGTACCTCGATGATTTGTTCGTAAATTATCCATTTGTTTATTATACATACATACCCAAACATCTCGACAAACAAATTTCATTACATCTAAAACATCAACAATTAATTTAGAATTTGTCATTTTGTAGAGTAAGACATTAGCAATCTTAAGTCCTATTTGATAACCATAATTCTCGATTCGAATTGTAATTTCATCTTGTTGTAACAGTGGATGGGCTAATATGGAAATTGTTCCTGGGAAATCATTAGGAATTGTTGATAAAGGTTTGTCTGGTTGTGTATTTGGATGGTGGCCATCATTATCTTGGGTGTCTTGTGATTCAATTGCTAGTTTAGAAGTAGTAGTTGGATCTGATAGTTTATGGGATACTCTTATTGTCATGGGTATTAATTCTTGTAGAAGATAATGTAAACTTGCGTTACTTACATAAGATTGTTTATCAAGTATATCATCATTCATTTTTGTTGTAAGTTTTTCTATGAATTATTAAAAGTTTAAGTCTATTAGGAGAACCGTATATTATATCTTATGTATATATACAAATTTATTTGGTGTGCTTTTAAGAAAGAAACAACAGGAGCTTCCAATTGAAGAAGATTGTCAATTTTTTTCGTTGATAGTTTTCATTACAAGACACCAAAACTGAAATACAATTAAGTCTTCAACCGAGTGTTATTGCAAACAAACAAACGGCTTGAAATCTGTCTTCGTAGGGAAGCCTTCTACATATGAGGAATGGGGTTTACGGTATTATAAACATAAAATTGATATTAGTTTTATTAGTTAAGAAAGTATCAAAGTAAATGAAAACTTAGGTGAATTCAAAATCAATCAATCGGTTGAAAACCCTTAAAGATATCATCCCCATATTACCAGTAACTATTCTTGAATAAAGATCATTGAATATCCTCCGTTCTCAATATGCCCGAATGTGCATATGTTGTAAATGTAGGGGGGGGGGGGGGGAATTGTATTCTATACAAATTGATGATCCCTAGTGGCTTTTTTACGAATTTTTAAAATCATTGATATCTTAGCAAAATCAATTCGAGGGGTCAGGGAGTTGGCTTAGCTGGGGAAGAAGGACGTTCATTGTTTATGTAAAGATCGAAGGTTTTATTACAGGTTTGGTTCCCGTTGGTATGACTAATAAATAATTTCTCCACCGAAGATTGCTTACATGGGGGGCAATGTGAAAATTATTACCACTGTGGCTAACTAGTATAAACCGATATTATTGTATTATTATTGATCACTGTTGCCAGCGTAAGTTACCTGACCCTATCCAAAGTTTTACTAAGAAATTCAGATAATTAATATAGTATTAAAAAGAATGATGAATATTAAAACGCGTCTATTGTTTAGTATCCATTGTTAGAAAATCATTATCTGAATTGGTAAGCACATACATTGTCATTCCAATAGTCACCCGATAATTTACGAAAATTAAGGTCAATTTCTTTGTTTTGCAGCCATTAGGGGTAATATGCTCATCTGAGGGCTCCTCTTACTAATAATCTTCCTGTTAACAATGCTTCTCGTAAACCTACTGTTCCCATCCAATAAGAACCCTAAGAACCACTAGAAAGACACCTGATTCAGAACTAACCAATTGGCTGTAAGAACAATCCATCAGCATAAAATCTAAAATCAAGACTCGAATGAACAAACGCACGCAAAAGTAAGAAACATCAGAATCAAAATAACGGCTACATCAATTATGTTAAAAAAAACCTTCCAAAGAGCTTCTAGGTTATATCGTCAGCTAAATATTCATATAAACCATGACCAAAGAGTGAGTATAGTAATGTGTAGTATCTCTTATTCTGGAATCTGTTTTACCATGATTGCACATCAGCTGGTTTGATTGACATTGGATATTAGTTTAGCGACGGAAATGACTTTTAAGCTCAGCCAGACTAAAGTATAGAAAACGTCACATACCTCTAGCAAACAATAGCGAGAATAATATATTATGAATATTCGGTATGTTCTAGTTCTTGATTGTATCCTATACGTTGTTGGTCTATTTACTAACAACATTCGTTGTACATCATTTTACGGTTAGGAGAAGAAACTTGTTCTGAATTAGCCTCCTTTGAAGATACAATTGATGCAATTGTAACTTGATTCTCCTTAAATTCTGCTTCTAACTTTCTTCAGAATTTCTCAATTACAAATTTGTTCCGGAATTGGGACTCTTGCCAATGTCCAAGCATTTTCAAAGAACGGGATTTTAAAATTATACGCGGTTGTCAAGGGGACCCTACGAAGTTCTTTTGTCAGCACTACGTTTGTCCTTTGAAATGGGAACAGACTCTAAATGCAGAAGCCCATTGAAGCGACTTGCTTCATTCTTCCAGACAGATGACAATAACCCTGTTGTCACAAGCAACAAAACCGTCCTCAATGGCATTATTTTGCCAAACTTTAAAACGGTAGAACAACTAGATAAATAAATAAGTCATAATTAATTGCTAAATCAAAAGAAAACTAGATTTCCAAGATTCGAGAAGTAAGATGCTGCAGGTTTGTTGTTTTCATTTTATATTAGACGATTTATTGGTTTTGCGTAATAATAAATGGAGAGTCGGCAGGGGATATTAATCATGTTAATTTTTGTCTCAAAAAGTAAAACACCATGCAGGCTTAGTTACAAAAACCAGGTACCGTATTCATAAGTACGTTAGGGTTTACATTGTTTTTTTATTTTGTAACTGATATCAGAGAGAAGATCGAAAAATGAGATTTAAAAGAAGATTGTTACCCTCTATAAATTCATCAAATCTTGGTAGGATTGGGGGATGAAGGGGACACCAACTACAACAGGAAGAAGGCGCGAATACCAAGAGAATTGCAAGAGAGATTCACAAGAAATTTGGTCTAATAAAAAAGAAACAAGAAAACCAGCATAAACATAAAACAGTCAACTGTACAAGTAAAAGAACACATTAAGAAATGGAAACTGGAGTAGCATGTAGCCATAGATCTTTGTGTCTTTCGCATAATTCTTAAAATCGCGCTAAATTTGATATTTGACAATTGATCTGGTTACCCTTTCATATGCATGTTACTAAGTAAGCAAGTAATAATTAATAAACTTTTTTGCCGTTCCCAATAAACTTAATCTCTGACGGATATTATTAACCATTGTGAGAGATTTTTAAATTTATTATTAATGTTTCTGGCTAGCTTTCCAGTTATTGTTTTATTAGCCAGCAGAATTATTTATTACTCAATTGTTGGTGCACTAAACAGCAAACAAAATAATACTTCAACCAAGAATACACAAAAAAAATAAACAAGAGAACGGTGGAGAAAACGCGTTCTAATACGAATTATTTACTTTATATATTTATAGCAATTTTTATATTAATCAGAATGAGTTGTCTTGCCACTGAACACGTTTAGAGTTCTTAAGTTTATTGGTGATTTTTTTAATGTTTTTGGGAAAAATAAAAAGTTTATATTGCGTTACAAAAATTGACTGTAATTTTTTTTTAAAAATCGCTTACAAATATTATTTAAATTAATTTATGCATTCTAATTTATTTATTTTTTTTTAATTTTTTAATTTTTACTTTTTTTTTTTAATTTTTAATTTTTAATTTTTAATTTTCTTCTTGTTTTTTTTATTATTACAACCCCAAAAAAAAAAAAAAAAAAGAATTCAGACAGAAAAAAAACAGAAAAACAGACACAACAGACAAATTCTTTTTTTTTTTATTTGTATCAATTTACACATTCAATTCTTCTTCTTCCTTTAACTTAAACAAACAAAACAACTGACTTATTAGATTCCAATCAATACGTTAACCAATCAGCATTTAACATTTACATCAATATCAAATTCTGTTTCTTACAAGAAAGAAAGAAAAGAAAAAAGCAAATATAAATAAAAAACAAAAAAAAATTCACGCTTTTTTTTGTAATTTTTTTTTTTTTAGTTTTTATTATAATTAGACATATAAAGCATAACATATAAAACAACAACGACATCCAGATACAGTATCACATTAGGTTATCAGACAATCAATAGTTGAGTCTACGAACAACTCATCGTCATCCTCCTATTATAATTTTTATTAGAGAGAAATAGCATATTTTAGAAAAAGATAAACAACAATTTCGCATCTCACTTCAAACCCCCCAAATCTGTATTATTATTATTATTACTTCAAGCATTACTTAACCAATCGTCATGACTTCAGAAACAAACCTTAGTCAATATCATCATAACTTAGCATCATCCACTGCCAATACGATGCCCATATCTCAACAGTTACAAAGTACTTCACAATTACAACATTTACATCAACAATTACAACAACAACAATTACCTTCTCAACATCAACAGCAACATCAACAACATTTGCAACAGCAGCAGCAGCAACAGCATCAGCATCAACTACAGCAAGGACCTCCACCTCCAATGTTATCAAATTTAAATACTTCATCATTTGCCCCTCCTTCATTACAATCAACTCATGGGATTTTAAAAATATCAAATTTACCTTCAGATTTAACCAACAGAGAAGCAACATTAATCTTTGCATTAGTAATTGATGAACTTGTCAATGTTGAAATTAATGATTATCAAATTTATGCATATTTTAAAAATTCAAATACATGTTTAACAACGGCAAAATTATTAGATGGGAAATATATTTTTGGTAATGAATATCCTCCAATTAAAGTTGAATGTGATTCAAATACATTAATGCATTCTCCAACTGCAATCGCGGCAGCTACTCATAATACACAAGCTGCATTTGGAAATTTACGATTATCAACATCTGCATCATCTGCATCAGTACAACCTCAACTACCACAACAACAACAGCAACAGCCACAGCAGCAAAAAATTCCTGCTCTACCGGTTGGAGCAGCTGGTCCTGTTGGCCCACCAGGTTCTGGAATATCCCCTCCACATATGAATCAATCACAATTACATCATCAACCTTCAAATAACTCATTAGGTAATGGATCCACTTCGGCCACAACAACAACGGACCCTAATACATTTGATATGATGCAAAAGAGACAATCTATAGGAAATCAAAGATCGAGGTTTGTGTTTAGTGATCCATTTTCACAAGATGGAGGTCAACAACAACCTCCACAACAGCCACAACAACCAGGTGCTATCACTCCAGGTGCAGGTCCAGTGGGGACTATTGATTTAAGTGATATAACTGGGAAATCTATCTTATTAATGGAATCTCAGAATGATGCCCAAGAATATGAGAATTTAGTTAGAGATACTTGGGGACCAGGAAATACGAATCAACCGCCACAACAGTCACAACAACAGGGTGGACATACTGGATCGTCATTATCTTCTGGTCCACAAACACCGGGTGTCAGTGCTGGTCCTATAAATGGTCCAAGTGGATTAGATTGGAATATAGGTATAAATCAGAATGGATCAGGAAGTGGAGGTCCTAGTGGTGGCGCTGGGATTGTTAATCCACCTCCAGGTGAGGTTAGGAGAACATCATCATCTACTGCATTTTTCAACTCGGGAACGACATCAGCTACCACTGCTGTAGGTCCAAATATACCACCTCAAATTGGAAATTTGATTGGATCTCAGAATCCAAAACCACCAATTGGTCAACCATCTTTGAATCTCAATTTAGGTAATCCAACCACCACAGCAAGCACAACAAGCACAACAAGCACAACCACAAACCCAAGCAAAAAGCTAGACGATCATCAACAACAACAACCATTGACAATCGCCCAGAAATTAGCGCGTGGTCCACCAACCTCCCAAACCACATCCACCACCAGTAGTACAACTTCATCCCAAACCAGTCCACCTAATCAGAATACAAAAGTCCAAATAGTAGGCAAAGATAATACTATGCCCGATTTATCCCTATTGGCAAGAGTGCCTCCACCCGCTAACCCTGCCGACCAGAATCCTCCTTGTAATACCCTATATGTCGGAAATCTCCCTCCAGATGCCACCGAAGCTGAATTAAGAGCATTATTCTCGCCTCAGAAGGGGTTTAGGAGATTATCATTCCGGAATAAATCAATGTCGTCATCCACGAGTGGTCCAGGTGGGTCGTCTACGAATCCTCCAGCAGGACATGGTGGTGGGGGTGGTGGACATGGTCCGATGTGTTTTGTTGAGTTTGAGGATGTTGCGCATGCGACTCGGGCATTGGCGGAGTTATATGGACGGGCATTGCCTCGCGCTGGGGGTGGGAATGGAAAAGGTGGGATTAGGTTGAGTTTTTCGAAGAATCCGTTGGGTGTTAGGGGTCCTGGGAGTGGTGCTAGGGGGAGACAATCGATGGGAACTGGGCCTGGTGGGAGTGGGAGTGGGAGTGGAAGTGGTGCGAGCGGAAGTGGTGTTGTGACTAGTGGAAGTGGTGGAGTTGGGAATTATGGATATCTGAATTATCATAAGTCGTGAGAGAAGTTCCCTTAGTGGGTTGTTTTAATTTTCATGTTGAGATGAGGAAGTAAGAGGATTGTTTCGTATTTGGTTTTTGTTATTATTATTATTATTGTTGGTCAAGAAGTGTGGACCATATGGCATACTTTTTTTTTCAGTTATTATTACTTCGTGGGGTTAATTACTACACATCCACTATACACATTTATTATTAATCCGTATTATCTTTTAGTTTTGTTGTTAAATTTGTTTTAACTTTTGTATTATTTTTAGGTTTATTCATATCATTATATATATCTTTCTCTCTATTAATTAAAGTTGTTTTAATATTATTATTATTATTTTACAGTTTATGTTTTGTTTAACAGTTTATATCAATTTAAGTTGCAAATGGCAATAAGTTGCAAAATTGAATTGAACAGTTTAATTGAATTAGTACACGTACGAATGACATTCCCATATGAATACATCTCTTCTTCTTTAAACCAAAATATAACGATGAGTAAGAAGACAAGAACATCAATATCAGCCAGAACAGATCACATCAATGAAGTATCCAAACAACCACGGCTGCCTCCAATGTCATCAACTCTCTCATTTTACAATACCAATAGTAAGAGACAGCAACAAAAGAATTATCTACCTGTTGCAAGAATATCAACCAATAGTATTACCAGTACTACTAACATTTCTATTAAGTCTACCAAAAATGAACCAATTGCAGCTCAAGTTCAGACAGATGTAAGTTCATTCCATCAATTTCAATTAATTACTGATGAAGAATATAAGATTAGATTAGATAAATGGTATTCTTCACCAAATTGGATTATTGATGAACAACAAGAAAGATTGGAATTTATTAAGAATTTTAAGTTTTAAAGAAGAGGGTGGCCTTGTTCTAATGATTTGCTTATGATATTGTAAATATTTATATAAAACTTCATGAATAATACGTAATACAACATAACTATAATAACTACTACTATTTATATAGCATCTACATCTGATTTACTTCTTTTGTAATAATTTCACTAATTCTTTTGGATTAGCATAAACTTCCATTAACCATTTTGTATTCAATAATTCCAGGGGAGTTAATCTTGCTTCTGGCTTAGGATTTAATAATCCTAAAATGGCTCTTCTTGAATCATAATGTAAACTTTTAAATAAACTCATTGCTGGATTATTTACTTTAAAATTATCTTCCTTTTTGTTTAATTCAATAATATAAGCGTCTACTTTCCCAGGAATATTTGGATAATGATTTGTATATTGAATAAAAGGAATATTCAAAGGGTTTAATAAATTTGCATCTTTCCAAGGTGATTTCATAAGATAGATTTGAAAATATACAATCCCTAATGCCCAATAATCAACTTGTTTGAAATAATCAATACAAGTTGTTGAATCTAAGAATTGGGAGAAATCGAATGTGTTTTCTTTTATATCCTGTTCAATTTGAAATAATTCAGGAGCTTTAAAACTTGGAGTTCCACAATAAAATTCTCGTGGCAGTGCCAATAAATCTTGTTTATATTGATTATCATCATCACCAATATGAATACTATAACCAAAATCACTTATTTTTATAATTCCATCTGAATCAATTAAGAAATTCTCTGGTTTTAAATCACGATGAACAATTTGTTTTGAATGAAGATATTTAACTCCATTTAATATTTGTTTAAATATTGCATCTTTCATATTTGATGATAATTCAATTTTAAATCTTCTTAATGTTGACAAGTAATCTAATAAATCCCCCTTTTCATAATATGGTAATATCATCACTAATTCCAGGGAATCAGGTATTGTAGCTAATGAAATCACCGGGATTATATTTTTATGATGACAATTTTTAACATTATTAAGTTCTCGATAAACAGCATGTTTATATTGTGATTCAGTTTGATCTTCTTGATGTTTTTTAATTCGTTTTAATATAAAGAATTTAACTAATGATGAATCGGTTCCCTTTAAAAGTATACCATTTGCACCTTCGTATATTGGTTTTGATGATGCTTTCTTATAATCAATTCCAATAACTGGTAAGGTTGATAAGTCAGGTTCTTCAAATGTGTATTTCTGTATTGTTGTCATTGGTGTTGTGGATGTTGCATTCGGGGATGGTGGTGGATATTCTAGAAATGGTGATGACATTTGTTTTGGTGTTGATGGACTACTAGATAGTGAGAATGAATAATGATGCAGCATTAATGGTCGACGTGCGGTTGGTGATAGTGGTGACACTGGTGGCGGTGTTGATGATGTTCTTGGACGATTAGCCCTTTTAGTATTAGTTGTGTCTGAAGAGTTTCTGGAATGAAATGGTGATGATCTGAACATATTTGAAATCTGTGTGTGTCTAACTGAAAAATAATTTAATAATAATACAACGTTGTAATTTGTATGGAGAGGAAATTGGTACAAGTGATGAGAAATTTCTAAGTTGTTATCTAATGATATCGTTTACTTTCATCTGTTAACGTAAAGCCTATTAAATCGAATACTAATTGGAATAAGAACAGACGATATAAGTTGGCATATAAGAAAGAGAAGAAAGGATTGGAAAATTTCAAAGATCACTTTCCATGAAGGTCATTTATAATATTTTTACATTTAATATTTGAAAGGAGAGAGAGATAGAGAGCGCGATCTTGAAACTCTCTCCATCCAATCTCTCATTCTTAGCGGATATTGAATTAAGAAGTAATGCGTTGTTGATAATGTACTTGGAAAAGTACACACACTTACAATATGTAAATTACTCCCAACATTCTTTTCAAAATCGTCATTATTAGTTGTTCTCTTTCATATAAAGATTGATAAATTGAAAATATAAATAGCCAGTAAAAATAATCAATAATAAATATAATATATATATAACACGTTCTTGTAAATTATTCGTCATATTCATATTAATTAAATATGCGGAGAAAATTATTAACACACATAACATATAACCTCCCGTTTTTCTCTCTCTCGTAAATCAGAAAGCGTAAATTAAATGGCTTATATTTACAAACAGCTTCCTTCTAAAGAAAGCTTTCCTTATAACATTCTATCAAATTAGTAGGAGATAGTTATGAAAACCTTTCGTATAAAGCCCTTAAGAATGAAAAAGGGGTCATCATCATAAAAATATGTGTGTGTAGATCTTCAACTGGTAGCGAACTCAACCCCGATCTGGAATAACCTAAAAAATAAATTCTTTCACGAATTATATTTATGACGTCATTACTTAAACCCGATTCAATTTCTTATTTTTATTTTTAGTAACTTACTAGATGGAATCCGCATAGTGTAACGGTCGATATTCAGGTGCTACTAATTATATATTAGAAATTCTCTATATGCATTGCAGAAACCCGGAAATCTAGGTATATCAACTCAATATTGAGTATACTTCTGATCAATAATTTTTGTAACAAATATTCTCTTATAATAATCACTTAGTTAAACGTATCATTAAGTAAAAGTAATATCGTTTGGAGAAATTACTATGGAATGATCAAATTAATCTACAACAAAGGCGAACTGGAGAGTTACTCCTATTACCACGGAAAAAATAAATATCCAAGTGTAAGCCAATGACGTGAAATCTTGTTTGTGACGATAAGCTACACCAGCCTAAAATAAATTGAACACCGACGGTTTTATAACTAATTTGATGGTCGGATTTTAAAACCCCTCAATATTCACATGTTTTCACTTATATTGGTATGAATTTTTAAGGTACAGCACTTTTTACCGATGATCCCAGCCCCATATATTTCAGCCTTAACGGCCATAACTCTAGCTTGATTAATAATATTCTTATTGTTTCAAAGAAAATGATCATTTATTGACATTGTTGTTGTTTTTGGAGTTTAATATTATTTACATTTGCAATTTTGATTGCAAATAATATTTTCAATAGCTTAAATGAAGCTGAAATTCATTGCCTCTACTACCGAATTAGAGAATATAAATAGAAACCTGAATACATCAACTTTTCTTGGTTAACTTCGTTTCTTCGTCTCTTCTTCCTCTTCTTCTTCTTCTTCTTCCGTCTGTCACCATCATATTATTCAATTAAATCAATTGCTATTAACATTAAATATGGGTAGCAGATATTTCACGATTATTCCATTGATATTCTTAATATCTTCAACAGTCTTTCTAATCTTCACTATCCTCAATGGTTCAACCACCAGTTCGGCAATCAGCGCCTTATATTGGTCCGAAACCGACACATCACGTATTCCAGGGGCACCATTTGATAAATCACGATGGACTTTCTATACCCTATGTGGAGTTATGAATGGACACAACGTCGATTGTTTGCCCCCTTTGATACCTGCATTCCCCTATTCCCCTGATGATAATTTCCCATTCAGTGAAAATCGTCTTCCACCCGATTTCGTAATTAATAGAAACACATATTATTATTTATCAAGAATTTCATTTTCATTCTTAGTGATGGCATTGGCTGGAAGTGCACTTTCACTTTTAATTACCCCCTTCGGGTTCTGTTTCAAATCTTGTGTAGGTGCGTCTCTGGCTTTTTTCACCTTTGTCACATTTGTATTCGGAGCCGCTGGTGCTTCATGTTTGACAGCTGTTCATGCTAGGGGAAGGAATCATTTTAATGAGAATGAGATGCAAACTAATTTGGGTGTGGCTGCATTTGGGATTCTTTGGGCTGGGGTATTGTCTTTGTTGTTGGCGTTCATTGCATCTTGTTTGATTTGTTGTGTGAATAACAGAACTAAGACACAATACGTGGATGCTCAATCTGGACCCGGTGCCGCTGGTGAACCGGTTTATTATCCTAATAATGAAAACGATGCTCAGCCGGTTTATTATCCTAATAATAAAAACGACTCTCAACCGGCTTATTATCATAATGAAAATAATAAAGAATCCAATCACTACGAAGGGGCTACTTATGTTGATAGAGAATATTCCACGTGAGGTGAGATGAAGGTCTGTAGAGGAAGAGTATATGTGTGTCCTCCATGATTCTATATAGTTTTTTGTATTTATGTATTTTGATATAAATTGGGAAATGAATATATTGCCTACACTCATGTAAGAATATGAGTGTTTCTACTGGAATTACGTGTATTTGACAGTGGAAAAGCGCTAAACCGTCTGACGCGAGATTGTTGAGCGAATGTAGATTCGGATATCCTAATGAACCAGAGTTCGCTGTACTATGAAGATAGATAGTTGTAATCTATGAAGATAGATTCTTGTTCCCCAACCAAATCACAAAACCTCTATAAGGGGAATCCACGCGTATTTATCTTCAAGTCCTAAAGTTTAGGAAACGGCGAAGGTAGCGAACGAATCGAAGCTTTTCAGAGATCAACTGTCGTGTAACAGGTTACACACACGAACCTCGTCCTGAGCTCCGCCATACCACACACTCACTAACTACCGGCGAAAGTCTATAATATCCGCGATTACTCCAATTCCTGATTAGGAAGGAGCACATAACCACTCCTTACGCAAATTTATTTTTATTTTTAGTAACTCACTTACCATTCACGTCTATCATTTGACCAATTTGATGATGTAAAATATTTCTTACTTTCAAGAGGGTGATTAAAACCCCCCGAGCCATTATTTTTTCAAGCTGACTAGAAACGCTTGATTTATGTTCAGTATACAACTTAGTCACGCCGTTAGTAATCAACGCCCTGTTGACAATTGACTTCGCCTCCCCCTCTCACCGTTCACAAAGACCACCCAATAGTCACATATTCTCGCTTATATTGGTATGAATTTTAAGCTACAGCCCATTTCTATAAAAATCCCCAGCCCCCTATTCTTCAGCCCTAACGTTCTGTACTGTAGTTAAACAATATTATTTGTTTCGTAACTATCCGTTATAATAATGATGTCATTTATTTATCATTTTTTCAAGCCTAGTATGTTGCGCATTCGCAATTTTGATTGCAAAATAATATTTTCAGTTGCTCGAGAGGCTGATATTCATTGCTATAACTAATGTGTATATAAATAGCAACTGGAATACCTCATCTTTCCTCGAGATATTTTCATTTCGTTTCTTCTTCTCGTCTTCTTCTTCACTCTAACAAATTATTCAATTAAGTAACTTACAAATATGGGTAGCAGATTTTTTACATTTATCCCATTGATATTCTTAGTATCATCAACCATTTTACTAATATTCACCGTCATCAACGGTTCAACCACCAATTCCCCAATCAACGCCTTGTATTGGTCCGAGACCGACACATCTGGCATAGCTGGCGCACCATTCGACAAATCACGATGGACTTTCTATACCCTATGTGGAGTCCAAAACGGTGACAATAATAATTGTTTACCCATGGTAGCGGCGTATCCATATTCGCCATATGATAATTTTCCAACTGGGAGAAATGATCTTCCTCAAGATTTTATAACTAATAGAAATACATATTATTATTTATCAAGAATTGCATTTTCATTCTTAGTGATTGCATTGGTTGGAAGTGGACTTTCACTTTTGATCACACCGTTAGGATTTTGTTTCAAATCTTGTGGAGGTGGGTTTGCGGCATTTTTCACATTTATCACATTTGCATTCGGTGCCACTGGTGCTTCATGTTTGACTGCCGCTCATGCTATGGGAAGAAAACATTTTAATGATAATGGGATGCAAACTAATTTGGGTGCCGCTGCATTTGGGATACTTTGGGCTGGGGTATTTTGTTTGTTGATGGCGTTTATTGGGTGTTGTATGGTTTGTTGTGGGAATAATGGAACTAGAACTAAATATGTGGATGCTGGACCTGGACCTGGTGCGGCTGGTGAACCGGTTTATTATCCTAATAATAATAGAGTATCTAATAATTATGAAGGGGCCACTTATGTTGGTAGACAAGATTCTAAGTGAGGTGAGGAGAAGATTGTAGAGTAAGAGTAGATGAATAATGCTTTGCATGATTTCTATATAGGTTTTATATTTTTGTATTTTGTTGTATATTATAACACAGATAAATTATGAAATGAATACATGTTTTGCACTCAGGTAGGGGCGGCGGGAGGAGAAGAGAGGACGGACATGACTCTTGACCAAACATCCGAATGGACTGTAAGAACAGGAGTGTTTCTACTAGAATTAGTGTTTGACAGTGGAAAACGCTAAAACATCTGATGCGAGATCGTCCGTGTATATTCGGATATCCTAATGATTGTTGTAATCTATTAAGATTGTTGTTCCCCAACCAAATCCCGAAGATCTAAAGGGGGAAACCACAGGTATTGATCCTTGAGTCCTAAAGTTTAGGAAACGGCGAAGGTAGCGCACGAATCGAGGCTTTTCAGAAATCAACTGTAATGTAACAAGTCACACAGGAAACACGTCGGCAACTTCGCCATACCACATACTCACTAACGACCGGTGAAAGTCTATAATTTCCGCTATTACTCCAATTCCTGATTAGGAAGGAGCACATAACCACTCCTTACGCAAATTTATTTTCAGTAACTTACTTACCATTCACTTATATCTGTCACAGTTTTAAACTACGAAGATTTAAATGTATGCAGGCGTAAGGGGAAAGTGCTTCACTTAATCTTTGCTCTCTGATGGCTTGTATGTAATGGTGCTGATATTGGGGGATACGCGATAAACGTAGATGATGTCGAAGTAGTTAACTCGCCACTAATGGCTCAACCATACCGATGGTCAACCCTGAGACTTTTGATATTTGTTCTCTTATTAAATCGTTCGAAACGTAATTTTATTGATACTTCTAAAAATTATAAAAACGTATAAAACATAAGAAATGTAGCTTGTTAAATACCAAGTATACTTTAAACAATCCACTCCAAATTTCCGTATTTGCAATACAATTATAATTTCACAATTTTATTCTTATAAAACTTCTAACAATGACACTTGCTTACACTTGGCTCAAATTGCCCAGATTCTAAACTAACCACATCCATGTCGTAATGTCGCAGAACTGACATTTATATAGGCAAACGTCGTAACTGAAGTCAGTACTGTGACAATATCATTTGACCAATTTGATGATGTGAAATATTTATTATTTTTAAGAGGGTGATTAAACCCCCCCAAGTCATTTCAAGTTGACTAGCCTTTTCTTGATTTATGTTCAATATACAACTTAGTCACACCGTTAGTAAGCATTTCTCTGTTGACAATTGGCTTCGCCCCCCCTTCTTCTTTCACAAAAACCACTCTTTTTTTTTTTCAACACAATCTTGACATTTTCTCCTTATAATAGGTATGAATTTTAAGGCACAGCCCTTTTCTCTAATGCAACCCCCCCTGCCCCATATTTTTCAGCCTTAACGATCATTACTGTAGATTAATAATATTATTTGTTTCGTAACTCACCCTTTTAAAGACCATGGTCATTTATTTATCATTTTTTTTTTTTCAAGCTTAGTATTGCGTATTCTCGATTTTGATTGCAAAATAATATTTTCACTTTCTTAAAGAAGGCAGACAGTCATTGCAACAACTAATGCTTATATAAATAGTAACTTAAATACCTCACCCCTCTTCGAGATATTTTAATTTTGTTTCTTCTTCTCGTCTTCTTCTTCACTCTATCAAATTGTTCAATTAACTAACTTACAAATATGGGTAGTAGATTTTTGACAATTATTCCATTGATATTCTTAGTATCATCAACCGTCTTACTAATATTCACCGTAATCAACGGTTCAACCACCAATTCTCCAATAAACGCCTTATATTGGTCCGAAACCGACACTTCAGGCATAACTGGCGCACCATTCGATAAATCACGATGGACTTTCTATACCCTATGTGGAGTCCAAAACGGTGACAATAATAATTGTTTACCTATGGTAGCGGCGTATCCGTATTCGCCATATGATAATTTCCCATTTGGTAGAATTGACCTTCCGTTGGATTTCATAACTAATAGAAATACATATTATTATTTATCAAGAACTGCGTTTTCATTCATATTGATTGCATTAGTTGGAAGTGCACTTTCACTTTTGATCACCCCCTTAGGGTTTTGTTTCAAGTCTTGTGGAGGGGGGGGTTCCGCCTTTTCCATATTTGTGACATTTGTATTCGGTGCCACGGGTGCTTCATGTTTGACTGCCGCTCATGCTATGGGAAGAAAGCATTTTAATGATAATGGGATGCAAACTAATTTGGGTGCCGCTGCATTTGGGATACTTTGGGCCGGGGTATTTTGTTTATTGATGGCGTTTATTGGCTCTTGTTTGGTATGTTGTGGGAATAATAGAACTAAAACAAAATATGTGTCTGCTGGGCCTGTGCCTGGTGCGGCTGGTGAACCTGGTTACTATCCTAATAATAATGCTCAACCGGTGTACTATCTTACTGATAATAATAAAGGGACCAATCAGTATGAAGGGGCTACTTATGTTGGTAGACAGGATTCTAAGTGAGGTGAGTGAAGAGTTGTTGTGGAAGAGTAGATGAATAGTGTCCTCGATGATTCTATGTAGGCTTTTATATTCTCGTATTTTGTTATATATTGAAAACCGAATACATCCCCGACACTCATATGGGAAGAGCATGACGCTTAACCAAACATGATTCTTCTTCAGCATTTGGCAAAGCTCATGAGTTTAAACTTAATCCTTTGAACATCAATAAGTCATTAGTAAACTTTTAGTTTGGAACCCTTTTTAAAGGAATCATTGAAATTAACCAGATATCCAAGTTAAAAGTTCAATAGTTTTCTTTTCTTTTGACCAATGGTCCCAACTGTCCTCCCTATCTCAAAACTTTGCCTAAAGCCACACTATAAACGTTCCTGTGCGAGGGTTGAAACTGGTTGAAGCTTGGGTAATGCTGGTTGAAGTTTGGATAAGGACTAAGTCAGATGAGTAACAACCAATAGTTCGTTTATCATCAGTTAATACATGCAATAATTTTTCTTTGACAGATTTTTAGAGTTTATGCATAATCGAAACCTTAAATTATATTAGTTGGTTATATGCGTTGTTGCAAGAACTGAATGTTTCTACTGGAATTGGCCATTGCTTTAACAGTGGAAGCTCTAAAAATGCTTGTACTAGACCATTCGAGCAAATATGTGTTCAGTTATCCTAATTAACCAAAGTTCTTAGTAATTAAAGGCAGATAAAATTTTGTTATTCAATCAAATCCCAAAACCCTCGAAGAGGGGGGATTCATGCGTATTTATCCCCGTTCCGTTTGCGAACGGATCAGGGCATTTTCAGAAACCACCAGAATGTGAGAGGTTACACCCACGGAAACCCGTCCGGAACTCATCCATACCACATTCTCAATAGCGACCAGCCTAGACGATTACTCCCATAATAAGGTGCACATAACCGCTCCTTATAAGTATCCTTGATATTCTAATGACTTCTTCTATTTAGGTTATTCAAGCATCCCAACATTTCATTGATGAATGATCCGTTGAGGTTGAGTTATAACCCCTTGGATGGTCTTATCTTTTTCATGATACTTATGTTTAGATGTGTTGGGTTTGAAGAAGAACGCCACATATTTGTCGATATAAATATGGAAATAAATGACCAAACTTAATCCAGATTTGTTTTGTCATTTACATGTATCTTCTTCTAATTGATGAGAATTTTATCTAATTCTTAGTCAATTAAAAATAATCTAATTGCAAAATGATGGATTTTGGGAGTATATACATGAAATTTTTAATATTTTTCATTTTTATAGTTCGATCAATACTCGGTGCTCCCAGCTTAGTAGATGCACATATATTAGGAAAGACCTATTTCGATGATAGCGGAGGATACAAAATGGGTGATGTTTCATTTGGAATTCTATATGCTGGTATTGGTAGTTTAGTGATGGCATTTATTTCTGCTTGTATATTCGGAGCTAGTCTTAATGGTGGGATTAAGAAGAGAGAATTGGATGATCTTGTTGTTGGGAAGCCAGGAAAATTGAATCCTTATCCTGTGGATGTGGATGGCTTTTACTATAATGATGTTGCTTTTGTTGAAGGTACTCCAGAGGAGATAAAATTGTTGAAAGTTTAGAGTGATTTTTTTTATATTATACATCATATATTAAATTTCTTGTACACGTGTCTTGCATCGGTATGGCTTGTGCTCCGTCTCCATGGTCTTCAGCAAAATATTGGCTGTTCCATTTGCAACCATAGCTTATTAAGCTTTTCAATTAACATACTGTGATATTAAGTCTACACACAAAGGGTTTTTAATTCCTTTCTTGTATGTAAATCATGTCTATATGTATAATGAAAAAAAAAAAAACAATAATAGTACAAGAATCTGTGCTCACACAGTAATAGAAATAAGACTATTATATAAGCTTAAATTTTCTGCATTCTGCTTATGCTTTTAATGTTTAATAAACTTTACGAGATATTTAATATAAAATAATGTTTCACGATGAAATCTTTCGTCAATCTTCTTCAATTTGTATGTCGGAAGAAATTAAAATAAATCTCTAAATCTGACACAAAGTCTTTGCATACCAAAGTGAGTGCAGCAAAAACAGATGCAGTGTGTTTTGTCTTAAACCTTCCCTGAGTTGTTTCTTTTTGTGATTTATTCTTTAAGGAGATCTTACACAGAATTGCGAGGTTAGGAAATTATAATATTGATTCTTTAGATTTGTAGTAAATAATGTTCTATTTTGTGTCAAATGAGATACATATTTAATGTCTAAACTTTCCTCGTTTTCGGGAAGATTGTTGTTGTTGCAAAGTTTGTTCGATTTATTATTATTAATTATTAGTTTCATACTATTACTCTATGTTTATTAGTTTAAAATTGAATAAGCGAGTTAAATTTTGCAGCCATTTTTATTTTTTAAGTGAGAACAAAAAAAATAACTTTAACATAAAAAATAATTTTCAAGAAGTTGCAAAAGTTTCCTTTTTTATTAAAAATAGAAGTGGAATAATATGTGGGTATCTACTTCATTAAAACTAGTGTCTTAATAAGCTAAACCCAATGTTGTGACTTAATAATTTAAGACACAGCTTTTTAAAAATAATTGTGTTTCACTCTCTTTTTCTTTTATTCTTCTTCATTTACTTTAAAAAGAGATACTACAACTTGTTAATGAAATTTCAATCAGAGCTTAGAGAATTCACATTTCCTGAGTTACTACTACCTCCAACCCCTGCAACATTCACTCAAACGACATCTTCTTCAACAACTTCAACTTCAAAACATGATTTTTTAGAACAAGGTATTTCAGATTTTAAAGAAACTCCTGAAGATGATATAATAACTAATCCAATTCAAGACTTATATAATTTCTTTGAGGTTGACAGCAACGACTTATCATTGACCAAGAATGATGATGCCCAGCCTTTAGGGGAATCTACACCTACAGTAGATGAAAATATGACTGTCTTATTTGAAGAAGATACAAGGGCAAATAATCAACCTAAAGAAGAAACAATCTCCCCTAATTCAAATATTAATTGGTATATGGAATCCATTATAAATTCACATAATGTCGCCAATCTAGATCCTATTGATAGTGCTGATAAGCAAAAGATCAATAAAGTTGAAGATGAGGAAGAGGAATCGCTTTTGAATCTTTTTGAAATAACGTGTAAGGAATTAGATGATTGGAAAGAAAATGCAAATATTGACATACAGAATGATGATATGGAAGAAGACAAATCCACTTTCAAACAGGAAAGTCAAACACTAGTTGTTAGTAATAATAATAATTCAATAGCTCCTAGGATTGTGACTGATCCTTGGAATGGATTAATTCAAACTTTTGGTTTTGGTTCGGATTTATTAACAGTTGATCAATATTTCACTAAGAAGAAGCTACTGGAAGATAAAGGATCCTACTCATCAGATCACTCCTCGACTTCTTCGGATGCTCAACTGAATCTATCATTATCATATCAAATCCCATCATCACTTTCCCAATCCAACACACCAATAGAAACCGCCTCTAACATCCCTTCCCGACCCCCATCTACCAACAAGAAACGGAAACTCGACCCATCCATATCCAAACAAGGCATATGCTCCAAATCAACCCCATCCTCAAAACTCGACTTCTCCGACATCGACACCCACGTCCAATCTATCCCCGACTACGAATATTCCCTGCAACTCTCCAACAACTCCACCCGAGTCCCCAATCCCCAACAATGCACCTTCCTCCTCTCCAAACTAATCTCGCCCCTCCCAACCACCACCCTCATCGTCTGTCAGATCGAACGCACCCTCTACACCCGTCCCAACCTAATCCAATCCCTACTCCAACTGCACCAATTTCCCCAATTCCAAAACTTCGAAATCAGCCCCAATCCCAATTTTAAAACCAGTTCATATGAGGCGGAATATGTATTGACGAAGATGTCGCGTGGCAAGCCAGATAATACTACTCGGGCAGGATTGTGTCCCTATTGTCCGCATATTGAGTTTTTTGGGTTGAAGAATAGTTCATATGGGAACCATTTGGCTTATAAACATGGGATCTTGACCAATGGGACGGCAGTGCCCAATCCGAAATTTTATGGTCGGTGGAGGTTTAAGAAGGGGGAATATGAGGATGGTGGGGGGAGTGGAAGTGGATGGGGTGGTGGTGGAGGGAGTTTGAGCAATAGTGGAGGGAATGGTGTTGGAAGAAGGAAAAAACAGAGAAAGACTTGTGCTCATGTTTTGGAAAGAGAAGGAGTGTTGTGTGTTTGTTGTTGGCAGATTTTGGAAGTGGGATGTACGAGTAGAAGTACTTTGTTGGGACATTATTTGAGACATTATCGGGATTCACATGTTGGGAATAGAAGAGACACCAATGGTGGTGGGGATATTGGGATAAAAGAGGACGAGGGAGGGGATGAATGTGATTGGGATAGATTGGATCCGGTTGTTAAAGGCTTTATTGATCGGTGGAATTAGAGTTTATGGGGTTTGCTAATTTATTTAACATTTGCTTAGTATATATAGGACAAATAATTGTATACATGATATTAGAACATTTGTATATTTATTGTAAACTAACTAAAGTAGTTACTTCTTAGCACCGTACCTGGAGACAGTCTTACCATCTGGGATAGTGAATAAAACCACTGGCTTACCTTCTTGATAAGGTTCATCAACTCTATAGTAACCCTTTCTTTCGAATTGAATAATATCACCTTTTTTCAAATCACGAACATTCAAATCAGCAAAAGCCTTGGTATGGAATTCAGTTTCTGGAGTAATAAAATCTTCAAAGTTATCACCTTCTTCTAATTTATCCTTGGTAATCAAATGATCAAAATCAATTAAATCAACTTCAACTTTATCAGGAGTATCAGCTAACCAAGTAAGCTTCTTAGAAGTCTTACGGAAATCACCATCTAAATGTAATTTAGCTTCAACGGATTTAGTTACATCACCTTCTTTTTCAACCTTGGTGACAATAACATTACCCCAATCCATAAAAGTAACTTCTTCACCTTCAGTCAAGTCAGCATCTGCTTGATCAATCAAAACTTGGTTAGCATAAATGACCTTCTTAGTACCGACATCTGGATTCTTTTTATGTTTTGGTTTGTCTTCAGAATATGGCTCAGCAGGCCCATCAACCAATTTGACACTCACGGCATTAGTAGCATCAATTGCGGTGAATCTTGGAGCAACCGGATCAATAATCTTCTTGTTTAAGGCCCAAATAACAGACCAATCCAAATTAATGATATTTCTAGATGGACCTTGAGCAATAATGAAATTTCTTAATCCTTCAACAGTCATACCTCTTCTTCTAACCCCTCTCACAGTTGGGAATCTTGGATCATCCCAATTGGAAACGTAGTTCTTATCAACAAACCATTGTAATTTTCTCTTGGATAACAAAGTTCTAACGAAATTGACTCTGGCGAAATCCCAAATATGAACATGACGTAATTTCAATGCATTAAGAATCCATTCATATTGAGCATTACGATCTCTGTATTCGTTGGTTCTTAAGGCATGGGTAACACCTTCGATGGAATCAACGACTGGGGCACAGAAATCATAAGTTGGATACATTTTCCATTTATCACCAGTTCTATGATGTGGAGTTAAATTACATCTATAAATAACTGGATCTCTTAAAGTTTTGTTTAAGGCAGTATAATCGATCTTAGCTCTTAAACAATTCTTTAAACCTTCTTCAGTACCATTTTTCATGTCTTCAGTGAAGATTTTTAAATTTTCTTCAATAGTACGGTTTCTTCTTGCAGATGGATCACCAACCATTCTTTCTTCTCTCATTTTTTCTAAAGGAGTATCATCACAATAAGCGTTCCCATCTTTAATCATTTGAACAGCTAATTCATACATTTTGTCAAAGTAATCAGATGAATAAGAGACAACATCACCTTTAACTCCTAATAAAGCTAAATCTTCAACAATAGAATCTTGGAATTCTTCCTTTTCTTTGGTTGGGTTAGTATCATCGAATCTAATGATTAATTTTCCCTTATAATTATGAGCAAAATATTCATTCAAAATAGCTGCCTTAGCATGTCCGATATGTAAATAACCAGAAGGTTCAGGTGGGAAACGAGTAACAACTCTACCCATTTGAGCGTCAGGTAATTCAATATCGAAATTAGCCTTGTGGGTTTCCTTCTTACCACCGGATTTAACAGCTTTGGCTGATTTTCTTAATTCATTTACTGATTTAGTCATGAATTCAATAGTTGATTCAAATCTCTTATCTTCAGCTAATAAATTATACCATCTTGATACATTGATATACACTTCATTTTTGATGACGGAACCCATTAATGCATTGGCACGTAAGACACCCCAAATGGCAACATCAGCTAATGAATATTGATAACCAATAATAAAAGATCTTAAATTTAAATGAGATTCTAATTTCTCTAAATCTAATCCTAATTCTTTAAAATTTTTAATATATAATTTATCTAAAGCAAATTTAACCCAAGATTGAGATTCTTCACCAGCTGGTAAAATAGTTGGGAATTTGGAAGATAAATAAGTTAAAGCATCTAATTGGTTAGTGAAAGTCTTACCTTCTGGAGTAACTAATTTAATTGTAGCATTGGCATCAGATGAGTCAACTGATTTTTCATCAATGAATTCAATTGGAATTGAAATATCTGTAGAAGAATTGGAGTTGATGAATGAAACTGCAAGTAATGTTGGATAAGCAACAAATTGTGCCTTAGCAGCAATTGATAAGCTGAATGACATCTTGTTAGTTGATATTCTAAGGAAGAAGAAGAAGAAGTAGAATGAGAATTCAATTTTTCAATCCCTTCTTTTGATGCCCTTCTTTGTTTCATTGTTGGAACTGGAAGTGAAAAAAAATTTATAAAATAAAAGTCACAAGTCATGTGATCAGTGACGCGACATATAATTATAAATAATTACAAACTTTATTTCACAAAAATATTAAAACGTGCTATAAATAATTTCTAATGGGAGAGTTCCATTCATCATCATTCCAATTACTATTACCAAATCAAAACAAATCAAATACAAGAGAGATGAGTAGTAGGATTAATAGACCAAGTACACCTACATTACAAGACTCAAAAAGACCAACAGCTAAAAGATCACCTTCAATTTTAGTAACAGATGTTAGAAGTCATAATTTAAAAGGAACAAGAGCACCGTTTGCTGGTCATAATTATAAGAAGCAACAACAACAATTACAACAACAGCAGCAGCAGCAGCAGCAACAGTCTCAATCATCTCAAGGTTACAACTTCCTGCAACAACAACATCAAAGCGCACTTCAAAAACGATTAGCTTTTAGGAATAAATATGCTGATATATCAGTTGATAAATTATTAAGCAATTCAAGTGATATTCCATCTGGTCAAAGTAGATTACCTCCACGATTAGTCGATAGAGGATTGTATAATAAGCAATCTTCGGCAAGTCCACCACCAACAATTGGGAATCCTAAATTCCCAGAAGCAAGATTAAATGTACGCAGTATTCCCAAATTATCACAATCATTACCTGCTAGAACTTCAAAGACATCTCAGAAATTAGTATTAATCCCAGAACAACAACAACATTATAAACAAACCACATCACCTCCATCTCATGCGATTACTGCCCACGCCAAGGCAACATCACCTACTCTTTCTCCTCAGAATAATCTTGATCTTCAAGCCCAACTCGATAGGTCCCGAGCTGAACTAATGCCCAAAGAAGCAAGAGCTCAAGAATTTAGTAGAATGACTGCATATTTCATATGTCAAGAATTCAACCTACCTGCAATTGCCAAATTCTTACGTAAGAATCATGAAGTAAAACCAAGAGTTTATGATGAAGCATTATATGTTCCATATACATTACCATTATTACCTGGAAATGATGGGCTTCGGGTCAAATCCAATAATTCTGCAAAATTGGTCGCTAATAATCGATATATGGAGAAATTAATTAATCGAACTGAACAAACTGATCATTTATATGAATATTATTCCGGAGTTGAAACTCCTGAGGATGTGAATAATTATAGTATGGATCCGGAATTGGAAGATGTACATACTCCATTTGATCCATCTGAACCTCAATTCTTTGCCCCACCAATGGAAAATAGTCCTGTGAGTAGTGAGAGTGTTAATTCGGAGAGTAGGAGCATTAAAACACCTCCGCCTGAAACTGATAACAAGGCTAAGAATTTAGAAGTCCGTTTCGTTGATGAACCAATTCGACTTGATACGAGTAATCGTCCAAGTTCACCCCATCATTCCCAATCGGATGTTGTTTCAAGACATCATGCGGAAATGTTTATATTCGCTTATGGGATTGTTGTATTTTGGAATTTTTCTGAAATTCATGAAAAGAATATCCTTGCAGATTTGGCATTTGCCGATGAACCTGAAGAATTATTAATCCAACCGGTTGATGAACAAGATATAGAGACTGAAGAATTTCATTTCGAATATGATTCACAAATCCATAGACCTAGGATATATAATGATATGATCACGCTTAGGTCGGGTGATCATTTGATTAAATTAACCATGTCGCATGCGATTGCCCAGCTGACGAAATTGGGATTGTTTGAAAGTAGGATGGTTAATATTTTACAACTGATTAGTAGATTGCCTAAGAAGCTTGCATTGACTGGACAATTAGGTCTAAAGAGGAATCAATTGTTGAAAAAATCGGGGAAATTGTTTAAACTTAGAGTGGATGTGAATTTACTGAGTTCTATATTGGATACTCCTGATTTCTTTTGGTCTTTTGAACCAGCATTACATCCGTTGTATAATGCAGTTAGGGAATATCTTGAAATTGATCAAAGAGTTCAAGTTTTAAATGATAGATGTAAAGTGTTTTTGGAATTTGTTGATATTGTAAGCGATAGTATGAATGAGAAGAATACCAATAGAATTACTTGGATGATTATTATAATTATTGCATTAAGTTTGTTCGTAAGTTTATTTGAATTTATATTGGAAATTATATAGGTTTCTGTTAATAGCTAATAATGTATATGCTTTGTGGTATGAGGCTCATCTAGGAAATCCTAAAGTAAGCTACATATTTGCAAGCGACAATAAGTCATATAGTTTATTACTTTTACTCCCTATTGTACCTTATAGAGAAGTAATATTGAATTGTGTTGTAGTGGTAGCGTCATGTCGATAAGTATTACTCAATCAATTTTGCAGTACCTGCAAATCCTTTAGGGGAATGTTGAGATATGTTACAATGCAAGACTTTTCGGTTTAAGGCTTGCTCGTTCAGATACTAATTGGTAACGTGTGTTTAATTGGTGACGTGAAAGTGTTTGGTTGAGGATTCATAGATTAATAATTCTATGAGATATAAGAGCTACCAAATGAGTTAAACATTCTTTTTGTTCTTTGGAGAGCTACCAATTTTGAAATTTAATTTTAACTGTTGTCGTTGTAGAAATTTCAATTCTGAATATGACAAGTTAAAATGAATAACAGAATCAATTAAATATCCACTCATTAGATTAAGCTTATATCCCCAATGACACCACTAGAATCACCACCAGTACTAGAACAACAACAGCAACAAGTAACATATTATACTGACCAAGTAAACGATATAATACAAAGAATCAAACAACGCTACCATATTCAACAACAACAACAACACCACTTATGTAGATTATTAATATCACTTGCTGGTATTCCAGGTTCAGGTAAATCAACATTTAGTCATCAATTAATACAACAATTAAACAAACAGCAACATCTTAAATCAATTGTAATTCCACAAGATGGATTTCATTTACATCGATCACAATTATCACAACTACCAAATCCAGAAGAAGCATTCAAAAGAAGAGGAGCACCATTCACATTCAACCCCCAAGCATTTGTTGAGTTGATAAGGAAATTAAAAGATCCAGATTGGAAAGATAAGACGATTTATGCTCCTTCTTTTGATCATAAATTGAAAGATCCAATTGAAGATGAGATTAAAATTGATTCTGATGTTGAAGTTATTATAATTGAAGGGAATTATGTATCTTTGACTGATGAATATTGGAATGATATAAGTGAATTGGTTGATGAGAGTTGGTTTATACAAACTGGCTTGTCGGTTGTTAGAGATAGAATTATTAAGAGACATTTACAAGCAGGGATTTCCAGTACTATGGAAGAAGCAATTGAAAGAACTGATGGGAATGATTTGGTGAATGCGAAGTATATCTTGGAACATTCTAAACCAACTGATGTGGTTATAATTACAAAGGAATAATTAATAGACTTATAGATTAAAACAAACTAATAAAAACAAAATGCAAAACTATTTATTATACAAGTATGGCTACTGCTCTCTATTGAGGTTCAACATTATATCTCATTTTAATACCCATAGCAGATAATTCAGAATCCAAATATTTCAATACGAATGGAATAGCAACCGTGGTGGTATTTTCACCACCAACAAACTTAACCCCTTGACCATCTTCCCAAATATCAGCTTCGGCCGCATATCCTTTCTTTTGGACGTATGTATCCAATTTAGTAGCACATCTTCTACATCTAACACTTGCCATTGATCCAATTCTTGGAACACTAGTTTGAGTAGTTAAAATAGATCCACAACCACGACAAATTGGAGTTTGGGTATAATCTGAACAATTCAATAATCTATCTTGTAACAAGAATGCAGTTCCATGACCAATCAATGCATCTCTTTCCATTTCCCCAACACGAATACCACCGGATCTCTTTCTACCTTTAACTGGTTGCATGGTTAATGAATTCACCGGACCAGTTGATCTGACTTGGAATTTATCATTGACCATATGTCTTAATCTTTGATAATAGACACATCCGATATATATATCTGCTCTTAATTCTTCACCAGTAGCTCCTGAATACATTGGCTCATTACCATGATAATTATATCCTGCTTTTAATAATTGTTCTCCGAAATAATCGGCTGGTGTATCGTCTTCACTAAATTTCCATGGAGTTGAATCTTGGGCAATCCCGTGCAAGGCACCGGCCTTACCGGCTAAGGATTCTACAAACATCCCAATTGTCATACGTGAAGGGAAAGCATGCGGGTTGATGATGACGTCAGGTTGGATCCCGGTTTCGGAGAATGGCATGTCGATTTGTGGCCATTTTCTGGAACAAACCCCCTTTTGACCATGTCTGGAGGAGAACTTATCACCGATTAATGGAGCACGGGTGATTCTATATTTGATTGTGATTTGTTGACATTCTTGATCCGCATTAGTGTCATCACCTAAGAGTTTGACTTCTTCGATGTAGGCGGGTTCGGAAGAATGATAGGTTTTGACTTTCGTTTTACCTAATGTTTCATCAAAATATGCTACGATTGGATCACCTTCTTCAACTTTGACGCCGATTAATGGTAATCCATCATTATCTAATTTTTCTTTCCAAGTTTCTGGCCATTCATCTTCACCAAATCCGAAATGTTGAGTGATTGGATCACCTCTTCTTCTTGAAAGTGATAAATCAACTTTTTCGACTTTATAAACTGTACCATAACCAAATCCTCTTTCATCAGCTGACTTATTTATAATCATCGCATCATCCATATCATAACCAGTATATGAAATAACCGCCACAACTGCATTCATACCATTAGGGAAATTATCCATTCCATAATCATCATATAAATTAGCTTTAACAATTGGAGTTTGACCAGTTTGTAATCTATATAATTTATTATCCGATCTATGAACCAACGCAGTTCCAGGAGTACCCATTGTTTGTTTCCCCATTTGACATTGATACATATTTCTTGGAGATTGATTAAAATCAGAAAATGGAGTTAAATTAGCCAAAATGGATAAAATATTAGTTGGGGTGAATTCAACATGGGAATGAATATTATTTTCGATTTCTTCAGGAGTGACAGCAACATTCATATATACTTGTTCAAAAGGACCCAAAATATCAGTTTGATTCAATGGTAAATATTTAACTGGTCTCATCATTCTAGAACGTCCACCAAAGATATATAAACCCGGATATTGCCCTTTGCTCGAAGGTGGAACATAACCTAATTCTAAATCTAATGGTAATCCATGTTTTCCATCAACTTTCCAGAATCTTAAAGTATCAGCGACAATCTTACCTTGTTCATGAGTGGTCCAACCGACGATCTTCCCATCTAATTGGACACAACATGCATTGGGCCCGGCGGCGAATGTATCTGCAGGAGAAACACCAAGGAGAGCCAATGCCTTGGGGACTTGTGAGACATCGGAAGCTTCGGTGGCGATCTTACATTTATGGGATAAATGGTTCAAAAGACCACAGGGGGATCCATCAGGGGTATGAACGGGACATAAGAATCCCCAAGATTCGGGTAATAATTTTCTAACGGTGGTGGTTTTTAATTCAGCAAAGAAGGAACCACGATGAACCATTCTGAAATGGGATATAAATCGATAGAAATTGATCTTTTCAGCCACGACTGTATATCCTGATACTTGTTGTAAATCTAATCCAGATTGTGAGACTAAATTACCGGTAGATAAGAAATATTGTAATTTTTGACCAATATTTTCATTGATTCTCATGAAAACTCTTGACATATATTTACGATCATTGAAATTTATGGCAATACCACGGTTTATATCTGATTGGATTTGTAATTTGATATTTTGTAAATATTCTTCAATTTTTTCTTTGATAATCATACCATAAAGGAATCCACCTAATAAGACTTCTTGATGTTGAGTTGCATCTGGATTATCAGGACAACAATCTCCTGCAACTAATGAATATAATTTTCTAATCATGAATAATAACATTCTAAATTTATCAATTGGTTGAGATAAATGAACTAAAACAATTCTTCTTAAAACTTCTTTACCAACTTCAATGTCGGAAACATCACGACTTGAACCAAAGACAACTCTAAATTTATCACCTAAATAAGCTAAAGTTTCTTGTTTTGAATATAAATTATATGTCTTATAAGTTCTTAATAATAATTCTAAACGATCAGTTAAGAAGGAGTTTTCAATATCATTTCCCACAATACCATCAAAAATTTCACGATCATTAGTTTCAATCAAAGCTTTAAGAATCATAACAACAGGAACCAAATATTCATTCTTTCTCCATGAGAATCTAAAAGTAACATTCCCATCATTCAAATAATGTAAGACATTAGTTTGAGAAGTTTGATCATCACGAACTGATCTAATTTGTATACCATATTTCGTATATGAAGCACCACGATTCCCAAATGAAGGACGAATAATCGCCATTGGGTGATTACGTCTTTGAACAATCAACATACGAATCAATTTTTCAATCCCATTAACAATAAAATATCCCCCTAATTCATCACTTTCTTCCTTGGTTTCAACTAATTGTTGAGGTGAAAGTTTTTCTAAATGACATCTATTGGTTTTTAACATAATTGGAACTTGTCCCGCTTCTCTAATTTCCAGAATCTCTTCTTCATCATCATTAACCTTCCAACTCACTTTTAACATCAATCTTGATCTATAAGTTGTCATTCTTTCTCTACATTCAGAAGGATAGGTTTTTCTGTTTAAGGATAATTTATCACTAGAAGCAACGGCAGGTTTTGCCAATTGAACACTTTCAACTCGAATAGAAAGTTTATTCCCCAATCTATCACTGGTATCTGGTGTATCAAAGATAGTCTTTGTTCCGATATCTTTAACAGCAAGATTTAATAATCCTCCGTCTGGGCCCTCAGTTAAGGCATTGAATGATCCAACATGAGGGGCAACTGCTTCTGCTAATAATGGATATGCTGATTTATCCGTAGGAGGATTCTTGAATCGAGCTTCTCTTTCAAGAGTCCTGAATTGAGCTCTCATCTTGTGTAGTTTTTACTCTTGATTAAATGATGAAAGGAGGAGAGTAATGATGGAAAGTTGTAATTTTTTTTTTCAAGATGAGCTGAACAAGGAACAAATTGAAAAATTTTGGTGTGAGATGAGATCACGTGACTTACGCACCCTCGGAAATATGAATTCCGGGATATTCTCGTGCACTCTTCTGAAAATCGAATCCCTCGATCCCTCCATCCCTCCATCCTTCCATATCTCATCTAATAATTACTTGCCTATCCTTAATAACTAAGTCAAGCTTCTCAACCCTTCAATAACTCCATATCAAATCAGTACAAAATTGAACACAGCAATGGCCAATTCACGATTTGAATACGTCAAACAATTCGAACGAGAAAACTATCTCCTACCAGACACCTACATAATTATCCGAGTCGATGGGAAAGGATTTCATAAATTCTCCCAACATTATCAATTCGAAAAACCAAACGATGCTCGAGCATTACAAATCATGAATAGGGCAGCACATAAGATAATGTCACAATATAGTGATGTAATGTTGGGATATGGCGATAGTGATGAATATTCATTCTTGCTTCGACGAGGGTGTGAGTTGTATGAAAGGCGGGAGATGAAGTTGTGTACTTTGTTTGCATCGTTGATGACATGTTATTATCAATTCTTCTGGCGGGAGGAGTATGGAGAAGAGAAGAGGTTGGATGAGGATCATTTGCCGGTGTTTGATGGTAGAGCGGTTGTATATCCTACTTTTAATCATATTCGAGATTATTTTAGTTGGAGACAAGTTGATTGTCATATTAATAATTTATATAATACCACATTTTGGAATCTTGTTATTAAGAAGGGGATGACACCACAAGAGGCTGAACAGAGGTTGATGGGAACTGTGGCGGCTGATAAGAATGAGATATTGTTTAGTGAATTGGGAACTAATTACAATAATGAACCGGAGATGTTTAAGAAGGGGACAATATATGTTAAAGAATATGAAGAAGATTATCAAGTGGTTTCTGAGATTGGATTAACGCCAAGACAAAAACAACGATTAGAAAAGAAGAGAAAGAAAGCGAAGATTGTCCAGTATCATATTGATATTATAAATGATAATTCATGGTGGGATTCTAAACCATGGTTAATGGAATAGATATGTAAGTAACGGTAGATAACAAAAATGTATAATATTAATAAACTAAATAATGAATAAAAGTTAAACCCCAAAAAACTAAAGATAAACTAAAAACAATATCACAATAAAGAAAATCAAAAATAAATAAATAAGAACTAAAAAGTCGAAATAATAATTAAATAAATGGATGTGAATGGTATGGATATATCCCTCACTCTCTTAAATATGGATAGAATCACTCAATGAATAAAGTGTAGATGCAGTAGTTGGTGAACAACTTCCAAGTACAGGTGTAGATACTGTACTTGTATTAGCACTAGTAGCAGCAGTACTTTGATTTGAACTTGGAACTGAATTTGAACTATTTGCAAAACAATAATTATTAATCAAATCAGCATAACACATACTTGAAAATTCCGGTTTCAGATTACTAAATGCTTCATTCTTCTTTTGTTGCCTTTGTCTAAAAGATTGTGAATATTTTGGACGGCCAATTGGTTGTTGTGCAGATTGTGAATTTGGAGTGGATACTATATCACTTGAAGAGAATGATTGTCTGAGAAATGGACGATGGATAGGTGGTTTATGATGATCTTCAAAATTGTTTTGAACTGAGAATGAGAATCGTTGTGGTTGTGGAAATGATGGAATTGACTTCTTTGGTGCAGCGGGTGCTGGTGCTTGTGTTGCTGGTGGTGCTGGTGATGTACCTTCTGATTTTGTACCTTGTTGATGTAAGATCAACTTACTAATCAACTCGTTAAATTGATGAGATTCTTCACTATCCTTCTTTGGAGTAGCAGCAGAAGCGGCAGCAGTAGCATTAGCACTAGAAGCAGGGTTGGATGTTGGTTTATAAGTATAAGATTTAATTCCATTAACCATACTTAAAGTGAATTGATAATTAGCACCACCATTATTATCCCAATAAGTTTGATTATTAACTTCATATTTAAGACACATTTGTAAATCAACATTAACACCATCATATTTATTTAAAATTAAATCATCAACATTAATTTTAAATTTAAATTGATCAATATCTCCAATACTTTTAACAAAATTAATAATTGAATTCCCACCAAATACAATACTTGTTTTCCAATTATTTAAAGTTAATTTAATATACAACTTCTTTTCAAATGCTAAATTCTTAACATTAATTAATCCATAAAGATAAGTTTTCCCATCAGTTTTCAATACATATGCTGAAGGTAACCAAACAACTGAATCCTTAGTATTAACAATCTTAGGAATATTATGACTAGTTAATCTATATTCTTTACTAGTAGTACCAGTAACCAATTTTGGAGACAGCCAATAATCATCCTCATCATCATCACTATTATTCTCAGAACTATAATCACTACTACCTTTACTTGAATTCCCATGCCAATTCCAATCAAAATAATCAACTCTTCTTGGTTTTTGTTTCAAAAATCTATAATCCTCATCATCAAACTCATCATCATCTTCATTCAAAGGAGTAGTCTGACCAGAACTCACAGTGGCAGGAGAAGCACATCCATCAAACATCTTCACATTAATCAATCGACTAGCAAATCGCACTGATTTTCTTGCAGTCAATTGGGGAGTGGATAATGAACGTTGTAATAATTGTGGAAGTTTCAAAGATGATTTAACTAATTCTCCCGACTTTTTACGGACAAGTTTGGGGGGCATCATCATCATATATGATGAAGAGGAAGACATTGAACTGGCTGAACATAATGAGGTGGAGGATGATGAGGAGCTGGTACTTTCTAATGAATCCAGTTCTTGGAGAGTACTCTTGGGGGCGACGTAATAGCTTGGGATTGGTATTTTTGATTTGCGAGGGATGGTTACTATGGGTTGTTGCAGCAGCTGCTGTTGTTGTTGTGGTTGCAGTATTGGTTGTTTAAAGTATGGTGATTGTTTGATGATGGTGAATGTATTGGTTGTGGTTGTTATTATTGGAGTGGTAGTTGTAGAAGTTGTTATTGGAATAGTTGAAATGGTTGGTGGTGGAGTACCCAGTGATAATTTAATGGTTGATGCACTTGATTCTATTGATTCACTTGAAGATGCTGAATCTTTATGAGAATAAATTGTTGAAGCAGCAATCAAATTCGAATATGTCAAAGGTGATGTTCCTGTTATTGTTGTAGACGACATCGTGTATGTGTATGTGTATTATGTGTTTATTGTTTTAATGATGGCTTTTGGTTAATTTTGGGACAATAGGAAATTTGGGTTTTGTGTGTCTGTATAAATTTCTATAAGAAGAAGATGGAAGATGCGGTAATACAGGTTGTTGTTGTAGTTTGTGTCTGTCTGTCTGTCTGTCTGTCTGATGACTAGCTTTAACTTATGACTAACTTAATAGTTGTTTAGTTGTGGTTGTTGTGTCTGAATTATAAATTTGAAATAAAATGTAAAAGAAAAAAGTTGCGTCTTTTGAAGTTTCCTTAAATTCGAATGATTTTTTTTCTCTTTTTGCGTGATTAAAACAATGAAGTGGCTGTTATTATATTTTTTATAAAATTATTTTTTTTCTTGAATCTTTTTGTGAATATATGCAGCAAGTAACTAAAATGAAATTTCTATGCGGATTAAAAAAAATTGTTCTTGTGCACAAAATAATAATCTCTTCGTTTAAAAAAATATTTTATTATTTAACAATACTTTTTTTTTTAAGATGAATTAATGTGTGTATGAATAATTTTTATTCAAATATAAAATGTACAATAAAGTTAGTTTTGGGGGAAATCTTAACCTGTAAATATAAAAAAAATTAAGGGATGGTTGTTGTTTATCTCTTAGTATATAAGGAATACTATGTAATGTACAATTATGCTGAAATTATATGAAGTTATTTCCTTATGCCAGATAAGTCTTTACTTCAAATTTAATGAAATGATGTAATATTAATATGAAATGGATTAAAGGATGGATGGTAAGTTATCCTTTTTTTTATGTTTACCAAATTAATGGGACTATTATAAGTATTTCCTTTAATAATGGAAAAAAGTCTTTATCTACCAAAAACTAAGAAGACCCAAAAGGAAGGTTTTTTATATAAGACTAACTAAGAAATTTTTGAAGATAAAAAAGAGATTTTTCCATTTGTATTTATAATCTCAGCTGTTTTTTTTTTTCATTTTAATTTAAGATTTTAAACAAGGGGGAATAAAAAAAAATTAGGGAGACTGAGAACTTATGTGGGAGTAATGGGAGTGGTTTTGCCCAACGAAAGAAATTAAAAAATATATTATTTTTTATAATTTTGACTCACTAGAAATTACATACAATGAGATTTAAAAATATTTTATTATTTAATGAACTTATCAACAATAGAAAACCTATTTTTTTTACAATCTCCCTTTTAAATTTACACACATTTTAACACATTCCATTTACAAAATTTAATTACAAACTTTTAAGGAGGCAACAAAAAAATACCACCACCGCCCCTCCAAAAAATCAAAGAAATAGAAAATATCCACATTTTTATTGATGGTCACTCTTAGTTTGCTTCGTCTAAAAGAATTAGGGAGTTAATGCCGTAGAATACACTGTACTTTTCTTGAACGTGGCCAGTGCTCAATATATAAGACAATTTAACTTGCATTTTTTTTTCTCTTAATGTATTTGATTTCATCTTTTTTTTTTTCTTTGGCTTGCAGTAAAGAATCCCAAAAAAATAATTTAACCAAAAAAATATTTTTGACTTTTATTATTTTTTTTTTTTTTTGATGAGTCTCGATTCAAGAAACTGGCTTTTTTAAGGTTTTTATTTATAAATAGATAGTTGAAGATAGAGAGTGGTGTTATCATGATCTTAATTGAAAGGAGACGCCTTTATTCAATCATTTGTACCTGCCTATAGACATAAAACAAGGTTAATAATGGCCAACAAATTAAATAGACGAAAAAGAAGGAAGGAGCGGAACATCAAAAAAGTGGGCTAGATTTCGCATTGTATGTACTGCTGGATGAGATAATAGGTTACGATAGTTCTCTTGCATAATATGACCCGACTGTTTTAAATGTTACAATCCGCAGAACATGTGTTGATTTTATTGACATCATCTGTATTGATGTGATATTTAAATGACTCTCTCTATCTGTTTACACACGAAAGCAGCCTTGTTACTCCTTATTTGATGATGATTGTGTAAGGTGTGTATTGATGATTAACTTTTCGGCTGTAAAGATACACACACAATCAGACAAAAAAAAAAAAGAAAAAAAAATATTTTTTTGATATTTTCCTTCTCTTGCATTATGGTACAAAACACCGAAATCGGTTCCTCAATTAATTAAATGGCATACACATATTGATCTTCTCTTTGTTCTGTTCTTGATGTCAATTACATTGTTCTTATGAGAGAGACATGAAATGATAAAATTAACCGACACCGGCCGGCCCATCAAATTCCATAAAAGACAAACGAGATCTATCTGCCTTGTTCTTTGTTCTGGATGTGTTCGGGAAATCCCACATTTAAGAGATCTTGCACATCTCCAGCAAGAATAAATTGTGTGTCTGAATATAATAATTCAACATTTTTTTACTGGTTAGAGAGGTACACATTCACCTTTTTCAACATGATTACTACGGCATTGCATTTACTCTATGTCCCACATAAACTATCTGGTTTGAACATACGAGCCAAGAAAGAAAAGTTTATTGGCATTGGATAGATCGACCATGGAATAGATTGTAGTTGAGTTGATTCTTTTGGTTGTTATTATTACATTTTGCTTTTGAAGTTTATTATTTTTTTTAATTATAACTTACAGTTTTCTCGGTTTATAATATACATTGCATAATGGTAGAGACGCGTAATCTTCCCATCGGATCCATTGAGTTTCGGTTTCTTGAATTTGAATTCCGATACATCCTTCCCCCTCTCTAACAATGAGAGAATAAAAAGAAAGAAAAAAAAAATATTTCAGCAACAACCACACATTTCATTTTTTCTAAAAATAAACTTAAGGAGACAATTACGAAAAAAAAAAAAGTTGCTTGCTTAATTAAATAAAGTTATTATCATACATGTGTATTACTTAATTGCGATCTTTTTTTATCAATTGGAATGTAACTTGATGTTTTCAATAACCTTCTTTTTGGTTATGTTTTCTTTTCTTTTCTAACGATGACGTTATTTCAATTGATGGTTTGCTCTTAATTAACCCAAAAAAGTTAAAATAAAAAAAAGTTTTTGGCTGTAAAAAAAAAATAAAGCATAAATAATTATGGAGTTTGAAAACTATAAAAAAAAAATATCATTAAATTATTATTTTCAAACACCCTTTAAACAAGACATAAAATATATTCATATATCATAATATGGGGTGTATTGATTACAATTCAGACATAAAACAACTCTCGTTAATCAAAAATCGTCTAGTTGTAATGTGTCATATAAAATATGGTTTTCCTTTTTGTTTATTGGGTGGGTAGGAACTGTTTATCAGTCGATATTATGTAAAACTATTAATGTTTAGGAGTTAGACAATTTAGTAACATCATCAACATTCTAGAATATCTCCAGATTTAGAAAATTGTCCAAGACCTGGGGCAACCAACACCAAGAAAAAAAGTAACCACCAAGAAATTAAAGTGGTTGCAACAAAAATATTCATCATCATCATCAGACCAGTTCCGGCGGTAGCCAAGTCCACAAGCTTCTTCTTGGAAGAATCATCATCATATTATCAGTTCCACTGCCAAGGTTTCGCTTTTATATTTCTATTATTCCATAACATTGGCAATGAATGGAGGGGAGAGTATATACTGTATGTATCTATATAAGGTACACAAAAGGATAAAGGATACTGAGTGTTTAGGCGTGTCACCGCCATGCATCTTGGCGCCACGCTATGTTATGTTACTATGGGTATTACAGCTTTCCCTTTTTCCGTTTCCCTTTCTCCCTTCCGTCTGTGTCTCTCCTAGTTCCCCCCCTCCTCCCTCCTTCGGTGGGATTCTTTTTCCCCTCGCTCTAATTTTCTTTTAGATTCGCCGAATAAATTGTCTAGTCAACATACATTTAAGAACTATTGATAAGATTGTTAATCAAATGCTGTACATGATACGCGTGACTTATTGATAAGCGATGGTAAGAAGAGCTTTTTTAAAGTTTAGTCCTAACCCTCCTATTTCGGGTTGATTCTTGGGGAAATTTAACTTATTCTGGATAAAAAATCAACCCCTAATACATCCATTTATCGCGTTTTGAGAAAGAATTGTACAAGTAAACAATGGTTGCCGCTAACACAATTGATTTGTTTTAATAATAGGGGGAGAGTAGAACAACAATAAAAAAACCTGGGGTTGATTGTTTATCTTAAGAAAGGGAGAATGAAAGAGACAATATTTTTGAGATCAATTTTTGTTCTGTTCCCCACCATATATGTTGATTGTCTCATGTCAAAACAAAACAAAAAACCAAAGCCCCTAATTGTGTTTCAGCCCAACAAAAATATAAAATAATAATAATTGTCGTATAACAAAGAAGATTTTAAGAGGCCATTTACGAACTTTTCTTTACAAAGAGCCAGGAAATTCATTTAATATCCAGCCTTATTAATATTATCATCACATAAAAACTTCTCTTTTTCTTTCTCTTGTATTCCTTGGGTACTCGGGCTTCATAATTCCAGGTGTTATTATGTAAATGCATGTACATTTATTAAATGCATGTTTTGTCGCCGGATATCTGTCGGATCAGTCCATAGCTTTCTTTTTTGTCACTTTAAAATATTAATTAATGCAAAATCTAAAAACACCCCAAAAAAATAATAATGACTCGGGTTTTGTGTAATTTAAACAATCATCGAAACCACTTTTCTTTTTCTGTAAATATTAATTTTAGTATTATTTTTTATTTATGGCTATTCTTCAAAAAAAAAAGATCTTGCATCCTTTTTTTTTTCTTTTCTTTTTTTGGAACCTTCGGAAATAGTGTTTTATTATTTTTCACAACGTGTGTGATACTTCGTGGGCATTGCAGAAATAAAACCATATGATTCAATGATCCATCACAATGGATCGAGTCTCGAGGAATAGCTTATCATCAAATATTATTATTCATATCCTTCAAGTCTCATATCATCCATCAGGGAAATGCCTTCATGATGTGCATGCCTAAACCTCAATACGTCATATCCGCATATCCCTATTCCTCCCCCTATTTTAGTTCTCTCAACCTCTTATCTATATCTAAAAGTTGCAACGTATGATATCTCCTAAAAATAGATAAACATCATATCATTTTATAATGGCTTGGCAACAATCGGCTTTGTTTGGGAATTGACGATTTTTCTTGTCCTTCCGAATTGATCCGTGAATGAATCAATGAAATGCCGATTTTTAGAGGTAAGCTTTTTTTAATTGATTCGTTTATTTGATTAGTTATTTAATAAGGTTTTGGTATCAAAGTTATTGGGGTATAATGGAATATTATAGTTTTCATTATCGTATGTGTATAATATTACGGTAGAAGTGTTGCTTGTTGCACGTTTTATTATTCCATTCTTAAAGCTAAAATTAATCTCCATTGGGTGATTTGGAAATAGTTTCTTACGAGAATGGGCGGAGCCTAAATATAGGAGAGCTTTATGATAAGAAATACGAGAAAAGTAAATTTTGTATACAAACTCTATTTGATCAAAACTGTTGGCCCGGAAGCCTTGTAAAGAAACCTACCCGAGATATTCTCAATTCAATTTTAATGTCTTACTTTATCAATTGACACCGGAAATCTTTGAATTTCATAAATCTTCATTAATCTGTGAAAAAATAACAAAAGGAAATGGGTTTATTTACTATCTTATTATGACGGTTACATATATTCTATACTAACATCATTTAAACGTTTGCCTTGTTTGGACCCTTGTTGGTGGCTCTAATTATTTTGTTCAATTTTGTGACAAATTTTTCAGTAATTGCTTTTTTTTTAGGAGTAATTAGTAATTTATTTTTTTTTGCAGCCAAACACATGCTAGCATTAGACTAAGTATATTAATATAAGAGATTATGGGATAATTCATTAATACCTACCTCATTCACATTTATATCACATAATCATTCTGCTCAACTTGTTTGGCCTAGTACATTAATTACTTAGTTTAGGTTTAGTGAGAATTGAAGATGATTTGACTATGCTGAATCCATTACAGCCAGATAAGCATCCCTTGTGATTAAGGAATCTCCTCAATGATTGTCTACAATAAGATATCCCATTGAAAGGTTTCTGATATATTCCAGTGTACGACATTTCTGAACTGAACTGATGCAGATGGTTCCCAAGAGGAATCAATATCATAGAGGGTGCCAGTGGAAACGTAGATAGAATCCTATGGTCTATTCGATCATTATTACTTTTTAATGAGTAAGCTAGATGTATGGCTCGGGAGATCTATTATATCTGGTTAAGGGGTATTTGTGTTGTACATTGTGCGCGTTTGAGTTTTGGGGAGATAGAGGATAGTTTATGACATGCAAAATACCCCATGAAGAAACGAAGACATTACGTCAGGTTTCTACAAAAGGTATTAGAAATTTTGATTGCGGGTGTTAGAGTACAAGGTGGTACGGTAATATACCACGAGTAGTCCCAACGGCCACAGGAGGGGTCAAAAATAGAAAAGCGTGCCATACATGACACAGCATAATCCAGATTTAGATGATCACCAAAACATATTCAATAAAATATAAAACAACAAATAACAAAACACTTATAAAGAAATAAAACGTCTAAAAACTATCAATTCACCAGGTAAACAACATAAGGTCTATTTCTGCATTGCCTCTTGCATGGCAACAGTTCCCGTCATTTGTCTACTATCACCCACTCCCCCTAATTGAGGATCACCATGCAAAGCCCAATCGCTATCTTCATCCAAATCCTGTGCTCTCTGTTTTCCTTGACTAACATCAGAACCAATATTCGCAGTAGCCATTCTTTCAACTTCTTGAGCCGATGGCATAAAAATAACCCTTGTCCCTGGTGACTTTGCCATATTTTGTAATGCATCCAAATATCTAATTTGCATAGCCGGTTTGGATGCTAATATATCGGCAGCTTTTCTCATTTATTTAGCCGATTCGACTTCGGCTTTTGCATTGATGATCTTACCTTCCCCAATTCTCTTTGCTTCTGCTGCCATTGATAATGAAGATTGAACTTTATCGGGTAAGGTTAAATCTTTGATTAATATGGATTCAATATGAACACCCCAATCAAAGGCGGTTTTGGCGATAATGTGCTCGATTGATTCGGCTATTTCTTCTCGTTTTTCAACAACATCTTGTAATGACCGACCTCCAATAACATCTCTAAGAGTAGTTTGGGTTCTTTCCATAATGGCTTCATGAATATCGGCAATGGAATAAACTGCTTTTGGTGGATCAATGATATTGTAATAAACTACCGAAGTGATAATAACACTAACATTATCCTTGGTGAAACATTTTTGGGCTGGAATTTCTCGAATATTAATCTTTATTGATACTCGAGTTAATGTTTCTGACCAAGTATTAACATAATTTAATCCTGGTTCAACTACTCGTGAGAGTCGACCAAATGTTTGGACTAATCCAACTTGTCCTTGATCAACTTCACGATATGGATTGGTACATAAAAAGCAAAACATACCACATTTTCCAAAGATTGTGCCTACTCCTTGTATAAATCTTTGATATTGTCCCATGGGGGGATTATCATAAACTCGGGCAAATCTCTTAGCAACCAATTCTGGAGTTACTGGTGGTTCTTCCCTAATTGATTTCTTGTAACCGTCAGCATCGAATGAACCGGCTGATTTGTTAGAATGAGAACTAGCTTCCATTTTGTATTTAATCTAAACTAATTGGTTATCTAAAGAAGAAAGAAAACGAAAGGAAAGTAAAGTTAATTAAATATTCGAAACAAATTTTTGATTATGTAATCAGGACGAAAAGGAGGGGAGGGGGTTGTAGGTGGAGACGGAGATGAAATCACAACCACAACTTAATGTAAACTTACATAAATATCCAAGATCCAAGCTCCATGTAAGAAACATGAATGTATCTACCACAATGAAGAGCGAAGGACAATGGAAGCGTTAAAGCATTTTATACTAGATCATCCGAGCTAATGTCAATTCGCATATCCTAATGTGCCAAGATCGAAAGTTGTATGTAGTCTATAAAGATAAACAGTTCTTCCCCAACCAACCCCCAAACCTCTAATTCACAGGTATTTATCCTAGAGTCGTAAAGTTCAGGAAACGGGGAAGTTAGCGAACGAATTCAGGGCATTGTCAGAAATCACCGTAATGTAACAAGTTACAGAGAGGAACCTCATGCCCCATTACTCACTAACGACCGGCCGAAAGTCATTAGGAAGCAACATATAACTACTCATTACATTCCGAATAAGTCAGTTTAGACAATTTACAATTAAATGTTTTTCGACCGCTAAATAGCATATATATCGTCATAGGTTGTTCAGAATATTAGTGATGTCCATACATTGGCAATACTATCAATGTGTGCTTGAATTTTTTGGAGTAGCCAAGCTAAATTATGAAGAGATCCCACACCCCTCTCTATGTGCCGCTAGCGGTATATTCCAGAAAAAGGCTTTGGTTGGAATCAAAGTCGCTTTCTATTTACATTTGATACCATAATATCTATTGGAATCTTTTGACCAAGAATACGATTAATTATATTCCTTCTGACCTCTCCCACTGACTTTGTCCACAAACTCGGATGGATTGTTGCTGATTTCTTTCTATGATTTGCTATTTCGCTATTTTATTACAGTATGAACATTTGCATAACGCTTGTAGGAAAGTGTAGAAAACCACTAAATGACACAGTAGTAGGATAATGTTAAGGCGTTATTTTTGCAGCCACTACTTAACATCGTTGGAAGATTCTTCCCAAAAGCAAAAGAGCACGTTGTAGTTTACATTTGAATTAGAAACAGAAAAGCATAGTTTTATAGATTAAACAAATATATATTAAAATAAAGTAAAAAATACCGAAATAAAAATATCATTATTAGTTGATATTATATCCAAAAGTGAAAGCTGAAAGTTCCTAACTTAAATAACAGCAATCAAAGAAACCGCCATCATTGCCATCATAAATAAACTGTTCCACTCTAACGAAATGGCAGCAGCACCTTCAAAAATGTCGATGATTGGGGCATTATCTGTTGAAGCAGAAGGAATAATTGTAGAATCACCGACTGACCCATCATTTTGAACAGTTTGAGCATCCGCAATACCATTTTCCACTGGTAAACTATTCTTACCAATGACTGATTCATCATCTTGAACTGTTTCAGCACCAGCAATACCATATTCCACAGGTAAAATACTCGTAACCACTACTGTTTCTGTCGCCATCATTGGTATCTTCGTGACTGCTTCAGTGAAGTGTTCAACGCCTGCTATAGTGATCACACTTTCAAATGTAGTAAGCACTTCTATTTCATAAGTAATTACTTGACTTATTGTTGTAACTCTAGCCAAAGCAGATGTTGCGTTTGTCATATTCATAGATGAGGAACTCCACGAAGTTTCTATTTCAGATCCAAAGCCAGTATCAGCAGGATTCTGGCCAAGCACAACATCAGCATCTAGATCACCCAATAAGTGACCGGCGTTTATAGCGTTGACGTTGCCCACTTCTGAACCCGTTGAATGAGGATTGTCCGAGCCAGTAGTTGAAGTTTCCTTGTCAACTATCTGGGAGCTGGTAGGTGTCTCATATCCGGAGACAGTAGAACTAGGTGTTGTAGGACTATCTTGGGATAAGGAGTTGTCTTCTTTTACCAAAGTTGATTGAATTTCGTTTGGTCCATCCGATTCATTCTCTTGATCTTCCGATACTGGTAAATAAACATCTGATACTGGTTGTTTATTTACTTGTGGCCCTTTCTGACCATTTCCTGCATTTTCTTCTTCTGGTACATCCTGCAAATTTGGTCCATTCTCTTCTTCTGTTGGAGCCAGAACATTTTCTACTTCAGGCTCATCCAGCTGGCCCTCTTTATTATCTTCTTCTGGTTCATCCAGAATATTCCCTTCATTTTCTTGGGGTGTATTCAGGTCGCCATCTTCATTTTCTTCTGATGTTCCAACCATTTCATTCACTTTGTTTCCTTGTTGCACGTTCAGGTCATCCCCTCCATTTTCTTCATCTGTTACTCCCAGGTCAGTCCCCACGATTTCTTGTGATCCAACCAAGTCAGTGTCTCCATGTTCTTCTGCTGGTCCATCCCCTCCATTTTCTTCATCTGTTACTCCCAGGTCAGTCCCCACGATTTCTTGTGATCCAGCCAAGTCAGTGTCTCCATGTTCTTCTGCTGGTCCATCCCCTCCATTTTCTTCATCTGTTACTCCCAGGTCAGTCCCCACGATTTCTTGTGATCCAGCCAAGTCAGTGTCTCCATGTTCTTCTGCTGGTTCTGCTGGTCCATCCAGGCTAATTTCTCCATTTTGTTGTGCCATTGGTGCAACCGGAACATGTCCTCCGCTTTGCACTTCAACTGATGCACCCTGGCCATTTCCTCCATTAAGTTCTCCTGGTCCAGCAAGTTCATCGTTTCCCGTTTGTTGTACGTCGTCCAATTTCTTCTCTGTATCTGGAATAGATTCTGGGGTCACAAATTTTGGATTTTCTGGATCTTTTCCTGATCCTGAGTCGCCGGGATTTGGGGTTCCGCCTGAAGTGTTTTGACTACCCGATTCTGGTTTCATTTGCTCTGGATGTGCTGGTTGACTTGGTGGTGGATCATTATCATCTGGTAGTGGTTGATCTTCTTCACCTGATGCAACCGTATTGACCAATGCTTCTCTTGGTACATCTGTTGGAGGTAAGTCAGGACAAGCACACTCACAAACATAACGTTCTTCTTCGTTGGTAATGACTCCATTGTATGTGATTACATAATATCCATCCTCGTCGATACGTCCCTCAAAACTATTCAAATCATAACCTGGGCCAAAATCGAATTCAGATCCAAAATCGAACTCAGACCTTACGACTTTTAAATGATTATCTTCAATCGAGATATGTGGTAGTTCATGCCCCCAAATCTCGGATTTCAAGGAGTTACGCATTCCAAAATTCACAAGCTTCAATAGATAACGCAGGCGGTTTTCATGAGGGAAGTAAATTTCCGACTCGTCATACTTATCATCTGCAAAGCAAATAGAAGAACCGAAGTCGCCAGCATCAATGACCATGATGGAATCTTCGAGAATGTAGCAGCCATTTCCTTCATCCATTCCTGTAGGTATCATAGTTCCACCTTTAACACAAACTGTACCATAGTTGTAGATTTGAGATTCAAATCTGATGAACTTAGGATCAGCACCAATCAAATACATTTGATTATGATTTTCCATACGACCAGAACCACTGATTAAGACAAGTCCTTCATTTTGCAAATTCTGAAATGAAAGATAACCGGAATTCATAGTCGCTTCTCCAAACTGTATTTCGAAAGTCTCTGTGCCAGTAGCTGCCATAATGTGGGATTCGTCATTAAATATGGTTAAATCAAAATAAGGAACCTCTTCTGGAACAACTGTTGCATAGTAGTAAAATTCGTCATTAAACTGTACTCCATTAAGGTAAAATGAATCTGGATCAACAACCGAAACTAACCCGTTGAATTGGATAAGGTCGTCGATGCTCTGGAATGAGGAAGGTTCGTGATAAAACTGACCACCAGTTTGCAAGATCTGTTCATTAAATACGTTGACTGGTTCGGTTCCTTCGTTTGATTCGGTTGGCTCTTCTGCTTTTGTTTTCTCTTCTGGTATGCTTGTTGGAGGTAGGTCAGGACAAGTACAATCACATGTATAACGTTCTGCATTTTCATCAATGTCTCCCGTATACCTAATTTGAAGGTGCGCACCGAAAACTTGTGCCTCAAATTTACTCATATCATACCCTGGACCGAAATCTATTTTTAAATAATCTCCAATCAAATAATTATTATCAACGTCAAGCACTCCAGCGTTAATGTACAAAATATTCTTTGGACCAAAATTTACAACCTTGACCGTTCCTTGTTCAGACGCCATCAAATACAACACGGATGTGTCTTCAACGTTACCTGACAAGCAGATAGAAGGTATGGATGCTCCACCGAAAATGGTAATCTCTGTGTTTTCAAGAACATAACAGCCTCTCCCTTTAGAGTCCTCATCCAAGTTGATTACTGTATCCTTTGCACAAAATGTACCGTCATTGGTGAAAGAATAACCTGCAAAATAAAGTCTATCCATATTACCAATCAAATACATTTCTCCTTCGTTCACCAATGATACCGCAAAGATACTTAAACGTGCCCCCTGCAAAGTCTGGAATGTGAGATATCCTAGATTTATATTGCTACCCGTCATGTATACATTATTAGAAGACTGTCTATCTAAAATTGTATGAGAATTCTGTGTAAATATAGTCTGTTGAAACCTGATGCTACTCACACTTTTAGTATTATAGTAGTAAAACTCTTCATTAAATGTCACATCGTAAATTTCAAAGTGATATATGTCTTTAAGGGCAACTAAGGCATTGAATTCAATACGGTCGTTGTCGGGTCCGTAGAGAAACTCGCCACCTGTTTGACGGACTTCTTCATCAATTGTAATCCCATTAATATCTCTGATAACTGTGATAAACACAATAAGTATTAAATTCAAAGTGATCATATTAATTAATTATTTTGTTTTAAATGAAGAAAAAACAAAATTGGAAATTACAAATTCAGAAGAGGTGGTGGAGATGTAAATTCTTTTATAGTTAATTCGGGATGTATAAAAAGTTATAAATCATGATTTGTTACATATCATGATGAATTGGTTGCAAAAAAAGTATTTTTTATCATCGACACATTTTACAGTTAATTAATTAATAAAAAAAAGCAATTTTCATATGACATTAGCCATACCACTTGATAGTGATAATAATAATAATAATAATGAATGTGTAGATTGTAGTGTTGGAAGCCATCATGATCATCATCATACATTTGGTCAATGAGATGATTTGTATAAAGGGGAATTACGGGATTGTATCATTATTGTAACAAGTGTCAGTCGCAATTTTTTTTTTCTTGTCATTTTATTTTTTTATGTAAGTACCCAATGGAACCTATTATTAAAATGTTAAATAACAGTTTTTAACATTTAACATTTTAACAATCTAAGAATCAAGACAGTATAAGGAAACTGAAAGTATAGTGAAGAGAAAGGCATTGTGGGGGGAGGGGGGGGAATAATCATTTTATGTGAAGTAAGAAAGGAACGAAAACATATCAATCAGCATGTGTGATTGACTTCAATCATTCTAGAGTGGTCTTATACTATTGCCAAGGAAAATTGAGTACAACCCATTCTGAAAGTCGAAATGGTCACTGCAATTACTTGGAAGAAATATTTCGGACATGATGCCGTGGGAAAAAGAAAGTTGGCAAGTAACCTGTCCGCCTGCTAAGTTCCATACAAGTTGATGAGACAATTTGATAAACATTACTTTCAGAATTTTCGTCCGTTAGCATAGTATTTACATAGGTGCTATGTTGGTTCAAATGATGTCAAAGGATCACTTAACCACTATGATTCTTGATGTATTAATTGGCATGTATCACTATTATATAGAGGAAGATGATAAAGTGCTAAAATGTAGGTAAGGACAATACATAAAGATATCTAATTAATTCATTTCTAGTCATCTGATATCACTTCTTTGAAGAATCTTCTTTCAAAGTCACAATTCTATTCAAAATCAACTTATTCCCATTTGAATCCTTATCCACACAGAAATAACCTTCTCTCAAAGCTTGGAATCTAACAGTATTACACCCTTTCTTTTCCTTAATATTAAATTCACTTCCAACAATCTCAATATTCAATGGAGATTTCGTTTCAACTTCCTTAAAACTATCTTCAATCACCGCATTGGTAATCACATGTTCGGAATCGGGGTTGATATCCTTCAAGAATCCATCTGGATGAGCCAGAGGGTTTTCACTATTGAATAATGGTTTGTAGATCCTGACTTGATCAATATGAATAGCATTGGATTTAGGAACCCATTGGATATATGTTTTTGGTTTTTTGGGTTTATCTACTTCATTATCGTAATTAACATGAATACGAACGATTTTACCTTCGGAATCAAATTCAGCGGATTTATAACTAATATTAAATGGGACTTTAATTAATCCAACTGGTTGACCAGGTGCTAATCTGAAATAATCCGAATCGGCAGTTTCAGTACGGATATCATTGGAATCAATATAGATCTTATTACCGAATTTGACTTTACGATAACCAAATTTAGATTCATCTTTTCCTCCTGGTTTATATGGGATTTCAATTTCTAATTCATAATCATCGGCTAAATTGTCAATAACTACTTCAATTGGATTCAAAACCATCATTAATCTTGGAGTGGTTTGATCAAGATAGTTACGAACGGCACTTTCAAATCTAACAATTTGAATATTGGTAGTTGAAGTGGTTACACCCAAGGTATTAATAAATGATAAAATTGCACCAGGTGGGACACCTCTTCTTTTAATACCTTCTAAAGTATATAATCTTGGATCATCCCAACCTCTAACATATTTTTCATCAACTAATTTGGCAATCTTACGTTTGGATAATACAGTACCAGTTAAATTCAATCTACCATATTCACGTTGTGGTGGACGATAAACATGAAGAGCATCACATAACCATTCATAAGATTCTCGAGAAAGAATGAATTCAGTGGTACATAATGAATGAGTGATATTTTCCAAAGAATCAACTAAACAGTGCGTGAAATCGTAAGTAGGATATATCTTCCATTTATCACCAGTACGATGATGAGCTGCATCCAAGACTCTATATGCCACCAAATCCCACATTTGTGGAGATGGGGAAGATAAATCTTGTTTCATTCTAAGAGTAGCTTCACCAGATTTATATTTCCCATCTTTCATGGCAATAAATTCGGTTAAATTATGTTCAATGGATTGAGATCTATGAATACATGGTTTTCTCTCTCCACCTAATGTACCATCTTCCTTCATACCACGATTGGCTTTAACTTGTTCCGGAGTACAGTGACAAACATATGCCTTGTCATTTTTGATCAATCGGATTGCCAATTCATATAATTCATCGAAATAATCCGAAGAATGGGTGATTTTCCAAGGTTCATAACCCAACCAATCAATCATATCCTTAATAGATCTGAAATAAACTTCTTCTTCAGCTTCTGGATTAGTATCATCATATCTAAGGTAACAATGACCCCCATGGAATTGAGCATATCCGAAATTAACCATGATAGCTTTTGAATGTCCGATATGAAGGAATCCATTAGGTTCTGGTGGGAAACGAGTGAATACTTTTCCCTTTGTGAATTCATTATGAGCCTTTAATAATTCAGGATACATTTGTGGTTCTTCTCCTGGTTTGTGTAAATCACCAAGGAACCCTTCTGAAAACATAGAACGTTCAGGTTCGGCAGCAGTGGTGGTTTTTGCTTTGGTGGCGGCATTAGAAGCAGCTTTTGGTTTCTTTTCCTTCTTAACCACGTCTCTTTCATCTTTTGGACCTAATTTGGCTAAGAATAATGCATCAATGGTTGGTTTGAACAAATTTGGTGCTGCCCATTTAAGACTTGGTAATTTTTTAACTTCACCTAATACTTTAGGTAAGATTGAATATCTTTTTGATTCCAATTCTGAATTAATCAGATTAAGATATTTCTCAATTTCATTCTTGACATCTTCTTCAGTCAATTCAATGCCTACACCAGAAGCAGCATTGAAGTTATCCAAGGAAACATCAGCTCCTTCAGTGGTAGATTTCAAATATTTGACAGCTTCCAGGATTTGTAAATTTGTCTTGATACGTCCGTCCAAAATGGCATCAGTGATAAATTTACGATTGGGGATTATACCACCTTTAGATTCAATTGCTAATTGATGTAAAAGCGCCAATTGTTTATCATTATAAGATTCACTAGAAGATTCATTGGTTAAGATTTCATAAAGTGAAGAAGATACTTTTTTGTTTTTAATAATTTCTTGGGATTTCTTTTCTCCCAATCCAACTTTGTTGAACAAGTTGATTAATTCTTCTTCTGATGACATTTGCTACAAATTGCTAATTACTAATTGCTATTTGGTGTTTCAAAAGAATTGATAACTTCAATTGGTTTGTTTTTGAAGAGAATTTTGGATGAGTAAATTTTTTTTCCTTGGTGATGAAAAATGTCGTGTTATCTTTTTTTGAGTGTACGAGACATTTATAGAATGTCGTGCTGGTAGTATCAAAATGGCAAGGCGAACCGAAGACTTCGCCCTGCATCTACAGGTCTAATTAATTACATGGATAATGCGGTTTATATTAGATGACTTATATTCTCTTCAAACTGCTTAAGCTTTTACAGTAAAGCATAAGGGAGAGTCTCAATGAATATTTCGGACTAACCGCTTGGTCTAATGTCTAGAGACAGACTAAGGAAGAAGCAAGAGTCATTCTATCACCAGGAATGACCTCCTAGATGCCATTCAAGGGGCAAGATGGCCAGTCCTTGAGGAGCGCATAGGTTCTCTATCCTTCAATTCGAACAGCCTGAGATATCTGATTGATTGTATCCAAGATACAACTTGTAACCAATTGAAAATCCTATGATTGACATATGTGGTGATATGTATATATTAACTTTCATTTAAAAATCTTATTCTGTAAATTAATCTCTATGTAGTAGTATTAGTAGTATTAGTAGTAGCAGTCAGTAATTCCTTTGGATATGGAGACATCTCAAACTCTTCCACTCTGGTGGCATTCAGACTCCCCATCTGTCCCAATTCCTGTTGATCCAACATATTCTCAAAAAACGTCGTCCTCAACTCCTGCCATCTCGTACTATATGTCGACAACGTCACCAACAACGTTCCACTCAAAATCTGTAAACACCACCAAAGTAAACTTGAAGGGAATTTCGAAGTATATGTCCAAACAACAATTAGGTTTATGATATGAACCGTAATGGCGAAATCCCAGGCTAATTTACTCCTACCCACGATAATCGTGACAAAAAGGACACATAATAAGGAATCAAATAACCAAAGAATGAAAAGTGTTAGTCCCATCGCATTGTCCAGGGAGATTAATTCCCAACTAAAGACCCAATTGAATTTAAAGTCATATCCGTTTAACAGACTTACTAGATAGAATATTATGATTGCGGTTAAGTAATAGAAACATTGTAATATGATTATTTGAATTAATAATTTCCGGGGATTATTGAATTCATTTGATTGATTATATCCAGTGACTAATTTGGTATATCCATTATGTAAAAATGACGACATTTTCTTCTGATTTCTTCTATTTCAATTGTAAGAAATGTCTACGATTCTTTCCTGAAACTTTGTTCAGTTAGTTGTATTATTAGGGTATTCACTGTCTATCGGAAGTAGAGGATGAAAGGTTGTTGATTATTTGTTCGTATTTATTTTCTTTAAAAATTAAATAGAGAGAAAGAAAATGTTACAACGTGTCTTATATACAGGAATATATATCACGTGATTTATATAGTCTCGACTCTCAATCATTTTCTACTTTTACCCTTTGACTTTCCATTCTTCTTAGCCTTTGGGTTTTTCTTTTGATCAGTCATTCTATCAATTTTTGTCTTCTTATAAGATCTACCAGGAGCTTCTTTCTTGACTTCCATAGCTTTTCTCTTTTTAGAATTAACTTTCTTACCATGTTTAGTTAATTGTCCCATAACTTCAGTTTGATTCTTTTTGGATTTATCATCAAACCAAGTTCTCTTTGGACGAGATTGAATCTCCTTCTCATATTTCATCATATTACTTGCCTTATTCAATTCCATTTCCGCATGTAATAATTCCTTCTCTGATTTTTCTTCTTGTAATACCTCCTCAATTATATCCAGTTTTGCTTCAACAACTTTATTCAATTCATCAACTTCCACCCAATCGACATTTCTCGACACTGCTTTCCCGGCATTATCTGACTCTTGAATCGATTTAATCGCCTCCTTAACAATGGCACGATCTTGAGTGGATTCACCCACGAATGAAACGGAAACCCCTTGTCTACCGGCTCTGGCAGTTCTACCAACACGATGTAAATAGATTTCAAATGTTTTTGGCATATCATAATTCACCACAATTTCAATCTTGGGAATATCTAACCCTCTAGCTGCTAAATCGGTACAAATCAAGATGGGGACAGTTAGGTTTTTGAAATCATTAACGTTTTGTAATCTTTGTTCTTGGGTTAAGGACCCATGTAATTCCGAAACTTTTAATCCCAATAATCCCAAAATGATTCTTAATTTATGGGCTTGTTCTTTTCTAGCTACAAATACCACGATTCTATTCTGATGAGTAGGATCCATTTTATTCAAAAGTTGGAATAATAATGCTGGTTTAAGTGATTCTCTTTTTCTAATCCTGACGAATTCTTGAACTAATTTATTAGCGGCGGTTTTGGGGGGATCAATCATGATTCTAACAGGACGTTGTAATGATAATTGAATCAAATCTTGAATCTTAGTATTCATCGTAGCCGAGAATAATAAAGTTTGTCTCTTATGTTTGGGGATAAGGGATAAAATCTCAGTTAATTCAGTTTGGAAACCCTCATCTAACATTCTATCAGCTTCATCAATAACCAAAACTTCCAAAGAATCAATTGAGAATGATGGGGAGTTTCTAATATGGTCAATCAATCTACCAGGAGTAGCAATCACAATATCAGGACGTGATTTCAATTGTTGTTCTTGTTGACGTAAATTCAACCCCCCAACAGCTAATCCGAAATCTAAATTATTAACAAATTGTCCAATCTTTTTCCCAACATCACAGACTTGAATAGCTAATTCTCTCGTGGGAGTCAACACAATGACTCTAGTACTGGCGATTTTTGACGGTTTATATAACAATCTCTCAATTATTGGAATCATAAATGCCGCAGTCTTACCACTACCAGTCTGAGCACCAGCCACAATATCTTTCCCCAATAATGCAATTGGGATAGCGGCCGATTGAATCGGGGATGGTTTGGTATATCCCAATTGTGCGAGCCCTTTTAAGACCGGACGGGATAATTGGAGGGTTTGGAAGGTGGTATGGGTTTGTGTTTTCGTGGGGGTTGATAATTCTGATTCATCGGCGTAGAATTCGGCAATTGCTTCGGCGGAATCTTCTTCTGGTTCATTAAGCTCGACATCGGACCCGGGGTGCTCGGCGTCCATATCGCCTTCAACTGGTTCGTCGTCGGATTCTTCGCCTTCAGATTCCTCTTCTTCGGCTTCGCTTTCTTGGTTTTGTTCATTTGATCCCATTCCAAATCCATCAAGGGCCAATTCTTCATCATCCGAATCACTCTCCTCATCTTCTTCTTCCTCTTCATCCTCTTCCTCATCTTCCTCTTCTTCTTGTTCTACCTTCTCTTCCTCTTTTTTCACACTAACCAACCCGCTCAAACCACCTTTTCTCCTCAATATCCCATCCAAATCCACATCTTTATTCATACTAAATCCTTTTCCATCTTTTCCCAGCTTGTCGTTTTCTCCATTCACGCCAAAATCCCATCCGGTGAAATCACTCATTGTCTGATCATAACCGTCTAACACAAATGCGAAATCGGGGTTTATGTCGTCTTTATCCTCATCCTCTTCTTCTACAACTTCGGATTTTGATTTCTTGGATTTTTTGTTCTTTTTGGTTTTTTTGGGAGTTGGTTCAGGTGTTGGTTCTTGTTGTTGCTCAGTTTCTGAATCACTGTCTATTGTGAGTATCAAGTCTTCCTTAGCCATTTTGTTTTGTCTATGTATTATACTCTATGATCTATTAACTGAAGTGATAAACGAATTGATGAGATGAGCATCTTGAATAATTTTTGATTGAGAAGAAAAAAAAATTATAAATCGATGCGTGCGGCTCATACTGCATATAAACAGCCCATATAAACTAATTCTATAGTGCAATATGGATATTCAGATAGATAGGGTATGTCAGAGATATTCATTGAGGTAATAATTGAAACAGGTATATATAAAATAATAACAAACAAGAAAAAGTAAATAAGTAAGTAAAATAAAACAGTCTATCTTTTATAGAAAATCCAAAAAGTAAAAAACCAATTGTCAATACTTCCTCTCTAAGAAGTAGCACTAACATATACAAAATCTCTTGTAACATTCAGTAACTCATCCAAATCATATAATTCATCCTCATCCTCATATTCCTCCACTTTCTTACCTTCCTCCCCTTGTTGTTCCTGCTCCTGTTGTTGCTGTTGCTCCTGCTCCGGCTCAGGCAACACACTACCATCTTTATCATGCACCTCATTCCCATCATATTCCAACGCCAACAACTGAGTCCGTCTTCTAATATCCACCAACGAATCAATCTGCTTCGCCGTCTCCGTCGACAATTGTTCCCCCGTCCGAATCCGGCCCATCAACATCATCAACCCATCCAACCAAACATATTTATTCACTTCGGAATCAGTATAGAATGATAATAATGGTTTTCCCGCCAGGTTCATGAATGAAATCCTTTCGTATGAGATTGTTCCCTTGATCGAGATCAATTTTGATGATTTTCGTTTTTCGGCCTCCCCGATAAAATCCCCGACTTTGGCTGATTTGAGATCTTTGATGTCGGCGATTCGGATGCCTCGTTCTTCCATTTCGGCAAATGTTGGATTTGTAGTTGTGCGGGCCATGAAATCTTTATAATAGACGTATTGACGATTAGGAGAAAGGGTTATGAAATAATATTTAGATAAACTGGAAGTGGTGGTATTGGATTTCTTGGTGGATTCTTTGACTCGGAAGATTGATTCTCCATAAGTGTCGGTATATACCCAAGATCCTTTTAATAATTGGGCGACTCTTTGTTCGGCGACGAAATCAAGAACTTCTTTAGCGAGGTTTTTATTAAATGCGGTGAATTTGGAATTCCATAAGGAAGTTTGTTTGGTGTAGAGATTGGTAGCTTGGGTGTGTCTCATACCTTCTGCCAGTTTTGATGTGATGTCTAAACATTCTTCAATTGATTGATGCATGCTTCCTCCGAGGATTGATGAGGTTGATAATTCCGATTCGATTGAATCCAAGTCGGAATAAAGGAGTTGGAAGATTTTATCAATATCTAAACTGTTTTCTAATTGGGCAAGAGTTTCTTGCCATAAAATTAAACAATTATTCATGGTATAATAAATCATCACTTCCCAAGTAAGGATTGATTTATAAATATTGGGGTATTTATTTGGTTGTTGAATGACATCTAACCACATAGCAGTAGCTTTGACTAAGAATAAATAAAATGGGAAAGTTCTTTTGTGTTCACTCATCATTAATTCTTCATGGAATCTTTTCTTAAAGGTGAAATTTGGATCTTTTAAGAATATTTGAAGATTCATTGCTAATAAGATTGTAAAATTATCAAGAATGAATTGTTTTGGATTATCGGAAAACCCAGTTTGAATAAATTCTTCAATTGTAGCAGGAGTACCATATTCATTAAGGGAAACTTGTAAAATATCAAATAAACCATTTAATAAATGTTCATGAGAATCATGAGTTAAATCAAAAGTTAAATCCAGTAAATACATAGTAATATTATAATAACTGGTTTTCAAATTTTCAATAGCAATTAATATAGATTTATCATCAATTTCAAATAATAAACTATTAACCATATTAAAGAAATTAGCTTGTTTTAATTTAGCTAATATTGTTATAATCCCTTGATATTTAAACTTTAAAGCTTTATTAATTAAATCATTAATTAATTTAATTGTACTTAAAGTAACTTTATAATCAGGTGAATAAACTTTAATGGTAAAAACATCAATAACATCTAAATATTCAATTAATGAATAATAAATGGGTAAATATTTCAGTAATGATTCATCTTTATTAACTTCATAAACAGTACCACTTATAGCAAATACCATAATCTTAAGAATAGCTTTATAAGTTTCTATTGACATATTAACACTTATTATAGATAATAAAGTTTTAAATAAATCAACATCTAATATTGTAACAAATTGATTTGAAGCAGCATCAGTACCAATAATACAATCTAATAATTTAGCCATAACAACAATCAGATTAACTTTCTCTTGTTTATCTTTACCCATTATGTTTGTTCTTAATGTTGAAGCATAATTTAATGCAGTTGATGTTGGTAATTTAGTTTTTGATGTTGAATATTTACTCAATATTTCATTGAGTTTATGATTAATGGTTCTAGATGAGTCGGTCATAGTTAGCTACTTATATATATATATATCTGGAAGTATACTAGTAAAGCGGGTACTTAATGGAGGGTGTTGTCTATAATATTCTATTTATACTATTAGATAGAAAGAAGAAGAAGAAGAAAATTGTTGTTGAAATATTTTTATTTTTAATTTTTTAGTTTGTTGATTTAAAAAAAAAAAAAAAAAAAAACTTTTCCTCGAGCGTTGATAAAAAAAAAATAAATAAAAGTTTAAAAAATAAATTAAAGTTTAAAAAAATATTTATTATTTTTTTAAAAGGTGAGTAAGGTGATGATAATTTATTCGTTACACATTTTTCTTAAACAGGAAAGAGACCCCTAGTTTAAACAATGGCTTTAGTTTTAGGCTTAGGTTCCAATATAAAAAAATAAAATCAATCGCTTAAACTTTTCTTTTTTTCTATTGGTTTATACACACACTCAGTTTGCTTCGTCTAATCAACCCATCCATCACCCCAAGTCACCCCCAATTATTATCAAAAAAGTACAACTAAGCAATATGCAACATGTGACTTCGTAAATATAATCTAGAATGGAATTGTTAGACTATATGTATCAACTATTACATACAACAATAGATATCACTTTTGAAACTCCCCTATTTGGATCTCTTATTGTTTAGCAGAATTTAAAAGTAAATCGTCTAATAATACAATTAGGCCTTTTTAAAACAATAATGGCTATTGTTCAAAGTACAGCAAGGTAAAAAGCGCAATCTTGAGATTTGTTGAATGGTTATTACTTACATTTTGAAACGGTTATTATCAATCTTTTAAATCGTTCGATATTTCTAAATATCACTTACATTACATTACATTGCTTCTTTCCTTTACTAATTTCTTAGTGATTATTATTATTAAAATACCAAAAAAAATTATCTAAAATATGATACATTTATATACTATAAAAAAACTTCAATACAAGCTCTACACCACCTACTCTACTTAAAGATCAATGCAGAAGCAGGAGTAGTCTCAATCTTCAAATCAGGAACCTTAGTAGAACTACTACTACTCTTTGCTGAAGAAGACTCCTCCGTCTCAACCTTCTTCTCATCATGTTCTTCTTCCGGAATCTCCTCCATCTTAATCAGTGAATATCCCATTGGCAGTCCTTTATGACTATTATTAGAACTAGCTAATAATTGTTTGATTGGACTTTCATTCCCTTGAAAATCAGACAACGTAAACGTTTTTGGGGACTTCACTAATATTTGATTCTCATTATTATTATTCAAACTTTGTAAATATTGTTCTTGGAGATGTTGACGTTCAATGTCTTGTTTTTGAGCCATTGAAACAAATTTAGCAATTGATTTACATGATTCATAGGTGGCGATTACTTTGGATACATCTTTCATATTCAAAAACAATTTCTTGATTTCTAATTTAACCAATTTTGTAAAGTCATCGTCGTCGTCATTGTTGTTGTTGTGATTATCGCTTGAATCGGTTGTTGTTGTTGTTGTTGTTGCACCTTCGGTGCTGGCTGGACTAGTATGGCCCTCGATTACTGTTGCACTTCCATCATCGATCTTATCCTCATCTTCAAGATCAAATCTTAATTGTAATCCAAATGCAAGCACAATAACATAACTCTTATATTTGGATAATTCTAATTTATAATCCTTAATCTTTCGATCAAAATTCTGTAAAACTCGATTATAATTCGAACAATTATATTGTGATCTAGGTAAATTACTCACAAATCTCAGTCGAGATTGAATGAAATCTTTATATAATTTCCGAAGATTATTATAATACTTCAATGATTTCACAAATTGTTTCATCATCCCCACATGATTCACATCATCATCTTCATTGTTTCCAGTTACGATATAATTGGAAAGATAGATTCCTTTGATAAGTGGTTCCCATTTCGCGATATTTTTCGATTTTTTGAATGAATCACGATAGGCAATTAACATATCTAAATTATTCCATCCATATTCTATCGAACTCATTGATTCTTCTAATGTTGGTATGGCGGTGATTTTTGCCGCCCAGAAATTACAAGTATTTATAAATTCCAAGGCGATTTCTTCTGTTCCGGCTTCAAATATGAATTTCTTTGCTGGTCGTTTGGAAGTTTGCGGAAATGTTAATGACCAAGTTGGTTTCAATGATGTGGAGGTTGTGGAGGTTGTGATTGGAGTATTGGATGGTTTTTCTAATTGAGCAAAAGTAGAACAAAGATTATATGTCCCAATCTTGGCGGCATTCTTTAACCAATTCCCATCACCAACATTTCCATTCTGATCTTCAATGGGAGGTTCTTCATCATGAGAATGACGACCAAATCTTCTCTTGTGGGTTTTCTTTTGTTGTTTCTTGACAATCTTGGGATCGAAGGAATATAATGCAAGGACCCCTTTTGAAACCACCACGAAATTTTCCGTGAATTTTTGTAATAATGGATTTGACAGGGTTCCAATGGTATCTGAATTACCACCATTACCCCCACCACTACCACTACTAACACTACTCAGATGACTTCTACCACCACCCATTGCAGCTCTTCTAAAAAATGAAAAAAATCTCCCACCAGAATGAGTATTCGCACTAATAATACTAGCATTCGACCCCTGCTGTCCACTACCACTCCCTCCACTCCCACTTCCACTCCCCGACTCATCCATCAAATCATTATTCAAGATCTTCAACCTACACAACCCTTCTTTCAAATATGGACTCCCCCTTAATTCCAACACCAAATCATAATCATCCAGATATTCCCCCGCCTCAAAATCATCCAATGATCGATTATCCCCACCCGCGAAACTATCATCTACATTAGTATTTCCTAATTCGGACATACTTTCAAATGTGAGTTCTGACATCATGTCATCAAATTGTGAAAAATTGGATTCGCGCGACATGAGAGACATTCGACTTCCATGATGATTCAATTGTTGAAGTCGGTGTTTGGCATTTCCAGAACTGCCATTTCCATTATTTCTGAGATTGTCGAAACTTGCTCGAGCTGTTACTGTGTGATTGGAGGAGAATAATGAAGCGGTGGATGATTTGGGGTGGATACGACGATGTCCGTCACTGGCTAGGACCCGGGCGAGCCCGACTCGTTGGTGGTCGGGTTTTTTGGGGCTGCCATTGGTGGAGGAGGAGGTGTATGAGGACGAGTTGGTTGCTGTTTTGAAGAGAGTGGTTTGATGTTGGCGGGTTTGGTGGTCGGTTGTGTCGGAGGACCAGATGGAGTTGCTGGAACTTAATTCACGAGAGAGTTCTAGTTGTTGTTGATCTTCTTGGGGTTGTTGTTGTTGTGATTCTTCTGGTGGAGTGATGGTGGTGGTGGTGGTGGTGGGAATGGCGTTGTTTAAGGATAAGACAGGATTGGGTGGGACTGCTGATTTCGGTGGATGTGATGATGGCCTAAGTTGTGGATGTTGTTCCTTTTTCGACATTCTTCTAACGATATTATTATTATTTGTAACTTGTGATTCATCATTAGTTTTTAAATGTAATTCAGTCTTTGCCAAATCTTCATAAAAATTAGATAATTCTCTTTCCATTGCAAATCTTTGTTTTATCGATAATGTTTTCACCAAACTAGGATTTTGTTGAAGAAAAGTTGAATAAGTATTTTTGATAAAATCAGCTTGACTTATTTTACTCTTTTTATTTAATTCCAGATTATGTAATGCCGTATTCAACAATATCAATGAATAAATAATCACATAAATCTGTTCAAAGTTCTTGGTACAGAATATATTATGAGGATGTTGTTTTAAATAAGATTGAGTAAATGATGTCAATATCCGATCAATTTCTTGTGATTCACCCTTAAGATATAATTTCGAACATAACATTCTGGTAGAACTTAATAAATTCGTAGGCCAACTAAATAAATTCATATAATAATTTCTAATCTTGGTTGATTCTGGATCTTTGGAAGCTAAGAATTGAATATATTCTTCTGGTTGAATAGAAACAAATTCTTCTTCAAATAACTTCTTAGCAATCTCAAGATATTCCCCCTCGGGGTTCTGTGGTGCTGCTGGTGGTGGTGGTGGTGGTGGTGTCTTGATACCATTGGATGTAATTGTATGATGTTTCAATTCATCGGAAAGCGATTCAACTTGTGGTTCTGGTAGACTGGATGTATCATTTGTATTTAATTCTGATGATGATCCATTATTACTAAATTCTTCAATGCTGTTTTTGTTGTGTTTGGATATTTCAGTACTGCTGTTGCTATTACTGTCGATGGATGAGTCAACCACTTTTGGCTCTTGTTGTTGGGTCATTGTCGACTTCCTCGTGTGTGGGTGTATCAATAATTAAGAGACGTGTCTGGGATGGGTATGTTTTTTTCGTCTGTTGATTTGTTGTTGATTAATACTTTGTGACTGTATATCTATTAGCTTATGGATAGTATCAGTTGTATGAATAAGCTTATGATTTTTTCAATAATAAATAGGATTTGGAAATGGAAATGGAAGTTGGTTAGAAGTTGTTGATTTAAGTTGAAGTTTATATTTCCATTTCCCCCCAAAACGAAAAAAAAAAATTATTTTTCTGATTTTAAACGAAAAACGGAAAAAAAAAAAATTCGGGAAAAAAAAAAAGAAATTATTTTTTTTAGTTTTATCTGCAAAGTTTATTATTTTTTAAGTAATTATGCATAAAGCCTTTTGTCTTTGTTTTGTATGATTATTAAAAAATAAGTTTTAGGCATTTATTGCAACTAATAAACACACACACACAATACTATCAACTGAGAACACAAGGTCATATATCCGGCTATGCAAAGGATAATCAGTATCATTCGTTTTAAAGAGCATCTTCGAAGTTTAAACTATCAACTTTAGAGTTACGAGATTTGAAATGCAAGAACTGATCTCAATCATTTCAATATGTGTAACTCACAGCAATACCCTTTGAAGTACACTACAACAATTTTGACACGAAACAAAAACCAAACACCCCCCAATCAAGAAGTTTTTTAAAGTTTTCTATATATATAAACGATTGCTAATACCAATATCTGGAGTTACAGGTTGTTTTAGTGTAATGTTATCTAGCCAGTTCGTATTAATTGTGGAGTTTATGGCAAATTACAAACACTACTACCTGTTAGAAAACCCTTGGATCATTGTTATAACATTTCCACAACAATACCAAAGACCCAGAAAATTTCAAAAGAAATGTTTAGTCGAAGAAGAAGAAGACGATGATTTTTTTACCCGACCTGCATTAAATTGATATAATCTAAAACATTTGACAGTCAACTATTTTAGGAAGTGTGTAAAGGCTCGCCTTACTTCGTTCCTCATTTCTCCAATTTCATGTAGAGGGTTATATCTTCAACTAAAGCAGTATCCACACATTGGAGAACTTGGATTAGAATAGTTGAGAAGAAGTGTAACTATTTCATATGAAAAGACCAAGCCGGGTGGTGTGTGATAATGGATGTATAAGGTTTCAAAATTTCAAAAAAGTTGAAAGCTTAATTCAATTTGAAAGCAATTATTGCTGAATGACATGTTTCAGATTTATAGAGTGTGTATTTTGGAACTGTTGTTCTTTTTGAAGAGCCTTGTTTTTGAACAATTATACCGACAGAATATGAAACTATTATGATACAAAGATGTATTGTTATAACTTGAGGGGACAATAGAGCAGATGTTTATTCTTTGCGGCTTATGGTATCATATAATCGCTTAAGCCTTTTTATTTCTTTAGTAGTAGTAGTATAGTAGCAACTATTAATTTAAGAATAGATTACGGTAAAGCCTATAATTTAATTATTTTTTTAGTTTATAAAAATACGAAACAAAAAAATAAAATTTTGTGTTTTGTTTTGCTTTTATATCCTTTTAAAAAATAAATTCATAGAAAAATTATATCAGCCCATGTTTTTCTACATAATTACGAAAAGATGGATCTTACTTGTGTAATAGAAGAAGTTAGAGATATGTTCATCATAGATTGGGATTGGTTGGAATGAACTGAAGAGTGGGTTTAAATGGAAGAAAGAAAGGAAAGAAAGGGGTCGTCTCTTTCAAAAACTCATTTAAATTTTCGTCTTTTAAGGTTAAATATGCATATTGTTCTCTTTGACGAGTAAGGGTTTAACAATTGGCAATTTGTACACTTATACTGATTTGTTTTCTTGTCAATAATAAACAGTTAATATAGTTTGAATAGGAAGATTCAGAATGAATTTAGTCAAAAGTATGTTGTTTTTGATACAGTTCGTTAGATGTTGTTGATAATATATTTCTGATAAGAAATAGACGAAATTTTGTCATAAAAAAAGAAGGGTTCTTATTGGGAACATTATAGATTAGATATTAAGCGCGTAAGGGCAGAGTGTTGTATTATCTCATGCTTGTCTTCAAGAGAGTAAGCATTTGTATAAATCATTAATAAGTATCGTTTCCTTTATTGTATTTTGCAATTATAAAATAATTAAATGCAAAATGTTTTGCAATAATTACAAACACGTGACTTACCATACAAATTGCACGTGATCAAATTGTAATACACACGTGACATGAAATTTCCCATACAAACAATCTTTGATTCTTTTGCCATCATCAATCATCTATTACTTCTTTTACATCTGTTTTACTATTAGGACAAGTAATTACAATGACCGAGTTAGATGAAGATAGCAAGAAAGTGTTACAACATATCAATGAATGTATAACCAATCTAGAACCAATCGATTATCATACAATTAATAATTATATTCCATTAATTAATAAAATTGATCAACAATATTCTGATGAATTCATTCCATTGATAACTCAATTGTTATCCAATAATGAAGCGTATATGAAAGTAGATCCTGATGGGTTGTTGGTGCAGTTGTTATATAAGATATTGTCATGTTTGCCATTTGGAATTATTACTAATTATTTCCCAATTGATTATATAATTGATAATTTATTTAAGGATGAAGAAAAGGGTGATAGTTCAATTGGGTTGAAGATTATTAATATCAATATTGAACAATTGGAAACGAAGCAATTCTTGATTGATAATAATATTATTTATAGATTATTGAATGAGAAATATTTTAATAGAAGTACATCCATATCAGTCTTGAATCAAATTGAATCTTTAATAACTTCAATCCAAGATCATTACAGTTTATTATCACAAGAGTATTTACAATTATATCATAGAATACGAACACAACAGGATGATACGATTATATTATCTCGTTATTTAGATTACTTGATATTGATATTACCATCTATCCTAAATAACCCAATTGAATCGGGGTACTACCAATTCAACAGGTCACAAATATTGAAATATCAAGATGATCCATTATTTCTAATCTTGTTAGTCCAATTCTACGAGAATATAATCAACAAAGATCCACAACATCATTTAGATATCCTCCCATCATTAAACGATTTAATTGAACTTTATATGACTGATAAATTGGATGATTTAGTAAAATTGGAAATTATCGACCTTGTCATGAAAATATCATATCTGAATCATCCCCCCTATCTCAACCTACTCGACCATTATCAACTCTTCAAAACTTATAATCTAGTTAAAATCCACGAACATAATGAATTAGATATCAAGTTATTATCAAGAACAAATCCAAACATAATCAACTCCCTAAATGATTCAATCTATGATGATATACTTGTCAACATTTCATTATTTCATGATATTCTATTCTTCCCCATCTTACTCAATTTCATCAAATCACCAATCACATTCATGAAATTATCTCATTATTTCCAACATGAAAAACTCCAACAATTGCCATTGGATAAATTATACACTTTGTTATTAATAATGTCGAAACACCCGCATACGAAACTGTATTTGTTTAATTATTTGCCGAATACGTTGACGAGTTTATTAGAGGCAAATATTCGAAATAATGAATTATGGAATTTGAAATTATTGATATTGGAACAATTGTTGGCCACCAGTGATGATGAACATGTGGAGGGGTATGAGTTTTGGAAGAAGGAGATTAGGAATGTGCATGATTTGATGAAGTTTGGGAAGAGGTTTGATAGGATTATTCCAAGTGTTGATGTTACCGACGAGGCTGCCCTGTAGAGATGTCCTATCAAGGGTTTGTGTATATGTATTTGTATAAACTAAATATCTATCAAAATAATATATAATGAGCTATGCACTCAGAGATTCTGAAGACGGTTCATTAGTATTCTTCAGTCCCTTTGAATCATCCTGTTTCATGCCAGTCTTCTCTTCTTGTTCCTTTGACTGGGCCGCTGCCTTCTTCTCATGCTCGACTCTTTTACTCCTCTTATAAGACCACCTATTATTAAACACCAACAACACATTCATAACCACAATCCAAGCCACCAATACCCCAATATTCCTACCCAATGTCCCCTTCCACGTATCAAAAAACACCACCTTCAAATTCTCATACGTATTAAACATAGGCAAAGCATATCCATACCTAAACACCCCAGGCATCAACACAAACGGGGCAAACGTAGTCGAAATATTCATAACAATATTCAAAATCATCCAAGGAGCAATAAATTCTTTTCTATCATAAGTAAAGATTACATTCACCACGTTTTCATTTATACCCGCCGAGGCAGACATGAAGAGATACATAAACATCCATAATACCAAAAACCCACTTCTTCCAAACGCGACATTCACGGGCACTTGGAATGCGATTGTCATTAATGAATATACCAATGATAAGATTAGGGAATTGATTTGGGAAAGGATACATCTATAGATTATGAATTGTTTGAAGCGGAGTTTGGATCTCATGAATGAATAGATCTCGAATGAGAAATTGAATTGATGGAATGAGAATAATTGGGCATAGATTAATCCTAATTCACTTGGACCCAATACTGCTGCAGACCGGGGTGGACGGAGATCAAGATATGAAAACGCCGGGAATGAGTTCAACATCGCGATTGTGGAGTTGGACAGGAGGATGGCTTGGTGTTGGGATTGATTGAGGGATTGGAGAATGGGGGAATAGATCTGGGGAGTGACGTAGGTTCTTATCCATGTCTCCCCCACGAGATCGAGATGTCGAAATACGTATTGATTCAAGGCAGAGAAATGACGGCCCGATTCATATACGACTTGAATGGTGGAGTTTACGCCATTGATCATGAATGTTGGATCCGCCTGGGCGAAACTGGTGAAGATCTGGGCGGTGGAGTTGGGTAAGACATGAATGGCACCCCAATAGTTTTGATGATGGACTTGATGGTTGACTTCTTGGGAGATGGTATTGTTGTGACTGGATGCAAGGGTGGTGAATTGGGTTAGGTTGACAATATCCCAATTGCCTAATGATAGGACCGTTTCATTGGTTTCCAACATTGTTCTCATTGTGTTTCCAACCAATGGATCGACCATATTTCCATTAGTTCCTGGAAATGAATCAACATCTTCAATAACCACTAAGAATTTCATATTTCGAAATCTTGAAGGACGTTGATATAATGATCCCCAATAGATGGACAAAATCCCCAAAAAAATACAAAATATCGTGACATAAACTTGAATAAACCGGGGGAATACACCAACGTATTCTTGGAATCGTTCCATGGGAGTTAGATATATTGATTTGTTAGATTTGACTTGAGATAAAGGAGGTTCATCTTCAGCTGTGTTTGTTTTGTTGATTGCATCTGCTGCATGTCTGACACCGGTCATACGTTCACCCAATTCATAATTCAATGGTGCTGCGGGGGAATCATCGCTGTTTTCTGATGAAGATAGTTGGATGGGGTTGATGTTGGAGTGGGGGTCTATTCCACTATGTGTTTGGTGGATTCTGGTATTGGTGGGGGATGGTGAATCCATTTCTTTGAAGTTATTGGATAAAGAAGAAGAAGAAGTAGTGGAAAGTGGAAAAGGGTCAATAGAAATTTTATAGGAGTGAAAAAAAAAACGTTCGTTGGATATCGCCGTATATGTCGGATAAAATGGAAAAACAATTGAATTTGTGTTAAAAAATAAATTCCGCATCGATGTCTCCCCCACTTTAGTAATTCCAGATGTTCACCCAACAACAATTTATTTTTCAAATCAATTAAGATTTCTTCTTTTATAGATAGAGACAGTATAGATAGTATAGACAGTAACAGATGGCACGGTCCGATATAGACGTATCCTCCCTAGAATCAAATGACGTTGATAGCGAACATCAACAACAAGCCGCAGATCACGAAGCACCTATCCAATACCACACATCAAACAACTCACAACAGTCACGTAGATCATCCATAACAAGACGTATCTCAACTGCTGCTAATAGTTTCTTTACCATCCCTTCTCAAGGTATGTTTATTGAAGAAGACGCCAGACAAAGACAGAATTGTGATGATGATGAGTTTGTTATTGAAGAATTATTTGGAGCTAGACAATTAACCCATTCGTTAACCAGACCAACAAGCCGTACCTCTGCTGCAGATGATGTTGCTTCATATTTGAGTCAAGATAGTATGACTGCGTTCCCACAGACTTATGAGGGTGAAGAAGCAGCACAAACATGGACTACCAATATGCCGGAGATTGAAAGAAGAAGAAGTACGGTTGTGACTGTGATTCAAGCTGTGACTAGGAAGTTTAATTTTTGGGATAAAGATTTTCATGCTGATAGAATTCAAATTGCTGTTACATTTGCAAATAATTATATCTATTTGATTATTGGGTTTTCAATTGCCCTTTGCATTTATTGGGGATCATATTTTGATAGAGCTGCTAAATATAAGAATTTAAAGTTTGCAGTCATGATTGCTGATAAACAAGTAGGGCAATTACCTCCAATTTTGGGTGAAACTATTGAAGGATTCTTTCAAAATGTTCCGATTTTATTACAATTGGGTAATTATGATTTTTGGAATTATACAAGATTGGAAACTTTAGCATCATCACATAATAATACAATCACTCAAGAAGTTTATAGACAAATTCATCATCAGAAATATTGGGGTGCCTTTTATGTCCATGAAAATGCAACGCTACAATGGTTTGAACTGTTATCAACCTTGTCTCCCAATTTCGACCCCTCCACTTCCCTAATGGAAGTCGTCTACGAAACAGGAAGAGACTTCAACGCCATGGCCAACTCAATCACCACTATCATCCAAGAAATAGTCAGAGTATATTACGCATTCATCCCTCAATCTTCATTAGCTTCCAACATGCTCCAAACCCAAAACTCCACCCAACAACTCACAATCCTTTCCCAAGCACCCCAACTAATCGCAACAATCCCAACATTCGCCATCACCGATCTCATCCCCGTCACAAACACCGTCTTTCAAGCCCCCCTCCAAATCGGTCTCATCTATCTCGTCATATTCTCCTTCTTCCAATTCATCTTCTCGATCAAGATCCATATGTACATCGCATCCAAAATTAAGGGATTCCAATATGTCGTCTATCGTATGATTTCATCACAAGTCGCATATCTCGTACTTTCCTTAGCATACGTCACCTTAAATCGTGCCTTTGGATTACCTTTCAATGTCACATTTGGCCAAGCTGGTTTTCTTGTGATTTGGATGTTTGCATATCTCACAATGGGATCATTGGGGAGTATTATAGAATTAATGGTGTTGTTCTTGGTGGCTATAAAACCCCAATTGATTGGGTTTGTGCTTTTGTTTGTGGCGGTGACTAATGTTGCCCCCACGGTGTCTCCAATTATATTGTGTCCTGATTTTTATCGATATGGATATGCTATGCCCGTGAGGAATTCATATGATTTGATGCAGGTGGCATATTTCAATGCGTGGAAGGGACATATGGGAAGAAATATTGGGATATTGGTGGCTTGGATTGTTGTGAGTAATGCGGCGATGCCATTTGTGATGAAATGGATGGCGAAGAAGAAGGCAAAGATGGATGCTGAGGCTGCTGCAAAACAGGCAGCTGAAGCTACTGCCCAAGCAAGAGCCAATCAAAAGATCAATTGAGTCCGTTATTTTATATACAGTTATATATGAGTGTTTATTGTTCTAATAATCTATACATCTACATTTACCCAAGTGTTTCCACAAATACAAGTTCTTTGAAATACCATTGTCCATAAACCCAAAGTCGTCGGGGTTTCAAATACCAAAGGATCAGACACTAATGAAACAGCCCGACATCTCGTACATTTCCTAAGATTCTTTTGACTAAGTCTCGAAGTCGTAGTCGTAGCTGTACTACTTCCACTCCCACCACCCGTCGATGATTTCTTAGTATTCTGACCATCTAATCCAATCATAACCTTTCTCAACGCATCAATACATTCCCGCTTCGAACTCAGTCGTAATCTCGGCACCACGATCTTATGCCCATCTTCCATAATCACATCCGTATTATTAACAATGGCTTGCTGTTTTCGGTTTATGCCAATATCCAACCAATCTGTTTTATAAAAAAACAATTCCGAAACCTTCAACTCCCTGCCAATATTTGCCGCATATCGGTCAATCACCATCTGAGAAATCTCCTCCATTTCAGCCACAATCTCCCCCTTTATAAATAATTTCTGTTCCAATTTGAGTGCATACCCTTTTTCCTTCCCCAATAGACGAGTAGATAGTTCTTTGGTGATAAGTGCGTCGCATTCACGGAGGTAGGTTTCGAATAGACTTAGCGTGAGTGGGGCATTGTTGCAGATTGTGAAATAACGATTTAGGGATTCTTTCATGGGATTAAAGAGTTTATTTGCTTCGGATAAGTCTTTATGTAGTTGTTTGAGGATTTCATGGGTTTTTCCAATCGAGGAGAGGGCATACATTAGAAATAATCTTGGTACTTTACTTAGGATTATTGGAAGGACGATTGAATTTTTCTTGGTGAGTTTACTTGATGGGTTGGTGTTGTCTTTGTAGAGGGATAATTGGAGTAATTCTTGGTTTAAGTATGCCATTAAATCAATTAACCATTTCACGTTACCAATTAATGAAATTATACATTCTCCTCTTGTGATTGAATCTTGTAAACTATCCTCGGCAGGTTTTTTCTTGCTTATCTGTCTATAGATACTCGACAATGAAAACATGATTCCAACACTAGAACTTCTTAAATTCAACACAATCCACGCAATATCACTCATAACCCGACTATTTACTGAATTCTGATGGGATTCACCCAAACTCAATTGCAAACTCAATAGTTTTTGTAATGGAGGATTGGATAATAATTTGTCGATATTTTCTTTACTAAACCCATCCAATTGGAAATTTATCGCCTTATGAGCTTCACCGATTATTGATTCGATGAAATTGCCAAGTATACCATCAATAGCTTCTTGTTTTGCCTTGCCCATATGTTCAAGCAATTGGGTCTTGATACGAATGAGTTCTTTTTGGATAAGGATCAACAAATCATCCGAACAAGTGTTGGTATAACAGGCATATGCGTGTCTGTAGGCGAATCCAGCAGAAATGGCAAAGAGTTCTCGTGATTGAAGTCCGAGGTTTCTGGTCTTTTCGACAGCTTTGAAGGATAGGTTGATGTTGTTCTCATAGAATTCGATATAGGCGATGGACGTCATGTTTGGGGAGACAGCTAATGTGAATGGATGGGTGGGATTTATTTTTGGGAATGAGAATCCGACATCGAATATGGTGGATATTGTTTGTGGTGGCGAGGTTGTTGTTGGGGATGATGCGGAGTTGTTAACGACTTTCCAAGTCGTGGCGTCAATAACGGTAATATCTCCATTCTTAAAAAATGCCATGATGTAAAAATCTGCCAATCCTGTAGTTATGGATTGGATTTCACCTGGGAGAGTTATCTTTCCAGTTAATACCAAAGCTTGTGCACGCTTGTTGCTGTTTCCTGTGGATACGTTCTTTCTTATTCCTAAATCTATAAATGCATCAGAAACAAAATCCAGTTTCTCAACAAGATTATACTTATAAATCACAGTATTCACCACTTCTTCATCATTTCGAAAGATATAACTTATCAATATACTCAATTTCGAATCTTTATCAGCATTAGCGGATATCACATCAATTGAAGCAATTTTTCCAAGTTGATACGAAATCAGTTTCCTTTCAGTGTTATTATTCCCTTCTCCATCAATATCCATCATGGAATCTCCATTGGCATTCTCATTCCCATTGGCCACTTCCTTATTATCAACAAACAACGGAATTGGTTTCATTTCTTGAATCTTCAGTAAGATTAACCTGGGTGCCTTTTGTGCTTCCTTTGGTGTATGATAATGTGGATCGAGTTTTTGTCTTTTAGCTGACTCCACCAAGAATCCCCAATCAATAATCACAGAATAGGATGTGATTTTATTTGTCATTGAATCCAAAGTGGTGATTATTATTTGTTTATCATTAGTGAATCCAATCGAAGCATGGGTTATTATTGATAGTGTCTCATTTAAGAAGAGAGATATTTTATGATATTCGACTTTATGTTCTCCTTGGAAATATAACATGAATTGACCATTTTGTCTAAGGGCCACACAAGCTTGTTTTGTTGGGATGGGATGGGAGACACCATGGGACGTATATTGAGATACTGTGTAATTATATGCAAATTGAGGATTTGGGGGTCGTCCATTCATTGATGTGTTGGTGGTGATATTGGATGGTCCTAAATCCATTAACGTTGCTGGCTTGTTTAAGATTTGTGGTTTTTCTATAGTGAGCCATTTAAAACTAATGATTGAAGCTCGTTTATTAATAGGGAATTTTGCACCTTGATTGATTATATCACGATAAATCATTTCCATGTGATTATAAGAAGTCAACTCATAACTTGGTGAATTGTCATTTGCTGGAGTCCTACGATCAATGCCATTTTCACTAATAGTAGTAGTACTAGTACTAGCAGTACCAGAAGGAGTCGATCTATTTTCCTTTTGTTCTAATAAACCAACACCAGCCAATAAGACATAAAAATTTCCATAAACATCAGAAATGGCTAAATCAGTACTTAAAGAACTCCATGATACAAGGGTCAATTCTGGCAAGAAATTATTCTCTAGCTTTATGCTGATCAGTTGTGGTTTTGCCAATTGCCATGATTTACCATCGATATTCTCAAGATATGTCAATAATAAGTTTTCTTTGGATGTTGTGGCATTTGAAATATTGCTTGTTGATGGTACATAAGCAATAAATCCATTCTTTGACCAAGATATCAAATTGGATGGTTTATCGCTTTGACGTATTAAGTTCTTACTTGGCATTTGAACTTGTCGTCTTCTTCTATGTTTATTTGAAAGGCAATTAAAAGAAGCAATCTCTCCTTTGTTTTCTACTAAGAATTCAAAGGAGATTTTTTTTTTTTCAATTGAATCTTGGCGAGCTACCAGATGTGCTAGAAGAGAACAAGAGCTACCAATTGATCCAACGAGAGCTACCAATTGAAATAACTATTGTTAATCCAATAGTTAAAGAATCAGCAAATAACAAGCTTCTTTGAGTTTGCTTAATGGGAAACGGTTTCTCTGTATAGTTTTCCTAATTGCATAGCCTTCCTAATTGATATGAGTAAGAAAAAAAAGTAGTGACCAGAGATTACTATACCATAAAGACAACTTTTGATAAATTATTCGAATTCAATTAAACAACATATATAACTAAATAATATCCATGTGGTATTTTCAAATAACAAACAAACAAGCGAGGATTGATAAGAAAATTTTACAAAAAAGCAAACCATCCACATTGTCGGATCCGTTAGAATTGATATCAACGGTAGCACTAACATCCGAAACTCCAGAAATTTCGGTTGTAACTGGAACTGTTTGAATTGTTTCAAACAACTCACCACTTTGGAAACCACCTTCCTCTTGACCAGCAGTAATATGAGGAGTATATTGAACAGCTGAAGGTTGAATAGTTGTTACAAAGCCATTGATTGTCATGATGCTTGTTTCGGCTGGTATTGGAAGTTTCTCCTCTTCAGGTATTGAACCAGTTGTCACGACTGCAGTCTGAGGAGATCCAGTAGGATTTTCAATAGTTGCAAACGGCGTTTCCATGACAGTTGTAAGAACACCATCAATAGTTGTAGTTACAGTTCTAAACACTGCATTAGTTTCAGAATTGGGTTCACTCACATGTTTTGTAGTGATAAAAGTAATAGTAGAAACGACCACAACTACATCATTAATGTAGTTCAGGGTAGAGGGATCTGAGGTCTCCACTTTCTTAGACGATACATTACTTCCACCTGGTATTGGTGTAACACGACTGTGCATTGTCTCGGTAGGGATTACTGTAATAGTAATCCGAGTCAAGATTGTTTCCGTAACTGTGATTATGCGGGATGAAGCTTCAGTGCCTTGGGTGGTAAACACATCCAGAGTGATTGACTTAGATTTCAGGGTAGATTGGATGGACCATTCCATTGCATCAGATGTTTGGGTGTTTGAGGCAGGACCAGAAGTTGGACTCATGTTTGGATCCCTGGTTGAATTGGTATCTACAAGATCTTGCAGATTTAACTTGGATTCTGGACCATGACTAACAGAAGCTTGTTCCATTTTTGTCTCGGATTCCGAGTAGGTGACAGATTCTGGATCTGTGGTGTATTCAGGATCAGAAGTCGTAACTGGGTCTATGATGAAAGATGAAGTAGTGGTTGATTCAGAACTGTCTCGCTCTGTAAGCATAGAATCTGGGATATTTTCTGAAAATGTCTCTGGAGGATATTCTGAATAAACACCAGAAGGCGGATCAAGGATTGCACCTGGAGTAGAAAACAAATTGGAACCTGTGGGTGTCTCATGTATTGTGCTACTGAAGTCCTCAGGCAAAACTGATTCCAGTGTCAACAATGGATCTGTGGATGTTCGAGGGGAATGACTCACCAAATCAGATGATTCTGATAACAACGATTCAGTAGTTGGATTTGTAGCAAGAGTCAGTAAAGTTTTTGAACTGACATCTGATGACTGTTCTGAAAATGATTCCGAAGCTAAGTCTGTTGATGGATCAAAGCTAGAGTCGTAGATTGAATGTGAAGTCCAGTCTTGTATTGTGTCAGAAGAGTATTCCCGTGTAGAAAATAAATTGGAGCTAGTGGTTAGCTCTTGTATTGTGCTATAAGTTTCCTTCGACAAATCTGACGAACCTGGAATTGTATCAGTTGACATTTCTGTTGTAGAAGTGAGAAAATCGGAAGATTCATAAGATTCTTCAGATGAAGGATCGCTGGTTGAACTTGAAGTTAGGTAGAGTTGACTTGTATGTGATAATTGCTCTGAATCTGATGATAATTCTGATGATGACTCAGATGAAGAGTCTGATAACGACTCAGATGATGACTCAATTGATGGCTCCGTTGATGTCTCTTTTGATGGCTCGGTCGATAACCCTGTCGATGACTCTGATGATTCAAAGGTCTGCTCTTGTAATGAACCAGATAGCGAATCCTGCATGGTACTATAAAGTTCTTCTTTTGAATATTGAGTATAATCTTGAGTAGAATGTTGAATAGAATCTTGAGTTTCGACTAAATTGGACCTGGTTGGTGCTTCTTGTTCTGAGCTAGGTTCCTCAGGGAAGTCTGATGGCACTAGTGTTAATGAACCAGTTGCCTCTTCAGGGGTAGTAGTTACAAAGCCAGATGATGACCAATAAGGAGGATCCAGTGATTGTTCTTGACCTGTAGTGACGCTGTTATAGAAACTGGAGTCTGCTTCCAAGGTAGTTCCAGTTTCCAGTTGTTCACTGCTCGTTGGATTCTGTTCTGAAGTAGTGGAAGGTTGGATTGAAGATGTTTCTTTCTCAATCGTACTAGCCTCGGTTGATCCTTCTTTTGGGGGATTCACAGGAATTTCAATATCTCCATAACAAGGACAAAGGTTTGTTACCGCATTCTCATAAAAAACTTCAATATTATTGTCATCATATTGGCCAGTTATAAAATACTCTTTATTGTATCCCGGACCAATATCAAAATTATACATAAAGCCTTCTCCTCCATCTATTTTGAGGAATTGAGAATCTTCATATGAGACAAGTATTGTTTCAGGATCTGGAACCAGGACCCTTATAACGTTGCTCACTCCCCCAAACCCTCTTATTATCATTGGTTCCAGAAGTGGAAATCTTGAATGTATGGTATTACCGTAACTAAGACATAAAGTAGAATGGACGTATTTATGGAGTTCAGGTAAGGTAAATGAGGACTCTTCAAGGATGAAACATCCCATACCGTGGGTCAAATTTCCACGACCAATATAATTAACCCGCTTGAGTGAAATGACACTATGATTTTCTACATTGCCAGATGTTAACCATTCACCATAGCCATTTTCAACCATATATGCTATTTCTCCTCCCCGCCGGTTTATAAGGTTTAACCCTAACACAGTTGAATTCGAAACTGCAGAACTCCAAATGGTGAAAACTCCGGAATTTACAACATTGGGAAGATAAAATATATTATCAGTATGGGTGTTGTGGGTATTGATATGGAAATTACCAAGATTGATAATATCCTCCATTCTAAATTCAAAATCGAGAAGGGGTGCTGTGGTGTAGAAATAAACATCTACATAGTTATCAATTCGTTGAATATCAAATAACTCAACGTCAATGAGAGACCAAAACCCTTCGCTTGCACGAACGTAATCTTCATCATAAACTTGCCCCCCTATTTGAACAGTTTCTCTATCAATGATAAGGTATGCCACCAATGTTCTCAAACATGCAAATAAGCAGAGGAAATAGTAGAAATTGTGAATATTCATTGTTTATTGTGTAGGCATACTATTTTAAAAGTTCTGTAAATGTTGAAATTTAGACATATTTAGTAATCTATAAATATGATATAGATCTAAACTTTCTAAATCGATTAAACCGCCTTTAGAACCACTAGGAAGGCGAACTAGTGATGGTTTGATGCAAAGGTCATGTGGTTTTTAGTTGACAAGAAATGAGAGAAATATTATTTTGCATCCATTTATTTTTTATGCAGGCCAGTTTCTTTTCTAAAAAATATTTAGCGCAATTTCTTAGTTCAATTTGAAAACCCTTCGTAAGTATAAATGATGAAAACAGACATAAATAAACGAAAGGGAGGAGAAATTTATCTCAAGTTGAAATATTTTTTGAGGGGCATTGATGGGGTCAGGCCATATGCAAGGCTTATCAAAGAGGCGGAGGTCACAAAGAACCTCCTCAAGAATGCCCACAAAGTCTTGACTTTGACATCATTTAAAGGAATGCAATAATTCGATGGGAGTACAGCAGAGGTTGAAAACAAGCGAAAGATGGATATGTCCGTGCTTAATTTATACATTTAGTCTAGGTAGAAATATTTGTGCGTGACAGTTCATGTTGTCTAAGGACGCATCACAAAATGATGTAACTTTAACCAAAGAACGTCAGCGCCAAGTACTTATAGGCCAAGCATAATTAGGTAGAAAGTAACTACTCTTCATTTTCCTGTTCATTGGATGTACAAGGCATTTACGTTCAGAGCTGCACTGGTAGTAAATATATTTTCTTTGGCTGCATATTTGCTTCTGTCAGCAAAGAATTCTACTAACTGAGAATTTCCACTGCAGATTACTTTCTGAGGTGTACTTTGCTGCAGTAAGTTCCTCTTTCTTTTCCATAATAGATATATTGAGACGAAGGAATCAAACTCGTACAATTAAGAATCTTTTACATTAGCGGTATGTAAACACATACTTAGTTTTATTACAGTCGTACATAGATAAATCAAATATAAAAAGTTTTCATCAAAGATTAAAATGCAAACAATAACAAAGAAAACATAATTCTCCAGATAGCAATTCCATGCCATACATTCACTGATCCGTCTGATTGAATATCAACGACAGGACTCACATCTGGAATATCGGAAGCTACCGCCATGGTGGAAACTGTTCCAATGCTGTTCTCTGTTTCACCGTTTTGGCCAGTTGTTGTAGGTAATATCATTGAAACTGGTCTCACCTCTTTTGCAGTAGTTGTTGTGGAAGGATCAGACTTAACAGAAGAAATAGAAATTCTTGTCATTATTCCACTGTTTGATGTGCTTACGTCATTCAACATTGATGACTTGGGACGTCTTCTAGTAGAAACAGTTTCATCAATCGCTCCAGTTTTAGCAGATCCTGAAGATTCAGTAGTAATAGTGGTTGAGATAAGATTAGCAGAATCCGATACAAATGATCTTGGTGTAGCTTGTGCTTCAGTGTCTGGGAGTTGCTTTGTAGTTATAAAAGTAAAAGTTGATATAACAACCAGAATTTTACCACTAGCCGTCAGTGTCAGGTCAAGAATTGTCATTTCTGAACTCAGCATACCAATACCAGTATCGGTGATTGTCTTACTTGCATTTGGTTTTGTTGGATATATTGTAACAGTAATCAAGGTAATTGAGGTTTCTGTCGTTGTGATTCTACTGATTGAAGCGCTACTACCATTTGGAGTGGAGTTATCCTCAGTAGAAGCATTTGAAGTTGAAGTAGTACCTGGTTCAAAGTCAGACTTTGGCTTGGAGTACAAAGTGACTTCTGTATTTGATTCTGGTTTCAAATCTGAAGAATATTCATGAGCCGGTTCTGATGTAGATTCTTGTGGGGGTTGTGAATCTTGACTGGTAATGTCTGCAAAGTCTGTGCTGCTAGTTTGATCAATCCCAATGGATTGTTCTGGTATCAAAGTATCAGTCCATGATATAACAATTTCAAGCGATGATGATTCCTGTGGTAAATCCAGTAATGATTCCGGACCTGGCGTAGTGCTAGAACCATCAGAATATACTAACTCTGACGCACTTGAGTTTTCTTGATTTGAAGTGCTTGTCAAATTTGGTTCTAAAGCAGTAGAGGAATCTTGATTTAAGCTACTTGAAAGAACTGGCTCTAACTCAGTTGAGGCATTCTGTTGTGAGCTACTTGATTGTTCTGGTATCAAAGTATCAGTCCATGATATAACAATTTCAAGCGATGATGATTCCTGTGGTAAATCCAGTAATGATTCCGGACCTGGCGTAGTGCTAGAACCATCAGAATATACTAACTCTGACGCACTTGAGTTTTCTTGATTTGAAGTGCTTGTCAAATTTGGTTCTAAAGCAGTAGAGGAATCTTGATTTAAGCTACTTGAAAGAACTGGCTCTAACTCAGTTGAGGCATCCTGTTGTGAGCTACTTGTTAACTCTGGCACTAACTCACTCGAGCTTCCTTGTACTGAACTAGTTGATAACTCTGGTTCTAAGACACTCGTGGATTCCTGATTTGAGATAGTTGTTAAACTTTCTCCTAAGTCATTTGAAGTTTCGTGTTCCCAACTACTTGTCAAATCTGGTACTATCTCTGCCGTGGATCCCAGCGCTGAGCTTCTTGTTAATTCTAACCCAGTCGTGATTTCTTGATCAGAGCTACTTGTTAAGCCCGGATCTAGCTCAGTGGAAATTACCAGTTCTAAGCTCTTGATAATAGTAGACTCCATTGCCGATGTTTCAGTTGAATTATATTCAGGAATTTCAGTTGGAGCTTCGTCAGGATAGTCCATTAGCATACAATAACATTGAGAATCTGGCGGAACAAAATCATGCCTAATAACAAAATTATCACCGGAAATAGAAGTATGGAACGATTTAACATCATATCCTGGACCAATATTAAACAAATATTTCCACCCGCCACCTTCTACCTGGAGTATATCTTTGATATAACTTATCAGGGTTGAATCAGACTTGCTTGGAATATATACGCTGATCAGCCGAGTCTCCCCTCCAAAACCTTTAATGATTATTGCTTCATTTGGATCAAGTGGATGGTTCATAATGATGGTAGAATATTCAAGAAGACATACAGTAGTATAGAAGTATCTATGTAACTCCGATATTTCGAAGTCGCAATTTTGGAGTATGAAACAACCAAGTCCGTCAGTATTTTCTCCCCAAAGTGTTAAATCAAACAGTCTGACTTGAATGACTGCCCAATTCTCAACATGTGTATTGACGTCTATCCGGTATGGAGCATTTGCTCTAGTAACCAGCCTTTCCAGTTTCGAATCATTAGTATTTGTACCTGTCCTGGACATGAGAGGTTCAGGAATTGTATTGGTGAAGGCCATAAGACTTAAATTCAAAATGGTGTCAAAGGTAAAAACATTCCCATATTGGGAATTCATTTTAGTATTAATATGGAAGTCTCCGAGATTGATGATTTCTTTGATATAAAATTCAAAGGCAACGTCGCTGTTTGTCGTGTGGAAATAGAAATTACCATAACTCTCAATAAAGTCAATTTGAACAAGTTCAACATCTATGAGAGACCAAAAGGTTTTGGGAGAGCTGATATCAACAAGCTCTTCTATAACCGAACCACCATACTGGACAGTGCTACGGTCTAGAGTTAAACCGGACACTAAGGGTCTTAATAGCAAAAAAAATAAAAAGTAGTAAAAATTTTGCATATTCTTGGATGCTGATGTACAAAATACAAGAGTTCCTTCAAAACCACAATTTCTGCCATCTTACACTCATTTATATAGACCAATATGAGGCGGTCTTGATCACCTACCTCATGACCGAAATTAATTTATTAATTTATTTTGCATAATATGTTTTGCAGCAATTTATTTTTTGCAGCTTTTCTTTTTTGCAAAAGCGCAAATTAGCCAAGCGGCATCACCACCACTTCGATCAATCTTCACAAATTTACCCATAGTTAAGGTATGTGTGTATGTTTGGATGTATCGAATGATGGACCCATAAAATCAATAAAACCTGACAAAATAACCGAATGCAATTTTATAATCAGTAAAAACGACATAAATAAGCGAAAACTCTCAACTCATCTCTCAGAAATGCTTTGGCAAAATATGATTCGATGGGTCATCCATTGGGTTTGAAGGGCTCAGACTGGCAACGCGAATGGTCAGGAATCTCAAAACTGCTAACAAAAAACAAGGCTTTTTATTGGGATGTTTTCCCACATAAAGCGAAGAGAGGAAATTAAAAAGCCAATACTGATCCATTCAGATCTCCAAAACAGTGAGCTGAAGCTCAATTGGATCTATGTACTTTATCTCATCTCTAGAGGCTAAAATCGTTTATACTTTAGTATCTTTTTAGATCTCGAATTACGGTGCTTGTTTAGACTTTTGTATTGCAGTTTTTTTTGGGGCGTTTTCAAATCATTTGCCTTACCTGCCCCACCACCTTGTCAATAAAATAAACAGGGCGATTACTCAACTCATCACCTGATCGATATGACTCATCTTATGATTTGTCAGATTGAGGCAGAGGCAGACGTTGGCCCCCCACAGAGAATTGATTTACCCCACTTACTAACTATTATCAATTTACGAAAAAACCGTGACAAGTATTATTAAACTAAAAACAACTAAAAGAATATCCAAGTCATTCTAAAACATTTACATGCATTGATCGTATCTCATCTCTTAAAATCGATCATTCCTCTAAACCGCCTCAATAAGTTGGATTATTACAAATCACCTGGAACTGGGAAAGTAGAAGCCCATTTAGAAACTTCTTCACCCAAAATCTTAACTTTATCACTTTCGTCAGCCAATTGTTTAAAAGAGGCCAATAATTCCTTTGCAACCTTTCCTTGTTCCTTTGCCTTTAATTCAATAGAAATCGCAACGGCTTGATCAATGAATTCCGCCACTCTGGTGAATTCAGCAGGTCCGAATCCTCTAGTGGTCATGGCTGGAGTACCAACTCTCAAACCAGATGGGAATAAGGCACTAGTATCACCAGGAACGGTGTTTTTGTTAGCCGCGATGTTTACTCTTTCCAAAACTGCTTCAACACGAGCCCCATCGATTTTCTTTGATCTTAAATCAACCAAGATTAAATGAGTATCAGTTCCACCGGAAACTAATTTAAATCCTTTGTTTTCTAATTCGGCAGCAAAATGTCTGGCATTGGAAATGACATCTTTCTGATATTGGACGTATTCTGGATATTTACATTGTTTAAGAGCGACAGCTAAAGCGGAAATGGTATGGTTGTGTGGACCACCTTGATGGGCTGGGAATACGGAGAAATTGACTCTTCTTTCTAAATCATATGGAATTTCCTTACCCTTTTTAGTGACCTTTCTGATCCCCTTTCTAAAGAAGATCATGGCACCTCTTGGACCTCTTAAAGATTTATGGGTAGTAGTGGTGACAATATCAGAATATGGGAATGGAGAATCGGTTACACCAGCAGAGACTAAACCTGAAATATGGGCCATATCGGATAATAAATAAGCACCGACTTTATCAGCAATTTGTCTCATTCTCTTGTAATCAATAACACGAGAATAAGCAGAAGCACCAGCAACAATTACTTTTGGTCTAAATAATTGAGCATTTTTTTCTAAAGTATCATAATCAATAATACCAGTTTCTTCATTTAATCTATATGGCATAGTTTGGAAATATTTAGAAACATAAGAAATCTTGGTAGTATTAGTTTGATAACCATGAGATAAATGACCACCATGAGGTAAATCTAATCCCATAATTCTATCACCAACTTCTAAAACTGCCGAATAAGCATATAAATTAGCAGGAGCTCCCGATAATGGTTGAACATTAACTCCCCATTCTTCAGGATTTAATCCAAAAGCTTCTAAAGCTCTCTTTTGACATAATGATTCAGCTTTATCGATGATTTCATTACCACCATAATAACGTTCACCAGGATAACCTTCAGAATATTTATTTTGCATTTCTGAACCTAATAAATCCATAACTGCCTTGGAAGTGAAGTTTTCACTTGGAATTAAAGTAATTGAGTTCTTTTGTCTAATTCTTTCTTGATTTAAGATATCAGCCATCTCTGGATCAACTTCACTAACTGGCTTTGAAATTAAAGCTTGAGCAGTTGCTGAAAGTGCATAGTTTCTTGTGATGGAAGATGGTAATCTCTTGGATTGAACTCTGAGAGAACGTAATGTAGTGGAAAGCATTGCTTTTTGACTGGTGGGTTGGTTAAAGTAAGAAATGATAATTGAAGGGAATTCTTACAAATTTTTACAACAAAAAAAATCGGGAGTCTTCCTCTTTTTTTTATATGCAAAGGTGTTTTTTTTCTGTCTTGTATGAATCATATTTTTTTAACTTTTACAATGAATTTATTTTTTTTTCCTTTCACGTGATATGCCTTATGGGTTGAATTTTCTATTGTGAATGTAACAGAATACAATAAAGAATAATGAATGTGGGGAGGGAGAAAGAAGTCAATAAAAAGAAGTCAAATAGAAAAAGACCCTATTTATCCGTTTATCTTATTTCCTTTATCAAAAAGAAGTCAACCTTTTGTTTTATTCATAAAGTGACTCTTTCTAAATAGACTCCTTCTCTTGGGACTCTCTGTCTATTATCTCTTTACAAATAAACTAAGAATCAATACTTACAAATATAGGAACTATATATACAAACTTCTAATATCTATATGGACTTAATCTGTTTAACTTCTCTATGCAACTGTTCATGATTAATACCACAAGTCTCATTATCATGACAATACTTAATATCATTAAACCATTCATACTTATAAAACTCTCCAATATCGATTCTTTTTTCAGGATCCAGTTCAAATATTTGACTCGTTAATTCATAAGCCGTGAAAGGTAAATATCGTAACACAGAAGCTTTCCCAATCTCCAATCCAGAATCATTAAATTCAGGATCTGGGAAGCCGTCTTTAATTTGTTCCACCAGATGAACTTTATTTTCTTGTTTGAATGCCGTATATGTTGGATCTGACCATCTGGCCGATTTCCAAGGATATTTTCGATTAATTAAATAATATAATATAATCCCAACTGACCAAATATCGGCTTTCTTTCCATTATATTTTATAGATGAATAAGTTTCAGGAGCTAAATATAATTCCGACCCCACAATCCCAACAGAATAAGGTTTTGTCTTGGTGATTTGTTCAGCAGTTGCAAAGTCAATAATTTTAAGGGTTGAATGTTGGATATCAAATACAAGATTTTCTAATTTTAAATCCCGATGACATATGTCTTTATGATGAAGATAGTTGACCCCTTCACATAATTGTCTCCATATACATATCATTTCTTGGATGTTATATTTATGTTCTGGAATCAGTTTTATTAATTGGGATAGATTTGAAGTACCGGCATTCATATAGAATTTAACAGTAGTCCCACTGAATGAAACATCATATTTAAATACTTTAATAATATTGGGATGATCTAATTTAGATAATATATTATATTCACAAAGGACTCTATCTCGATATTCAGTCTTGGATTCATATATTTCTTTACAATGATATGTCTTTACAGCATAATAGAAGTCTGGATCGGATTTTGATTGGAATAATTCTACATAGCCTGATATTCCATTGCCTAGGGCTTGTAGTTTAATGTCATTTCTTGAAAACTTTCGAATTCTTTTATCTGATTTAAATAATTCACTGAACCCCATAATGGGTGTTTATATTGGGGGGATTGGGGGTACAAGTAGGTCTGGTTTATTCTCTGGAGAGGGCAGGTATATCTATATATCTCCATTCAGGAACATAAAATTGAAAATGTCCAAGAAAAATTGATGGATGATGATAATGGAAGATAGTTGACAGTGACAGTGACATATTTTTTTTATTCTAGTTTTTTTTACTTGGCTATGGAAATTTTTAAAACTCGCCCGAAACTATTTTATCAATGGTAGAACTCTAAGTGTCTATTTTATATCCATAGTTTGACAGCAACTTCATTCTTAGAATAATATCTTCCCTAATAGGCAAAGATATTAATATTCATCTGACATTAGCTAATATTTCTTTTCCGAAGTATGGAGAAGCAGATATTTTTCGTTTTGTGTAACATGTGGCAAGAATATCCAGCAAATCAAAATGTTGAAATTATCAATCCAGATAGAGGGATGTCAAAACTCACATTTGCTATCTGGTTTTTGCAAATTAATAAGATTTTCAAGTTGCCAATGCGGATGCCACTTGAGCTATTGATGATTATAGATTGATTCAGTACTGATTGGATCAAGTATTCCAATTTAATTTAATTTAATGTTAACCAAGCATTCAAACATTTACATTCAAAGAATCTGGAGAAATCTTAAGTGCAACTGTGCAACATGGTGTATAGTTCTGTAAGGTGTACTTCAACATTAGTATGAGTCTCCAATTTTGCAGCCATTTTTCTTCAGCTAGAGAAGCACACATATTTAATGGTACCAGTCCCTCCACCAAAATACTTTCCAGTTACATGTTACTCTCACCCTTCATACAGAATAAACCCTCTTATTATCAGGATATGTATCAATTTGATTCCTTTTTGGTAAAACAAACGACATTTTCTGTAACGTCTTTTTGTGTCCAGTTTTTTTCTTGGTTCATGGGAGGTGGTGGTGGGGTTGTTGTCTGGTAAACAAAAAGCGCAAAATACTTTTTTAGAGAAACTGTTAAAAACCCTCTCTATTCAATAATTTTATGAATCCAGGTTTGTGGTTGTCAAAGGGGGATGCCATGGAAAGACAGGTGTTTTCGGTGATAAGATATGAAGATATTAGAATTGGGATTATCAGGATTGCGGATATGCAACTTTTTGTGTACGTATCTTGATAATTGAGGTGTTTTACGTTGCAAACAGGTTTATAAACAGACCTTTCAATCAGCAAAAAAAACCTCTCAAACTGAATATTACAAGCTTGTAGTACCAATGGTTTCTTGTTTTCCTATCATTCTTCTAATTATTATTATCCTAATAATCGATGCCATAACATTCAATGTTTCTAGGAAGTTAATTTCCTTTTTATTGTATGTCTTAGATATCAGGAAATAATAATACAATTGTAAAGACAACTCTGTCTGATTTTAGTTTTACGTTAGAAATACTATGAATTTTATAAAGAATGGCTGCAAAATATGACACAAGTGTTCATATGCAAGGTACTCCTTACAAAGAGAAGAATCTTTTGAGTAATTTCTCCTTAGCTGAATTTAGCGTAGATATTATAGGAACTACTGTTGGTTCTATTATACTACAATTGTAATTAGATGTAGTTTTCATAGAATTCATTGTTTCTCTCTCTCTCTCTCTCTATCTTTTCCTAAGTGAGAAAGTCGGCTATTAAATAAATTAAAAATAGAAAACAGAAAAAAAAAAATAAAATGTAACAACCGAGCTTTCCTGTTTCTAAAATCTCCTTATGAATTCCCATTTCTTTATAAATAAAAACATCTAGAACTTTACCATACAACCACAACAAACAACAACACACCAACACACCCATCTACTTGCATTTACATCTTATAGATATTCATTTAATTAGGGATTATTGAATATTCATTAATCTTTATTAAGACAGTAACAACATTAGAGTATTGCGTTGATCCCACAGGCACAGCCACCACCATATATATTCAATGTTAATTTACAATCTAATAACAGTACTCATATGTACAATAACAACCACCTTAGCTCTACCACCAAAATTTGTATTTGATGGACCAGAATCACAACGTAAATATCTAGTCACCAATCTTCCGGGACTTTCCGATAACTTACAACCAGATCAAATCCCACTTATGTTTGCTGGACAATTACAACTTCATCCAGAAAATCATAGTTCATATTTCTTTTGGAAATTTAGTGATCCTTATCGTATTCCTGAAAACAAAAAACGAACTATTTTTTGGTTGAATGGAGGTCCTGGTTGTTCATCAATGGATGGGGCATTGATGGAAGTTGGTCCATTAAGAGTTGAAAAAGGTGGGAAATTGGGATATAATAATGGAAGTTGGCATCGAGCTGCTGATATTGTATTTATTGATCAACCAGTGGGTACGGGTTTTAGTTTTGCTGATAAACTCATATCTGAATTAAATCAAGTTAGTGATTATATGTTGGTATTTTTAAAGAAATATTTTGAAATATTTCCGGAAGAATTAGATAATGATATTTATTTTGCGGGTGAAAGTTATGCTGGTCAATATATTCCATATATTGCCAATGGAATCTTGGATCATAATGAAAAACTGGGTGAAAAACCATATAATTTGAAAGGGGTTATGATTGGTAATGGATGGATCTCACCTAATGAACAAAGTCTTTCATATTTCCCATTCTTTTATAATCATGGCTTAATCAAAACAAACAACCCTCATTGGGGTAGTATCTTAAACCAAGTAGAAGAATGTCAACGATTAGTCGATGAAGCCGATGCCCATTGGAATGATAATACAGTAGATCCTGCCGAAGTTAATTTCGGCCCCTGTGATGCGATCTTAAACAAATTATTACAATCTACTGGTGATGGTCAGTGTATCAACATGTATGACTATCTCTTAAGAGATTCATTTCCTTCATGTGGAATGAATTGGCCACCTGATTTAAAAGATGTAACTCCATATTTACGTGATCGAGACGTGGTAAATGCATTGAATTTAGAACATATTGAAACTTGGAAAGAATGTAGTGGATCAGTGAGTAATGCGTTTACGGCAAAGAATTCATTCCCCGCTGTACATTTATTACCTCGTTTAACTGAGAATATTCAAGTGGTTTTGTTTAATGGTGATCGTGATATTATTTGTAATACAATGGGGACATTATCTTTCCTTAAGAAATTAGAATGGGGTGGTTCAAAGGGGTTTACTGATGAGGAGACTAATATCAATTGGATATATGATAATGAAGATGTTGGATATATTAAAACAGAAAGAAATATGACATTTATAAACGTCTATAATGCGTCACATATGGTTCCATTTGATGTTCCTAATACATCAAGGGCATTGATTGATTTGATCACCAGAAATTACGACGAAGTAATCTCCCCCGAGACCAACCAAACTTCATTCGTGACATATCCACTCGGTGTCAGAAAACAACTCCAAGATACACCCCCAACCGACTCTACCAACAACTCAACAACAACAACAACCACCACCACCGCAGAATCAAAGGAACCAACAAGCAACAAAATCACCCGCGTAATCCAATTACTAGTCATTTGTATCCTCATGTGGGGAATCTACGTTCTCTATTCCTCCTACAAATCAAGACCATCCTCCATCATCCGCAAAACTGGTAAATCAGTTCCCTCCAACAAGAAAAAGAATGTCCAATGGGCTGATCAATTACATCTGTATGAAGATGATGATATTAAGGATTTTGAATCTGATCAACAAGAAGGATTTTTCAAGAAGGCATTACATAAATTAACTGGAACTAGTGTAACTGGGGGTGACAACAGGGGGAATTATGTGCCTACATCGTCTCAATATATTGAGGACATTGAGTTGGGAGAAGGGATTAGGGATGAGAGTGTGCCTGATGATTTTATAATTGCCAGTGATGACGAGGAGGTGGTGGAGGAAGGACAGGAAAGAGATTTGGTGGATGATAATAAGAAACTGATGAAGAATAATAATAAAGATGCTCAATCTAGTTGATGCTAGTGTTAAGTAATTACCCTCATTGAGGAAGCATATATAGATGATAAAATTTTACGTAAAGATACCCTTAGATAGGTTTTTAGTATTTTGCAATAATAAATATTATTGGTCGTGTTAAAGTGCACAATATCAACTAAATTTCCGCTGATTGGAAAATTTTCTTAAACACTCAAAAGACAGGGGATTTAATCAGTAAGGTAAAGGCTCATTGAAGACAAAAGAACACACTCCAACAACCCAGACTTATTCACTCTCTTGTATATTGACACTTCCACTTGTGAATAATTTAAAGGTTTTATTGTTTTTGTATTTTCTTGCATTTTGAATCAACTACATACACATTTCATATAATACGTAACCATGTTTAGACAATCAATACGTCAGTTGGCAACTGCTGCTACTACAACCCCTATTGCATCTGCCGCTGTGGCTACCACTGCTGCCGGAACCGCTTCTGCTGCCGCCACTACCAGCAGCGCATCCACTGCCACTGTTGACGTTGCAGAATCAACCACTACTACCACAATTGACGAACCAGTCTTCCACAATGTCCAACCTGCTAAATACACCTTAGGTTCCTTACGTGCCTTCCCATCCCTCAATCCATTCACCTTCATCCCCCTTCCAGCCAAATTCTTCACCATGCCAGAAAGAAAAGATATATTATGGAGTGCAGTAGTATTTGAAGCCGATGGTGAGAGAGTTGGATCAAATTGGGCACCAACCAAAGGAGACAAATTATTTTCAAATAGAAAAGTAAGACCTCAAAAGGGGACCGGTAGGGCTCGTTTAGGTGATGCAAATTCACCCCATTTGTATAATGCCATCAAGGCGCATGTAATCCAAGCTCCACATGATTGGTCAACTGAATTGCCGGACAAGATTTATTCCAAAGCCTGGTCTAGTGCGTTTAGTGAACAATATAAGGCTGGGAATTTATTTATTATTGGTGCTGATCCTGAAGGAAAGGTTCAATCAGATAGAAAAGGGGATGGATCGATTGTTGATTTTAATGTTTGTGATCCATTGGTTTATGATAAATTTGCGAAGAGCCATAATGTAAAGGGAAAGGGGTTGTTGTTTATTACTAATTCTAAGAGAGATAACTTGAGTCAGAGTGCCAAAGAAAGAGATAGTAAGAAGTTTATTGTAAAGACTAAAGAAGATGTAGATGTTAGAGATATCTTAAAGGCTAATCGTATCTATGTTGAATTACCAGCTTTACAATGGATCATAGGTAAACATACAGTCTAGATAAGGTGAGCTTGTATAATATATAATCGCCATAATAATAATTCATGTATATAGAATGAAATTATATGAATAATGCATTAAGCAGTTGTAGTTGCTGAATGTCCGAGACAGTCGTTGTTGATATTAGGTAGAATTATTAATCACGTGCGATAGATTAGGGCTGTGCCCTGACCATGTTTCTATGCAGTCATTGGTAGTGTCCATTACAATTTCGCATTTTAATTTTTTTTCTCTCTATGAGAATTGCGCACTCTGAATTTACTGTTAGTGGTTCTCTCTCATTTTCACTCTCACTAATTGTAGCTCACCCTAACAATCACAATCAACAGAGTGCGAGAAAAAAAATCCTTTATAGAAAATTTTCAATTCAGAATTTTTAATAATAGTCTTTTTGAATTGATACACACAGTAAAGGATTAAGTCAAGATGCCATTAGTTGTCCAAGAACAAGGTTCATTCCAACACATTTTACGGTATGTTCCTATCGCAATCAAGAGGATACAACACCCCTGGACGTTTTACAATATTTGGAGAATAGACAAAAATTAGAATAGAATGAACAGTGGATGAAGACAAGAAGAGATGAAAATTTTTTAAAGGCTTGGGATAAACTATTCAACTATACCTTCATATCATGATATATGTATAATATACGTCGTGTTTGATAGAACACTACTGTCAGTATTAGCTACCATCTTATCAACTACAAGAAATTGAATCTACCAACATCGAATACGTTCCATAGAAAATATCCAAAATTTTCAAGTGCCAATCTCTCTCGAGAGCAACAACCACTACTAAACGAACTACATCTGCTCATAACTTATATTGTTCACATCCAAAACATCTCCAAACATTCATCCAGAGGGGCGTCATCTCCAAATTTTTATGTCATTATATAAAGCATTTCATACTAACATAATCTCTTTTAGTTTGTTAAATACCAACATTGATGGTAGAATCAAGATTATGTACGCCTTGACCAAAATCAGAGGTGTCGGTAGAAGATACGCCAACTTGGTCTGTAAGAAGGCTGATGTTGATTTAAACAAGCGTGCCGGTGAATTAACCCAAGAAGAATTAGAAAGAGTTGTCACCATCATGCAAAACCCAACCAACTATAAGATCCCAGCTTGGTTCTTAAACAGACAAAAGGACCACGTTGACGGTAAGGACTACCACGTCTTGGCTAACAACTTAGAATCCAAATTGAGAGATGATTTAGAAAGATTAAAGAAAATCAGAGCTCACAGAGGTATCAGACACTACTGGGGTCTTAAGGTCAGAGGTCAACATACCAAGACCACCTCCCGTGGTTTACGTTAAACAAGTTGAAGAAATGAGGTTGTTTTACGCTTATATTATAGTGGCTTTTAATTTGAAATATCTCCTTCTTTTTGTTTAATAATAACTTTCTACATGTAATTTAATTTTATTAAATAAACGAAATCATATAAAAAATTTGAAAATATTGATGTACTAATATATACCTTGTAAATTTATATTAAGGCCGAATGTAGACTATGCCTATTGTTGAATCGATTATCTTTAAAGTTTACTTGGCATAGTTTCTAGACAACCTTGTTCTACGAAATTCGAGCTTCTTCATATTTCTGCATCGACTCTAAACAAATAGATTACACCTTAAGTATAATGGGAGGATCTTTCGAAGTCATTCACTCACTTAAAGCTATCTATGTTCTTGATTGGTGGGACAGTATGAATACAAGATTCGACGAAGAAGAAGAAAAGAAGCGACTAGAGGAAGCCTTCCCCAAATATTCTTGGACATTAGAAAACGTCCAAGACAGTACTCACGACGAATTTACACTATGACGACGGTAAATCATCGATTTCCATGACCGAAATGTAATTGCAGCAGTATACCGGCGCTTCCAATTGCTTTTAGCATTATTGGTAAACTGTTATTGTAATTGGCATATAAGTGCTTGCTTAGTTGGAACTTAAGGGGGTAACTGAAATGAAGGTCCGTTAGACAAGTCGGAGTGAATCAATGCTAGTGTCAGTAAGTGGGGTCAGAGAGAGCTGTTTGAACCTTAAGTAAGCGAAATAGACTGGGATTCTTTCTGCTCTTTTCTTCTCTTTGTACATGTAGGTAATTCGTATCCTCTTGAAGATTTGGCATAAATTTCGGACTGTAATTATTGGGTTTCGTTGTATGTAATTTATAACCTTACTCTACCAAAACTTGATGATTGTCTTATTCTGAAAGTATCCACACATTTTTTTTCGTGGGAATTGCTGCAAAAAATTGGATTGTACGAAATTCTACAAATACATATAAAATAATACAGCACGAAGGAATCAACTTCATATAGTCAATCTTTGTAAATTCAATAGAATTATTTCTCCTAATATCAAAGCGATGCCACACGTAAAGGATTTTAAGTATAAGTGGCCGTCTCCAACAAAACTCGTAGCTTAATTCTCCTTTCCTCCGCAAGTACCAACATTATTGATGTTGTGACTTTGCGAAGTACCTTGGGCCCCTTTCAGATGATGCAGCGACTGATTTTTTTCTCCAAGGAAATGACACGGTACCTTATTATATGGTTGTGGAGAGTACAAAATTCGCATTTTTAATTCACTTCTCTCGTGTTTCGCAACTTTTTTCGCTTAAGTCCTATGGAGAGATTAAAAAATAAATTCAGATTAACAACATAGAATTATTTTTTTGTCATGCACCTATTTTTCCGAAATAGGAAATCCTGCACCCCATTAAACCACCCATTTTATAAAAAAAATAACGAATTGTCATGAAGATCGTTTTTGAGTTCGCTAAATGCAACAAAGGGACCGTTCCTTCATTCCCCTTGAACCCCTTTTGATCTGACACGAAAGTTTAATTAATTTCTTGACCTGATTTACAAGAATTACGAATTGATGTTCTACAAATTCTAAATTTAATGATATTATACATGTAATAATACATACGCTATACGTTCTAATTTTTATACAGAAGAAAAGAAATCATTAAAAACATTACAAATCTACACCTCCCCATCTCTAGTTCCAATTCCCACCTCTCAAAGATAACAAATTCTCAACCGCAATTGATGCTTTCTTAATAGGTGGTAAATTTATCCTATTGGTATTTATCTCTGCCAATGGTTTTCTTTCAGATTCTTGATGTAATTTCTCGGTAATCTTTGTATTGGAAGATGGAATTAACTTAAATGTCATAGTGGCAGTATTTTCACTATTAAGTTCTTGGGGTTGCTTTTTTCTAGTTTCATTTAGCACAAAACTAGTTCTTTTCGAGGATGATATATGTATCATTGAATCATCCAATGAGATATTTGATTCATCTGCTGAGCCATGAGCAGGGCTATGACGACTTGGAGGCAATGGAGTGCTTTGAGCTATCGAGTGGGGCGGAGGAGGATATGATAAGGAGCGTGGTGGAGAAACTGGTAATGAGACCGATTTGGTAAATATTGGTTTAGTAGGAGTAGATGAAATGATCTGAGCAGATACAGCACCTGGAGAAGTATTATTGGAAGATATTGGACCAGCAATAACATATCTTGGAGGTAACACTGTTACTTCCTTTTCATGGCTCAGTTGTTTTCTTAATGATTGTCTCTTATTTTGAAACCAAATCTGAACAGCTTTTTCAGTCATTGAGACCCTAGAAGCAATTTCTATTCTTCTTGCTTTGTTTGGAGTAGTACCTATTTCAAATTCTTGATTTAATATAGCTAATTCATTAGGTGATGTTCTTCTTCTTTTCCTTCTTGCCAATGGCGCGTTATCAATTGATGGCTCTTGCAGAGGGAAAGTAGCAAGTGAATGAGAAATGAATGCATATGATTTATCTGATGAAGTTGGTGATGATTTAGGAGAAACTGATCTATGATCTTTCATTGGTTTTGCTGATGAAGTAGGTGTTGGCAATGTAGTGAAATGTTGGGTATTTGCCACTTGTGAAATATGATAGTATTTATTGGTGATTGGGGTAGAGGCCACAATCATAGGCTCTATAGGTGAGAATGAATCTATTGATGGTAATTGAGGTACTTGATGTAATACTGGACTATTTGAATTACTTAAAGGATGATCCTTAATGTGATTGAGTTGAGCAGTCGATAATATGGAAGACAAAGGTGGCAAACATGGTTTCTTGGTAGGTTGAATATTAGAAGGTGGTGTCGAGGGTTGCAAAGCTCTCTTTGGTGTTTGTAAATGCATCATTTGGTATAAAAGTTATGTGGTAGACTGATGGGAAGATCGGATTATAGAAAGTTATGTAATTAAGTATGAAAAATAAGATAGAAGAAAGCAAGAGAGTATTTATAAAAACTTTGAATCAAAAGAATCTTTAGCGTGTCACTTGGGTTTGTGTTTACAAATTCCAAAAAAAACTTTAGGTGTTTTTTTGTTTTAAATTGGCATTGTTTTCTTTTGTTTTGGGTTCTGAAACGCGAGATATCTCAATTAAGAGAGCAGGTAATTAATTAATTAAGAATGTACGTAATTTAAGTAAACATTGGGTTAAGTAATGAACGATTAAATAGGTTTGTTTACATTTTGTAATTTTTCAATCAAGATTTATTTTTTAAATGATTTTAATTAAAATTTCGCGTCTTTTAACAATTTACATGCCATAAAATGTAAAACCAATTATTTTTTTAATTTTACGATGCGTAATAAATTCTTTCAAACAATGACAATTTATTTATAGAAAAACAAAATACGCGAAAAGTTTTCCATTTTTGATTCAATAATTTTACTATACGATTCTGATCTTTTTAAATTTGTTTCAGAAATTGGTGTCAATTTCCTTATTAGGAAGTACTATATTTCTTCTAAGATCCTTCTTTAGGAAATCAATTTACCAAATTAATTTCGATTTTAACACAAATACGTGAAATTACTCAAAGGGTGTTTGTTCAAAGGGTGTTAGCCGAAATGTAGACAAAACTAATTACGACGCGAAGCAAGAATATTCTTTCTATCCAATAATTGTCTAGAACCAGCTTTATTACTCGCATATGTTTGTAATTAGGTATTGGAATGAAGGGTTTATTGGGGAGAGGGTTTTTGGGAGAAGTGCCCCCCCCCCCCCCCCTTCTGTTTGTGCTATTCATATGGAATGTCCACTTTAAATTTCTTCTTGTCAAGAATTATCAGCCCATTCCTGGATATTACGGCGGCACCTTCGGAAGGTTTGCTTATTGATTCAATATACATAATTATAGATGAGTATATTTTTAGTATCTATCTCAAACCTAGCATAAAGAGAGATTACCAAGTTTGACAAGCTTAAACCCAAAAGAAAAGATAATTTCTTCAGAGACCAAGATCAAAAAGTTAAAGCAGCTAATAATTCAATCAAAGCTGGCAACATAAAAGTACCATTAGATGTTGCAGCTCCAGGAAAGCAATCCGTTACCCTTAGTCGAACCGAAGTTATACTCGGGTCAATTGATATTGTTTCTTCGCCGGACTCCTTAATGGTTCCAGAACCAGCCTGTTGAGTTGTGAAACAAATATCAATTCCTCCTTAGGCAGAACCCTTAACGAGACTACATACTTGGCCCCGTCATCAGCAATTGCTTTCGTTGTAATTGTGAGAATGCTGTGGTCGGATTTTATTGGTACCACGTTTGAAGATGATATACCACACGTCGTTTCGGTCTCGCATTTGTCAGTGCCCTCAAAATTTGAAGTAACTGAACGGGACAGTGATGGTGGACGTTCGTTAAAGAATGATCTCGGTTGACCAGTCATAAATCTTGACAGCTTTCAGCTTTGGTAGGGAATTCTTGAAAGTCCTTAGAGGTTTCATCGTCAATTTTGGGTGAATCTGATGTAACAGAGGAAGACGTTTCTTGATCAGTACGATCTACAGACGGATGACCTTCAGAAGTCACCGATTATTG